AAATGCCGCGACTGACCACTTCTCCAGCCCGTCGACAACAGCGAACACACGTCCGCAACTCCTAATCATGCGGAGAATCTTTCCCCTAGCATGCTCCAAACACCGCATGAGAACGGTAGAGATCGAGCCTTTAGTGCGTTGAGCGGAAGCACCCAATTCTCGACTCTAAAGATCCCCCAAACATCTGGGGGTGAGAAGAGCATTGCTTCCAGCGTCTTCAGCGGAGATGACCGGGAAGATGCTCTCCGGCCGGACCCCGGCTCAGAGAGGGATTTCCAGGTCACCGACAACAAGTTTGCCTTTAGTCCTGGTCAATTGAACAAGCTGCTCRACCCAAAGTCTCTCCCAGCATACGCCGCACTTGGTGGTATTCGTGGCATTGAGCGCGGTCTACGCACAAACCTTCAGACTGGACTCAATGCCGACGAATCGGTGCTTTCTGGCAAGGTCTCCTTCGAGCAAGCTACCAAAGCCAACGGGTCCAATTCGCTGGGATGGGATGAGGTGCCTCTGCCTCCTGCGGACTACAAGCCTGCTGGTACATCTGGGAACTTCACCGATCGCACTCGCGTCTATTCGAACAATGCGCTTCCCGAGAAGAAGCCCACACCACTTTGGAAGCTAGTCTGGATGGCATACAATGACAAGATTCTCATTCTCCTGACGGTAGCTGCTGCCATTTCTCTTGCTCTCGGTCTTTACGAAACCTTTGGAAAGGAACATGAGCCTGGTGATCCCATGCCAGTCGACTGGATCGAGGGCTGCGCTATCTGTGTTGCCATCATCGTTGTGGTGCTTGTTGGTTCCCTGAACGACTACCAAAAGGAGCGAGCTTTTGTCAAACTCAACGCCAAGAAGGACGACCGCATGGTTAAAATCCTCCGCTCTGGAAAGTCTATCATGATCAACGTTGTGGATATCATGGCTGGTGACGTCCTTCACCTCGAGCCCGGTGACATGATTCCCGTCGATGGAATCTTCATTAGCGGACACGGCGTCAAGTGCGACGAGTCCTCAGCCACTGGAGAGTCCGACGCGCTGAAGAAGGTCGGTGGCGAGCAAGTCATGCGCATGATCGAAGAGGGGCACCACAATCTGAAGGATATGGACTGCTTCATCATCTCGGGAAGCAAGGTCCTCGAGGGTATTGGCACCTATGTCGCCACCTCCGTCGGTGTCAACTCTAGTTACGGCAAGATTCTCATGAGCATGCGTGTTGACATGGCACCGACTCCACTCCAGGTGAAGTTGGACGGTCTTGCAACTGCCATCGCAAAGCTGGGAACCAGCGCCGCACTTTTGCTGTTTTTTGTCCTGCTCTTCCGGTTCGCRGCTGGCCTCAGCAGTAACCCGCGTTCAAGCTCCGACAAAGGTATGTTGAATTCCCCCATGAGATTGGCGAGTCATCTAACATCATCGCAGCGAGTCAATTCCTTGATATTCTCATCGTCGCTGTGACAGTTATTGTGGTAGCTGTACCTGAGGGTTTGCCACTTGCTGTAACATTGGCCCTCGCGTTCGCGACCACCCAGCTCGTCAAGCAGAACAATCTTGTGCGAATTCTGAAGTCCTGCGAAACGATGGGAAATGCCACTACCGTCTGCTCCGACAAGACTGGAACCTTGACGACCAACGTCATGACCGTTGTTACTGGAGCTTTCGGCCCATTGAGCTTTGACGACAAAAACCAAACTGGCAATGAGGTCCGAACTTCCGAATTCGTAGCCCAACTCAGCAATGAGGAGCGCCGCCGTTTGATCGAAGCCATCACCATCAACAGCACCGCATTTGAGACCGATGAGGGCTTTGTTGGATCAAAAACCGAGACTGCTCTTCTGTCTTTCGCACGTGCCCTCGGAATGGGTCCGCTCGGCGAAGAGCGATCCAACTGTCCCGCGCATGCATTCTACCCCTTTGACTCTGGCCGCAAATGTATGGGAGCCGTTCAAAAGCTGTCTGATGGCCGATTCCGCCTCGTTGTCAAGGGTGCGTCTGAGATCCTTCTAGGACACAGCACACACATTGCCACAAGCTCTGGTCTCCAGCCTCTTGACGGTGCTCAGCGTGAGAGCATCGAGTCTTTGATCGATACCTACGCCAAGCAGTCTCTTCGCACCATCGCTTTGATCTCTCGCGAATTCCCACAGTGGCCCCCTGCTGGCTGCACTGCTGAGAACGACCCAAATGAAGCAGACTTTGGTCTCCTCCTCAACAATATGACTTTCGACGGTCTCGTCGGCATTCAAGATCCAGTCAGACCCGGCGTTCCCGAAGCTGTGGCCAAGCTTACCAATCGCGCTGGTGTAACGGTCCGTATGGTTACCGGCGACAACGTGGTGACGGCCAAGGCTATTGCAACGGAATGTGGCATCTACACCGATGGGATTGTCATGGAAGGACCAGTCTTCCGTGGTCTGAACCAACAGCAAATGAACGACATCTTGCCTAAGCTCCAAGTCCTGGCCCGCTCTTCTCCCGAAGACAAGCGTATCTTGGTAACCTCCCTTCGTGCTCTTGGCGAGATCGTCGCCGTTACTGGAGATGGAACCAACGATGGTCCCGCTTTGAAGGCTGCCGACATTGGTTTCTCCATGGGCATTGCTGGCACTGAAGTCGCCAAGGAGGCCTCCTCTATCATTCTTATGGACGACAACTTTGCCTCTATCTTGACTGCGCTTATGTGGGGACGAGCTGTAAACGATGCGGTCCGCAAGTTCTTGCAGTTTCAGCTTACCGTCAACGTCGCCGCTGTTATCATTACTTTTGTATCAGCAGTTGCGAATGAGGGCATGCGATCGGTACTGGTAGCTGTACAACTGCTCTGGATCAACCTTATCATGGACTCCATGGCTGCGTTGACCCTGGTAAGCTTGACATCTACTGAATATGCCAGATCAATACTAACACTCCGCAGGCATCCGATGCACCCACGGAAGAGATTCTCGACCGTACTCCTGCTAAGCGCTCCGCTCCTCTCATCAGCATCTCCATGTGGAAGATGATCATCGGACAAGCCATCTTCCAAATGGGTGCATCTTTCATCCTGTACTACGCCGGCCCGGATATCCTCAACTACGAATACGATGGTGATCAAATTCGCTCGGTCGTGTTCAACACCTTTGTGTGGATGCAGATCTTCAACATGTTCAACAGCAGAGTCCTTGGCAATTCATGGTCAAGAATCTTTGTTGGCATTCATCGCAACTATTACTTCATGGTAGTGACTGCTATTATGGTACGTGAAGTCCTCTCATCCACTTAGCTACGAAGAACTCTTGCTAACATCTTGCAGATTGGTTGCCAGGTAATGATCATGTTCGTTGGCTCCACTGCCTTCCAGATTGTGTCTATCGATGCCAAAGACTGGGGCATCAGCATTGTGATTGGTGCCCTCTCTCTTCCTTGGGCAGTCGTGGTCCGTTTGTTCCCCGACGGCCTGTTCGAGAAGATTGCAAAATTCTGTGGTTACCCTGTGGTACTTGTGTACCGCCCTATGAGCCGCTGGACGCACGCACTGTCTCGCAAGATCCGCTCACTTCGCAGGAAGCGTCCTGAAAGCCAAGCAGTGGAAGAGATGGCAGAGGCAGAGGCACAGCGAGACTTTGAGAAGGACAAAGTGCAGGACCCAGAGAAGGGTCGCGTTTAGAGATTTGTTCTCATATATTATAGACATGATTTAGCGGCATTTGGATTACCTTATAGATATAGATTACGAGCATAACGAAGAAGCAATGAATGAAGTCCGAAACTAGGCCACATCAAATCTCAATAACCTCCTCTCTTCATCAACTCAAAGTCGGTCTTCGGCCCTGCTATAAGTCACGCGTGCTCTGGAAGAGTAGAGTGTCGACTTCGGGCGATATACGGCGTTTGACGGCACGAACAGAACCATACCTTAGATCGGAACCGCCGTCGATATCCGGTTCGTGATTCGCCAGCCCTCCACAAAGAGTTGTCAAAGTCTGGGCAACGGGGCTGTGCAATGTTGAACCTCACCTTGGCGGTGGGTAAATTCACTCGACCTTCTTAATAAAACACCTACTAGGGCCGATGGATGGGCCATGCGGGGAAAGATTGACGATCTTTGAAACCTTCCGTCGGTCTTTTTTTTTTTTCCTAGTTACCCTATGAAGATTTCCTCATCCCGATAGAAAGGAAGGCGGTTGATGCTTCCTTCTATGGATCGGGTTCTTGGATGCCGCAGAAACGAGCAACAACGAACGGATTCTAGCAATCCGAAGAGCTCTGGGAAAGATATTCGAATATGACGAGCTTCAACTCGCCGACGGATTCTGTTAGTGATCAACAGGATCTCTCGCTACCAGGATTGACCAGGAGAGCAACGATTGGAGATCCAGTCTATGACAATACCGTCACGAAGCAGAAGAGGAGGACGGTAGCTGTTGCTTGCGAGAGGTGTCGCAGGAGGAAGATTCGTTGCGATGGAATCCTACCATGTGCGACATGTGCCAGATTTTCCGTTCGATGTGTCAGGCCCGAAGAGAGGAGAGAGCGGAGCAGCAGGTAATTACGTTTCGTTCGTCACGTACGATCTAGACCTCAGTATTGACAAACATGTTACCAGTACGGCTGAAACAGCAGCACTAGCTTTACGTGTAAGACAGCTTGAAGCAAGGCTTACTGCCAGTGATCTAGGTCTATCTGGAAACAGCGGCACGTTCGATGGGGTTGGGAGTCCCTCAAGACCTCCAACCTTACATCTCCAGACAAGCTTCGACGACTTATCCTCACCCTTTAACTTTGAGGAGAATACACAACAACTCGCATCACCCGTGGATGGTACAATGTCACTCTCAGTCCCCGCGATCCAAGTTACAGGACCTCAAGGCGGAATGCCGTCTTCCCCCTTTCTTTCCCCCAATTCCCCCGCCCCMAGCCTATATTGTGGTACCACACGAGCTTCAACACCGGATCCTTTCGCAGCAACAGCCTGGAGTATGGATATAGGCTCCCCAAATTTCAATCGTACACCCCCAGTAACCGATTGGGCCGACTTCTACGAATCCAGCGCCCTCCTCACAACTCCAAGCATAGGCCATTCCAGGCGATCATCAGTTTCATCCTTCGGTGGTCTGGGACCAAGTTTCTGCTCCATGGATCTCGACGGCTCTTCATCTTCTCCTCAAGACTGGACAGATCATCAACCTCCTGTCGAATTCCCTACTTGGAATCAAGAACGATCCTACAACCCTTCAATCCCTCCAAAACAGCATGCAGAAACTTTAGCAGAACATGCTTTTACTCACCGAATGATACCACTAGAGCGAACGGCTTTCCGAGTCTKTCTCGAAGCAGTCTATCAACGTGAAGACTCCCCAAACGGAATCTCCATATCCCAGACGATGTTATCGTCGCTTACGCCTTACTCGGTGCGAATGGCTAGATGTCTCGTCTTCCTCGTCCTGACCATCGGCGCGAAATTACAAGCGGATTCTGGAGAGGAGGGTTCTGTGTCGAGTATTTGCTATGCGGTGGTGCATGAGCAGATGCGTGGTTTGGACTTTTGGACCGAAGCTGGGWTTCAGGAGGTTATTGCTTTGCTACGATTGTTATCAGAGATTGGCGGAATGTAACAAGGAGCGGGAGTGCATGCAACAAAGTCAAATTTTTTACGTTATCCGAGATTATTATATCAAGAGCTGATAGAATGAATGGCCGTTGTGATAAATTGTATACTTCTTCCACGCCCACAAACCACCTACCACCATCCTCGCAATCCTCCATCAAAAGTCCAGTCATAGTCTCTAAACCCAACCTCCTCCCAACCCCCCTATCTAAAGTTTCCCCCCACCCTTCGGCCTCAACCACATACCCTCAGCAAAAGCAAACACAACCCCACCCTCCCCTTCCACAACCCCCTTAGCCCAAACTTTCCTCCCCTCATCCTCAATCCTCACAACCCAACCCCTAGCCATAACAGACCCAGGAGTCCTAACAGGTTTCTTATAAGTAACATTCAATTGTACAGTGAACATCGAATCTCCATGTCTAATCCCTAAATTCCGTAAAGTAATCCCTATGGAATTTCCTAGGGTGCTGTCGAGGATACAGCTGATTACTCCACCATGCTAGAAAATATTAATGAGTACAAATTTTTCGCGTTCCACGTTCTGCAACCAACAAAACTCACCAATAATTCAGGATGAGCAGTAAGATCCCCTCCAAGCGTATAGAATCTTCTACATTCCGGCCTCGTTGTTTCAGCCTGAGGGAATTCCAAAGACTTGGATTGTGGAAATCGGAATAGATTGAGGAGTTCTCGAATCGTTCCATCCGTGTTCCATGTTTTGCCCATTAAAGTGTGACCTTTACCTTCGTGCGTGGTTCCTCGTGAGAGAGGGATGATGGTGAAGTTGGGGTCTTGCAAGGTTGGTTGAGCTAATGGGATGGCGGTGAAGTGTTCGATTGTGGATTGAGAGACTTCGCTCGGGATTTCTTTCCTAGCTGTGGGACACATATTGAGAGGCGATAGATGAGAACTTTCACATGAATTTTTTGTTGAGGTGGGAAACTACAATGAGTTTCAAGTGAATGCGTTTCAAGCCGAGGGCCGAGCCGGCATCCGCGCATTCCATGAATGCTTCACGTTACTCTTTATGTAAGTCTCTAAACCAGAAGCCATAACACAGGTCTCATAGTAAGCCGGTACATATCGCCATCAACAGAGCCATGTCGCCATCTTCTGTAGCAGATAGGGCAAAATCATAATTTTCCCAGCAAGACCTCACTTGGAATCGTGATCGTGGTCGTGACCCATCTTCGTCAGAACGAAGCCAATTCGCCGTCCTTCTTTGCGTATGACTTTTTGTAACACTTCATCGTCAATCGCAAGCTTCAGCGCATCATGTCCGGACTCATCGGGAGTACCCTCATCTACTTTGCTGACAAAAGATGTATCGAAGTGAGTATATCTCATGAGACTCAAGAACTTAGCATTGCCTGCAGAGTCGCATGATTTCCTCGACTTGTGCTCGATTGCAGCCAGTGCTGCCTGATCGGCTGAGCTGCATAGTTTGTTGAATTTGCGCGGGACATACTTCACACTATCATCATCTGACTCTTCCTTATCGACAGCTTCGCTAAGGTCTGCAAGGTCGTTGCGGGCAGAGTCGTGGAACTCGCTCGCTTTGYGCCGAGGAGCAGCCAATGTCGCATCGGGTGCTGTGCTGTCAAGTCTCCTGAATTTTCGCGGTGGATCGTCGTCTTCCGCCTCCTCGTCCTCTGAATCTTCTTTCTTGATAGACCTCTTCAGCAATGGGCCACCCGGGATATCTTCAGGATCTTCCTTCTTGAGAAGTTCGCTGGCAGCTGAACATTCGTCGTCGGCCGAAGGATCTCCAGAGTCATCCATCTTGCCATCTTCGCTCTCTTCGTTGAGTGACCTCAGATCATTACGAGGCGAGGTCTCGTCCTCAATGATTGGCAAGCCGCTGCCGCCGCATTCACAGCCCAATAGCTTGTGCGTCTGGCAGTCATCACCTTCGTCCAGCGTGAAAAGATCACGAAGCTCTTGTTGCGTAAACCCGCTGGCGGCGGACTTGCCGTCCACAATACTGTCGGCAAGGCCGGTCTTGCTCACTTGTCGCTGGAAGATCTTCTCGTCCAATGTTCCCTGCGTCAACAGACGGTAGATGTAGCAATCCTTCTTCTGTCCATCTCTGTGTACACGAGCCATGGCCTGTAAATCAACGGCAGGGTTCCAGTCACAGTCGTAGAGAATCAGTCGCGACGCTCCGATCAAGTTGATACCGACGCCTCCTGCTTTCGCAGAGAGCAGAAACACGAACGAATTGCTCTTGGGCGACCTGTTGAAGCGATCCACGAGTTCTTGTCGCTTGTTGGGTGGTGTTGATCCGTCCAGGCGAAGATGACTGTATCCCAGGGATGTGATGAATGCCGCCAGTATGTCCATTGTCGCGGTATAGTTGGAGACCAGGACGACCTTCTCCTCGGTTGTGCGGTATATTTCGACCAGAAGATCGTCCAGGACTCCTAGCTTGCCAGACGTTCCAGGTGTTCTGAGTTGACTTCGCGGAATGCCTGCAATTAGCTCGGGCCTTTTGATCTCCTCGCCGTCGCCGGTCTTGACCAACAGCTGCGGAGCGTTGCAGACTTTCTTGAGGATGTTGATGAGCTCCAGCACATTGCCTGGAGAAGTCATGCCGGATAAAAAGGCTGGTGTGTTCACGATGTGGCGGTAGAATCCTTTTTGCAGGGATGAAGGTCTACAAAAGACAACGTGCTCAGTCTTCTGTGGCAGGTATTTGGACAGAATCTCAGACGTTCTGCGCAGAATGAACTGGCCTGTGATCTTTGCCAATTCCTTGCTACGAGCCTCGCCCAGTTCCAAATCGTCCGCTGAAGCGCCTGGTTGCCTGCTTTTTAGTATTGGCATTTCGAATTGCTTCTTGAAAGTCGAGTACTTGTCCAGAATCGCGCTAGGATTGACAAAGTCGACTGATGGTTGGCATGTTAGTAACTGTTTTGTTCACCTGAGAGGAGGCTAGAAGTTACATACCCATCGTGTAGAATTCGCTCAGATCGTTTTGGATGGGCGTCCCGCTCAGGATCACCCTCCGGTCGGTGCGAAGAGATTTGATGGCTGCAGCGGCTTTGTTGGCAGCAGTCTTCAGTCGATGTCCTTCATCGCAAATTACCAAATCGATATCGGCATTCTGAAGATCTTTTTGTATCTTCGTCAACTTTTCGTAACCAACGATCATGATCTGGAACAAGTCAGTCATTGCTCTCAGTGCCACAGAACGGCCATGGCAATCTCACCTGGTACGATCTTCCTTTTGTAARATCAGTGATGCGAGACTTGGGATTCTCCGCGACGAACACGCCGATTCTTTCTCTGCCCAGCCACTTCGTGATCTCCTTGCGCCAATTATTGATGAGCGTCACTGGGCAGACGATCAAAGCCTTCTTAACCACAGGAGGGTCACCATAAATTGGATTCTGCTTGAGGAGAGTCCAAATCAGTGCGATGGTTTGCAATGTCTTGCCCAGACCCATCTCATCTGCGAGTATTGCACCTTGCCCAGTATATTCCTTTCTCATACCCATCACGCACTCGTACAGAAACGACAACCCGACTCGTTGGTGCCCTCGTAGAGCTTTGGTGAGCAACGGATCAATGACAACATCCACAATTTGCTTGCCCTTTGGCGCCGATCCTGGTCGCTTCATGACGAGAACATTCTCGCCGTCAAGCTTGTGCTTCGGTTCTGGAATTGAAACATCAGGCCTCTGTTTCTGTACAGACTTGTCCATCAGTGGCGTCTTGAAAGCTGTCTTGCCTCTGTTAGAGGGAATGGCGCTCATCGAGGGCGGCCTAGGATCCTTCTGAGTTGCAGTGAGCTTGTTATGCGCCGCCTGTTCTTTCTTGCTGACTCTAGTCGTGCCGTTGATCTCCTTGAGAGTCGGCTCCTTCTTGGCCTCACCAAGGAAAGGCCGACCGGCCAGGTAGTCTTCCTTGCTAATCATGGTGTCCACTTCAATCTCTTTACCACCAATGTACATCTCCGATCCAACCAAAAGAGGGCCTCTGCATGTGCCATGGCCGAGATCCTTGCCTGTCTCTTTGTCCTGCAGAGTGGCAGATGAGCCCGACACCGTCAAGACTCCATCACCGTCCCACGTCTTGTTCTTCTTGTTGGTGGGCTTCCGCCAGACGACACTATAGTAGACCTTCGTAGTCGYACTGGAGTCGACGGCACCCTGGCTGGAACTGCTGGGATTGGTGACGGGATGAAGTGGCTGCCTCGTAGGAGGCGGAACAAACTTCTTGGGCTTCCTCAACAAGTCCACCGGCGCAGCGCGTACCGTCGGGCGAATGTCCCCCTCATCATCATCCTCGCTCAGGCGGCGCCGCTTGGCTGGTGGTTGGCCGGCGGGAGCTGGTCGAGGTGTGCTGTTGGTGAATGCGGGCGATTTGAAGGATGGCGGCTTGAAAGCTTTGTAGGGCTTCATCGCGTGGGCCTGGATGAAAGGGGAACGACCGGTTTGTAGTGTGACAACAATTCGTGTATACTAGAGACGGAAATCAATGACAGGCGGCGAGGTGGAGACACGGGATGGACGCGGCAGGTCGCGAGAGCCTACCGCGAAAACGACGCGCAGTCAAACCTTAAATTGGAAGGCACCTCGTCAGCCCAAGCATGAATGGCAGCCATCAATACCAACCATGGCAGGCCTCGTCGCGATACCAGACGTCGACATTCAATTTGTGTCAGTCTCAGCCGGTGAAACGTTCAAGCTGGGTCCCATTACTTGTCGTGTGCTGGAAGATGGTTCGCATACAGGTCGGCAACATCCATGAGGCCGCTCATGTATCACCACTCACAAGTCGTAGACCATCGAATTGGCGTAGCGGAGCTCGTCATGCCTCCCAAAACTCCAGGACCACCGCCACACTGGCAGTAAGTCTTAGTCGGAGAGAGGATAGCAGATGTGGCCCGTTCCAAAGGCTGCGCTTTCAAGATGGACCCTCGACTGATCAAAGTATCACCAATCAGCGAGATGCACGACGAAACATTCTACATCACCAAAGGCACTGTACGCTTCCACGTACCCGATACCTCTGCCGAAGGTAAGGACAAGAAAGTCGTGGATGCAACGGTCGGCGATTACATGGTCGTGCCCATTCGTGCGCCGCACACGTTCAGCAATCCAGGTGATGAAGAGGCCAGACTTCTCATCACAGTSACGCCATCGTTCTATATCAACTACTTCAAGTTGCTGTCGCAGCTGGCCAAGCCTGATCAACCAGTACCGGCGGAGGTCAACATTCAGGCAATGGCAATGTTCGCAACGATCCTCGCTGACAAGAAACCGCGCAAGCCGGAATGAAAGTGGGCTGTTCGACGTGTGGACTGGCTCGCTGCGTGACAAACAGAGCTTTTGCATTGACAAGCGGTGCTGAGCTGAGGTGGATCACGAGTACATGGTCTGGTTGGATCGACTGTTAGCCGTCTCCTCCGGGACTTCATCCAACCAACCACCAAAGTCGAAGCAATTTGTGCGAACGATGTCTGAATAAACTACCAAATGCTTCTGCAAACCCAATTGCTCCTGCGTGTATCCCATATGCTTTTCACGCAACGCGTCATCTAGTAGTTGAACTTTAACGTGAAGCTGTCGTTGAAAATGGCTCACGGCATGTCGATACTGGGGCTCGGTCTCCTTAATTCCGACGTCCGCCCCCGGAACTTTTTCCACGGTCTCATCAATAGAGATTTGACACCTTTGCAAAGTGGGTGAAGATCTTTCAAAGCTTTGCAAGCTTCCGGAGATACTGTAGCGTATGCAGCCATGTCCCTCCATCGAGCAATCGTGCGGAGCGCACGGACGGGCTGTGGTACGCGGCCGCTGACTCTTGAGCGAGCGCGACGCCGTGTAACAGGRAGCACATGCTGTGTCCAACAAGAACGGAACTAGCCCGCGAGAGCCTTTTCAACAAGCGTCCTGCTCTCATCCGTCATGGGTAAATGCAGCGCCATGTCCTGGCCCTCTTTGGACATCTTGCCCCAGGTCTTTTGCAAAATAGTCATGAGTTTTGATTCGTCATGCTTCGTCTGGAACTCGTCAAACTGGTCGTCTAAAAAGACAAGGCAGGCCACGTCCTCCAGGACCTGCACCTCTTCCTCGCCTTGTTTCAGGCCCTCTTTCTCAATGAGGGCTATGCATCTGTCGATATCGTCTGTACTGTATCCGCATTCTTTCAGTATCTGTCCGACCAGCTCGGCCTGGCGTTTCTTGAGGTATGTTCTCCATTGATGGTATCCAAGTTTCGTCATGGGATAGGAAGATCTATTTGTAAAGCGAGGAGTGTTAGCAACTGTTTATACGTAATAACATGTGTTGCCCGTGCTCTCGCCCTGTGAGGATGACGAAGCTGCCTGCATATCCCTTCATGGCGTGAAAGCATCGGCGTGAACTTGCGAGACAAGCCTCACAAGCCTCTTGCCATTGATGCTTAAGTCAAACATACCTCGGGACCTCCCATCGTCTGAAGTGCTGACCACAAATTGCCAGCCTCAGCACGTCCGAGGCATTGGGTGCCCGCTTCGAGAGGTACGACTCCATCTTCTGTGAGTAATGCGATTCATACGGGACCTCAGAGCCATCGCTGGTCTTTTGCTTGGTCGGGTCTTCATCGTGTGCCGCGTATATCTTACTACGAGCAGCTTCGAATCTATCCGCCATGGTGGATATGGTTGTGTGGTGTTGCGAGAACAGACGGACCATATTCATTCACTGCAATGCTCCCGTCGCCGATAACGATTGACCCTGGATCTGATCTCCACCCAATCTGATTGGATCGTCTAGCTGCATCGGATGCCGGCATCCAGCGCCCTAGCGCCCGAGCACGATGCAGGGATCGTCGCTTCGCGCGGCTTCGAAAAAAAATACATCGCACGGATGTGGCCAAGTCATACGACGGGTCCCGTCGAGTCGACTGGACAATGTTAGCCGGGCCCAACCTCTGCTGCTCCCCGCGTCGCATTAGTGGCCGCCGCAAGAAAGAGCAGCATCGGGTGTGCCTCTTGCAGAGTGATCGTCATGCACGCAATGCGTAATAAGAAACAGGTACTGTGGAGACTCTGGAAAAGGTTTCCAGAGCTATCAGAAAGCCTTTCACCTTCTGCCCTGCTTCTTCATTGCGTGCCGGCTAAGGGAGAGTATATGTATTGAGGGATTTATTCTCCGGCACCAACAGCATTTCCCTTTCCCCCCTCAACCAATCCTCATCATGAGCTCCAATGGAAAAGCAGATCGCTTGGCGGAGACGGGCAGCAACTATCCTTCGATTGCCTCATCACATGCCAAGGGAAGCAACGTGGAGATCCTCACCTTTGATGGGCCAAATGATGAGAGATGTCCCTACAACTGGAGCCCTTCTCGCAAATGGCTCGTGGCGTCAATAGCCTTGCTTGGCACACTTACCCTACCTCTGTGAGTATCGCGGGGAGATTCTCAGGGCGACACGTGCTGATGATGTTCTCGTCAGAAACGGAACCTCAATTACGGTTGCTGCAGATGAGATCAACGCTCAATTCGGCGTGAGCGATACGTCCACCTTCACCAACAGTTATTGGACTGTCACAAGCTGGACTCTAGGCRGAGCTGTCTTCATCATCGTTGGTCTTCCCTTGATGGAAGATACTGGTGTAAGAATAGGCTACCTAGCCAGCTACATTTGCTTTTTCCTCATGGTCATTCCCCAAGCAGTAGCGCAGAACTTTGCAACCTTGGTGGTGACTCGTTTCTTCTCGGGCGGTTTCGTTGCACTGCTAGCCAATACGATTGCCAGTATGATTCCGGATCTGTGGGAGGGGGATGCAGCAAGAAGTCTCCCAGTTGGCCTCTACATCCTGTTCGTTTGTTGACGATGCAACTGTGTCGAAACGATTAGCTAACGATGCTGTAGCTTCTTTCTCGTGTCGAGCACGCTGGGACCTCCTTTATTCGCCGGCGTCGTGCAGTACACCAATTGGAGGTGGATCTTCTACATCCAGCTCATCCTATATGGCGCTCTGTTCCCCCTGTTCTTGTTCTTCGTCAAGGAGACGCGTCACCACATCATCCTCCGCCAACATGCCAAGGCCATTCGCAAACAGACCGGAAAGCCAGTGTACAGCGCCGAAGAGGTCGACTCCCCACCCCTGCGTACGAGAATGTATGAAGCCGTCACGCGACCCGGAAAACTCCTCTGCACCGAACCTGTACTCATGTGCTGTACACTCTGGTCGGCGTTTAGCTTCGGCACCGTGTTCTTCTTCACTCAATCAGTCGAACAGGTCTACCAAGGCCTGTACGGATGGTCGGAATTCCAGTGCGGATATGTGCAAGGTGCTGTAGTGATTGGCGAGATTCTGGGCTGGGTTGCATCTCTCTACGGATCACACCTCTTCCTCAAGTCTGCCGAGCGCAACACCGAAACTCCCGGACGGCCCATTCCAGAAGCCAGACTCTACGTCTCAGTATTTGGATCCTTCTTTGGCATCACCGGCGGCATGTTCGTATACGCATGGACCTCCTATCCCCACATTCACTGGATCGCCCCAACAATAGGCCTAGCCATGGTTGGCTTTGGTATTCAAATCGTCGTTTCAGCCGTCGCGGACTACGTAACAGATGCGTATGCCGACTCTGGCGTAGCCGGCTCAGCGATCAGTGCAGTCGCTGCTGGTGAAGATGTCGTAGCCGGCTTACTTCCGCTGGCGACGCAATCAATGTACAAGACATTGGGTTTCAATTGGGCCAGCACTCTTCTTGGACTCATCGCTCTGTTGATAAGTTTTGCGCCCGTGATTTTCATCTGGAAAGGACAGCAGATCAGAGAACGAAGCGAGTTTATGAAATCAGCGGGAAAGAACGGGTTGCGAAATAGTGATGAGACGACTTTGTCAGAAAAGTGAGGTAGAGACTGGAAACAACAGTGTCATTCAATGTTCATCAGAGAGACGTCGATCAAGGATGGGAAAGCATATTAGTGAATCTTCTAATGATGAATTGTATGCGTACAGCCAAAAGCTTCATTTCTCGGGCCAACCAGGTCCGTCATGCTCAGCCAGTTCCTTGTTGGTCCAATCCCAAAGCTCATCCGTCAACTTTTGACTGGTCGCGTTTTGCGTGCGGTATTTATTTATCCCAACCGGTTCATAATACTCTCCGTTCTTGATACTGCTTTTCTCGGCAACTGCAGTCCAGAGACCACTTCTTGCCCCCTTTTCCACCGAAACTGCCGTGAGCCAAACGACCAATTTGGCAATAAGATTCAGTATCATGCTGACACCATCTGCTTTCTGCCAGATTTCGCTCTTCACGGTCCCCGGATGATGGCTCGTTGTCGTGATTTCAGGATATACTTGTGCCAATTTACGTGCGAAGAGAATGTTTGCCAGCTTTGAATGGCCAGAGCGGGCCATTGGACTCATAGACTCCGCTGTAGTTTTCATCAAGTCCAGTTGAAGACCTTTTTTGGGCGCCAGTTTGTGGGCACCAATACCCGTCGTGACCAGTACACGTACATCTGAATCTGGAAGCTTCTGCGTGGCGAGTAGCGTGGGCATCAAGAGCTGGGTGAGGAGAGTGTGGCCGACGTGATTGATGCCAAAATGAGCCTCGAATCCATCTTCTGTGAGACTAGGCGCTATACCAGCAACACCGGCATTAAGGAATAGAAGATCAAGGCGAGTGCTCATGGAGTCAAATTCTGCCGCGCATTTCCTGATGCTGGCAAAAGAGGACAGATCCAGTTGCAGGGGYGTGATTTTCGCATTCGGATGTTGCTTGTGAATGGAGTCGATGAGTGCTTGTGCAGCGGGCATCCTTCGCGCGCAGAGATATATGCATTCTGGATTGTGAGCTGCTAGAGCTCTGACATATTCGGCCCCGATTCCCGCGTTTCCTGGCAGCTGTTAGCTCCTCATTCGCCATAGAATGGATCAAACATGCCTCCTGTGACGAGGACTACCTTCCCTTCGAGRGAGGGAATGTCTTTACTGAGATTGAACGCGACCATCGCGTGGGCAAAGTTGGCTGATGGCAGTGATCTCAGTGCGCGGATGGAAGACGTGTGCAAAGTGAGAGAGGGTGTAATCTAGGGGCGGTTGACTCCACTCAAGTACACCTCTTGCTTCTTTCCGCGATTTCGCTTGCATGGCAGTGCTATCTGTACCATCCTCCTGGCCGCGACTTGATTGGCTGCACCCAGGCGATGCTGAGAAACGACGGAGTGGGAATCAGGTCAATGCCGTCTCATCGCCATAGAGCCAAGAGCAGCGCTGTGCAAAGTACCCGATCCCGCTCTCAGACTATCAGTTCGCGATTGGATTGGTCGTGATGCCTGTCTTTCTCCCACCATAGCCCGGGATGTAGCCGGCCGGGTCGCCAAGAGCCCAGGGGTCGACCCATGGCCGCTGAGAGTAGGAAGTTACGTCAGAGGAGGAAGACGATGTTTAATGCAGAGGGAGTAGCGGGCATTAATTCGGTGCACGGAAATGTCGTCCTTTGCCCGTTCCGTGAGTAGATATGTCACATTGTGCCAGATGTAGCCAACGTTGCCCATCCGTGTGAAGTCAGTCCTTTGGGCATTCGGGTATCACCGTGCAAATGAGCAATGTGGAGTATTGAGCATAGAAGTAAATGATCAGGTTTCGAAGACATACCACTGCATCCTAAGCTGCTGGAGCAAATCAGCAATCAGCGACGGTATCTTGAACCGCGTTTTACATCCACTCAAGGTTCGACATTGCGAAATATCAACTAGAGGCTCGCGCCTCGCGATAGGTGGTCGGATCCGCGCCGCCAATGTTGAGTCGGTGGTCGGATTCTCACTGCTAGTGTCACAACGGTGGTCGGTTTTGCGCTACCAAAATCGCGACAGCAGTCCGTGCGTTGTACAAGAGTTGAAAAGAGGGGGATTGGCGCGTATTCAGATGGACGGCGTTTTCGTCACTGTAACCAGTCATCATGGTATAGCACAGCCAAAGCATCCTACTCGTATCCGTCAGGTACGGGCGCTGCGTTGACTTCTGCGATGGATATCTTCCAATGGATGATGTGTCTTGCAGAGGAACGTCCAGTGAATGCCACCCTTCGTTGGCCAATCGCGAAATGGGTTTCGAAGGAGGCGTTCGGTCCAAGCAGCTTGTCAGATCGTCGCTTCGGACCGTGCTTGCGACAGACGAGACTCAGGAGGCCGAAGTACCCCTGGAAAATGGTATGTGGATACCTCGCGGCCCGGCGCCAAAGTTGCGGGATCGCGGGCTGATGTTAAAGGCACATTAGCATTACATTCGAATAATCTATCATTCCAGTGCGCATGTGCACAAAACGACAGGTCCATTCCCCCCAAGCTCCGCGCTCAAAATCGAAACCATCAATCAACTGCACTTGATTCCTTCAACGGTGGACGCCCACCAATCGCTGTGCACATTGAATGAGATCGTCAGCGTTCAGCTTGCTTGACAGATTCCTCCACGGCTTGCTGGACATCCTCTCCAGCGTCCCTCGCTTTTGCCACTACATCCGCGGCCTTCTCCGCTGTGAAGTCCACAATGGCTCCAGATTTGCCCTGGTCTCTGTCAGTTTCGGTACTCGCATATCGCATTTCACGCTCACGTCCACGTCAAGCGTGTTCCGCTGTCTGCTTTTGGGGGATTGAATACTTACCATAGCGTCCGTGTCCTCGTCTTCTTTACGCGGGAACCAGGGGATGGAGTCGCTAGACTCTGTCATGCTATACTCAGCCTTGACGCCTGGTCGCAGATCTTGACTGGCCTGCATGATGTCGTCTTGCTTGGAAGCAGACTCGGTTGCAGGATCAGAACCAGAAGTGAGCGCGCTCGCATTCAAGTCTTCTTCTGCTTTGAAACCTGGCCGTGCAGCTTGTGAGTCTGCTAGAACCTTCTCCTGCGTTTGGGCAGACTCGCTCGCATCKCTGGACTCAGACTTGATCATAGACGCATCTGCCAGCTCTTGCGACTTCTCTTTCAGGCTCTCGGCTCCGTTGTTGATCGACTTCTTGGACTTCTCTGACAGATCTTGCGTCTTCTTTTGCGCCTTCTGCGAAAGATCTTTGGCCTTCGTCTGAGCCTTCTCCGATAGTTCGCCAGCCTTCTGCTGGACAGACCTCGCCTCCTTTAGCGTGCCATCTTTCAACGCCTTCATGTCTTTGCGGAGAATCTCATCTTCGAGCTTGGAGATCTTGTCCTCCGCTCTTCGGCCGGTCTGTTCAATCTTTTCCTCGGTCTTAATCTTCGCTTCTTTGCCAGAATCCCGTGTCTGCTTAGCAGCTTGTCTGATGTTGCGAGGCTTACCATAGTTGGTGTACGCGCGGACAAAGAATCGTCCAAAGAGCCAGGTTAGGGGTGCAAGGTAGAAAAGGTTTAGGTAGATGGCAAAAGCTTCGCCCGAAGTATCAATGCAGTTGACTTTGGTCAATTCTGTACGCCACTTTGTCTCATACGAAGGCTCCGTACGCTCATTAAACGCCTGGATCTGTTCATGAATGATCTCGTTGAGTGGCTCGCCCTGTTTGTTCGTTACGTGCTCTGCAATGCCCTCTTCTCCGATGGCCCGCAAGATGATCTTCTTGGCGAGAGCGAGCAGCGTTCCAGAAGCAGCTGGCGATTCGATCACTTTGGACGCCGTCGAGGAGGCCGCAGAAGCAGCAGAGCTGACACTGGATACCGCGGCTTTTACGACAGAGGCTACCTGGTACGGTGTGGCGATTGGCACATCATATTTGATGAAGAGATGAGCGGCGGCGTAGGAGGCTCCCCAGATGAATTGGGCGATTTGCATCGTGGTTAGAAGTCGCTTGAGAGGGGTTGGAACGCGAATTCCAACAGCACTTATCGTGAAGTAAGTGTACTTTAGCTTGGTCAGCTCCCGGTCAATTGTTCGGATGTCATCAGCGACTTACCATCAAACCGTGAATGAACGAATTGACGAATACAAACATCCAGATGGGGGGACTCATGTAGCGAATGCCAGCCCACATGCACAGCATGGCTCCAGCATGATGATATGTCTGCAGAGTCGCGCTGCGCTTGCCCTTGGAAAGAATGATCAAAGTGTCCAAGACCTCGTAGAACTTGCTGACGTAGAACATCCAGCCCCAGAAGGCCAAACCCTCATTCCACAGGCGGCCCACATCCATGGGGTCTGGGTTACCATCATACCCCAGCTTGATAGCAGTGTTCTTCACCTCCCAGATGTTGACTGTTGCATTGTACGTAGCAGCGTCACCAAGTCCTCGCGGACCGTGAATCTTGCAAAAGGCATCGGCGACTCCGGCTAGGCCTGTGTTGCTACCGGCTTCGGGCCATACCTGGATAGCGGCGCGAAGCATGGCGAAAAAGGTAGCGGCGGAGTAAATTGTAAGCAAAGCATTGTGGGCAACGACGAAGCGCTTGAACAGCGGTGACCTGGATATGGCCCATGGCTTGTGGTCGCGACGCTCATTGTAGGCGTTGAGGTAGAGAACGCTGACGACGTATATGCTCGCAATGGTAATGGGAACTGCAGGATGTAGTGCAGCGTTGAACAGGTCCTTGTCGATGCCGAATGGCGAGCGGAATGTGCGCTCACCGATGGGCGGCGGCAGCGCATTGGGACGCGTCAGTGGCCAACCAAAGGAGAAGGAAGGCGGCGTGGTGAGGTGCACATGCGGTCCGACATCTCCGCTGCTCAATTTCCAGTCCATGGCGCGCGGACAATCTTCGTCACGGTGCGTTGATCGCAAGTGCTCTAATGCAAGGTTCTTATTGTTTCAAGCTCGCGCGGGCCGCGCAAGGTCGCTTTTGTAGTTGCGCCAAGAGTCGCGGTGTGTCACTCCGCGTCGTGAATTATTGAAAAGTTCGTCTGTCGAGAGGGTCGTTGAAGAGGATGTAAAAGTTGACAAGAAAGGCGCGTCCTTCGCTCGTCCCAACATTTCGTACCTGCCTTGGAGCGCGCTAGGGCTACCAGCTTTTGAGATCAGACGGGATCAGTGACGTCAGGTCGCGTCGGGAAAGTTTAATCGACTGTACACAGCATCATCACATCGCTTTCACAATCACGCATTACTTTTCTGGTCACATTCCAATTTTCATTCCCAAGTCGTCAGCTCAAACAAGATGTCACAAGGACAAAAGGCAGCCGATGAGATCAAAGGGGGCTTCAAGGCAATCGGTGTATGTGATAGCAATAGACATAATGAAGAGATCTGCTGGCTAACCAGGTCAAAGGATCTTGGCGAGGGCATTCGAAAGAATGTCAACAGTTTCGCTGATAATCTCGCTGATGGAAAGACACACGAGAGTACTGGCTTTTCCTCGGACGCAAAGGCTGCTGGCGAACAAGTCAACAAAGGGCTTGAGAATGCAGGGAAAACAGGCAATGTAACGACGGGAACCACTTATACCAAAGATACCAGCGGCTCGCATTGACCAGATCGAGCTATTGTAAGATTTCAGCGAAGATACAGTTCAAAGATCCTTCACAGGCGCATCTCCCTTGACATCGCCACTTCCATACTTTCTCACTTCCTCCTTTGCAGCACCCTTATCCTTCTCGAAATACGCCACCTCATCGCTCGACATGATCTTGCTGACGTTATCAGCCTGCCACTTCTTGAAAGTGAATCCTGGGCCCTCGTGACTGTAGTCCTTCTCGTTCGCTTGGTCTTTATGATATTTCACTTGAATGAAATCGCTGTCCACGGTCGCCGGATCCAAACTCAAGCTCACCAGCGCGTTTATCGTTGCGGTCTTGGGAATGAGTTTGAACGTCCACGATTGCTCGTTCTTGAATTGAATGAGATTTGGCTCGTTGACGACAATTTCGTAACCCTCGTTCTTGGAGGCTTTGAAAAACTTGGGCAGGGCGAACCATTGGCCAGCCATCTTGTATCTGTCGTTGGCATAGACAAATTGATCATCGTAGACGCAATCTGGCGTGTAACGCTCGACGCGTTTGACGGTAGGCTCGCATGAGTACAAGGCGATGATATCGTCGATCAATGATTGGCGTGCTGGACTCAGCGGCAGTGACTTCGATGGATCGGGATGCCAATCATCGGTGGAAGACGTTTGTCGGACCTCATGCTGTTCTCCTGGGGCGTTGCTGGACATGATCTAGTAAAGCGTTGCGAGAATCTTGAAACTTGGTGTGCGACGATGAAAAGATAAAGAAATGTGGAGGTATCGAAGCAGATATCTAGAACGCAGAGAGGCAGTCAAGAGATGGATGGCTTTGTATTGTAACCACATAGAGGGAACGAATGGAACATACCTCGCACGCTGGTGACGTAAATGATGTCGTGGAGTGCGGTCATCTCCCGTCTGGATCAGCTGCTTACTTTGTATGCGGCGTTGGGAACGCACAGTATGAGATAATGAGATCAAAATGACGAGGATGAGGTTCGACGTGACAAAGGATTGGGCGGCGGTGAGCGGCTTCACTTGGCGCAGAATTGCAGCGTTGCTTCACTTCAGGCTGAGACCATACACTTTCTTTCGCTTAACAGTGATATTGTTGCGTATTAGCCTCGTCGCTTGTCGTCAGCCGCTATCATTCATGGCATCTTCGCAGCACTCTCGAAACTCCCATGCAGTTGGATATGCTCTGGCAGTCTCACGCATCACTTCTTTCCAGAGAGCCAATTTTTTGGCTCGCAGGAAGCCAATGGGGGTCTCTGTACGTGCTGCGTCGAGTCCTTATACAGTCGTTAAGTCGTCATCATCATCTCCATTCATCTGGGAATCCATTGCGGTCAGGTTCACCATCACTTCTCCAGCGCTTGAACGGCCTCGTCAAAGTCTGCTATATCGTCTGATCTCCGTGCTGGTCCTCCCCACTTGATCATACCGTCTTCAGAGACTGCAAACGATCCTGCAGTTTGCCATCTACGCCATGCCAAAGACTATTAGAAGATGTCCTAAGGTGCTATAGAATTAATGTTTGTTACAACTCACCGGCTCCCACTTTCCGTTGGGCGATTTGATATGCCTTCCTTACTCAGGGTGTAGACACTTGATAGCGCCCGAGGGTCGAGGATGTGAGCCCAGCCTGACACACCCAATCCCTGTGGTCAAGTGTTAGGATGCGTAATAGGACAGAGGGTAAATTCGGCAACGACTGACCCATGCTGAATAGGCCTCCTTCTCGCTATCAACGATGATCCTCAAGTTTCCAGGCTCACTTCCGTGCTGTGGTAGAGAACTCAGCCAAGTTTGAGTGTCCTTTTCGGCAGAATGCGAGACCGCAATGAAATCAATGTCTCGATGGATTTTAGCTGCCTCTCGGATCCTAATAAAAGTCTTCTCGGCGAATGGGCATCCGCAGTGTCGTAGAAAGGTGATGATGGTGCGCTTGTTCGGCTCGAGTGTGATCAAGGGAGTGATTGGTGCCGGTTGTCCTATCTTGGGAGGCTCAGCTGTCTCCGGGTTGCTGGGAGTGAGCCATGAGTAGAACTCAGAAGTGATTGTCATCTTGCGATAGAGTCCGGTGGATTGATGCGAATGAAAATATGACCATGGATGTATTCAGTTCACACGGCATCACATGGAGAAACGGCCAACACGGCCTCACATCCTCACGATGGGGTAAACGAAGTGACGTCATGCTACTTACTACACTAAAATACCTTTAGTTTCGTGTCGTCGTAGAACGATGTGGTGGTGTTAAGGACATTTCTTACTCAAACCGCAAGAAGTTCACATGGCAGGCCGACATGATATTGCCGGCTCCGCTCCTCCAGATACACCACACATACCTATAAGGTTGAACTCTATCGGCCTTCCCCTCTTGTCACGCCATCGCAGCCCAAGATTCGCGACATTGTGTGAATACATATGTACCATAGAGTATCAGCAGGACAGCATGCAGTTTGGATGAGTAGTCGAGGTGTGTATCTGATCATTCAACCGCAATCCCATTACAGACATGGCATCCCTTCGCTCTATCATCCCTCGTGTGGCCAAACCAAGCAGAATCGCAGCGAGGACTTTCACCACGACGATTGCAAGAAGACAGACGATTCCATTTGAGGTCCGCGGCGTGGGAAATGGCGTTTCCCAAGATGTCTCTGTGAAGGGCTCCTCGCACCGAATCAATACAGACGCATACCCTGCGTTCGGCGGCAAAGATGCTTCTCCATCGCCTCTACACTTCAATTTGACGGCGCYGTCTTCTTGCACGCAGGTCACTGGTTCTATAGTAGCCAAAGATCTGGGAATCGAGCTGGGCAAATGGGATGTTACAGTGGGAGGCCAGCTGGATCCCAGCGTTCTGGTTGGGGGTGAGGAAGGAAACGCGAACTGGAAGGCTATTAGTTTGGGTGTAAAGGTTGAGAGTAATGCCGGAAAGGATGAGTTCGAGAAGTTTGCCAAGGAGACGGAGAGGAGATGTCCTGTTACCCAGTTGGTACGTGATTTCGGGATCCACGTTTTCTGGTCATCGTGCTCGATTCTGACTTCATCGCAGTTTAAGCGGAGTGGTGTTGAGTGGAGTAGCGACTGGCGAAACGCGAACAAGTGAGGTGCCGACCATCTGCTCGGATATATCAAGGGTAAGATGTCATTCGTTGTCTGTGCGAATAATCTGGGATGCCAGAAGGCAGCTTCAGAGTCCTGCAGACATCCGTCTATCGCATAAAATTGTGCCGGAGATTGCATCGTCGGCCCGCGCGGCTTCTCTGCGGCAGACGATCCGCGACGATCAATGCTTGTTTGACTCCCAGCTCCAACTTTGATTCTCACTTGTACATAAATCCCACAAATGACGAGCTCAGTACAACCGGGCTGTGGGCAGCATGCGCCGAGTCTCCGACCCTGACGGCAGGATCAGAGCAGGTATTCGAATGACAACGCACAGACCCAGACAAGCTCAAAGACGCCAGTATGAGCGGACCCACCTTCCGGCCCTCAGATATGCTTCAACCTCAGATAGCCTAATGGAACCGCACATGTCGTTACCACTCCATCAACTGCCGTACTCACTCTTCGACAACTCCAGATCTGTCCCAGTACCCAAGCGCTGACATCTTGCGCATTGTTTCGCCGTGCCTCACCTAGATCGAAGGCCGGCTGCCAGATGCATTTCGGAAGCGGTAGATTAGGATCCCGCCTCACAGGAAATGCATCAATCATCTGGGATCGGAACTGACTCGCGCCGCCGACTTCCGACCTGCTGAAGCTGTCCCGCCTTGGGATGCAACTCAAATAAGACTTGMAATGTCATCTTCTTCCCATCTACAATTTCTTCGTAGATTTTGAATATTCGTCAAGAGATACACCATGACTCAATCACCCGACTATGGCAACCGTCTGCTTAACGAAGTCGTCACTCGATTTGCCCATGATGAGCCCAGCAAAACGTGGATCTCCGTTCCGCGACATCCAACGGACTCAACTCAGGGCTGGGAAGACGTATCCTTCGCTCGCTGTCTGGCTGCAATCGATTACATGGCGTGGGAGCTGGAGAAAGGAATCGGTAGAGGCACCGGATCTACCACAATCGCATACGTTGGTCCGAACGATTCCAGATATTGCATCTTTTATCTTGGTAAATCGTTGGAGCTCATCTAGCTACATGCCTCCCGCTAATCATTCTCGGTACAGCCGCCATAAAAGCTGGATACACAGTATGTACCTCTTGTTCATCGTTGAATCGCTTCACTTCTCACACTCTTAGGCTTTATACATTTCCCCTCGCAACGCAGTCGAAGCTCAACAATCCCTTTTCAACGACACAGACTGCCAGTTCCTTTGCCACTCTCGAGAATTCGAACAGGCCGCGGGGAAGTGGACGACCGGCACTAAGGTAAAAACTTTCCTTATGAGCGAAGAGGGCCAATACCTCAACGCCAAGGATGTTCCCTTGCATCCATTCAAGTCAAAGCCGGCCTCGGAGTGCGCTATGGAGACGGCCGTGATCCTGCATACCAGCGGCAGCACCTCATTGCCAAAGTATGCAAAATATCACCAACTGCCGAGGATCTGCTAACCTTCAATAGACCCATCCCGTGGCGACATGGCGCTTTGATGGCCTGCGACGCCTCCAATGGTGCTCCACCTAAGCAGGGTCGCGAGCAGAGTTTCAAAGAAATGATGTCTACGAAAAGGATGTTCATGACAAGTAGGAATGACTTATCGACTTGCGAATTGTCTCTAGTTACTTACCATGACACTAGTGCCTATGTTCCACGCTTCCGGAATGTGTTGCGGTGTAAGTAACTACTTGCCTCTGATAATCATACTATTGCTGATGAGTACGATTTGCCATTGCCAGGCTGTATTCTCTGTCTACGGGGTATGCTCTCGCTATCTCCAACTGACTACTCAACGCTAACAAGGCTGGCTAAAGGAAGTGGTGATATGCATGCCGCCATCCGGCAGACCAGTGACCGTGGATGTGGTGATTGAGGGACTCCGCTACTCTGGCGCCACGGCCGTCATGCCACCTCCATCAGTGTACGAAGAGCTGGCCGTCATTCCAGAGGCATTGGAACTACTGAAGCCTCTCGAAATGGCGTTGACAGCTGGCGGTTAGCGTCGAAACCCACTATGTATTGTCGAGAGCCTCTGCTGACCGTGCTAGGWGCTATCGCGTCCCATCCAGCGACCCTCCTCCGAGAAGCCGGCATCAAAATGGCCAATCATATTGGGTCTACTGAAACGGTACCGCTGGGATTACTTGAAACCACACCAGAAGAGTTTCCATGGTTTGCATTTGACGACGAATATACGGGCATCGATTGGCGTGATGCTAACGTCCCGGGTCGAGAAGTGTATGAGATGGTCATCGTACGGAAGAAGGACTGGTCAAAGCAAGGCGTCTTCTGGAATTTCCCAGAGTTGGACGAGTACAGGACGAATGATCTCTTCGAAAAGCATCCCACGACGCCGATGCTTTGGCGTACGATTGGTACGTTGATGATTATCATATGTAAATGCGATTTCGAAACTAATGCGGGAATGCAGGAAGAGCCGACAATGTCATCGTCAGCATTTCCATTGCTCAATCTTGCTTGTTGTAAGATGTTCTGACACTGCTGCTTTCAGGTCTTTTCGAATGGCGAGAAATTGAGTCCGGGTGAATTCGAGGGCAAGGTTTCGGGGCATCCAAAGGTCAAGGGTGCATTGGTTGTGTGAGTTGCCTGGGTGTTGGTAACATTTCTTTGTGAGTGTACTGATTGGAGTTCCAGAGGATCCGGGAAGTTTCAAGCTGCAATCATCATAGAGCCCCGCGAGGATCCAGAGAGCTCAGAAGAAGGAGAAAAGTTGATCGACGAGGTGTGGCCAATAGTTTCCGCCGTCAATCAGACGACTCCGACACAAGGACAGATTGGAAGACAATGTATTCGGCTGACGACGCCAGGAAAGCCATTCCCGCGTGTTCGTACTCCCATCGCCCGTCCCAGTTTCTAAATGCTGACCCTATTTAGGCGGGTAAAGGTACGATCCAACGCGGTGCGGCCGTCATTCTGTACAAGGATGAGATCGAAAAGTTCTACGAAGCGCTGGAAAGCTCCGTGCCGGCGATGGAGTCTTTCGATACGGACTCTTTGGAATCCTTCACGGCATCCGTCGTCAAGKCCTTCAATACTACCCTTGCAGGCGAAGGAGCAGGACATCTCGAGGCAGACTCGGACTTTTTTGAGCTTGGCATGAATTCGCTGCAAGTGCTCACTCTGTCGAGGATTCTCAAAGCTGGGATTTCTCAGTCGGACCTTGAACTGGACGAGGCGAAAGTGGCGCCACGAGCCTTTTACAATCTTAACACCACTAGGCGCCTGTGCACTGCTTTGTACAACCCGTCTGATGCCCAAGCCGAGCATGTCTCTGTTGAGGCAGAGATGAAAGCCATGGTGGACAAGTCCGTGAACTTTCATTCCTTGGCTGCGGACTGATGCTAACATGATTTTCAAGGTATACCAGTGGACTCCATACCCTCGATGCCGCTCCTAAGACCGACTCTAAACGATGCGACAAGATGACCATCACGGTCACCGGCACTACGGGTGCATTGGGCTCATACCTCCTCCATTTCATGATCCTCGACCCCAAGATAAAGAGCATCTTCGCCATTAACCGCACTGAAGATGCAGCTGCACGACAAAAGGAACGCAATGATAGTCAGGGACTCTCTACCGACTTTAGTAAGGTCAGTTTCGTCAAAGCAGACCTCTCTCAGGACCGGCTCGGACTGGATGAAGCAACATACGCCATCATTCAGCGCGAGACAGACCGAATCATCCACAACGCGTGGCCCGTGAATTTCAATTGGACACTCACTTCATTTGAACCGTACGTCCGTGGAGTCCGCCATCTCATCGACTGTTCCGCAAACAGCGCGAAGCGGCCAAACATTGTCTTCATCTCGTCCATCGGCACAGTCGGAGGCTGGGATTCCGCCGATCCAGTCCCAGAGGCTCCGCTTGGAGATTTCAAACTTGCTCAACCAGGTTACGGGCAGAGCAAACTCGTCTCCAGCTCGATTTTAGATGCAGCCGGAGAGGCTGGAGTCCCCAGTACTATCATTCGGACGGGCCAAATTGCCGGACCAACAACTACTCAGGGAGTGTGGAACCGGCATGAATGGCTGCCCACAATTGTGAAGAGCTCTCTCTACTTGGGTGTTCTTCCCAACGGGCTTGGTTCGAATGGTGACGCGATTGACTGGAGTCCCGTAGACCCACTGGCGAAGTTTGTGCTGGAGTTGGGGGATTCGCAAGGCTACTTCCACGGCGTATGTCCTCGAATCACCACGTGGGCAAAGCTGGTGCCTGCGTTGCGAGACTTCTACGGCGAACGCATCAAGAAGGAGGTGTCGTTCAAGGAATGGCTGGGGCTCTTGAAGGAAAGTGCAGTCAATGCAGACGCGGTGAAGATGGCGGAGAATCCCGGCATCAAGTTGGTGGACACATTTGAGGCGTTTGCGGCTGGAGAAGGTCGTACTCCGAAGCGGTTTGCGACTGAGCGGGCGTGTGAGGCAAGCGCTACCCTCCGTGACTTGCCGGCTGTTACCCCGGATTTGATGACACTCTGGGCGAAGCAGTGGGCGTTTTGATGATGTGCTTCCATTCAGAGCAGAACCCTCAGTCCCAGTCTCCACCTCAAACTCGATATAAGGTACATATACATGGAAGGATTTGCGCTTCTTTCATCTACTTTCCATCAGTCTTTCACATCGCTCACACTGTTACTTGCTCCCATCATCATCTGACTGACAGGAAGATGGCTGCCGGAGCAGCACCCGGAGCCGGGGAGGTGGAACAATCTCCACGTGCCGTCCAGATGAGGTGGGCAAGAAGAAGAATAATAATGAATGGCACCTCCACGCACGCGCCATAGTTTTAAACGTACCGCACACGCCGCACACACGCCGTACACTCCGGATCATCACAGGGTCTCAGGATTACTCACACCGCCCGGCCGGCCCGCAAACAGCACCCTCCATTTCCATCCGCGGAGTCAGGTCGGCGTTCGCACGATTATTGGCATTGCATTGTGCCACCACGAGACATTTTGCGAATGACCAGCGGCCGTGACATCCGTAAAACCACATGTCCCCGGGATTTTGCCAAAAGGTTGCGGGCGGCTTATCATCAGCGGTGCGTGCAGGCTGATGATAAGCCGCTCGCTCGCTCGCGAAAACGCCGAGTCTGGAGAAAGGAATGGGGTGAGTAATACCATGTGATCTTCAATTCTGCTTCCATTAGAACTACTCAATGCCTGTACTTTCATGTCACATTTCTGTTTGACCTTACATCGATTCAAAGACTTGAAGTTGTCTTCTCCTCCTCCCTACGAGGTTCCATCACAACAAAGATGATCTCCAAACTCCCCAAAGAAAGAATCCAAACCACGCCTCAGGTCTACCTACGATGGGCAGTTCGAGATGACATTCCAGCCATCAGCAGAATCCTCCACCGCAATTTCCTCGTGTTTGAATTACATGATCACACAGCTCCGGAGAGAAGGGAGAGGCCGGAGGAATTCTACGTGTTTACTCTCAACCGCGTCCGCAAATTCTTCGTGCAACCCGGATTCCGATTCATGGTAGCCGAACGACGAGATCTAGGACTTTCCGAGCAGAATCAGAAATCCGAAATCATGGGATTCGCAGGATGGGAGACCCAAGGTCGTGAGAATCCCCTCACAAAAGAATGGTCGCAATCAGACGGTGGCTGGCTCACACACATTGAACGCCAGCTCATCGATATTGAAATCCTTCATCATCGATATTTCCAAAGCGACATTTTTGACTACGGAGCTTTCAAAAAGATTATAGATGTGTTGCATGCAAGCTACGAAGATCTAGAATGCCTGCGATCGAATATCCACTTGCAATTCCTCTTCGTCGATCCCGCGTGGCAAAAAGGACATGGGGTTGGAAATAAGCTACTTCAATGGGGATTGGATGTATCAGATCAGCTCGGCGTGCCCGTTGTTCTTGAGGCGAGTTTGGCTGGACATGGTTTCTACCTCAAAAAGGGATTTACATGCCATGCAAAAGTCCTGATCGATATCAAGCCGGAAAAAGCGTATGAGACGCCTATTATGATCTATCAGCCTGGAGCGGGCTCTAGAAAGGCGATTGGTCAATGAAATTGGACTGCTGGGACGCCTGCTGGACGATGTGCCGAATGGAGTCATTCTGTGGAGTCCTGATTCCAAGACGCCTGGACGGGACGTTACGTGGTGCTGGTACTGGCTGTCAGGATTGAAAGGTAGAATAATTCCTTTTAGCGATTCAAATCTTGCGGCCCGCTGATCCCGAAAGCAGACTGTAGAGGTAGAAGTCCAGCAGTGGCACGCTTATAATACAGCCAAAGTATTCAAGTTATCAAGAGAGAATGTGAGCCTGCCAAACACTTAATTCCTTCCGAGGAAATCCAAAAAAGTGACAGCCAGACTTCCAAGACGAAAATTGCAAATTTTGGTTGCCAATTGTACGAATATTCGCCACGACCCGTCTACTACTTGACCTCAATGCGGCTCATCTTCATCTTGTGAGAAATTCTCTCTAGAACACAATCAGCAGGTCAAGAGCAGAGAAGTCATGAGGAACCCAAACCCACCTAGCCCATAGACTCTTCAATCGTAGTAATTCTCCTTTATAGAACCGCCACCACACCTGGTGTGAAAACTCGGCTTTGATACCTTCGCCTCCACTGGAACATCCTCCCGCACAAAAGACATGTAAGGACGTTGGTGAAGGAGACTAGGCAGGTGATGTACCTGGGATGAGTTAATAATAAGAAGACGTTCTATGCCTTGGCTGGAGAAACCACAAACCACTTTTTCCATTCCGCGAAGTTTTCGAGGATTCGATACATCATCTTTGCCAAATGTAATGTAAATAGGTCGTGTGGAGTTAGATTCCGCTCGAGCTTTTTCAAGAGCTGCCTCTCACTTAGAAACACTCCTTCAACTTTACCGTCTTCGAGACGGTCCGCAGAACTCGGCGAAAGGTGTGTTGCATTATGGTTTTCGTTGTAGAGAGACGACGCCTTGGTTTCCATCTTTTACTATATCACATTGTGTTCGGAGAAGAAGGACCGCGATGTAGATAGTAGATAGATTGGAGCTAAAAGTCGTCGAAGAAGGTTCACGCCATACTTATGGCAGAGATGACGCTGGTGACCCTGGAAATCATGAACATTCCATTTGTTTTTGTTCACGAGCTGGTCGAACATCCGCTGATCCTGATCAGTGTTTGATATCGTTTCTCATTTGCGTTGTTACAGCCGAAAAAGATCGTGAGATGCGAATACTATCCGCTTCCCGTCTTCGATAATTCGCAAAAGACCGCTCCTTTCCGAATTGGCCATCTCGATTTCATGTCAGAGTCGGTGTTGCGATCTTGTCCCATCTCACATAATCTTGAACAAGAACCAGCACGAAGTCAGACATGCGGTCTGGTATCTCTAACGAGGGACTCGGTGCGCCAGCCGCAATATGGCCACCATGTGGGCAGAACTCGCACCCCACCGCATGAACTCCAGACTCAGGCTTAAGTGTCTGCAATACATTCGAACATATGCCAAGAGCATCGAATGCTTGTCCGACCTTGGCCAAATGCTTAAATCGCTAGAATCATACCGTGCCGCAACATCACCATCCATAAGTCTCGGTGAACAAATAAATCCCCTGAGCGTTGGTACCCTTGTGTACCGCACGTTCATCCGCGAGGCTGGCGACATAGGTGCGACTTTCTGCAGCAATCGAGAGTCCTCCACATACAACAACAGCAGTCTCGCCTAGCGCCTGTTCAACCGCCGGGCGAATAATGGAATCGAGTGTCGGGCGTCCATGTCTTCTGCTCAAAACTGGAGTAGTCTGTCTTCTGGGGCTATGCCGTGACGGTGACAGAGGTGCACTATCGTTCTCCATTGAAGGGATGCTTGAAGTGCTCGATCGTTCCTCCTTTGAATCGCAGATGGCGCTGACAACAGCCTTCTTGGTCATGGTAGTCATCTCGACCCAATTGTTCGGGGGAGTAGAGCGAGTGACATGGATATGAATTTGTGATTTCAACTCCAGATCATGCGAATGCTCGATTAGCGCCTCCAGCTCTTCTCGAAACCAGCCGTAGTGATCCTCGGTGCGCACAATCCAGTGAAGCTCAATGTTCCGTACACACCCGCGCTCTCGAATCGCATCGTGAAGCAGTGGAACAACAAAGGCGGCCCCGGAAGAGCAAGCAATCAGTACTACAGTCTCGTAGTGCGATAGTCGGGGCGGAGTACCCCACGGACCGCTCACGAAAGCGCGACGACGACGACCGGTCCCAGCATCTTTCGAAGCTGCTTTGAAGACGCTGCGAGAGAAGCCCGAACGAGCCTGTATGAGGATGCTCAAGCTGTTCACAGTCACCCCACCAATATCTCGAGGCGCACTTGCGATGGTGAAGGGATGCGTCTCAAACACACGCAGGCTCGGGATGTTGAGATAGATGTGCTGGCCAGCGTTCCAAGAAAAGTCGACGTTTTGAACTGTGACCCGGGTGACATCTCCGGGCAGAGACTCTAGATGTACCGTGTAGCCAGGAACCTTGCTCTTCAGTCGTCCGAGTAGGTGAGTATTTTGAAGTACACCATGGATTATACGTCCACCCCAATCGAAAGCGAGAAAGGCGACCGATATCCAAATGTTATATCGGGCTTTCAAGGGTACGTGGACAAACAACAGCCAAAGCATCACTCCTGCGCCAGCGATATGCTGGACGACGAAAAGCTCATAGCTAAGTGCACGGAAGAAGCCAAATCCCGATAGTATCATCCACGTCAGAACACCCCAAGCTGCAAACCCCCATTTCACCATCGGCATAAAGCTCATCTGAGCAGTGACAATATCGTAAATCGCCCATGAGTGGTAGAAAAACGACCAGTGGACGACCACGGTCAGGAACAGTGTCCTCGCTGCCCATCGATGAAGCCAGTTGAAGCGTTCATAGCTGATACCGGTGAGCAGTGTGATGGGGTTCAACTTGCACGACAGCAGATACAGGAACGGAACCTGGGATACGGACACCCACGCGGCGCGGTATCCAACTTTTTCCCATTGATATACGTACTGCGGGTCGTCCTTCTGTATGATTGTGTTATCCCACAAGAACGAAAGAATGACGATCCAGTAGACTCCGAGGAGCAGCCATCGTCCAACGGGCAGTGGGGTGAAGTACCTGCTTAYTCTCCCCGTGAAGTACAACGGCTGTGGGTAGAGCAGCTCTCTGGTGACTGCGGTCGCTGTTGCATACGCCTGAGACAGCAATCCTGTTGGTCTCGATGGGATGAGTGCGCCTTTGCTTTGGGTATGCAGGCGCAATCTTTGCTTGACCTGTAGAGCATTCGCCGTTCGGATGGCAGCTAGTATCCCGACACAGGCAGCAATACCATACCAGTAGTGGAGTCCATAGTCCTGATCAGTCCAAGCGTTCCCGGAGCTGGAGGAATGTCCCGAGTGGTCCATGTCCATATCCATATCCATTGCGAATTTGACCGCAGAACCTCAAGAGAGGGTCCGATTCGTGATGAAGTTGCTGCTGTAGTATCCCAAGTGGCGCCGGTCAGGTGTGATTGCAGGCGAGGCGATAGCGGAAGGCGAGTCCTTTGTCATCATTGGCAGGGCACTGCACTGGATCAACTTTTGCTTCGTGTCACTCCGACGGGATGCTCCAATCAATCGCGGAGAGCGGTGGTGAGAGAAGCAGCTTTGAGCAAGATGGCGTTTCCGGGGGCCGGTCCAGGCTTCATTCCCTTGTCCTTGCCGAGATTTCTGAGCAAGTATCCCCACGAAGCTTGAAAGCCGGCGGGCGGCTTTCGGATGGAACCAGCATACAGGAGGTTGCCATCTTAAGATGCAATCTAAATTAACGTGCTGGCCATGCACTCCCCCCAGTCGTCGGGATAGTATAATAATAAACCATTGAATCTCGTCTCACCTCTGTTTTGAAACGGACCCGCCGAACCTCGTTTGCCATCACCCAAAAGCAAACTTTTAATCCAACTAAACAATCATCAACATGCGCTCCTTCTTGCTCGGTCTGGCCACTGCGAGCCTCGCAGCTGCTCACTTCCAGCTGAAATATCCCGCTGCGGGTTTCGACGATGATCTCGAGGGCACAGGCCCATGCGGTGGCGTAACACCAGTAGTCGATTCAGGCAGTCCAGAGATCACAGTCGACCAGTTCGCGGTCCAGGTATTACACTCCTTGACATCTTGCCATTGCATGCCGCTGAACCTGAAGCCAGATATTCACAAGCCATCCAATGGGCAACTTTTCCTTTTTCGCGACGACCAATGTTGCTGAGCCGTACAATTTCACAGAAATCGTACCATCCGTCAAGAGTACGTCGCTAGAGATCCTGTATTATTATCAATCGCATTCTGACAACTTCTCCAGCAACCGGAGCCGGAGACTTCTGCCTGACTTCCATCAGTCTTCCAAGCGACTGGGCCGGCAAGCAGGGCATTCTCCAAGTCGTTGACCAGGGACCTGACGGCGTGCTATACCAGGTATGTATTTGCTCTCTGCTACCTGACGCAGCCTTGCCCCGTACTTACTATCCATAGTGCGCACCTGTCCGCTTCGTCGAGGGAGCAAACAGCACAGCGGGACCATCCTGCAAGAACGCTTCGTCGTTCGCGGCAGAATGGACTAGCGCGACGACAACTGGCGAGGAGACAAACACCACCTCATCATCTGCCGGAGCGGCGACTTCGACTCCAGCCGGTGCGGGCGCTGCTCTCAAGGCCGGTGTGGGAAGTGTACTAGGATTTGGTCTTCTGGCTGCAGCTCTCGCGTTGTGATTGGCGTTATCACGCTCTGTGACGCAACACGTTGAATCTGAAATATTAATGGTGCTCGACGCGTCGTGCCTCCTTCATCACCTCTTCTCATGATGTATAAGTGATGGATGATGCAGGAAGGGAAAGGATCGCGAGCTCAAAACCTGAAAGCCGCCAACGGCAAATGCAGATCCCGTGAACATCATTCCGAGACAACCACACATTCGAACAATCGTAGGTGCACTTCAACCAGCGAGCAATGACCACGAACATGTGCAGTCGTTTGAAGTCGTTAAAATTGTAGAGAAAGAAGACAACACATCCCAGCGGGAGTTTCTATGCACAAAGCTGCGAGGCAGCATATCGTCAAACCCGTACTCCAAATTCCCGCCATGCGATCTGAGTTGCGTGTTGAGACATCGAAAACTCCACGATATGCTCATCCCATGCGTATGATCCGTGCGTGTCATCGGCCAAATATCGCTCAAATCGCCAACCTGCCATGCTGTCCTGCGTAATGCAGAAACGCCCGCTCCAAAGCTTTAACAACACGACCCGGTCCAAACCCGATCTTATCGGTTTTCCAAATCGTCAAGAGCCCTCGCTCGACTGTCGTGGATATAGCCGCTGCTAGCGGTGCTAGAGTTACTCTCACTCCTTGCAAATGTCACTCGGCGGGGCGTTGCTGAAAGGTCCATGGGTGTCTTCAACGGCGAAGCTTGCTGACTGGATGTGCTACTCTGTGGAGGATGCTGAGAATTGTGAGGCGAGCCCAACTGCCATAACGCTTGGAGAGCTTCTTGCTCGGCTGCCTTTGTTTGCGTCTCTGTCCTAATGGTTGGTGGACGACGCGGATGGTCGCTACTCGGGGTTCTTGGAGGAGACATGGCCGTGCTGTTGTAGCCCCCAGGCTGTGAGGATGAAAATTGAATGTGCGATTGCTGGCTGGATCCAGGACGGATGTCCAGTGCTGGCTGCAAGCTGGGTTGATAGGGTTGCTGCGGTTGGGAGTACTGCATGTGGTAGGTACCAGAGTGTCGTTTGGAAGGTGGCGCAGACACATCTTGCGCTCCTGTATTGTATATCCTGTCGTACATGGAGAGGTTGGCGGCTCCGTTGCTCAGTCTGCTGGTGTTGGGTCGTGATTCGACTTGCGTCATGCTGGCTCTGTTGTTACGGGCACGGGCGGCTAGATGCTCAACCTCGTTCAGTGATTTATGCTCCCAGCCGTGTTGAACTTTGAGGAACGCATATCCGAGACGTTCTTTGAGACTCGCTGCCAGCTCTCCAGCCCTGCTTCCCGACGACGCGGTCGATTCCCTTCGCGACCGCTGATCGATGGGATAATTGCTGCCCAGACTGGGTGCATTCTTGACGTGTCCATTGGCCGTACGTTTCGTCCCGACCGTGACCGGAGACGTTATAGACATGGGACTCGCCAGCGCTGAGTGGTTGTTCGCATGAGCAGAGCTGGGCTCTTCCGGAGTTAACGCTCGAGACGCGTTAGCCGCCGCGTCGTCGCGAGATAGGGAGGATGGGGAGGTAAGTTCGGTGTGTGTGGTCGCCTGAGTCGCCTGGGATACATTGCTGCTGACGAAAGACTCCTGCGAAGCGGGTTGGGACAGCGAGGGAGGCTGCTCACTAACGCGTGTCGTGGTCCGTCGCGCCTCGGGTTGCAGTTCGCCAGGATATGAAGGGGCGCGCGGAAGTTCGCCAGTGTATGTGGTCCTCGCCGTCATAGTCTCCATGGTGTATTTCTCCCAGTAAGTGGCAGCGGTGGTGGACTGGAAGGCGCGGCGAATGCTCTGCAGCGGTCCGTCTGACGTATTCCGTCGGTGTTGTCTTCGTCTCGCCTCAAGATCTCCACCAAGGTCCTCCAAGTCTCAATTTAACGCGTGGAAATCCACTTTCAACACGCGATACGATCACGACAACCGCGGCGACGCTGGGTCTGCTGCGATGTAAATAAACGACTGGAGGAGTACAATCGAATACCAAGAGTTGTGCGAGAGGGCAGCCGAAAGACAAAGCAAAGCCTCTTTACCATTCTGCCACAAGACGCAACTCGGTCGCGTCCTCGGACTAGTTCCAGAGCGCGTTGGCACGTGAGATTTGAGACACAGGCTCCTGTCAACTACTACCTACTACTTACTCCTACATGTCTTAATTCCAACTACACTGACGTGGACTCCGCTTCCCTTTGCAATTGTGTTGCCAGTGCATATTTGGTATCTAAACCTGCCCAAGTGCTTCTGGGGTTGGCCACTAGGTCGAGGCACACTAGGTTGAGGCATCGATCGATTGCAGCTGGAGTAGCCGTATGCAAGGTCTTCACACTAACCTCGAACCGGTCCCTAGCATCGTGACTTGCAACGATTTCAACATTCTGGCTGCTCGAGCAACTGGAGATGTCATCGCACCATAATTCCAAGATCGCCCGTGAGGTTGACAAGGCTGCATTATCGCCTGTGGCATGGGTTTCGGGAACATGCCGAGTGAAACGCCGAACGGCAGTTCACAGGTTGCTGTACCAGTCGCAAGCAGCGGTTTCCTGCTCCTCCTGCAAGCAATACCGGAACCAAAGTCAAGTAGAGCAATCTGGTCATTGACATGTTAGTCGTTGCAAGCGACGACTTCTACGCGCGTTCCGCCAACTCATATGTGTATGAATTAAGTTTAGGTAGATGGTGAGCACGCGACATCTGAAGGAAGCTCATCATCATCATCATCTCTTTACTGATCGCCAGCGCGACTGGCGCGACGCCTGCACAGGCGATGTTGTTAGATCGTCTCTGTGTACAGTACACGAAAGTTGGACCTCCGCTGCGTCGTCAAGGCGGACTCATGGAGGCTCATCGACGACGTCCTATCGGAGTGCCCTTCACAGTGCTTGAAGTCTTTCAAATGTTTGTGGAATCTGCGTCATACTTAGTTCCAGAGCTCCGTCGTAGTATCACGCGTTCCAGATCGAGTCGTTCTTCCCTCTTCCGGTGCTTACGGTCGTGCTGCAATGAGATGGCTCGCATGTAGATTGGTCGTCTTGTCAGAGTTGGCGGTAGTTTGTATCCAGCAGCGGTGAAGGAGTTGCATGTTGTGTGTCAGCTGCTCAAAGCGGAAGCTCAAAGTTGGACTAGAACCACTGCCAGCAACTCTTCCCTGCCCTGCCTTGCCCGCCCTGGCCTGGCCTCCTCCACCACCACACCATTTTCGATGCTCGAGAAAGGCCGGCAATGCACAGCCCGCGGGCTGCAGCACGACGACATGTCAACCTTCGAGTTCACACGCCGGCCCGCCGTTGTTTGCAGACCAAGACGGTGACGGCCCAGGCCATCAAGAAGCTCGTCGATCGGCCTCTGCATCCTCTCCAACTGTCCGATCTCTGCAAATATGGCCGACCACCGCTCGATGAGAAGGCGCTGATTGACAGCGCCAACTTCACCCTCGAGCTCATCCCCATCCGCCTCGCCCGCCGCATCCAGAGCCTTCGCGCGCTTCCGTATATTGTCGTCGCCAACCCGAACGTCAGCAAGATCCACAGCAACTATGTCCACTCGCTGTCGACGCTACTGCCATACGCAGAGACGCGCATCGAGAGTCTGGAGGATGAGATCCAGTTCACCGAAGTCATGGCCGACTTGGTCCAGACGCACAACAACRCCATAGCCGTCCTCGCACGCGGCTTCCTCGAGGCGAGGAAATACATCAGCAAGGARCATATTACACGATTTCTTGACGAGCATCTGAAAGCACGCATCGGTACTCGCCTAATCGCCGAGCAACACATTGCCCTACACTTCAGTAGCAAGGCGCATGGTCATCTAGAGTATCACCGGGACGATGAGGACGACTCCTACATTGGAGTCATCGATACCGCGCTGCGGCCCGCCGACATCATACGCAGCTGCGAGAATACTGTCGGCGAGATCTGCGAGCTCAAGTATGGCGTACGGCCGACGGTACACATTATTGGCAGTCCGGAGACCACCATCGCCCACATTCCAATGCACTTGGAGTACATCATTACCGAACTGCTCAAGAATAGTTTCCGTGCGACCATCGAGGCCGGGATGGAGAGGGAGCCGATCGAGATCACTATTGCTCCAACTCCCGCTGTCGAGGAGCAGACCGTACCGGCTGACCTCCAGCAGCAGCGCGTACCAAGTGGGGACCAAGGCGAAGTCAACGTGGATGTGAGTGCTCGCGACCGGGGGAAGTTCGAAGACATATCTACCGCTCGCCAGCCTGACCTCGCCGCGGCCGCCCACATTCGACCATTGGAGACACAGACATCCGGGGTAACGATCCGCATTCGCGATCGTGGAGGCGGCATCAAGCCAGAAGACTGTGCTAGCATGTGGGAGTATGGCTTTACGACCTTCAATGAGGATGAAATACTTGACAAGGTCAGCGGAGGAGGTGGCGGCGATATCAGTATGGCAGCTCTCGATGGTATCTCTGGCGGCGCCGGTGGAGGCAGCAGTCTGGCCGGACTGGGCTATGGACTGCCACTTGCGAGAGCTTATTCTCAGTACTTTGATGGCGAGATTGAGGTGCAGAGTATGTGGGGCTGGGGAACAGATGTTTATCTCAGCCTAAGAGGTGTTGGCAAGATGAAATAATGCCCGAGTTGTGTTGATGAGCAGATAGGCGCCGCCTGCGAGTAGGCACAACAGCCTTCAGCCGAAATAATACCATTCTTATCCATCACGCAGTGGCCCGATTTGTCGATCGCAACCATGCTGACAGACTATCAGCAAAACGAACGCCTCTGACCCCGCTCGAGCGATCTTGAGAAAACACTCACGGCGCAGCGTCTGTGCGGGAAGGACTGTCAGTTGAGAAGCTGAAGAGCAGACAGCGTTGAGATCTGTTGCCATTGGCCTCATGCAAGATACTCACGTTGACATCTTTGACTCGAACACCTGCTGACCCTTGGCCGCAAGTCATACTCTGCCGAAGTCCGTCATAGCCCTGACAGTAGCCGCTTAAGCAGCCAACCACGAACTATCGACCGCCGATCTTTCATCAAAAGGTTGCCAATGTGGGGTCTGGTTCAGAGTTTGAGTCGCGAACCCCTCCAACAAGTGAAGGACGAACGCGCTCATGCTCCAGCTTGGGATTGGACTGGAGCGATCGCCGGGATGGCCTCGAAGGGATCGTCTCGGTGCGGTGAGCAGAGCAGGATGCTCTAATGCAAGGGCAGCATCCAGAGAGGTATATAAGCGGGATATTTTTTGACTACGGCTGTCTTCGAAAATTTTGCCCCCCTCTCACACAAAACTCACACATTTCATTCCCAATGAGCAACAAAAGAAACTCCGTCACTATGGACAAGTTCAAGGCAATGCTGGGTGGTAAGAAGGAGGCGAAGCCTGCCAACAACACCACCACCAACACCACCACCGCACCTGCGACAACCACGACACCAGCAACCACCTCTACTCCAGCAACCACCACGGTACCAGCAACCACCAACACTCCCGCAACTACTACTACTCCAGCTACCACCACTGTCGTTGCCGGAACCACCGCTATCAAAGCCGAGAAGCCCATTAAGATGTACTCGCATGCAGGAGGACCCAACCCATGGAAAGTCGCCATTATCATGAACGAGCTCGGAATCCCTTACACCACGGAGCTACTAGAATTCGAGAACATGAAGAAAGAGCCTTTCGAGTCCGTCAACCCTAATGGCCGTGTCCCCGCGATCGAGGATCCAAACACTGGCCTTACGCTCTGGGAATCCGGAAGTATCATCCAGTATTTGCTGGAGACCTACGACACGACCAACAAGCTCAGCTATGCCACCGGCAAGGAGAAGTGGGAAGCATCTAACTGGTTCCACTTGCAGACATCCGGCCAAGGTCCTTACTGGGGCCAGAAAGCATGGTACGCACATATCCTTCTAATTGGAATTAATTGAAAACGTTTGCTGACTATTCCCTCCTTGTAGGTTCACTCTCTACCACCCAGAGAAGGACCTCACTTCCGTCCTTGATCGATACTCCAACGAAATCCGCCGTCTCCTCGGCGTCATCAACAGCCATCTCAAGAAGTCTGGCAAGCCATACCTCGTTGGCGACAAGGTGACTTATGCGGATCTCGCGTTCGTGCCGTGGCACTGGCTCGTTATCTTGCCACCTCACCTGATGGGTGCGGAGTTTGAGAAGGAGTGGCAGACCTCTTACCCCGAGGCTTGGGCTTGGAACCAGCGTCTCCAGGAGCGCCCAAGCGTCGTCAAGGCCAAGGAGGAGAGACTCAAGGCTATGGGAATGTAAACCCAGATCGAACAAGTCTGGACTGTTGTTGCATTGTTCTGCTATTTGCTTTCCTGCGTTGATATTTAGATACCACCAGAATGCAAGTTTGATTKTTTGGACTATGGTTACAGCACGGTGTCGCAGCCGAGTGTCCTTTGCTCAATGTCAAGTCACGCAGAGTCTCCGCTCTGCGCTATTCTTTCGTCCGCACCAAACACACCGAAAGCCAAAAGAGGAAGGAGATGACCTGCGAGTCCGATCAACGGAGAGGCGTTCCAACAGGACGGTCTGGTATGACCCTCACTGAGCATACGACATGATCGCCGGCTCCTCCTGTACCATCGTGCCCTTGATGAAACCCTCGACGAGGTTTTCGAGGAGAGCCGCGCTATCCTTAATCAACGAAAGCCGCATGTTCTCGGCTGTGACCCGAAAACAAATGCTCCAAAGGTCCTTCCGAACACGTGAAACGCTTGCTTGCCCATCATTGTTGAGAGCATCCAACGCGAGGCTGTAGGCTGCCGCAGAGAAGGTCATGGTGACGTGGGAATCCGGTCGTAGAGGACACAGGCTCTGGACTGAAATCACTGTCGCGCCAGGGAGCTGAGCATTACCTTCACTGGGTGTCACAATGCCGTCAAACTAGAAATCGATCAGTTGTCTAATCTGGATGATTGTTTGGGAGATGTCTGTTCACCTCTGTGTAGATTGACGTCGTCGGGACTTGAGCCTTGAAATCACCTGCGTGCAAGGCACTTTCGTATTTGCTTCCTGCACTCTGCTGCCAAACAGCTGCCTGGCACACTCCGGTCGAACACACTTTGGAAAGCAGACTGTCTCCCAGCTCGATACCCTCGAAGTCGGGAGAGAGGGCCACGAAAGATTTGWCGGCGTTCCTGGTGCTGGGCCAGAATTGTAGAGCCCATTGCGTGTCCGGGCCTCCTTGGCTGTGGGATATGACATCGATTGGCAGTCCAACAGATAATGTTGACAAGTAGAGCATGTTGTATGCCACATACTCGGCGTTGACTTGCATATCGTTCATTGCACGATCCGGGATGGTGAGATAGCAAGCTGTGTATCCGTCCGCCAGGAGTGCTGGAACATAGCTGTCTCCCCAAGATTCCTCTCCTGTGGTTGCAGTGCCATGCCTGACGCCATTGTTAGTGGTGCCTCACTCACTCGAATTTAAGTGAAGAGTCGGATGGAAGTTTTAAGCGAGAGGAATCTCGAGGCAGCATCCGAGCTGGAGCTTTCGACCACCATTCATGACTTACACGAGCAGTACGGGTGGTGATGCGACTGTGGGATTGCCATTGGGACAAGTCAAAGCTGAAGCCAACGACACGTCGTCAACGGAGAAAGGTGCATCGCCCTCGAAAGTGAAGCTCGGATACGTTCGTTTGACGATGGGCGAAGCCAAGGATTGGGCTGTTAGCAAGAGGAGCAGGAATCTGTGTGGTGACATGGTATTTTCTCGAAATGAAGGTGTTGAAACGAGTGTGATGAACAGTTTGAAAGAGTGTGGTGGAGAGAGTGGTGTGTTTGAAGAGAGCGAATGGGTTTGGACAGGATGTATTGGGAATTGACGAGCATCGAGTCGAACTTCAAGGCAGGCACATACTTACTCCTTCTCCTTCCTACCTGCTGCGTAGCCCTAGTCCAAGGGAGGTGCTTCTGCAGTGTTCCTAGACGCCGCGTTACGGCAGGTGATAGTGATCGTGGAAAAGGTCTTTGCGGACATGGATTGGTCGACGAGACTTGGACCAAAACGCGCCACGGAAATGGACATTGCTTGAAGCATCCTCTGTTACACATACGTCTCCACTAAGTACTCGTATCGAGGAATACATCATGAATTTCATGAAGACAATGGCCACGTCCCTATCGCTGTAGATAGCGGGGATATCATGTTCATGAAGACGGGATTCGGGAGTGAGTGAGTGAGGTGAAGGGGGATAGGAGATCGATCTCGTAGCATGATTGGTTTCGCCCTATTTCATTCTAGCGCATGACCAAACCCCGCTCTCCCACTGGACATAGGTACCTATGCATCTCACCGCCTTGCTGAGCTCTGGCTCTTCATCCCCTCTCTGCCCCTCCAACAACACGACCTCACTCAACCTACAAACGACCCACTGTGACGCTGTCCATCAATATCCACAAAAGCAAACCGCCACCATGCACAACTCCTGTGAGTTTCGAGTCCCTTGCCTAAGATTATGCCTAACACGACACAGGCCCAAAGTGCAACGCTGCCGTCACCTCAGGCAAGACCTGCGGCTCTTGTGGTGCTGTAAGTGAACGATTCTCTTCTCGTGTTATGGAGTGCTACATGTAGCTAACGGCGTCTACAGACATGCCCCCAGTAGACGATGCGAGCATGACGACGATTACGAGGACGATGTAGATGATGACCACGAGACGATGCGGTGACGGACGAGTTTATGAGTGAAGTTTGGAAGATGAAGGGGACATAGTCAAAGCAATCATGACGAGCAGACGACAATTGCCATATCAGGCTCCCATCATCGTCACATGAGCTCTCGATCAGTGAACCTRTTTTCACATCGACATGGCAGCGGTACCACTACTGTGGGTACGAGCAAATGGATTGCATCGATGGGATCCAATCTGATATGCCATTCGACCACTTCACTTGTAGTCGGAATCCACCGTCCACCAACACGGAACGCAGCAAGTACGATTTTCCTTTCTCATCTCGATTCATACCCTGTCCGATAGAACATGATTTGATAACGAACTGATCTTTGTTTCGACTCATAATCATCAAGCTTCCCTCCCAGATTAACAATACAGTATGGTGTCGTTGCCGACTGGTATGTCTAGCTGATGTAGCGAGAATTAGGCATATAACCGCATCATGTCAATCCGCATGTGTAATGATAAGCAACCTCCCAACCGTTCCGATGGTCCTTGCGGACAGGCCTTTCTTCACTCCCATTGTAATGCTCCGTAATCGCCCCGAACCCCAATGCTCCGTTTCGTCATCGTCGTCCAGCCATGTTTTTGTCCGCCGTCCCGAGACTCCGCGCTAGGGCAACGCAACGCTGCAGTATACCACCCCGTCCAATCCAAAAGTAAAGACCCGTATAAATATGACAAGAAACTGTAGCGACAAGTCAGTCGATGGACTTCCGGATTGACGGTGATGGCTCACGCACTTAGGATGCCTTTGCTGTGCATGGGCGGCAAGTCTTCAGCYTGCACTTTGCACACTCGAAGATGAACCAATGCGGTCCAGAGTGGCACATGTTGCAATTCCAGAGAATCAACGTCGTATCAGACTTGATCATTTTGAATGCGTGCTCGCACTTTCCGGGCTTTGCCATCTGCAATTCGTCTTGGTCAGCTTCGTAGACTTGACTTGACGAGATGGATCAGGTGATGGTGACTGACTGTGGGAGTTGTTTGGCGTGACGATCTTAAGACGGAAGACGGAAGCGAGTATGCTTTGGATCGGCAAGGTCCGGTCAATGGATCGTGAACGCTAGATGCTGAAGAGCCGACTGGGTGGTGTGAGTGTGATGAGCCGGGAAGTTGCAAGTTGAAAGCTGGATCGTCGAGGTGGTCGGCAGAGATATATAGTAGAGCAAAGGTGTCCTGGATGCAACTACTTGATGAGGTTGCTTCGACACTTCCTACGCCAACTGAGGAGTTTGTCCTTTATGCCACCCTCTGGGTAGACACCGAGCTCAGCCAGTGACAGCTCCGGCGCACACAAGATTTTCGGATACAGACAACAGAAGATGAATTCAGCAAAGAGGCAAGATCTGGTGATACATGAAGGACGTCCGTCGTGCGACGTGCTGCCCTTTTCTCCTCCAACGCCCACCCGTGGTCACTACACGCCCAAAGCAGTAAGCAGAGAAAAAGTCATGGAAGCTAGGCGGGGTGGCTCACTCCTTCCCCGTCGACGCGGCTGTGGGTTGGGATGTTCTGGTAGATGGATCCCTGTCGTGAGACAAGATTGCCGGGCTGCTTTCAGCGACGGTGGGTCAGAGGTGCAGTCGCGCAAGAGCAAGTGGTGCCTTGAACGGCGAGTCGACCCGCCGATCCACCACAACTCGAATCGGCGCGGGCCCAGTTCCCGGGCACTGGACAATGTTACACCACGCATTTTCGACTCGATTCTGGGTTAAGGTTTAAACTTCTCATCGCGCGCAGGGGCATTCCGAGGCATTGGACAATCATGCCTCTGTTTGGATGGCATTGCCCAGCGACATCAGAAGACGTCGGTGTGCGAGAGAATGCTCACGTCCAGGCCGGACACTGCGGCCTCACCGCTGCGGGGTCCAGGCGCCCAATGTCCAAAGGAGCGGCGAGCATGCCGGTGTGCTTCAAGGAGCCGGCTGCAGACGCCACGAAGTCTAGGAAGAGCAGACGGACAGCGCTGACAACGGCACGTCCCAGCCGTATACGGCGCTCACCAAATCACTTGCGTTTCCAGGACGTCAAGACAGGCCACCCCAGTCCGGWTGATCGTTTACCGAGCCTATACCGCACAGAATTTGCACGTYGCGAATTCGAGAGCATTCTTGTGGCTGCCCTGTCGAGTCGCAATCGTATGCATCACATTTCTTCCGCGATCCTATCGCATATGCCAAGCGATGCCGCGGACGCGGAGTGATCTATCGCACACCATCATCGATAGCACGCTCGTGGTCCTCCAGTAAATGTGGACGTCGCGGAATGTGCAGGCCTGCACTGGAGACTCATGACGCGTCAGATGAATTGTCACCCTCGTACCAAACACCAGCACATGCATGACTGACAGCTTGTCCATACCATCGGCGTGGTCACGTCCCCGTTTCCTGGATCCAAAAAGGCCACAGCCATGCAGGCGCACCTTGAAGTTCCCTCGATGTGCCGCACCATGCCTCTATCCGCGACATGTTACACCTTGCTCGCAGCGTCGAGCGCAGATATCTGTCGTTGCGCGGACTTTGAGAAATGGTCTGCCTCCTGCACTGGTGGCGTGAATGGGAAAGTTCACACACTCCACATCTCCAAGGCAAGGAGCCAATCTCGCCCAGAGCGTGATATCGAACAAGWCAGGTCAAGGGTATGGCGTTCGCCAATGTAGCCCACACGGCTTGTTTGCGTTACGGAACGCAGGGCAGAACGTGGAGAAGCTCGGTGATGGTCTGCAGGCTGACCTGCCGACCGTGGCTCATCATCCAAGGCTCACCCAGCTACCAGTTATGCGGCAGTTCACCACATTCCTGTGTTGGTGACAATCATCGATGCGTCGTACAGGCCACACGTCCATGGCAGTGGACTACTCACTGTGGATCAATTGCATGCCAGGACAATCACTACGTTCGTCAACATTGCTTCAGCATTTTCCCCAGCGAGATCGAGATGAGCCCTCCCGACGACCATTTAGCTTGTATTTGTTAGTCACAGACACGCGGATCTCGTTAACCCCGCCTGCGAACTTGTCCATACCGCTTCCTGGCTAGGCACTTACAGCCCCGCCATCGCCCATACTCAGGCGGAGATGTGCAGACGGAGAGAAATCAAGCGGGTGTAACGTGTCACTGGGTTGTCATAAACTCGGAGATGGACCGAACTGCGTGATGGAGTCCGCCCTGGCGTTGCGGCTCACCAATCCCCACTTCATTGCAGATCCCTATTGCGCAACTTGCTGCATTCGCTGCAGGTACAAATGTCTCAGAGAGACTGGAGCCCGGTCACCGGGTCGTGCCATTGGCCCTACCCCACGATGAGAAGGGACATTTTCCTAGACACCCCGAAAATCCTGAGCGGGCTGTGCTACCGCAGAGGATGGCGGTGATCTGATCTACCCTACGTTGAACCTCCAGAACGGCCCAGGCAAGTATTGCAGCGGGCAGCCCGGTGATCCAGCCCAGCAACGAGACTGCAAGTAGCAGGAAATTTGTGACGAAGTGGATCTCCATTGACTGATCATTCGCCTTTTGTCAACTTGATGTCCCCTGCGAGCATGGCTCTGAACAGTGATGTGGGCTTTCGCATGTTGGTGCTTGCTTCTTCTTCCAACGAGCACAGCATATAGTCGCACTCTCAGGCAACCTCGGAGACTTAAATGCATGGCGGCCGAGGAGGGAAAACCACAGGAGCTATGCGTGCTCGGACAGGCGCTGACAGCCACCTAACCAGACCGGGTAAGACCCATGGCTTGCGATCCCAGTCTCCGGTCTTCACTTGAGCATTGCCGTACAGAAAGTGAGGCAATGCCACACATTCGGATGAACAGAGATGCGACAGTTGGCTATCGTGTGAAGTGATAAGTTGATCGACACTTGCGGACACCGTCTTCCGGATCAAATTCACGATGAAGACGTGGTGGAGATTGCCGATTCTATAGCCTGCWCGAGGTTAACGCGCTGACCTTACTTCTGTCAAACWCAAACTTAGGGCCCAAGGTGGACTTCACGTCGATTTCCGCTCGAGGACTGGCTCGCTTATCTCGCAGATTGAACCAAGTCGGTTGACGGCAAGTCGATACCTTGATTCCTGTGAATTAAAGTGCAAGCTCGACATGGAGAGGTTTACAGCGTCATTGCGCGTCGGAGTGACAGCCTCGCAAACCAACCAATATTCCAGAGTGCTGTAGAGCCAGTTGTGGTGGTAGGAACTACTGGAAACAGGAATTGTACATGTATAAGTATGCCATCTTCCGTGCAGGTTGTAACTCAGATGCGCCGAGACGCTACCTGGTACGCATAATGTTCTAGTGCCGCCTTCTCCTTCGATGCCTGATCGAGATGGAGCAGGCTGTGAGGCCGTCAGCCGAACCGTTCCTCGGCAACGCGAGGCGTTGCACGCGAGGGTTTCATATGAAACGTCGAGATGTTTCCAGATGGTAATAATCGCGTATACATCCATGTCGCTGGGACCCGGTAGCAAGCGACGGGAGTTCCGCGGTCTTCTGATGGGAGTCTGTTCTTTCTAGTCGCCATTACGATCAACATCTTGCCATTGGGAGTTGGTGTAGGATTTCATGTCGCCGCCGAGGCACCTGTCGCGCGAAAACAGTGTTTATCATGGCGGAATCCCCGTGAGGCCAGGCGGACCAACAGCATGGACCAGCTATTGATCGGCGATGTTGGCTGCAATATGTAAACTCATGTGAGGCATGTTGACATACAGCATCAGACCACGCTCGAAGGCATGTCCACTGGTTCGACCCGTGGGAGCCCGCCGCAATTGTCCGATGTCCGTGGGGCCATGGCACTGTTTCGACAAATATCGAATGCAGACTGCAGAGAGAGACAAGTATTTTCCCGACGTCGGAAGATGCTGTATGCTATGCTCTGCTATGCTATTGAGCTGAGATGGATTATAGAAGTTCTTCGAAGTTTGTAGAAGGCGCGAAGTCAGAGCGGGATCAGCCGCATGGAGCCTGCAAGCAGAAAGTATCATCAACCTTTCAAGAAATTTGAGCCTTTCCAAAACATCGCGCCCATCTTGTTTCCCCCCACCACCTGACGCCCACTCGAAAATCACCCACCCTCACCGACAATACATTACTTGCATTGCATCTCTCGCAGGACTTCTGCAGCGCCGGTCACACCCAAGCACCTTCCCTGCCGTCACACCACACCGCTCAACAGAATCGAGAACAGCACATCATGTCTGTTGTTGGCTTGGATTTCGGTGTCCAGAACTCGGTCATCGCAGTCGCCCGCAACAAGGGTGTCGATGTGATTGCCAATGAGGTCTCGAACCGCGCAACACCGTAAGTATCAGTTTGACAGCTGAATGTTGCTTCATTCTAACATTCTTGCAGATCGCTTGTGGGCTTTGGCGCCCGCAACAGATATCTCGGCGAAGCTGCAAAGACACAAGAAGTTTCGAACCTCAAGAACACCGTCGGCTCCCTCTCGCGCCTCGTAGGTCGCTCATTAAACGATCCGGATGTTCAGATTGAGCAGGATTACGTCTCRGCACCGCTCGTCGATGTCAATGGCCAGGTCGGCGCCGAGGTCACGTACCTGGGCCAGAAGCAAAAGTTCACTGCTTCGCAGCTGACTGCCATGTTCCTCACAAAGGCACGCGAGACGGCATCAAAAGAGTTGAAGCTCCCAGWAAATGACATGGTTATCGCCGTGCCAGCGTGGTACACAGATGCACAGCGGAGAGGAATACTGGACGCTGCCGACATTGCGGGCATCAAAGTCCTGCGCCTCATCAACGAGACGACAGCGACAGCGCTTGGATACGGTATCACCAAGCTGGACTTGCCCAGCGCAGAGGAGAAGCCACGAAGAGTCGCATTCATCGACATTGGTCACACCAACTACACCGTCTCCATCTGTGAATTCAGAAAGGGAGAGCTCAAGGTGGTCGCCACGGCCTACGACAGGCATTTTGGTGGTCGCAACTTCGACAAGGCCATTGTCGAGCACTTCCGTGCTGAATTTAAGGAGAAGAACAAGATTGGTTAGTACATTCCCATTTTCATCAACCAGCACAAATTCAGTCCCGGCGAAAATGGCGGGCGAACCGTCCAAAGCTCATCTCGACATTATCGCTGTGCAGTCTAGCTAACTCAACTCCTTTCTAGACATCAACGAGAACCCCAAGGCACGCCTGCGTGTCGCCGCTGCATGTGAGAAGCTAAAGAAGGTCCTCTCTGCCAACGCCATCGCTCCAATCAACATCGAGTCGCTTATGAACGATGTGGACGTTCGCGGCATGATGAAGCGTGAGGAGTTGGAGGAGTTGGTCAAGCCTCTTCTCGAGCGTGCGACTGTTCCCCTCGAGCAGGCTCTCGCCGAGGCGAAGCTCAAGGTTGAAGACATCGACATTGTTGAGCTGGTGGGTGGCTGCACCCGTGTTCCAGCTCTCAAATCCGCTATCCAGACCTTCTTCGGCAAGACGCTTTCGTTCACCCTCAACGCCGACGAGGCCATTGCTCGTGGGTGTGCTTTCAGCTGTGCTATCCTTTCTCCGGTCTTCCGCGTGCGCGACTTTAGCGTACAGGACATTGTCAACTACCCGATCGAGTTTGCGTGGGAGAAATCCGCAGACATTCCAGACGAAGACACAAGCCTGACTGTCTTCAACAAGGGCAACGCCATGCCTTCCACCAAGATCTTGACATTCTACCGAAAACAACCATTTGACCTTGAGGCGAAGTACGCCAAGCCAGAGGGTCTGCCAGGAAAAGTCAACCCATGGATCGGACGCTTCAGCGTGAAGGGCGTCAAAGCAGACAGCAAGGACGACTTTATGATCTGCAAGCTCAAGGCGCGCCTGAACTTACACGGAGTACTCAACGTCGAGCAGGGTTACTACGTGGAGGACCAGGAGATCGAGGAGCCGATCCCCGAATCCAAGGATGAGAAGAAGGATGGCGATGTGAGTAATGCCTTTTTGACGCGTTGTGCTTATGTTTTGGACGAGGAAGACGCAAAAGCCATGGAGGTAACGGCTGCCGATTTCTTGCGATTGCACATTGAACAACGCGCGGCGAAACGCCCGAGATTCGAACCATTGCTGACGACTCGACGACAGGCAATGGAGACCGACGACAAGGCAAACGGCGACGCGCCCAAGACCCGCAAGGTAAAGAAACAGGTTCGCAAGGGTGACCTGCCGCTGTCTACCGCTTCGGCGTCGCTTGACCAATCGACCAAGGATTCGTACATGGAGAAGGAAGGCCAGATGATTGCCGATGACAAGCTTGTTGCTGAGACCGAGGACAAGAAGAACGAGCTTGAGTCCGAGATCTACTCCATGCGTGGAAAGATCGATGAGCCGTATGAGAGCAATGGCTACTCTGAGTTCGCTAGCGAAGAGGAGAAGCAGAAGATTCGCGAGAAGTGCGAACAGCTTGAGGTAAGAAATGACAAGCCTGCTCATCTGAACATGCTAACAACAAACAGGAATGGTTGTACGATGAAGGCGATGATGCCAGCAAGGGTCAGTACATTGCCAAGATGGATGAGCTGCGAGCTTCTGCCGGTCCTATTGTGCAACGTTTCAACGATAGGCGGCAGGAGGAGGAGGATGCCCGACGGAAGGTCGAGGAGGAGGCCGCTGCCAAGCGACGCGCAGAACTCGAGGCCAAGAAGAAGGCCGAGGATGAGAAGAAAAAGGCCGAGGAGGCCGCAAAGAAGGCTGCCCCTGAAAAGGCGGACGAGGAGATGAAGGACGCTCCAGCTGACACCGAGGCGCCTGCTGCTGAGGAGACTTCTTAGACGGGTTTACAGGCTCAGGTTCACGGCATGATGATGAAAATTGGCTCAGCATAGCGAGTCGTGGTTACGAAGGATACATGACTTCCTTTTGTCCTTGCATTATGTGTTGACGTGGGGAGCTGAATGGATAGATAGACTAACGACAATGAAATTCCATGGTTGAGCGTATGTTCAAAAAGTCTTTATGCTCATTTTGGCATTTGGGTCGACTGTTGTCATGCCAGTGGTTGAGCGCTGGATGTTTGGAAGTGTATGTTTTGCAGGCTTGTGCAGGACTTGACGGTCTATATCCACTCACAAGGTTGCACAGCGGCACATGATTGAAGGATGCTCAGCAGAATTACCTCTAGACAATGACCGCACGAAATGGTTCTCCCTGGACTGCAAAGTCGCGAGATGCTGCTACCCCAACCCTAACCCTATGGGCAGCCCGAGCACGACGGATTCTGAGTTCAGCACCATAAGGTGAGACGCAACATCATCATCACCATCAACACTCCAATACTCTACATATCTACGGCAAGTAAACGTTGCAATACCTGTCACGGGCACGGACAAGATCCTTAGCAAGAGCAGCATGAACTTACACCGTGCAAACTACATGTACTCACATCAGGTTCGACACCGACTCCCCAAGGTGTTTCGCACAGCGCCTGCCGATCTTCCACTGGTTCAAGAACGCCACGCAAAAGACAACCGCGAGGGGGTGGCTTCTTGGCACGCAGTCGCCCTTTGGTACGCAGAGCGACTGCTACATACTCTTCTTTCATCATCACATCGATTTCATCACATATTTCTTCCATCATGGCCGCTAGTTTCCAGCCCTGAATCTCTCTTCTCTGCATTTGTTCCACTAATCATGTCTAACGTTGAATCGTACAAATTGCTCGAGGATGGAGAGGTCCCAGCTGCTGAGCCCGAGTTGGAGTCTGCTGTTCCAGTCAGCAAAGCAAAACGACAGTTCTTGGAATCCTTACAGTCCGTGAAGACATACTTTGAGTATATTAGGAATAATACGCCGAAGTGGATTAGACCAGTCTGCGGTTTATGGTCATGCGTGTCCCTACTTGCTGCAATGTTGGTTGCAGTGATCTTAGCACTGGTTGTTCTGGGTGCTTTTGGAAGTGGTGTCGGTGAAGATGTATTGGGGTACATTGATCCCCTGATTGGCRCGGGTCCTGGAGGTACGCCAAAGGACGATATCTCTTACTTATGTATAGTGTTGACATTTGACAGGCCATGTCTTCGCAGGAGCCAGGTAAGACGCTGGAGGCAGAAGATCTTCTGTATATCCGAGAAATGTCTCTCGTGCTTATACTGGGTCTTGAAGCTTACCCAAAACGTATACGAGTTCGCTAACACTTCCAACCTGTTCTAGTCTGCCGTTTGGAATGGCGAAGCCTGTTGCTGATTCGATGGGCAAGGAGAAGATGGGAGGGTTTGCTTCTGACCATGCGAGGATCAACGCGTTCAGCAGCTTGCACGATTCAGGCACGGGTGGAGTAAGTTGCTTTCTATTCGTTTCAGTCGAAGCTGTCGATGAGACTCGACCACGAGGGCGAACACAACGTTCATAAGTACTTCTCAGGGGGTCCACGCTCGACGCAAACCACCCAAGCGAATGTTCCCCAAATCGAAAGCTCTAGTCTAGCTGATARAGGGCGTTTGGAAAACTGCGTCCAACCTGAACATTTGGAAACATCTCTAAACTCGCATCGAGAGCAAACCCTCTGACTAACGTCATCATTCGAAGACATACTAACAGTCACACAGAGCCCGTCGATGGGCAATTTCCCAATCTACCTGCAACCATCTTGTCCGAACATTACAGAGTGCAAGCTGAATAAAGCCTACAGAGGCTCACCATATATCTCAGAATCAGTCAACGCAGCTCCTGGTACGATTACCCTTGGTTGACCAAGAGAAAAGGAGGCTATGGATTAACATTGTGCAGGTTACTTCGCCATTAGCTTGGAGTCAGGACTCCATGCTGAGATGACGGCGTCAGAACGAGCTTCACTGTTCAAGTTCACTTTCGCCAACAGTACCGACGTGCTACATCCAGTTCTGATGCAAGATGGTAAGCCCGTGTGTTCTCTCACGAAGTTCCAAGACTARTGGCTGTGCAGGATCCGATCTTCCGGGCAGCCACGGACCAAGGTCGTTGTATGTGAATGCTAGCACCGGGAGGATGACCGCCGAGGTGAGCTGCTCTTGATCGTCTGGAAAATCTTGTCGCTAACCGTGAAAGGGACGTTTCAATCCTTCATTTGGCCAAGGGACCTACAAGACATATACTTGCATTGACATCAAAGGAGCCCAGGTTGAGTCTGTCGGGGGCTTCAACTTTACTGCAGTCTATCCAGGTCTGACGTCCATGCCTTCACCCACCCAGTACACGGGACCGAGACAAGGCGTTTACATGCGGTTCAAAGACTTCCAGCAAGGCGACCAATTTTTTGTCCGAGTCGGGTTGTCTTGGCTCAGCATCGAACGTGCCTGCGAGAATGCGGAAAAGCAGATCGGAGACTGGAATTTTGACCGTCTTCGAAGAGAGGCCGAGAAGGCGTGGAGGAAGAAGCTGTCGCCGATACGAATTGACTCAACGGGCGTGGATCGATCGCATCTTCGCAATTACTGGAGTGGCGTGTACCGCGCTTTTCTAAGTCCACAAGACTACACTGGTGAGAATCAGCTCTGGAACAGCACGGAACCATACTACGACTCCATGTACTGCATATGGGACACGTTCCGCGGGGTTCACCCTTTCTTCACACTTGTTGATACAGTGTCTCAATCGAGAATTGTCCGGTCGCTCATCGATGTGTACAAGAATCTCGGCTGGCTGCCAGATGTGAGTATTTCGAACATCACACGATTGACATCTTGCTGACAGCTCTCAGTGYCGGATGAGCTTCTGTAAGGGCCTTACACGTGCGTGACAGCTTGAGTCGCTCCTCTCATTGATTTCAACGCTAACTTGTTTTGTAGAGGGCGGGTCGAATGCGGATGTCGTGATTGTCGACAGCTACGTCAAAAAGCTCAGCGGAGTCGACTGGGACCAAGCATACGCGGCGGTCGTCAAAGATGCAGAAGAACAGCCTCCGAATTGGGACATTGAGGGACGAGGTGGCTTGCAGTCATGGAAGTCGGTCGGTTATATCCCCTACCACGATACTGATCAAGGTGGCATGCGGACGAGATCTGTATCCCGGACTGTGGAATATGCGTACAACGGTACTACAAACTATTCAAGGATCAAGCGGTCTCAGACTGACCTTTCACAGACTTTGTCATTGCTTTGATGGCGAACGGAACCAATCGAGAGTCCGATTACCAGAAATATCTTGAACGATCGGGCAATTGGCGAAACGTTTACAACGAGGATCTGGAGTCAATGGGCTTCAAAGGGTTTCCTCAGCCGAGATTCAAAAATGGCACCTGGGGCTTCCAGAATGCCACCCTCTGCTCTGCGCTCAACCACTTCGACAGCTGCTACCTCAATCCGTCTGGACATGAGACCTACGAAGGCAGCCCATGGCTCTATTTGTTCTATGTCCCGGGCGACATGCAAGGCCTGATCAATCTGCTTGGAGGCCGCGACGCTTTTCTCCAGCGCCTCGACAAGCTTCACACCAGTGGAGTGCTCTATATGGGAGATGAGCAAGCGTTCCTGACGGCCTTTTTATACCATTACGCCGGACGTCCTGGACTTTCGAGCAAGATGACCCATCGTTACATCCCCTCCATGTTCAACGACACGATCGAGGGCATTCCCGGCAATGACGATAGCGGTTCGATGGGGGCATTTGTATTCTTCAGCATGTTGGGGATCTTTCCAAGCGCCGGACAGAGCGTCTACTTCATCATTCCCCCCTACTTTCGCAGCATTAGCATCAAGTCGCCGCAAACCGGCAAAACCGCCACGATCAGAACGGTCAACTTTGATCCGACGTATCAAAAGGTGTTTGTACAGTCGGCAAAGTTGAACGGGAAGAAGTATACGAAGAATTGGATCGACCATGAGTTCTTCTTGAAGGGCGGAGTCTTGGAGTTGGTGGTGGGTGAGACGGAAAGCGAGTGGGGAACGCGAGAGGAGGATGTTCCACCAAGTCTGTCAGTGCCAGGAGTGTAGATGAAGATCAATAAAACCAGAGAGAAATGCCTGTCAAAACCATGGTGGATGACATGATGTTGGCTGTCCCGGCAGAGCGGTACTCGCTGACCTTTCCGCCGTTGCCAATCGGTCCGTCCCGCCAAGAGTCCAAGCCTTTCCCTAGATCTATAAGGTAGTTACAAAGGAATCTCCCATGCTTTCCATTGAAACATCAATAAAATGTTATGCGGACCACGAGAGCTGCCATTGATCCACTGTGGCAGTGTCTGTGCCCGGCCTGGACACCGACCAGCGTGACGGGATTCTCATCCCGCTGCTTGATCAGGCCGAGCAGGACACAACATGGCGCAAAGAACGGGATATCTTCGTCGACGCCCACCGCCTTTTCCACCACCGCTCGCACGCGCAATCAGGCTCGTCTGAATGCTATAGAGGCACATCGTGCTGCTAAATTTCAAACGTTCCCGTCAACGATCTCACCTTCACCAAAAAGAGGAACAGAATCGGCCGCTGTGCAACCGTTGGACCACGAGAGTACATCGGATCTTTACGGTCTCTTGCAGAATGCCGCAACGAAGGGCGATGTGCACGAGTGTCGCAGGATAGCGGAGTATCTGGTGGGAAAGAGGCGCGAGAAGCCCAATCTGCAGCTCTACCATGCGCTGATTTTGAGCAATGTGGGCTACGAGCACGGCGCTGCATGGCGCGTGAGCGAGTTGCTGGACGAATTGCAGGCGGACGGGCTACAGATGGACGCGGGAATCTGTCATGCTGTGCTCAAGGTGGTCGCAGTCCATCTGGACCATCTTTTGCGGACCGACGTGTTGGACTACATGCAGAAAAGATGGTATCAGTTGAGTGAGGACGGCGCTCACGATGTGGCTGCTGGAATGTTGCGTGAAGGTCTGTTCGAGCAGGCTTTGCACCAATTGGACAAGATGAGGCAGGGGAATGGAAGAGTAGATGGTTGGCTTTGGGATATGGCCGTCTACACGCTGTGCGACGCAGGCGAGATTGAGGAAGCTTTCAGGATTGTGCGGAGCCGCTATGATTCTGGGGTGTCCGTCATCACTCGCTCCGTATGGTTCTACCTCTTGGACAAGGGCAGCGAAGCGCGGCATTACGATGCCACATCTCTGGTCTGGACTAGTCAGGTCAATCAGGGCTACATCAATCCTTCATCGGGAATCTGTCTAAACGTACTCACGACAGCAGCTCAATCGGGCGATGCGGCTTTGGCAACCGAAGTGTTCTCGCATCTCAGCAAACGTGGCACTGCCTTCCAGCCGATCCATTATGAGCTGTTGATTTCAGCATATCTCTCGGCCAGCCCGCCAGACCTAAACCGAGCCATGACCATTCTCACAATCATGCCGTTGGAGAAGTTGGAGCCTACACTTGCCGAGACTCGTTCTTTGTACGCGTACCTGCGCAATCAGCCCGGCCTGGTAAAGGAGGCTTTCACCACGCTCCGCGAGCTTCACGAACACGACCGTAGGATCCCGATAGCAGCCCTCAACCTCTTGATCGAGTGTCATGTGGAGCAACGAAACTTCGCCGAGGCGATGCGAGTCTACAAGCTCATACACACATTTGCCCCCTTCAGCGAAGGAGCACAAAAGTCGTATGCCAACATCGAAACTTTCAACTTGCTGTTCAAAGGCTGCAGATTATCCGATCCACCCGAGGAGCAACAGGCCTCGTTTTTGGTGTCTGAACTCCTCGCACTTCGCATCACGCCAACAGCGCTGACATATGATCGCCTCATCCTCGTTTTCGTCGAAGCAGCAAAGGCTGCTTTCAACCACACTGCAACCGCAGATGATCCCCAGCTCTCCGATCAAGGGAAATCCARAGGCAAAGAGCTTCTAGATTGGGCTTTTCGACACTTTGCAGACATGCAACCACTAGGTTGGGTCCCGCGATTCGGGACAATGGAACTGTTGGCCGTTCAGTTAGCCCGGATTGGAGATGCTCGTTGCTGGGACTGTCTGCAGATCGCCGAAGATTACAGAGACTCGATCGAAGGGTTTGAACAAAAGGGTAAATGGGCAAAGRAGAATGTTGAGGATGCTTGGGTGCAATTCGTTGAAGGGGACGTTTCAATGTCTGGATCAAGCCCTACTGAGGTGTTTGCAGCGGCGAGCGCGTCTGGCTGACGAGAGGCCGATCTTGCTTGATACTTTTTGAGCTTTGGTCCATACCGCATCGCGTGCCTGCATTGGAACAGTCCACTCTCCGCAGCGAGTCGAGCCTGTGCTGTGCTCGAGCCAAGCGTCTGTGCTGGAGGACGATGATCTTGGGCGTGTCACAGCAGAAGAATTATACAAATGCTCATTGTTACGACAGTTTCGATCCCTGCATCAAGCCTTGACATTCCGATATGCGACCAGAGAAGGGGTATAGGCCAGTCTCACAAGCCGCTTCGCGCAACCCATCACTTGAAGAACTCGCCGCGAAGTATTCGAGAAGCAACCTCATTTACACTGGCGCTGCTCTGCGTACCATCATATCATTCCTACTCGTGACCAATGGGCTTCGAGGCCATCACCCATGCCATTGGCGCGATAGCACCGACAAGAGGCGGCGATTGTCCGCTGACATGAGGATCCTGTCCTATAAAGTTATTGGGGAATCCCACATCAAAAGACGTAGCAGCCTCCAGATCCGAAATATCCTTGGAAGAAAGTTTAATCTCCAGGGATTTGATGTTTTGCTGGAGATGCTCAACCTTCCTGCCACCGACCTGTGTAAGAAGAAGAATGCGAGCGTTAGCGACTGAGACTGGCGGAAAAAGACAATGCGGACACTTCTTCTTACCAATGGGAAGACATTTGGTGTCTTGGCCATTACGTAGGCCAAAGCCACGGCTGTGATGGACTCGACGCCGTGCTCTTTGGCGACCTTCTCCAGAGCCTCCGAAACTTTGACTTCTTGTTCCGTCTGCCCTTGCACGAGAATGCTTCGCACACCCTCATTGTTCTTTTGGCGCTCTTCCATTTGGGCTTTGGTCTGAAAGTGCCCGCCACCTATGGCGTCCCAAGGAGCCAGCGCCATACCAAAATGCCGCGCCATTGGAATGATTTCCCTGCCTCTCGGTTAGCATATGTCACGCAGGGATTGTCTGTCGATATGGATGTACCTCTCCATGTCGCGCAACATCACGTTCCATCTGCCCTGATAGATGGAAAATTGGGTCTTGCCGTGTGCCTTTGCGTAGGTGTTGGCAGCGGAGACAATGTACGCTGGAGTGTCTGAGATACCCAAGTACAGCACTTTCCCGCTCTTGACCACGGCGTCGAGAGAATCCATCATTTCTTCAATCGAAGTCGTCCAATCCCACCTGAGAGAACAAGTCAGCAAATAAATACTCCCCAGCTTTTGAACGTGGGCGCGTGTTGCGAAGTCTACGACAAGAGGAACTTGCCGCGTCCACTTCTCGCTCTTGAGACGTACCAGTGAACGTAGAGGATATCCAAGTACTCGGTCTTCAGCTTCTTCAAGGAATCTCTCAACGATGTGTGCAGAGATTTCTTGTGGTTGCCAGAGTAGTTGACAGTCTTTCCCTTTCCATCCTTCTCCACGCGGTAGTTGCTCGTGAACTTGGTTGCAATGACCTAAGACAAGCCATGATCAGTATGCTTTCAGTTCATCATGAATCTTCTTTCTTCACTCACCATAAAGTCGCGGTTCTTTTTAGCTTCCATCCACTCTCCAATCCACTCCTCTGATTGTTCGTTYTGGTAGTTGTTGGCCGTGTCTACGTATCCAATCAGCGACATGCTTCTCATCTTGAGCAAACAAACGTACCGATAAAATTGCCGCCAGCGTCCTCAAACGCATCGAGCAGCTCAAAGGAGCTCTCCTGCAAACACGTCAGTTCTGGCGTTGCCGAAAGAATGAATAGTCCTTGCCTTGCTCATAGATCCCATGAAACCATTCCAGGCGTCGCCAATGCYCATTGCGCCGAGCTGCAGAGGCGAAACTCTAATACCGGCAGTTGAAGAGAGTACCCGGTAGCGTCCAAGAGGAGTCTTGGGCTCGGGTGCTGGATTGAACATGTGAGCCATTTTGGAAGGGTGTCAAAGTGATTGTAAGTAAAAATTGGTGTGGGGGAGGGAATGTGGTCGAGGAAAGTGAGAGAAAAGATAACAATGGTGGGCATTAACTTGTTATACGGTTATGCTGGCCTCCGGTAACTCCGTTAGAGCACCTTGCGGAAAAGTGGCATACCGTCATTTGTCGGCAGTAAGCTGACCATTAAATCCGCTTAATCTACGGATGATCAATTTCTTACAGAGCGCCGTCGCTTTTGGGTCGTAAAGACGAGCTCTCATAATACTTATATGTGAAGTGGCGATCCCCGTACCCTAAGACGGCACTCCCTCGTAATCCCACCCGTCGTTGCCTCGTCTCTTCCTCCGTCTAGCCGTCTGCCTATTGCCTACGCCTACAAAAGAATAGAATAGTCAGCGATGTCTCAGGCGGTTCTAATGTGGACAGAGACATAGCGTGGTTCGAGAGAAATCTCTGAACTACCATGTGTGCCTTCTGCCCTTTAGTAACTTACATTTGATGCACACCGTCAATGCAGCCAGCACAAATATTATAAATGCACCGATTACGGGTACTAAAATCCTGCGGCTGTCCAAGTCTGCGGGGAGCATGTACGGGCAGGTGGTATTCTGACCAGTAACCCAGCATGCCGAAACGTCCAGTTGATTGAAGTCGAGCCATAACAGCGGATCGGCATCTTCATCACGAGTCCGTCGGTATTCTCGCCAGACTGAGAGGAGGTGTGCGTTCTCAAGCGGCGTTCGTGGCACAGCAAAGGCCGAATCATCGTCACACGCCAGGTCTATGCGGTCGTAAGGTGCATCAGCATAGGAGATCCTCCATGCATACGGGCCGTTTGAGATTCGACATGCTCCGTATCGATAACTTCCACAGTCCGCGGCAAGCCACATACCGGATGTAGCATTTAGTGCTGCGCAGCGATAGTCATTCAGCTCTTCGCTTTCTGACGCATTGACAGGCTGATCCGGCCCCCAACTCCATATCGTACTTTCAACAAAAGCTTGGTATGGCGCGTATGCCTCGTCTGCTGTGGCGTTTGCCAAGGATTCGTTGAGGAATGGCGAAATGCCACAGTCCGTCAGACTTTTCGCAATGGCCAGCCTTTGGATCGCATCGCCCTGCGCACTGTCCCTCAGTTGACGTAAAGCCCAAGAATTGTTTTGCCCAGCGACGGTCGTGACGGTTGGATCAAAGAGGCAGCCGGATACTATGCTGCCGTTGCTCCGGAAGGTAGTGGTCGTTGGCTCTGTGAGGTATCCGCGAGGAAATATCAAAGAAGAATCAGCGCTGAAATTGTACTCCGCCATTTGCGGATCGATGCCGCCAAACTCCATGAGCAGCCGCTTAGCTATAGACATCTCAATGTAGCGTTCACTAGGCCACCCATCGGGAGTTGAGGAACCGCCATTGGATGAAACGACCTGAAAATACGCAGACGCGGGTTCTTCGGCAGGATTTACCGTGAACCATGACTGGCTGCTGTTGAGGCCACCCTTCTGAGTCGAGAGGTCACTGGGTGTGTAGACCCGGGACGACAGATTGCGCAAGACAGCAGAGCTAAGAAGATTTTGGGGCGATGGTAAAAGCTCTGTTGGAGGTTGCCTGGCGCTATCCGAAGGCGCGGATGCTGCTGCGGCTGCATGTACATTTAGTGACAGAATGACCGTCGATGCATTCAGATCTGTGGCTGTATCGGTAAGCCGCGCAGATAGTATCGACAACAACAAGTCAAAGTTCATGGAAGGTGTGCAATCATATGCTCCAATGCGGATAGCGGAGCCATCTGCACCGCCAGCTGTGGATGTACCGGTACCCTCAAGAGCAGTGGTGGTGGTATCCGCGCTCAGAGTCAGGGTTTTGGAGGCTTCAGCAACACTCACGCTGATGAGGGTGGTTACAGCGCTCTGCGAAGTGAGCTCATCGTCTTGACGCGCACTCAAGGATGCCGGCGGAGGCTCCGTCGCCGTCGGCAACAAGCTGGTAGAGGTTGTGAGCACCTCGTTTGGAGTGCCGAGTTCTATCGGGCAAAGACTCCAAAGGCTACGGGACGAATCCCAATAGATGTCTGCTTCAACGCGACGGAAGCCGGCCGCGAGCAGATTGCTGATGCAGCGCGTGGCCGGCGCCTCTTCGTATTTGAGGTTTGCGAAGCATGCAGCAGTCAGTGCCACCCCGGGCTGCGGTACATGGTTGATTGGGACCGAGTAAGACACGTCCCGCTGACTCTATCACGCAATCAGCTGTGAGCAATAGGGATGCCATCTGCCTAGACAGTGAGAGCTTACCAAAAAGGCAACATAGCGCGGAACAAGACTCGCGTCGGGGCTGTACAAAGAGCTATCCATCATGTGTCGCGGTAGCCTTTGTATCAGAGCTGCCGGGCACAGACATGATACGATGGCACACTACTAACAGCGCGCCAAATGCCAGGTGGGAGCGTTGCGCTAGGTGGGATCTCGAGAATTGAGATGCCAATGGTGGTGTTGTTGGAAAGTGGTGAGGTCGGAGCGGGTGCCGGCATGAGCTTCCGGAGAAATGATATTTTTCTCGGACTGACACCGCGACCACGACACTTACTTCCGGACACAGCTCCAGTCCCAAAGACTGCTTCCTCGTGTGCGCGATGCAAGACTCACGATGCTGGATGGCCTTGTCAGTGTGTCAGATCTTCGCCGTTTCATCCACACGGGCTGCCAACGTCTCGCCCTCCCTTCCCTTCCGCACGCGTTGCCAACGGCCGAGGTCACGTCAGCTTCAGCAGCCAGCCACACGCCACACTCGAGAAACAATAGCGCTGCATCGTGCAAATTGGTATTTCCTACTCACGCCTGCTTGCTTGCTCTGAGCTGGGCAGGGCCAAGTCGTGCACACCTCGGCGGAGTCCGCCACATCATCCAGATTGAGTACGCCGAGAACCGATTCGGGACGAGTGACTAACTGCTATAGCATGGGTCTTAATGTGTCTGACCAATGTGGCGCTGCTCGCCCCTGAGCTACAGCATTGCATGCGGCTGCGAATCGCTCCCGCCCAACGGTGCCGCTCGGGAAGCAACGTTTCTCCAGATCGTGCTGAATCTTAATTTCTTAAAAGTGAGCTTAAAAAACGGCAGACCAGTTATCGCGGCTCTCCTGTCGAATGGCGTGACAGCTGACTCTCGCCTCCGCCGGTGAGGGCGATCAGCTGGGCCAGACTGGCAGAGACACATCAAGCACAAGGACAATTGACACTGGAAGGGAAACTTCATGGCGAAGTGAAGCAATGTTTTGAACACAAGAAAAATCGTTCAGGTCTGGTATCTCGGATGTACAACAACAACATTTCCAAGCTCCGCTGGCATCAAGCCACGGTTCGCCATCGTCTTCGTCTTCATCCACGGTGCTTAAACGCTCATCACAACGCATTGTCCAGGTTCCTCCGCGTAGTTGGGTATAATGACCAGAAATTATCGGCTCGTTCTTCGCACTGAGGCAGGCCGGGGGTTTAAAAAAAACATTAGAGATTATGATGTCGAATCATAACTGTGTGGTTGTCGGTCAATGAGTGAGATTCGACAAGCTCATCTTATCTTTGGGAGAGCCATCGAGTGTCTGTCCAGACAACATGGGGGTGGATAGGGCCGGATCAAGCTTGCCATCATTGGACATTAAATGGTGGGAGGACATGGGGTAGCCCGAGTCTCTTCGCTGCATGGGCATGGAGTATCCCTGTGCCATCTGATGCTGTTGGTGAAGAGGTGATGGCTGTCGTGACTGCGAAGGCAGATATGCGCTTGGAATGGGCAGTGACTGCTGCTGCGGCATGAATGGTTCCTGCAACATGGGCTGTGTCTTGGACATGTCATCGTATCTTTGCATTGACATCCCGTTCATCGAAAAGTCGACTTCTTGAGCAAACGATCCAGGCACCTCAAGTCGCATCATTGGAGCTGAAGAATGACGGCGATCGTCCCGTGCACCCGCAAGCGGAGGAAGCTCAATCGGAGAAGGACCGTTGTGGGGGGATCGAGCCGAGACAGACGAGCAGTCGGAGATGAGGGATGGCGCCCTCTCAGCCGACATGTGTGAGTAGCCAGATGGTGATGGTATGGGTGTGTCGAACATGCGACTGTACTGTGCCATGTTCTGAGGAATAGCGATGTTGTGGGGGTTCTGCGACTGAACTGGATTATACATCTGAGACATCTGCTGGGGGAAAAACTGGGGGGCCATCATGGATTGGTGGAACGCATTCGGGAGAGGCTGCTGCTGCTGCTGCATGTGGAAGTGCTGTTCTTGCATCTGTTGTTGCTGCTGCTGCTGCTGTTGGTGCTGTTGCTGTTGATGCTGCTGTTGCTGTTGCTGTTGGTGCTGGTGTTGTTGGTGTTGATGTTGGATCTGAGGCTGATGGCGAACTTCAAACTCAGCACGGCGCTGCTGGTTGTTTCGTCGGCGTCGGTTCATGCCACCATTCCACCAGTTCTTCACAGCATTGTCGCTACGTCCCCGAAGACGCCTCGCAATCTCAGCCCATCGCTTTCCCATCTCGGCGACCATCTGTTCGATAAGGATCCCTTCCTCTGGAGTGATTGGGTCATGGTTGAGGTTGGGCTTCAAGTTCTGATGGAATCGCTCTCGGCATTGCTTGGGCGAACGAGTCTGAATGGTCGACGATATGCGAACCCAGTTGTGTGCACCATGAACCGAAACAAGATGTAATAGCAATTGGTCTTCCTGCTGTGACCAGGGTCCGCGTTTGTGTTGGGGCATGTTGGCTGTCTTCGTTCTCTGCTATGTCGGACTGAAGGAATGAATTGAGACTGCGTCGTGGGGTCAGCGTGGTGTCGTTTAAACAGGAATCGAAAGTACGCTCTCGACGTTGGAGACTCACCTATGTCTGAAGAGACGATGTCAACAGGTTACAGCCGTTACAGCGAATGAGACGGACGATGTAGGACGATGATATTCAAAGTAAGGCTGGTGAGAGAGCCGGGTCGGCGAGAGCTATTAGTATAAACCCGCCCTCGCCAAAACGAGGTATGATCAGTGTCGACCCAATCTCCTGGCTGCAGGTGTGGGAAGTTAATTTACTTAGCCAAAAAGGCCCTTCCGTTGCCGAAAGGCTGCTTGAAAGTTTAATTTCGAGGAGGGGACGGTATGCAAAGTCTGGCAGGCCACCGCGTGCTACCGAACAACGCGTGCAGTTGTTGTCTGTTATGCCCGGCGACGGCGAATGAGCGTCCCGAGACCAGCTTTCGGAAGATTGCGTATGAGCCCTTGACCGACGCAGGCGTGTATCATCGTGCATTTCTACCACGGATCCACTGCCGTGCTGTGATTCCCAATCAACGCTCTGCTTGGTGTCTGAACGGGTACCCAAAGACTCACCAGAGACATGCACCACCGACACCGACAGGGGCATCCGGCAAGGTTCTTCCATGCCTATGGATTCTACTCCACAGGCGCAGGTGCAGGCGCAGGCACACGCTCCGCCTTCTGCTCAGCCCTCTGCTCCTTGGGTTTGCTGAAGAATTTAAGACATACACCACGCACGAAATGTTAGCAAGGGGCACGCAGTCCATGCTGCATCTCCCCTGCACCTCTAGAGTGCACAACATATCATCTTCTACGCCCGAGGAAGTGGGTGCCATCAGTTTGCACGTCTCCAAGCTCTCTCCAAACGGCCCGCCCACATCCTCCGCAACCGTGCAATCTTTGTGCAACATTACCAGGACCTTCTACCAGCTCTGACTCCTGAGAGCTGACCGCTGAAAACCCCATCTTCACACTCTAATCTTCCTCGACAACCGTCGACGTTGCAATGCCGCTTCGGCAACGCAGCAGATCACCATGCATTCACGGCTCCCCGAGTTGCTCCTTACAAGCTTGACACATCTTGCCATCATGTGCCCGAGGTGCATCATGCCCGTGTCGCAGTGCACATGAGCCCACACACGACTGCACTTATCATGGCCATCACGAATACAGCAGACGCTCCGGCTCCATCTCGCATTGAACCAACACAGCGCTTGGCGACCACCGGTACACTCAGAACAGCACAACGTGTGACTCCGCCGTTGCTGTTGTCAGTTCAGGACGTTCCAACTGCTTTGTTGGGAGGTGAGTTGTACCGCTTCAAATTGTTCATCTCGGCTTCGCCACTTTTACGCAAACCGCCCTGAATGACCAAAGGACCCTGTCGAAGTTGGCCCCGGAGCAGTTCTCTGATATTCGGACAACGATGCTGGGCACATTGGTGGCGGAGGTCTCGAAGCGGCGGTGTCTCTGATGCCTGGATACGACCCACATATCTGATCGTGTGTTCGTCATGCTCAATCCTTGTTCGGTGGCGGAGTACCCGCAGACGCAATCAATATGGAGTTTGGCCAGAGTGCGCTTCTCAAGGGACATAATTAACATTGACGAGATTTCTAGATTGTGTGCCACTAACCAACCCATGCTCTTCTGTCTAGCCTGTTTGAGGCTTTACCAAGTCCCGCTGCACTGCACGCTTCGCCTATCTTACTCCGATATGCCAGTACCGCTCGAAAAGCCGACACATCTTGAAGGTTTGACACGAGCGTTTCTTACCCACAACATCAAAGCAGTCATGACGAGAAAAGCCGAAATCACTCAAAGACACTCTGAACTCTACCTTTCTTACGGCATACCATTTGGCATCGGACACATCCATGTCGTCACCCTTATACCCTTGCGAGGTCCTTGCATCATCAATCTATGCATCACTCGAACCGGTCGTCAACGCAAGATCGTTAGATAGATCGCATTATCCCCTGTCCCAACTTGGCGGTGTTAGCGAATGATGACCGGGCGCGCGGTTCGGTTCATTCACAATGTGTCACGAAAATCGCACACTAGATCTCGCGTCGGTCGTGCTGCAGCCAGACAACAGTTCGCGTCACTGATCGCGGCGATGGCAGCGATAGCGTCGACAGGGTTGATGGGTCCAGGTGCTCGCTCGATCCAGTTCGCAATGCTGGCGCCGCAAGGGTATGATTTGCAACTACTCTTTACAGTATATGCCATTGTGGGCCGAAAATTTCACCGTACTGTAGTGCACGTTGTCAGACGACTCAGGGCCATAGTCCTCGTGGAAAGTATCGTGCTAACCTATATTTCCTTGACTTCGTGCTTTATCAGAAAACCCAACGAGTGTTTCAGCTCTTCAGCTCTGTAGTACGAGCAAAGCACATCTGAGCGGGGTCGGGATCCTGCAGACTTGAATTTAGTTTGACACGGGCGTCGGGTCGCTTGCGAAATGCAGATACCCGCAGGATCACATCGTGTTCCAAAGAACATCCTTGCGCCGGACTAGGTACTGTTGGTGCGGGTCCTCCCAGAGATGGTGTTTAGACTTTCGCAGCGGGTCGAAAATGCAGCCAAGGCTGGGCCACCATATGCATTGCATTCGATGCTTGTACATCTTCACCCGATCCAAGCCTTGGAGCTTTTCGCGCATTTTGAAAGACCGCGAGAATTTAGTGGCCCTCTCGCACTTCAAAGAAGGTGGTATAATATCACGATGAGAAGCATTGTACGCCCACTTGCTGGTTGCCATCTGCATGTTGACACAGGCATAATTGTCTCCATACTAGTGGAATGACGAGATGCAGCCACTGATACGCACGTGTGTGTGACGATGCTCTGCGCCTTCGCGGGCCATTTCCGATCCCTTCAGACGGAGCTCCGCCACTCGTTGCTGCAGCCACACAATTGTGACTTCAACCTTGTTCGCGACCGGAAGTGTCGTTCTTGACGCATATTGAGGTATGCCCCAGTCCTTTTGCCCCTTTCGGWCAATGCACTCGACTCCATGATCACATGAAAACCCGATCAGCCTGAGTCCGTCGGCAACACCAACCGGCTTGTCACGACTACTTATCGACGAGAACGTCGGCTTGTCTTTGGCAAGGCATACATGGATGAAGGGCTCTAGGCTAGCCAGCTGACTGGCATGAACAGCCAAGCGCAAATGTCCGTTTCACCAGCGCGTACTGCACGTCAGGTCTTCCGTGGCCAAGGCTCCAAGTATACTCTGACTTGATCGGCGTCACAAGAGCTCTCAGCAAAACGGTGATCGTGGATGATCCCGTTCGTCCAAATAGCACCAGCTCATGGTTCGTGCTGCGGGATCTTGGACAACCAAATATCGCCCCCCTTTCCACACTCCCAACGTTTCCAAGATTCTTCATACGCGTCCTCAAGGTCTCTGACCCATCTCGCGGTGTCGAACAATGCGCTGGTCCAACGAGCTTCAAACAGCATTTTTCGCAACTCAGTGAGCCTGCCCTGACTGACGCCGTTGCTGCCCTTCACAAAGGAAAACGACCTGCCAAGCATGATTGCCTTCTCTTCGTAGTCCTCCTCGCTAGTCGCTACGAGCTCGACAGCTGCGAGAGCTCCTTCGTCGCTTTTTGGCAAAGCACCCTTCAGTATGCTGGCCGCCATACGACTGCACATCTTATATGCATATCGCGGTAAAGTGAGTAGTGGCGTGCCGCTCCAGAGGACATCAGCCGCCGTTGTGTGGGCGTTACACTCGGCAGTGTCCAGGACTAGATCGCAGACCCTTGCGCGTGAAATATGCAGGTGCTTGGGTGCCACGTCCGTAAAGATGACCCGAGACGCAACCTCTGTTCCAGCCCACATGCGAGCTGTCGCGAGGAGGTTGGACTCTCCGAGGTCTGGGAATCGCAAAAGCCAGAGGATAGAATTCGGCACGTTTGCCAGTATGCGAAGCCACGTTCGAAACGTCGTCGGGTCGATCTGTACAAAGTAGAGTCAGTCACAATTCACTGATACTTATCCGTTAAAGAACTCACCTTGTAAAGCTGGTTGAAGTTGCCGAAGATAATCGTATCATCCGATAATTGTGGGAAAAGCTCCCTGCGCATCTGCCACCGTCGCTTCTGCTCTTCGTCCCAGCCCAGGTCCTGGTCTTTCGCGTCCGGGGCGCTTTGTTTGTGGTCGCAGCAGAAAAATGTGTCGCGGCAGTATATAATGTTCTCGCCGTAAACCCAATCGTCGTTGTCGCCACCATTGTTGAGGTCGACAAGTTGATCTTCAAGGTCCACGTTCCTCCGCCAAGGTCGCAGCGTATCAGTTGGTACGGCAGTCTCGTCAGCCAGCAAATAGTCGCACCATTCTGCGCCGAGAGTGCCCGCAAATCCCATGAAAGACATTTGAATCGGCGCAGGACGGGCTGCGAAGACTTCGTTGCGCGCCCCACGAGTGTATCCATTCAAGTTGACAAGAATATGGATTCCGTCCTGCACGATCTGTGTGACGAGCCTCTCAGCGGACCATGAGCTTGCATCGTGGAATACCGGCGCTTCGGCCTGTATCTGTTGACGATGTACGGAGTTGTCACTTGCCGTCGTCGCGTAGCAGTAAGCCTTGACCCGACGGGTGTCATGAAGTCCAAACACGGACTGCATAAGATGCGCCAGGGGATGATTGTTGAAATCGGATGAGACGTATCCCACCCGGAGACTTGGCATAGGGGGCTTRGGCGGCGGAAAAACCTGTTTCGGGAGCCACGGTGATCGAAGGGTTGTTGTAGAGATGCGAAGTGCGTTCCTTTGGGAGATCAACCGAATTTGTTTCGCCGACATTGGACAGGTGAATGTGTGAAATGGTAGAACAGTGGGAGCGGAGGGAACAGCGAGCGCCGCTGGTAGCTGTGGGCGGTTGTAGCTCGACGAGGAGCGATGGCGTTTGGTCACATATGTGTCCTGATACCAGTGCCAGCTGATTCGTTTCGTCGCACGCTCTATCAGTCTTGTCAATCGAGCTCCTTCCCAATTGTGGCCGGCCCATGCTGTGAGTGACTTTCGAAGAGCCGTTTCTCGCGCTTTGGTCTCTCCATGGCAATCGTCAAAATTGATGACCTGCTGCAATACACTTTCGAGTACTGAGGGTGTCAGAGTACCAGAGCCCCAAGCTTCGCCCTCGACGAGCTGCTTTTCCACGATATCGACAACACGACGGATCCATCCAGAACTTGTTGCCCCAGGCTGCCTCGCATCCAGAAGCATACCGTTGTTGTCCACATGCCACCTGTCTCGCCTTCCACCATCTTCGGCGATACCTCCCCGCGCCTGCCATCCACAAACAGAGTTCAGGGCGTTCGCCAGCCCGCAGACAGCCTCCGCGAAATCTGGACTGACTTCCACCGCACGTTTGTAGTAGACGATAGCGTCACTGATCCTTCCTTTGTCCTTGACAGCGTTGGCGAGATTCGCAAGGGCTATGTCAAATTTGCCATCACATTTGACTGCACGCTCGTACATGCTGATCGCTGCGTCGAGCTGACCGATGTCCTTCAGCAGACTGCCAAGGTTGGTGTAAAGATGAGCATGATTCTGGTCCAGTTGTAGGCCATAATTGTAATATTGCAACGCAAGAGCAATGCCGCTCCCCGGTGCGATACCGGGAAAGTCTAGCTTCTGGCGTGATGGCGTCGGCGCTACTACTTGCTGGACGCTGGCCAACAATATTCCAACATTATTGGCGGTCGATGGACTTGGTTGCAGAGACAATGAAAGGTAGTACAACGCTAGTATGTCTCTCACGCCGTGCGTCAAGGGGTTCACGCCAAACGATCGATTTGCATTGGTATTCGCGCTTGCACTCGCGTTGGACATTCCGTCTTGGAAGATTTTCGCAAGAGACAGCAGAGAGTTGCTAGTCGTTGATACGACTGCCTTTCGAGCTAGACTCTGGGAACCTCCGGGAACGTGCCGAAGCCCAGGAAGTTCGCCAATGYACGGAAAGCACAGCCTCGCGGTCGCCAAAGCTTGGTCAGGAGACAACAAGATCGGTTCTGCAGATGGCGGAAGCGGTCCTCTCTGCTGTGGTTGCAATGACACCGTAGCAGATACGACACTTAAAATGTGCTTAATGAGCCCTTGGACGGTGTCATATTTGCTCCCCGTCGCAATGAGCACGGCGTCTTCGAATGCTCTGGCAGCACCGGAATTGTCGCCAAGGCCATAAAGCATGTTTCCTTTCGCGTGAATGAGGGCGAGTATTCTGCCATTGTCGCAGCCAGGAATTGCGAAGCCACTTGAGCCGAAGCCTGGCTCCGAACTGCTCGGAACATCTCTGCAGTCCATGGCAAACGCGTCTCCGTCGCCGTCGAAGAGATCGCAAACCATGTTATCGGATTTCTCTGAGATGCAGGGGGAACGACTGGCCGTGGACGAGGAGCATTCACTTTGACGGTCCGAAACCTTGAGCGTGGCCGAGCTCTTCGTCCGTCGCAACGACCGCTCGACGTACTCGATTACCCTGATCGCATCCTTGCTCCTTTGCTCGTTACACAACAGACCGACCAAATGTTCGACGGCCTCGAAATGATTCGGTGCAGCCTTTACCACTTTGATCCAATGCTGCTCTGCCTCTGATTTCTCTCCGAGCGCGAGCAGTGTAGCTGCTAGGTTGGATGTTGCCTCTAGGTGCTTTGGATCCCTCTCTAACACTTTGTTGTACCACTTTAAAGCCTTTTGGTAGTTGCCGAGTCCATATGCTAAACATCCTCCCAAATGCATACCATCAATCCACTGCCACTGGGTGTCCTGGCATAGTCGAGTCATTTGCGCGAGCGCGGCCGTTGCTCTCATGGGAGGCGAGTCGTCTTGTGGTGCGAACATGGTAGACACGGATGACCCCGTGGAGCGACGCAGAGACCGCTGTCGGTCGGCCTGCTGGACAGACGTTTGTGAAAACAGCGGAGAATGCAGTGTTTGGCCGAACGAAGCGCGTCGATGATAGCCACCGTTTTCGTGGAACGACACCCCACTTGACGGCCGCACAGAAGATACGTGTGTTCCGTGCAGATTCTGGTCTTGAGCAACTTGTCCGTCGGCGCGCGGTGGGCCAACAGGCGGATCTGCCTCATTGCTCTTGCAAGCGCCCTCTAATTCTGCCCTGGTCTTGCCGATTTGCTGGGACGAACCGGAAGTTGATGGTCGGGGAGGCTTTGGGTAAAAGCTTGGCCGCTGTGGAACGTTCTGTTGACCGTTTGCCTGTCGACATTGCTGTTGCTGACGTCGTGTATGATGTATATAAGCCAGGAGCTCACGATACTGTTGGAGAGCCCAGGTAAATGTCCTGTCCCGTTGTCTGCCATTTGGCGATGAGGGACCATATTCAGTGTCGACACTTTGATAGTTCTGATGGGCCTCAATCGGATCTAGCGAGAAAGGCGGCAATGGTCCAGGAACAGCAGAGAGGGACCCACCGTTAGAAATAGATCGGGCAGCATGACCGTAGACGATTCCCCCTTGGGTCTGATGCGCATTCGGCGGAAGCCCTAAGGGCACCGGAGCGTACGGACCCGCGCCATGAGCAGCCATCCACTGTGCGGGAGGCTGGTTACCATGCTGCCACACGTTGTCCTGAATCAAAGTCTGAGGCGGTGCGTAGTTGGGACCATGATGATAGAAGCGTGGATCTCGAATTGCGGCCGGTCTGTAAGGTACGAAGGTGCCATCGTGCCAGTATGGACCGTAAGGTCCAGCACCCTGTCCTCCGGAAGCCGTGGGTCCGAGATATTGATATGACGGCTGTATCACGCTCGGGACTGTTTGTCCATAGTACTGTTGAAGGGGAAATTGCTGCGTGGGCGTCTGCTGCAAAACAGAATCTACAGGGAAGGCGGCCGGATGCTGAACATACTGACTGGGCTGCCATCCTATTTCGCCGTCTCGAGTCCAGCTTGTGTGAGTGACGTTCTGCTGCCTCTGGTGCTGATGTTGTAGAAAAGTACGCTTGCCGTCGGCCACATATGCCGAGCTCGGCCTGGAGGCATGAACGTCTCTTGATGGTACAACCTGATGCTTGAGTGGTTGATGGAAGTCGTCCGAAGAAACGTCGTAGCCTGCATCAAGTGTCCCATTTGGGGTCTTTCTGCGCAGAGTGTCGTCTGCGCGCGGTGTGAGATCTCCACGTCGCCGAGAGGCATCGCCGACGTCCTTTGGTTGGTTTGGATAGTGAATGGGCAAAGCATACTGCTGGGTGATGCGAGGCATGGACTCCGCTGGGCGGCGAACGCCAGTGCTCAACGGCTCGTCAAACACGTTTGCAAAGTGTGGTAACTTGAGAGGCGCTGTAACGTCGGTGCTCATAATGGCAGACGCCGCGGAGCAAGGCGCTCACAATGGATGCACTGCCGTCTCACCAAAGAACACGGCCGGTGCCGATGCCTATTCGATCACTTTTTCCCACACCGGCCTCGCGGGACATTTCGCGGATCTAGGACCACTGCCAATCGCTTCGTCTAGCAATGCTTGCTGGATTGTCTGATAGCTCGCGTTTCCGAGCCCTGGGCTAGGTTCCAGTTTGCAGCAGTTTGCCTCCAGGATACTAATGCGCCTCCGTCGGTGTGTACAATGAACAGACGTCGCCAGCCGTCAGCAAGCTCGTAGGCGGTGGATGCCTGCAGCGGGCGAGCAACACAAAAAGCGGCTGCACGTCTGCCTTGCCGGCGCCGCGACGCAAGGGGCCAATTGATGTCGATGATACGCCTTTTGCAGCTGCTGCTTACCGACGGCAGCTGCGGCGGTGTGCAAGTCGCAGCGTCCAAACTGTGCAGATTGCCCAAACCTGCCCAAACTCCACGGCAGTTTTCGACCACTGTCTCGGTGTTTTCTTGTACCCGTGCCTTTTGAGCTCCTGCTTCTGCTACTGTCGTCCCAGACAAATAGAGTACGATTCGTGTCTTTGACGTGCGTGGAATGCGAATCCTGCGCCGCTGCGCTGCCCTCAGCAATGAGATGAGACGATGTTGCTTCCTTCTCGCCCGTCAGCTCTACTCCGTTCCGTTTGACCGCTGTTGCCTCGCCGTTTCGGAGCAGGGGTCGCTGGTCGATGAGCTCGGCAGGGCAGCTCTCAGCGGGCAGCACGCTGTTGAAGGTATGGAAGAACAAGTACAGTAGTAGCAATAATAGGTATCACTGGCGTCTAGCTAGTCAATATAGCGCTGGGACCCAGGTTGTATGGATCCGAGCGGCGGGTTTCATTGGCCAGAGCTCGTTCAACCTTCAGCCTCCACCAAGGACGAGAACGGAGGCGTGATTGCGTCCCGCGAAGCGCAACCACACGTCRACTTTCAAGGTACCGGCGCCGCCTATGCCCACGTCTCTATTTGCTTGGTGCGCTTCGACACATTATCCCATGCGGTCCACACACACCGCTGCCTCAACCTTTGGCACCCGACGGTTTCGCGCTGTGCCTCACATCGAGTATCAGTGTGTGGCCGCCTGCGATGCGGCACCACCGCACTGCCGATACCATCCGTCGATTCGCGGTTGGCTGCGCACTGAGTCGTCTCGGATCGACGTGGCGCATGGCGTGCGGGCATGACACTTGCTGTGGAGGTCGAGCTTAGCATGCATAGCCGTAGGCGGTAGCCATCCTCCTGCAGCAAAAGTTGCATGTCCCGTGCCACAGAGCCCAAGCAAGCTGCGCAGCGTACTCGCAGGCGCTGGACTTACGCTCGCTGGGCTCGATTATTGCCGCCAGCTTGCGAAGCTCCGCGTGTATCACAGTTTGGGAATGTGTCCGCCACCATGCACGCAGCCGACTGGGCACAAGAAGGCGGAACAGATTGTACTCTGTCACTCTCTCCACCCAGGTTCGCCGCTGTCGTGATCTGCGCATCATAGATGTGTATGCTTGGTGATGATGGGTAAGAGATCCTCATTACCCCTGTATGCTTGRCCGGGGTGTTGTGGAAAATAAAGCTGCTGCCACTAATCGGGAGTCATGGGCGTTTCGAATCCCTCCACCTGCAGTTCGTTGGATCAGGATGTTCTACGAAAGTCACTCTCCGACGATTACCGAAGTTCCACTCCCGCCTGGTGGTCAAAATGGCCCTCTGAGGAAGTGAGAGAGGCAATTGCCTTTGCGATGACTGGGTACAGTCGAGACGAACGCGAAGGCTCATGCAAGTCGAGAAACGGTCCGATCAGTATTTCACAGGAATCTCTTACTTGGAAGCCTGTAGACTACCCAAGGTACATGTACACTCGCTTGCAGCAACAAAGGCTGCGTCAAATCAGATCGTCGGAGTCTGGCCACTTATTCCTACAGACTCGAACGCACCATTGTGTGCATTCGCTCTATGCAAGACTCGCTCTCAGCAACACTTCTTTCCCAACTGGAGCTCCTCGATGCGTAGAACTGTTCAAAGGAGGTGCCTTGGTGCTCTGCAATATACTCTGCCAAGTACATGCCGTCTTCGATGGCCACATTAGCACCTGGTCCTACATTAGCACGTTTCTCATGCACGTGGGCGAACAATAACCCACCTTGACCGCCCAGTATAGGCTCGGCATGTACAGCGTCGCCCACCAACACCACGCCGCTTTTCGCTGCGTCGCCCAGCGTTTCTGCGTTGAGATGCATCGACCYCATCAACCAGTTTAACAAACGATCCTTGCGGAGGGCTTCTACATCAAAGACGGATTTGAATGGCTCCTGCAATCCAGATTTGAGGTTTTCAATCTCGTCGAATAACTCCTCTGGCATCTGTTTAGCGCCCTCCTTTGACCTTTCTGGTCGGTACAGTTTGTCGTCTGCCCCCTGCTTGGCTGGACGTGAATACACATAGCTGATGCTCACTTGGTCTTCTTTCCGATCGTTGACGGAGACTTGCAGCAATGCGTCGGAAACACGCTGCTCGATAACACACCGATCCTGCATGGCTGGAGCAAATTTTTGTTCAAAGTCATCCGCACTCACTCTTCTCTTGCCATTGTAAGTTGCAAAGGGAAGAATGTGCAGGTTTGAGTCTGCTGCTATCAGACTTCTGACCTTTGAATGCGGCCCATCAGCTCCAACTAGTGTTGAGCTGCTGTGTGACTTCCCATCCTTGAAATGAATTGTCTGCGGGCCTGTTCCTTCGGCGGAAGGTTTCTCAATGGATTCAAATTCGTGTTCCCATCGCACGTCCAGCCCCTCGGACAAGAGTTGCTCGAATCGATTGCGGTTCGCCTTGAATGATGTGCGATCCTTGGTCCCAACATTTCCAACGCCACCTGTTGCAGAGTCGACGGCGACCCGTTGCCGAAAAGTCTTTTCGTCGAGATCCAGGACCTTCAATAAAGGTTGATAGATACTTGAATGTAGTGTAATGCCATAGTCGTTCCGTCTTGGGCAATTCCGGGCTTTCTCGAAGAGGACTGCCTGTACGCCTCGTTGGAGCAGACATCGGCCAAGAACTAGGCCAGATATGCCTGCTCCTATGATGCTGACCTGCGACATATCTGCGTCGATGGAAAGAGGGTGTTTGTTTTTCGATCAACACAGCAGACGTTGGAGAATGACGCTTCGATCCGCGCTGAATTGGCGCTAGGGCCTCATTTTCGATTCACTATATAGGACCACAATCCTAAAATCATCTGCCGATTCTGCGCCATTCGAATAGCAGTACTACTGTATGCGATGATGTGACTCCCAATATTACAACATATGAATTAGATTTGTACGAGGGTAGTAGCATCTTCTACTCTACTCCACGTTAACCCCAAKAAAAGTCACACATCTAGCAATACTAGGACACGGAAATGTTGGAGCGATCCAAGTCGAGATATGCTCGTAGTCGTAAAGAAGAGTGATTGTCTGTTACTAACCACAACGCTGTTACCCACGTATGCGCCGCCTTCAGCAACGCCCCCAACCCATCATACATCGTTAATTCAATAATATCACATCTCGTATCAGCTGCCAACCCCCCCACCATGCTGAAGGACCTCCTCCTTTTCGAGTCTAGGCACTTCTCGGCCGAGCAAGGATCGAAGCTCGGGCGATATGACTTGTACAGGCGCTTCTGACGAAGCTGCTGCATTGCCGACAGACGTGCGATCACCGGAAGTCTCAGCGATACTTCCAGACGGCCGCCTCGCACCGGTGTTGCTCGAACTGCTCGCGACCCTCAGCCGGCCGGAGTTTTCCGGGGTGGATGGAGGTTGCGGTAAACGTTGTCGTACAACGGGCGCAGCAGGAAAGTTCCCCTGTTTGTCGATTTTCTCGACGACCCGCTGGAAACGTCGAAAGAGAGCCTCTGCTCTGACAGTCGTCGAAGCCAGATCGATCCTCCCGCTCAATTCGTTGACGTATTTCAGCACCTCGTCGAACCCCTTCAGATGGTTCATAATGACATCCCTGTGTTTCTCCAAGATAGCAGCGGCGAGGAACAGGTGGAAGTTTGCCGAAAGGTAGTCGGTCCACAGACCTTCCCACATCCTCAGAATGTCTTCAAATTCGAACTCGCGCTTGAACCAGACGAGCAGCATTCGGAAGAAGAAGAAGAAATTGGTGGAATCCACTTTAGCGAGGTGCTCGTATAGTTTGGGGTCCAGCAGTTGCACCAGTTGGTCAAGAGTGAGGAGTTGTAGACGCATTCCACTCTGATCGCGAAGAAAATTCCTTTCCATGCGCTCCATAAACTTGGCGAATCCCCAGAATGCCACAGCATCGTCTTGCTCAATGGCGTAAATAGGGGCCAGGAGATCAGACATGCCTTGCACGTAGCCCAGGTCGCGGTTGTGCTCGTTGTAGGTGAGCAGCATGTCCTTCATTTGTTCAAGATGAACATTCGTTCCGCTTTCCGCAAAGGGTKAATCTGGGTCTGGGTGGGGGATATCTTCACCTGCAAACAGAGGAAGATGCCGATCGGTGCGATGTACGTCTTTCTCTATATCGCCGCGAAGGGCACGGTCAGCAAGCGGGCATAAGCTTTTGACAGATACACTGTCGGGTCTAGCAACTTACCTATGCGCATCTTCTGCTCCTTCCACCACTCTCTCTCCTCCAAGGTACCTGTCTCATCAACGAGACGTTCCCACCATGCGCCTTTGAGTCGAATATACTCATCTCTGAGACTGTTCATCTTGGCGTGGCGTTCCTCTTTTGTGCTGTCCCACTCGTACACACCTAAGAGGAACAGCCATGCTTCTTTCCGTACACCGTCGTCGGGTGATAGGCCGCCATGAAAAATGCGCTCCTTCACTTCGTCCGGAGTCTTCTCAAGCTGCCCGGTGCGAGTGTTGAAGAAGCCGTTCCATTCTTTAAGCGTGACCGGCTTCCTCTTGTCGGCGAGACTTATGCCATTCACGTCCAGATCCAAAATCTCAAATTGGCCCACCTCGCTCTCTTCCATCTCCAGAACATCCTTTGCAGTCCAAATACGCTGATTTCGTTCCCGCTCGGACGACTCAGCAATGCCCATWGCCCATCTTGCCAGGTACAGCCTGGCTGAATCGAATTCGTCTGATACAGTCTGGACTTGTGGATTTTGCATAAGCCGCCTTACTTGGGGAGGAAGGTTTTTGTTCTCCACCACCGCCTGCGCGGTCCGTCTTGTAAATGTGGTGACCTGGGCCATTTTCTCCAGGAAGCTCCATCTCGCCTGCTTCAAGGCACCAAGCACGGGATCACCTTGGTTCTTGTGTGACTTGTCATCCTTGTGTTTTCCTTCAAGAACATTTCTCACTTTGTCAGGAGTTGGTTTGCCACCACTGCCAAAGGACAGCTTATCGGCGTCATTCGGTTCGATCAGGTACACATTCGGCTCCTGAACGCTTCGCTCCACCGTAACATGTTTCTTCAGCCACTCCAACAGCTGATCTCCGCCCCAGAACATACTTCCGCCGTCACTGCTGATGCTGAAGTTCTCCCGCTGCAGCTTCTTCCGTTGCGCGATTGTCGACTGACATTCAGAGTCGTGGAAGAATAGTGCCGGAAAGCTGTCGCCTGCACGGGAGTTTATGATGATGCTGCCGAACCACCAGCCAGTGGATGGTGGTCGAACCATGATACTAAATACATCGCTGATGGGGATGGCAAAAGCGAATGTTCCCAGGCTGGAGCTGTGTGTGGTGACAACAGGGGGTCGAGGGACAAGAAGCGTCTTCATGGGCGCAGAATCATCGTCGGAAGCAGCGGCTTCAACTTTGTCGTACGTTTCGGCAGCGCTGCCTATGCTGCTTTCGGGTGTCCATGCCAACAGCAGGTCGGATCGTGGTCGTGAGCTGCTAGGTCCGGGAGAAGCTGGAGCGTCATCTTGTGGTTTTTGTTGCAACAGCGCGACAACACCAGGTATGTTATCGCGTGCGCTTGGAGACGGGTGCTGGTAGCTGAAAGATTGAGAACGTCAGCAGTTGTCTTGAGAGGTCTTCTCCACACGCCCTGTCGTGACGAACACTTTGTTCAGACACAAGACTAGCGAGCACATATCCACTTTCTTCCATGATGTATGGTTCTACAGCTCTTCCATGTTTCGACTTACACTTTGCTCTTGCAGTAGAGCAGCTTCACGCCCTGTGTGCTGTGTGAAGTCGCCCTTCGCGGACGTACGGTACCTGTTGGGAATTAGCATCAATTGCTGGGCAGCTCTGGAGAAGCGATATGTCTTCAAAGGAGCTCTCTCCCGGTCTCTCGCAACGACGCAAGGCATGCGCAGGTTGATGCTCGAGACTTGAGGCTATCCGTTCCTTTCAAGCTAGTCATCGCTTTCCCCCGTGCAGCATGCATACTGTATTCGCGCTCTTCTTCGTCAGACATATCGTAAAAGCTGGCGGTMGGAGAGTGAGCGCCTCGAGGTGACGTCGATGTCGGCAGGTCGGATGGCGGCGGGGGCGGCGTTGATGCCATGGTCCTCGGGTGGCAGTGCTGTGACCGCAAGCAGTGCTACGATTGGAATGAGGATGTTGGTTTCTTCTTCAAGGCTATGGTGGAAAAGGTCACATTGTCGTTGTTGGCACGAAAGCAAGATGCTCCGCTTGTTTGTCTCATTCACATTCACATGCACCCCGCTGGTGCGTCATCGTCATTCGCCCTCTCCACCTCGAGTCCCAGTCTCAGGCCAGGCAACAGCATTTTGTAGCAGGCGGTTCACGCAGACCCGAACAGATGGGTACTTTATCTTGGCCACCTTCTCAGCACCGATCATAATCCATCATCTTCATGGTGGAATGGTGCTCCTTCATGCATTGTCTCATCTTCTAGAGATTGCCATGTGAACGCTCACGACGTTGTGCACGTGCGCATAGGCGCCCGCGGCCTGTCAGACCATATATAGCTCTGGGCTTTTAATGGCAACAAAGGGTTGTTATTACACGGCTGTCTTTCGTTTCAGATGCCATCTGTAGAGCGATTCTTGTCGATCGATCAAGCATTGTGAAGTCGAGTATATAGAAGTCTTTCCTTCTTCGTCTTCGCATGCCAGTGATGATGTTTGCGTAAACGAGCCAGCGAAGCCCAACCTAACCTCCAACAACGACCAACGCTCCCGCCCTGCCTCCCTCGCTCCCTGACAACAACAACCACTGACCGACTATTTACTCCTACAAATCCGAGAGTCTGCCATAAAATCGGCATCCGACTAAATTACGCTCTTGCTGCCCACGAGCGGCGGTGATCTTTCTCCGCAGCACTGACGCAGTTCCCTGTGGTTTTGGCCGAAGTTAGCTGGGCAGCACATCGCCGCCGTGCGACTGTGAGCACCCACCCTCGCGCCTGCCACACTGCGCATCCACACCCCGATGGCGCAGAGTGCGCTGCTGGACGGCCATGGCTACGGAGACCCCTCGACTCGGGCAACGCAACGTACTCCCTCGATGTCCGCGCCGGAGATAAGAGCGAGCCATGCCCGTGTCGTGGGGTGGGAGGTCGGTCGACAGCAGGATATCCCGTCATGGCAGGCGCATCATCAAAATGTGCGAGCAATCGATCTGGGCTCGACGGGCAAGGGCATCCTTATTGGCATGCTGTCCGCATTTGGCTCAGCTGCGCTCGTTGGTCTGATAATTGCCGCTGTCTACTTCTTCCGATATACCAACCGTGGACGCATTCTGCTGGATCGGATGAGTCGGCCTGGAGAGTTTGATGATGAACAGGCGTTTATGCGCGAGGAAGAGGATGCACTGGACGAGATGGATGAGCGGCAGAGGGGGGAGTACTTTAGGGCAAAAGGTACGGCACTGCCATGCTCCAACGAGATGACAATCAGTTCTAACGACAAGGCACAGCTTTCGTACAAGTGAATCCACCCGAATCCGTACAGACCGATATATCACTATCACAGTTCTTAGCGATCCAGGAGAAAGGCGTTTCAGCCTGGGAATTTGAGCCCGAACTGGAGATCGCAAACTGCTTTGTTGAAGCAAGGACCGAGATAGAATTCTTCGACTCAGAATGCAGTGTGCAGAGCAATCTCCCTGTTCCAAAGCAGAACGAGGTTTATTATTGGGAGGCAAAGCTCTACGAAAAGCCAGAATCCACCATGATAGGAATCGGCCTGACGACCAAGCCATATCCACTCTTCAGATTACCTGGCATGCACAAGTATTCCGTTGCGTATACATCTTCGGGACACCGCCGCTTCAACCAACCCTTTGGCTCCACAGGCTACGGACCACCGTTTGTGCAASGAGACGTTGTAGGTGTAGGATACAGGCCACGCACTGGAACCATATTCTTTACACGGAACGGAAAGAAGCTTGAAGACGTGGCGCATGGACTGAAGCTTCACAACTTCTTTCCCACCGTAGGAGCCAATGGACCGTGCACCGTTCATGTGAACTTTGGACAAATGGGCTTTGTATTCATAGAAGCCAATGTGAAGAAATGGGGTCTCGCCCCAATGGTTGGAAGTCTAGCCCCGCCTCCTCCATATGGAAGTGAAGCCGGTAGCATCCTTTTGGAAGGTGGAAGGGACGGCGTGCGAGAAGGTATGGGTTGGACGCCTGGGCATGCGCGAACAAACAGTGCGCAAATACGGCTTCAAGGACGACCAACAAGGAGTCCTGGTCCAGTGAGGTCACCGACCGATATCTCGCTTGCACAGTTCAACCTAATGGATTCTTACGAGGAGGAGGTCGATGAAGATCTGGGTGAAGGCACGAGCGAAGCAGCGAACAGCCAGCATTTGGTTCCGGGGCTTCCGATGGAGCCATCCGAACATCCACCTCCCGATTACGAAAGTCCCGACGAAGATGAGGGGGACTCAGATACTACCGCGCGGCCAGGGGGAACGTCTGAGCGCGATGAGATGAGAAGATTGCTAAACAAAAGCCCGCCTATACCCACTTATGAGGCTGCAACAACCGGTAGAGGGCGGAGCTCAACACGAACGAGGCCGAGAAGTGACTCATGACAACACTACGACATCTAACCTTTCTTTTATCGTTTGATTTGGGCTGACTGCACGGCGTTTGAGGGGGAACCCAATCAGAGGGCCAGGAGACGTGGACGGGAGATACACCCTGAGTTGTGGATGTTGCCCCAGTCCACGATGAATGGATACGAAGTCGAGGATTAAGTAAGGCGTATGCTACGTTTAGACCTATTCATAATTGAGCTCCACGTGTTACCTCAGTTTTATCGATGAGCCACTTCCAAGGTTACTTAAGCTTTCATTTTTGCGCCACATCAGACCCTTGTCTCAGCCCGCCGCGGAATTCCATCTACATACGTAGAGCACTTCTACCCGCTGTGCTACACGACACGAACAATACCTGCCAAAATGTGAGCCTTCCATCATCTCATATATTTGCTCCATTCATCACATATTAATGATGCCACACAGGGCGCCACTCGTCGATCGAGCCGAAATCAAATCGGCATCACTGCATAACCCGTTGCCTTTATTTGCCCATACGTACATATGGCCGTTCGCGATCCTATGGCCCATCTTTTTCAGCTTTTATCTGTCGCAGGAAAATTATGATCAGTACATCAACGGCCAAGAATGGACATTTGTGTACGCCGGCAGCATTGTCACATTGCAATCGCTCTTCTGGCTCATGACCTTCTGGAACGTCAACCTCCGATCCCTCTTCACCACCACGAGCGCAAAGAGCGTACGAAATGCGGGCTTGATCAAGGTCATCCCTCAAGCCAACGCCGGCGCCAGCGAAATATGTCCAATCGAGCGYGAGAAAGTCGCAGGGTCAGAGAGCGTGAGCTTTTTGTTCCAGAAGAGAAGGTTCTTGTACGATGAAAAGACGAACACTTTCGCGCCCCTGGCATACAGCATCGATCGCGTACCGAAGCCGCAGGTGGGAGACTTCCAGCGCTCCAAGGGGCTGGTCAAGGGTGCAGAAATTGAGCGTCTGCAGCAATACTACGGACCCAACATCTTCGACATCCCTGTTCCGACCTTCTCCGAGCTGTTCAAGGAGCACGCTGTCGCGCCATTCTTCGTGTTCCAGATCTTCTGTGTGGGCTTGTGGATGCTGGAYGAGTACTGGTACTACTCACTCTTCACCCTGTTCATGCTGGTGGTTTTTGAGTCTACCGTTGTTTGGCAACGACAGAGGACCTTGAAGGAGTTCCGTGGGATGAGCATCAAGCCGTACAATGTGTGGGTGTTCAGGCAGAACAAATGGCTTGAGGTGCTGAGTGATCAGTTACTCCCCGGTGATTTGGTTTCGGTGGGCAGGACAAAGGAAGACAGTGGAGTCGCGTGCGATATGATGCTTGTTGAGGGCAGTGCAATCGTTAACGAGGCCATGCTTTCTGGAGAGAGTACTCCAGTGCTCAAAGATTCGATCCAGCTCAGACCTGCGGACGCCACAATCGACCCAGAAGGTCTCGAMAAGAACGCCCTACTATGGGGAGGCACCAAAGTCTTGCAGGTTCAGCACGCTACCGCCTCAGATGATGCCCCGGACACTGTCCCGCAGTTCAAGTCTGGCGTCCCACCTGCTCCCGACAAAGGTGCTCTGGCAATCGTGATCAAGACCGGATTCGAGACGAACCAAGGTGCTCTGGTCCGGACGATGATCTACTCGACAGAGCGCGTCAGTGCCAACAATGTCGAAGCGCTCCTATTCATCCTCTTCCTGTGTGTCTTTGCTGTTGCCGCTTCTCGCTACGTCTGGATTGAAGGCGTCAAGCAGGACAGAAAGAGATCGAAGCTGCTCCTAGACTGCGTGCTCATTATCACCTCGGTCGTCCCACCGGAGCTACCTATGGAGTTGAGCTTGGCCGTCAACACCAGTCTCGCTGCCCTGAGCAAGTACGCCATCTTCTGTACCGAGCCCTTCCGAATCCCCTTTGCAGGCCGTGTTGATGTTGCTTGCTTTGACAAGACTGGAACCCTTACCGGCGAGGACCTTGTTGTTGATGGTATTGCTGGCTTGTCTCTCGGCCAGCAGGGTGTGCCAACCGAATCAGATGGCGCTCAGAGCCACCTTACTAGACTCACCAACACCGGACTGGAGACTGCCCTGACCCTGGCCACTGCGCACGCACTTGTCAAACTTGAGGACGGAGATGTCGTTGGTGAACCAATGGAGAAGGCTACTCTCGAGTCACTCGGCTGGACTCTCGGCAAAAATGACACTCTGTCTGCCAGAGCTGGCGCCAACTCCAAGGGCGCCACTGCATCGGACATTGTACAAATCAAGCGACGGTTCCAGTTTTCCTCTGCTTTGAAGAGGCAAAGCTCGGTCGCTACAGCTATCATCACAGATCGCCAGACTGGCAAAAAGACCAAGAACACTTTTGCCGGTGTAAAGGGCGCGCCGGAGACAATCCGAAAGATGCTAGTCAACGTTCCACCAAAGTATGAGGAGACCTTCAAGTACTTCAGCAGGAACGGCGCACGCGTGCTGGCCCTGGGATACAAATACATCTCCACGGGCGACGAAATCACTCAGAAGAAGATCAATGACCTCAAGCGTGAAGATGTGGAATGTGAGCTGCATTTCGCCGGGTTCTTGGTGTTGCAGTGCCCGCTCAAGGACGATGCGATCAAGGCTGTGCGCATGCTCAACGAAAGCAGTCATCGTGTGGTCATGATCACTGGCGATAACCCACTTACTGCTGTGCACGTTGCACGCAAGGTCGAAATCGTTGATAGGGACGTTCTGATTCTCGACGCGCCTGAAGACGATGACAGTGGCGAAAAGCTGGTGTGGAGGAGCGTGGACGACAAAACCAATATTCGCGTCGACCCTACCAAGGATCTGGATGCGGAGATACTCAAGAACAATGATCTCTGTGTCACTGGATATGGCCTCGCCAAGTTCAAGGGTCAGAAGGCTCTTCCATCTCTACTGAGGCATACGTGGGTGTACGCAAGAGTCAGTCCGAAGCAGAAGGAGGAAATTCTTGTCGGTCTCAAGGACCAGGGCTATACCACACTCATGGCTGGAGATGGTACCAACGATGTTGGCGCACTGAAGCAGGCCCATGTGGGTGTTGCTCTGCTCAACGGMACCAAAGAGGACATGGACAAGATCGCCAAGCACTACCGCGAGACCAAGATGAAGGAAATCTACGAGAAGCAAAAGCAAATGATGTTGCGTTTCAACCAGCCCGAGCCGCCTGTTCCAATCAATGTCGCCCACCTGTACCCACCTGGCGAGAAGAACCCTCACTACGAGAAGGCTATGGAGCGCGAAGGGAATTACAAGGCACAAATCGCCGCGTTGAAGGAAACCCAGGAAAATGAAGGTGCGAACGGTGCGAACGGTGCGCTCACTTACACGCCGCCGCCACAGCCCGTCCAGCAAGCGATCGTGGAAGCCAAATCTCCCCAAGATCAGAAGAAGGAACGGGCGCAAAATGCAGCAAGTCAGATGGCAGAGAAGCTCTCGATGTCAATGCTTGAGGACGAGCTGAACGCCGACGAGCCGCCAACTATCAAGCTTGGTGATGCGTCAGTTGCTGCACCATTCACCAGCAAGCTCGCCAACGTCGTTGCCATTCCCAACATCATCCGGCAGGGTCGATGCACGCTTGTTGCAACTATTCAGATGTACAAGATCTTGGCTTTGAACTGCTTGATCAGCGCATATAGTTTGAGTGTGCTCTACCTGGATGGTATCAAGTTTGGTGACGGTCAGGTCACGATCAGTGGAATGCTCATGAGTGTGTGCTTTTTGAGCATCTCCCGCGCCAAGGTACGACAACTCCGACTCATACCCATCACCGTCAATACTAACGTAATCACAGACCGTCGAAGCCCTCTCGAAGGAGCGCCCGCAGAACAACATCTGGAACTGGTACATCATTCCATCTGTGCTTGGCCAATTCGCAGTCCACATTGCCACTCTCATCTACATCTCCAACACTGTTCACCGCTTCGAGCCGAAGAAAGACCGCAGCTTGATTGACCTCGAGGGCGAGTTCGAACCCTCGCTGCTCAATTCCGCAATCTATCTCCTGCAGCTCATTCAGCAAATCTCCACCTTCGCCATCAACTATCAGGGCCGGCCCTTCCGCGAGAGCATCAAAGAGAACAAGGGCATGTACTGGGGTATTGTCCTCGTCACCTCTGTCGCGTTTTCTTGCGCCACGGAATTCATCCCGGAGATAAACGAGCAGTTGAAGCTCGTCCCATTCGTGACCGAGTTCAAGGTTATTCTCTGCACCACCATGGTTTTGGATTACGCTGGTTGCTGGATCATTGAGAAGACACTCAAGAGTATCTTCAGTGATTACAAGCCCAAAGATATTGCCGTTAGGAGACCAGATCAGTTGGCCAGGGAGCAGAAGAGATTACAGGCGGAGAAGGAAGCCGCTGATCGAGCGAAGGAAGAAGCGGCTGGGAAGGTCTAGCTGGCCCTTGGATTGGTTCGTATAGATCATATAGAGTGCAACACTGATGCTAGTTCTCTCCACAATTCCAGAAGTGAGAGGCCTCACTCAGAGGAGTGATAATCCAGGCAAAGTCTGCTCCGGTTCCATTTCTCATGTGAAGCCGTTTGAAGCTTGGCGCTTCAAGCCGCGTGCTTGAGCACGTCCCTGTTCTTGAGCAAACAAACGAGCTCTACAATTCTACAAGATCTTGCCTTCTCGGCCTTTTACTTACCACAATCATCAGCACTTCCACGTCCGACATCATGGCGTGCACCAGCTTCCTCCCACCCCATCTGCGGAAGAAGACCATGCCGTGCAATACCCACACCTCCTCTGCGAAGCCAGCTCGTGCGATAGCAGGTGCTCCGACCGCCTCGTGAGTTGAACTTGATGTCCACCTCGATCAATCATTCGCTATATCTCGACAGGCAACCCGCGTCGGCCTCAAGCTATGCTAATCACGCCGATCTGACTCCACCGGATAGTCCACACATGGAGAGCGAGAAACTGCTTGCAAATCTGCATTTGGCTTCGCTAGAGTAAGTGATGCCTCCAGAAATCTGCGCGATGAGCGGCGGCTAAAGCTTCACAGGGATACATCCGCGACTCTCTACGAGATTAAGGATGAGCCTGAAGACAAGAACGAGGATGAGGATGAGGATGACAACTGTAGCACCGACAATGAGTTCGTGTCTGGCACGGATTCTGATGATGATGATGGTGTCTACACAGACTCGAGTGAGGTCGCTCCTCGCAAAGAGGCTCCTGTAATGAATTTGTGAGTTCTTCGCAATACTCTTGATCTGATTCTGAAAGCTGACCGAACCAGGCCATCGTCAATTCCGGATGGCATTGATGTCTACTGTGAGCCTATCACGCCGACGTACAATCTGATCATCATCGCCAGTCCAACAAGTCTGTTCTTCGCGGTGKTTTTCATCAATTGCAAATTCGAGGGACCTGTCACCTTTTACGGCTGCATCATCAGTAACACGACCTTCACCAACTGCACGTTTAGAGGCTCGTGCAGATTCGACAATGTGGCCTTCAGAGATGTGCAGGCGATCGATTGCACATTCGACAATACCTGGCTCTCGAACCGCAACTTCATCGGAGAGCAGATCAACGAGATCAACGATAATGATCGGCTCATCGACGGCCGTCTGGGCAATCGAGACACTTCCTGGCTCACAGATCAAGCGGACGCCCTCAGCTTCTACTCAGCCCAAGCTACAGCTGCGCAAACCGAGGTGGAGGAACTGCACGAAGACGCGGCCGAGACGAGCCAGGCACTGTTTGAGCCAACGAAGTTCGAGCCAACGAAGTTTATTCACGTCAATTTCGATGGAAATTGAGATTGGAAGTCGGCAGTGCAAGAGTCTGGTCAGCTTTGTACTGCATGGGCGTACTGAGTCGATCGAAGAGGCGGCTTCATCACATTGCGCGCGATGTTACTGCGTCAGAAAGATATAGGATTCGGGGTTGGCCCGATACTGTCTCTAACAAAGCTGTAGTTAGTTCCTCTAAGTAGCATCGAATGCAACAATGTATACTATCTGCTTCGGGGAGTCGTTAAATCATCGTCAGATCATGCTCTCTAATTGCACGTTGAGGCTCAAGAAGCGCCATAGATGCCATCACTTTCGAGGCTTTTGTGGTCGTGTCTCGCCGTTCTTATGCAAAATGAGGTCAGATGCATCAGGACTGAGGACTTCCCCAAGGCTACGGAGGTCCGCTCATAGAAAGGCCGCCAACTACTTTAATCCGTCGCCTGAATGGAGCAGAATATAGGCTCAAGCCTACCACGCGACTGTCATCAACAGAGCTGTCGATATGAAAGAATTATCAAAAAATCCGCGCCCTTGACTGCCCTCTCCGTTAAACAACGAGGCACTCTGCTAGTAATAAAGGTACTAGTAGCTCTAGAATCGTTACTCCTGCGGAGAGCAAGGCCTAAAGACGTCATAAAGACAGACTAGAAGTATCTTTTCTCGATGAAAAAAAAAATCCTCATATCGACAGCTCTGGTCATCATCAACCTCTACTCATTCATTCTTCACAGGCCCACCATTAGGCAAAGCAAAGCACCGCTCGACACTATCCCCATCATTCCCCCACCACTGCGGCATTTTCACGACCTTCCCAGCCCCAAAAGCCAAGAAGATCAACAACATATTCAAATTGAATCCCGCATCAAAAGCCGCCGCAAGGATATAATTATACCGACTCCAAAGCTCATAGCGATATCGATAAGCCCAGAACATGACGACGAAACCACCAATAAAGCGTGAGAAATATCCCGTGGAGATGTTACCGTAGAAAATCGAAGCGCCGGAGAAGAAAATGGTGGAGTTCCAGAGATGGAATTTCGCTTGGGGGAATAAGCGATGCAGAGCAAGGAGGATGATGGGGACGATGGCGCCGACGAGGAAGGCGTATGGGAGGGGTTTGAAGATGTCTTCTTTGAATAATCGTGAGGGACCGATGAGGACGTATTGGACTCCTGTGCTGAGTGATGTTGTGATGGTTTGGCCTGTCCAGATGTGTGCGGGATCTGTGGTGACTCCTRTGAGGTAGTCGCGTTTGGAGCTGAGGATCCAGCGCATCGTGCCGTAATTGATCGGGACGCCAATTAGTGAGCCATAGATTTGACTGACGAAGACTGCTCGGGGTGGAATGTGCATGTAGTGTCCTATTTTCTGGTCTTGTAGCATGTACTGTGCACGATACCAGGCGTCGCCTGCAATGGAACCGTAGACTGATGCGCCGGCTGGGTTGCGGTTGGAAGATAGGCTTTCGACCATTACGCCGTAGAGGAGTTCGTTGAAGGTGCCGATGGGGAGTTGGAAATTTGAGACTGCGAAGAGCCAGCCGAGCGGGATGATTGTGAAGGCTCCGGTGGCGATTGCAATGAAGTATGTCCAGACGGGAATGAATATTTGACCAGTGGCTGCTATTGTAACGAGACAGACAAAGGAGGCGAGGAAGAGTGCAAAGTACCACCACAGAGGTACTTCTTGGTAGCTCCGCATCAGAACATTCAGACGGTCGGTGTATTGATGGTTGATTCCCTCGCCTGGATTGTGTGTTCGCGAGCGGAACTTTCGGAAAGCTGCTTTGATCTGCCCCCCTCCAAAACAAAGCAACCAAGCGTATGCCGAAGTATACGAAGCATAATCGAAGAACATGGACCAAAGCTGCTGTGTACCCTGATAGACCGGTCCATTGGCATCGAAAGCGGTCTGATTGAACTGATTGCCAGCTGTGACCAGTTCTGCAACAGGATATACAGTGCCGTTCTCACGCAAGGGCCTGTTGGTTTGGAGGCCGAAGTGATATGAGCCCAGATTGCCGTACTGCGCCGCCGGCATGAGCACCCAACAGCACATCACGAACGAGCAGAATAGCACAACCTAGGTGWACAGTTTAGCACATCGTCTTAAAGCTTGTCTATCCGGACACCAACAWACCTGCGTCCACCAAGGACTTAGGAACAAGTTCACACCGGCATTGTAGTTCGACACATTCGCCTACAAAGCGGAAGGTACAAAGGTTAGCGGTGTTCGAGAGATTCTAGATGTGGACAGAGAATCATAGCGCATCAAACTTACCCAATCTAGAGTGAAGTTCAAGAACCCCATACCTCCTAGTCCTGATCCAAGGAAGTTCGCGACTTTGTTGTGAGGTGCCACCCAACAGAGGAAAGCCATGGAGCCGAAAAAGGGCATAATGAACTCAGGCATAAACTGCCACAGCGCAATGCCAAACAACACACTCCAGAAGACCCACATTTGCTTCTTAGCAGTCTTGGAAGGTGCCTCACGCTGTTTCTTCTGCGTTTCAAACAAGGCCGTCTGACAAAGTCTGAAATAATGGTCAGTCGGATTGAGGATATATCTTGATTGGGGTATACTCACGATTGAAACCAAGGATACGCAGGATCATACATCAATACCTGCCTCGCAATGGCAGCGAAGCTATATCCCGTCCACACGATTGCTAGCATGAAGAAGATTGACGCAGCAGCATTTACAGGTTGGTTGTAGTACAGATCTGCCAAGGCGAGCGGCGTGACACCCAAGTTGCCCGTAGCCCCTGAAGTCGTGGTGATGGTAATGAGAACATGTTCTTTAGTATTCCACGGGCCTGGGTTCATGCTAAAGCTCCACTTCGTGAATGGGACTCTGATCTTTTTCTTCGGCAAGATTTTCGCCAACCAGATCCCAACATAGTTGCTCGCGATCTGGACGAAGAAGACGCTGTAGGGTGCATATGTCGTCCGAAAGCTATTCATTTGGCTGAGAAAAGCGCCTGGAGCGACGAAGAGGGTTGCAAGGAGGAAGTATCGAAATGTCAGACATGGCTCTGTCGTATCGTCGTGAAGACTGACGACCCGAAGGACCTGGGGTGGGATGTCTTTGAGCTCTGGATCGAGTGGATCTTCCAGGTCAGCATCCGTTTCGACGATCTCTTCTCCGGCACTGGCATTCTTCTCTGCAGCACTGATGGTAGGCCGAGCATCGGAGCTAGATGCGCTGTGTGATGAGGAGGAGGAAACTTCTGCTTCTTTCTCGCTGCTCTCAGGTGCGTGACCACGCGAACGTAGCGCTGAGTTGGCCACCGAAACATCTGCCATGTTCGCGCATGGAAAGTCTTGGATTTCTGGAGAGCAACAAGGGAAGGCGGGCTTGGTATTGCTTATCTTGCGCCACAAGATTCGAGGTGAATCCGAGGTACGTCAGAAGGAGGCACACCCACTGCAGATCGAATTACTCCCGTCGAGGACGAATGGCGCAATAGCTGTATGTCAGGATTGTGGCCACCCGATGTAACCTCATCGTGCAAGTGTGAGCTCGAGCTTCTCGATTTCGCTCGGTGTCGCCGAAACCACTGCGGCACATTTTCTTGCCATGTTTTGATGAAAAAGACTCCGAGAGGTACTGCTGGGCTGCGCTTCACTGCTGCTGATGCACAGGTATCGGCGCGGCACAACGAAGTGAATGTAATGTGGCCGTTCGTGTGATGGCTGGCAAACATGTGTGAGGAATTCCACGCTCCGGTGGTCTACCGTACCGTGTCTGAAGGGAAGTTCGACGCCACAGCACTCCTGCGTGTGGTATCCGGGACGAGAGGAAGGAGAGAGGGAAAGCATACAGACAAGAAGAGAATTCGGCTGTTAAAGTTGAGAGACGCCACCCATGATGTCAAATATGTTTGTATCAACGTCCCTTTCCCCTCGCCTCCTCATTCCTTCTTCAACTAAAATCTCCGAAACATTTCTACAACAGCCACCAAGGCTTAGCATCTTCCGCCGGTTGCACAATTCTCATCCGCAAAGGAGCAGGAAGCACCGGGCGTGGGAAATCGATCGGTCTGGATTGTAGGATGATTATAGAGGCGACCATGATCATGGCTGGTGTGGTTCGATCGAGCATAATTTAGTGGTTGCAGGTTGTGACTTCGGAAGTTGTGGATAAAGTACATGAGAGATGGAAGGGAGTCGGGTTTCTTTGTTGAAAGCTTGGTATTGTTGTTTTCTCGGCACGTTCTGGGTCTATGGAGCACGGTGAGTGACAGTTAGGAGGTCAAAGAGCTTCAAGAGGGAAAGTATCGACAGAGAGGGATTCACAAGATATCATCATGAAGGCAGCGCTTCAAGTATTGAATTCAAAGATGGAGGCTTTACCATGTCTACAACTACCGGCAAAGACTACGTTGAAGACATCTTCCTCCCTCCAAGGCATACAACGGACTAACCGCGCGATAATGAGCGTCGCACATGTCACAACAGGCAAAGACGAAATAAGTAAAAGGCAATTTTCAAATCTCCAGACAATAAAGTCTTGAATTCCATTTGAAAAATCTCGCAAGTASAAGCCAAGTCTGAATCCCGTAAGAGATACATCCTTGAACCCCCAAAGATAGTTAAAGCAGCAGAAGTCAAACAGCTCCCTAAAAGAATAAGGTAGCGAACATTTTCCTCCCACGCCTCGGGTACAGAGAGCAGAAGAAATGATACTCCCCTCCATCCCATGCGCTTTCCTCCCGGAGAGCGTCGAAAAACCAAAATTCAGAGCAATAATAGCAACACAAGTAGTCCCATCAAATCGGAGCTCGATCCTCGACAAGGCGAATTCTGCACCTCATCTCCCTATGCTCTCACCATCATCATCATCTCTAGCATTTAAGAGTAGAGTAGATTTACTCCATAGCCTGGAGCTCGCACCCGTAAGTGCCAGAAGGACGACCTCCCTGGAGCGTGCAAGCCGAGTTGGTCTTGTTGGAGCGGAAGACCTGGAGCTGCAAGACGCAGCCGTAGGTGCCGGAAGGACGACCGGCCTGGAGGACGCAGCCGTAGGTGCCGGAGGGACGACCGCCTTGGAGGACGCAGCCGTAGGTGCCCGAGGGGCGGCCGGCGGAGAGGATGGTGTTTTCGGTGGAGAAAGCCATTTTGTTTTGGTTGGTTTTGGGTTGGTGGGTTGGTGTTTGGGTGGTTGTGTTGAGCGRGTGTGTTTGAGTTGGTGAGGAGAGAGTTTCGGTGGGTGGGTTGCGTGTGTTTAATAGGGTGTTGGATGGGTGGAGTGAGATGTGGTTGGTTGGTTGCTTTTCGTTGTCTTGGAACGTGTGGGTGTTTGTTTGAGGGAGGAGACGCGGTTCAGAAGAAAGAAAGGCGTAGATGAGGCGGAGAGGTACAATCGGAAGGGAAAGGGAGTGCTTAGTATTGTTGTGGGTGGATATGGGTGAAAAATCGACATTTGAAGCTTTGTGAACAGGCTTAGTATTGTACTTTTGGGACAAAGCCAAGACATATTCTTGGTGAGGATTTCGGAGCTGGACTACTGAGAACGTCTAGCTTGAGCTTTGGAGGCGAGTTGTGGCAAGTGATTGGTCAAGCTCGTTGTGTTGATGCATGGGCGAGAACGTGGGAAGCGCCTGAAGAGACGCTGACCCGGCTGTGTGCAATTTTGAGGCTGCCACGTGCATTGTCTCGAGGCCGGCCATGCTTCRAGTTGAGTGGAGACCATCGATACTTCTCTAGATCCGTGGCCAACCTTCTTTGAGCCGCAAAGAAGTCTGCATGTGTGCAGAGCCGATGGAGGTAGTACCCAGGCAGTGGGGTCCGAGTAGCGAAAGCCCCGTCGCTCTACACCACCGCACTCTTCGAGCGACAGGTGGTTTTGCAGGAAGCGAGATCGAGTGGAGATGCTGAAAGATATGCTCTCAACTTGCCATCGCGTGAGGCCTCCGGGGATCCTGGTGGGTAGCTGCAAAAATGTTCTGCCATCGCACCAGTCTCTTCGTGCGTGCTTCATTTCCCGCCCTTCATCATGGCACGATATCGCTCAATGACCTCTCTTCTCGCCGCACCCAGCTCTTCTCTCCTCGCCAAACTGCCACTCGCGCTAGGAACGTTGGCCACCTCAACTTTGGCCCCATTCCTAACCTTGAACTTCTCCGTAGGAATGACCTTCATCGTCGGCGGTGCCTGCGCAACATCATGCAAGCCCTTTCGCTCCTCTCTCCTTGTCTTCAAGACGGCCCAGGGATCCTCATCATCGTCCACCTCACCCACCATTCTCGCTCTCTTGCCCTTCTTTCCCACAAACTCGAACCGCACACTCTGTCCGCCCAATTCCGTTGATTTCTCCTCGTCTTCCTCCTCCTGTTGCTCCTGCAACTCATCCAACTTCTCCTTTCGCTTCGCATCGGCACTCCTCCACTCCGCATACATCTTTTTCATTCGCTTCTCCGTCTTCGTGACTCGCTCTCCCGTAGTTGCTCCCTTTCTTGCCAGTCCGCCCATGGGCAATGTCTGGTTGACTCGCGCCGCAAAATCTGCCAATCGTTCTCCCGGTTGAATTTTCAGCTGCTCTGCGATTTCGCCTTCTGCCGCCGCTGTGGCTGCCGCTTTATTCTGTGCTTTGGACGGTCCTCCATCTTTTGCGTCCTGCTCTTCCAGCTTTCGCTTTTTGTTGACAGCTTTTCTGCTCTCGCCGTTGTCCAATCCGGATCGCAACTTCTTCCCCGCATGCATGTCCATCAGCCGGGCAAAGGCGCGTGGAGTGTCATCTTCTTTGTAGACAGTCGTGCCACTTCGCTTCCGCTTGGTGGATTGAGGTGCTTGCTGAGGCCGTTGTCCTCGTTTGAGCTGTGTCTTATCCGTCTTTTGAAAGGCCGGGAGCGCTGTAGCGACTTTATTCGGCGGAAGGTCGAAGCTGGGAGGGAGTCAGATGTGGGAAATCTACACATTGTGAATTCTACATACTTGTTCTTATCGCCATCGCCGCGGCGCGTATGTTTGTKAGGCATATTGGCAAATGTGGACGAAGTCGAGGTTAATGCTGAATGCTAGATAAATTCTGTCGCAAATGCATGAGATCTACATCGACGTGACTAGCGCGAGATTAGTGCAGAACCCTTGCCCAAGATATTGATTAGATTTGACGACGAAGTTGATGCTCCTCAGAGTGAAAGGTTGACAGGGATTCTACATACATCCCAACTTCATCTCAAGGATATCAAGGTCTGCCTCCGTACTCGCTGGACATTTCCCGCCGACGCGCCACGACGCACTCGGATTCTCACAGAGCACATACATCTCTACCGCTTCTCCCTTCTGCTGAAGCTATGATGCGGGATAAACATCGTCAAAAGACATGATCATCACACCCGGCCTACCTTATGCTCACACATACTGCTAGGTAGAGTATGCAAGTCCCAGAGAGTTGGTTCTGAGTAGATTGTAACATGTGCCTCTTCTTCCAGCACACAACCGGTAGCCAGCGGGAGGCTTGAATGTAGTGGACCGGCACCTCCAGACTCGAGAGCTCTTACAAGCCAGGTCACTCGCGACGTTTCGCACTCAGCTGTTGAAGTAGTTCCGATGCCCTTGGACTGTTGCGTTGAAGAGGATCCCAAGCAAACGGGCATGCTACATTCGTCCTTCTTTCCAGACGCATTGATTGGTGATCACCACAAAGTCAAAGACGTCCCATCAAAAGACTCGGCTTGGCACACCTCTAGGAATGCAGACAGAACTCCGCACGCATGAAAGAGCGAGATTGCTGTGGTATGTCTACGATTTCAAGGTCGCGATGCTGAGTAAAGATGTCACAGACCCGAAAGTCGATCGTCCCTGTTCGATATAACGAGTTTCCTATTCTACTTCTCTTTGCCTTCTCTCAGTATCAACTAATGCTTTCCCTGCTGTTTGACAAAACTTCTGGAATGAATGACATCTCTTACACCCCACATCTCTCTGCATGTCCTCCCCACTCCCTCAACCCGTTCAACCGTAGATCGGGTATGCATCTCAATTCCTTTCGCTCAATTTCAGCAGCGTCTCCTCAAGTCGGCTCACGAAAGACGGCGAGTTACCACGATTCTTCTCTGGAAACATCCTTGCATACTCCTCAGCGCCCTCAAGTGCAAATGTAGCGCCTTTACACTTCATTTGCACAACACCAGCAATGCCTGTCAMAAATAGCTCCACCTCGTGTTCTTTAATCCACATTCCAGGACCCCTTAAACAGCCCCAGGTGAGTTTCGACGCTCTGTCCCCAGGCGTCCAGTCGGGTAAGGTGATGTTGAAGACAAATCTCAGAGGTTTGGCTGGGTCGGACGGAAATCTGGAGCAAGCATATCGCCAATCTTTGAAGAGTGGGTCCAAATCTAGGATCTCTTCTGTCCCTTCAACCATCGCAGATTCGAGAGTCTCGTCAATTCTGCGCGCGCTCCGGCGAAGTTCTTGCGGCCTGGGTACCTCATGGCCCCGTTGATCTTGAGAGGCGCTCTTCTTGCGGCATGCCGCCAATACACGAGGCAAGTGGAGAGGCGCCAGGATGTGAAGGTGGACAATGGCATTTTTGCCGCTCGTTTCATTTGGCAGTGCCCACAGCTCAGTCGGGTCGTAGACGTTGAAGATGTCTCGCTTCATCTCGGGGGCCGGAGCGGTCGAAGTGTTATGGAGGTATAAACGTGGACGGGCGTGGTGGTGTTAATGTCTGAATGTAGACACTTGAAGTGGTATTGATGTCTGGATGATGATGTGGTATTGGATGGGTTGACGTAGGGCCAAGGTAAACGCTTCGAACGGATGTCTGTCTCGGATGTGGAAGTCGCCAACCTTCGTCACTATCTTTTCAGTCCTTTTCCCAATGTCTACTTTAGCGGTAGCCACGGACCTTCTTAGCTGCCTTCTGTGGAGGCGATTCGCAAATAGTAGGTACTCTTCCCTGAATATATCATACAACCACTCCAAAGTGGCTGGCCTAGCATCACACAAGACTCACTCGCTGGACTGGAAAGATCAGATGCAAAGATCGAGCTGCTACGACATACACCGTACATGAACGGTTTATCAGATTGCAACACGGAGGTTGCTTTTGCCACAGATCTATCGATTACCGAAAACTTGGGGAATGCAAGGCTACTGTATCCGCGCTCAAGCTTCCATAAGTAGTAAAAGTCAGTGTTGTTGCAGCGAAGTGCGGACCTGTGATCAGAGCTTAGAACCGGCAATACCATTATCAGCGACCAGCTGACTCTGAGTAGGTGGGCATGTGGAAGTCCATTCCTGGTGCCAAGGGTGCAAGTACATTTCGCAATTCCAGGCCATCGAGTGTCACTGTCTTGCTGGCAGTTCGTGAGTGATATGACTAGGCTCGCCGCCGAGCCGCTGTACAAGGGCTGTCGTAGATGACTATCATTCAAGGCCAAACATCGTCCCTTGTAGCCCACGATGTAGCGTGCAGGTGGTTTTTGTCGCGTTTCATCATATGACTGCTATTGGCTCTTTGACGGTCGCAAAATCTTCGTTGTCAACAGAATGACATGTCCATGAACATTCATCAAATGAAGCGCGTGAAGCTCCGGACGGATACGCGATAGTCTGGCGATCCTGTTCTTATGCAGGGCGTACATTGTTCAAAGCGAGATGGTGTTGAAAACAGGTAGGTCTAAGGTAAATTTTGGAGATGATGATCATTTTGCCGAACTAGCGTAGCTTCAAGTTCGTCCCACCTCTCGACAACCAATCTCCAACTCTCCTCCATTCAACAACACCAAGATGCCTTTACCGTCGAGTCGCATGACCAAGCAGCCTGCGCGGCCCACACGATATTTCCCCGGCAAAGCGCTTGCAGAAGATGCGCCATCAGACGACGAATCCGATGAAGAGGCAGAGGAGGAGGAGCAACAAAAAGCACCCAAAGCACCAGCACCTAAAGCGACTTCATTTCCGAAGAAACTTGCCGTAGATCTCAGCAAACCCATCATCTCAGCTTCTACCCCTGCGCCCAAACCAGAAGATGATCTAGAAGGTTTCGTGACTGCATCTGAGTCCTCGGAAGATGAAGGAGATGCAGCCAAAGCCGGTAGTGGGTCTGGAGAGGACGAGTCGGAGGAGGAAGATAGTTCAGAGGAGGAAAGTAGCTCCGACGATGAACCCAAACGACCTATGCTGGCTCCCAAATTCATCTCCAAGGCCAAGCGTGCTCAACAAGCATCTGCAACACCCGAGGTCACAGTCAAGGACGAGGAGCGCATACGCAAAGAGAAGGCTGATGCCTTACTACAGGCGCAGATAGAAAAGGACATTGCATTGCGGGCTATGGGAAAGAAGAATTGGGACGATGATGATATCGAAGACGAGGTGGACGATACAGATGATCTGGATATTGAGGCAGAGCGTGCAGCCTGGAAACTTCGCGAGCTCAAACGAGTGAAGAGAGATCGGGAAGCTCTAATCGCGAAGGAGAAGGAGCGGGAGGAGGTCGAACGCAGAAGGAATATGACTGCTGAGGAGCGGGAAGCTGCCGATCGGGAGTACATTGCCGCGCAGGAAGAGGAGAGGGAAGGCAAAGGCAAGATGGGATTCATGCAAAAGTACTTTCACAAGGGAGCCTTCTTCAACGAGGACAACGAGGAGATGGACGAGGAGGTCCGCGAGGCTTTGAACAGAGATACGGCAGGGAGGAAGTTTGTGGATGATACAGGAGACAAGGCGGTCCTGCCTGAGTACATGCGTATTAGGGATATGACGAGATTGGGCAAGAAGGGCAGGACGAGGTATAAGGATCTGAAGAGCGAAGACACCGGGAAATGGGGAGAGGCGGGTGGCAGGAGGAAGGGTGACTTCGATGGGTTGGATGAGAGGTTCAGGCCGGACGAGAGAGCGGGAGGTGAGAGGACGGGAGCGAATGATGTTCCTGTGGGAGAGAGGCGGCGGCGAGAGGACGACGGAGGGAGGAACGGTGAGGGCAAGAGGCCGAGATATGATTGAGACGGTCCAATTATCCTTGAGATTGATATTGACATTGATGGGGGTTGATTGATTTAGCGAGGCGTTGGGAGTGATTGTACCTATACCTTAGCCTGGAGCGCTTTTGAAATTCACATGCCATCTTCTTGTTGGCGGCAGCTCCGACCGGTCTTTCTTTTGAACATCTTCTATTCTTCGCATTGATTCACATTCGGTCCTCATCTCCACTTTCATCTAGCCAACGCCGTGAAAATTCGGCTCCTGCCGAACCTGAACCAATGACTCGCGCGCTCAATCCGACTTGAACCAACCTTCACTTCCAACATCCGCCGCGCCCGCATCAATCTTTATGCCAACAAGACTTCACAACCCGACATGACCGAAAATGACGGACTCGATGGACGACTTGATCGAGCATTTGCTTGACAAGATCTCATTGACCAGATCAAGAGGTGTGTTTTTGGATATCAATTTCTCGCGACATTTGGTGTCGGTCGCGGCTCGTGCGGCGGCAAAAAGATTGCGTCGGGAATACGCTCGAGTCGACCAGACCAACACTTCAATTCGGCTTGTGCTGATGAGATACTAGGCTTCACTGCCGTTGATTTCGAAAAGGCGGTCCGTAGCTTTTACGACCGCAAGAATCATGAGATCGAGGTTGAAGAGGACAAGATCATCACCGACGAGAAATTGATCGAGTCTGCCTTCACTCGTCTCTCCGAGCACGAAGATGCCGATATCCAAGACGATGACCAGACCCTTGCGGATCAACAAGACGATCAGATTGCAACAGTTCAATCCAAACTAGCAGGTAAGCGTATCTCCACATCCGAGGAGAGACTATGGCAGCATGTTGCCGGACATGAAGTCGATGTGCTTCGTATTCCGAGTATGGAGTTTGAATTGCTTGTGATCATAGCCCAACATGGCCCAAGGGGGATTCTTCAACCCAGAGCTGGCGAGCTCGCTGGGCAGGATAAGCGTTCAATCCCACTGCGCACCGACAAGCTTGCAGACAAGGGCTACATCACCAAGTCAGCTGTAGTGGCCAAACATCTCAGGACAAGTTTGCTTGTGCTGAAAAAGTGGGCTACAAGTGACTCTACGGCAGTGCTCACGGGCGGTATACTGCATTTCGATGCTCTTTTCGACACTACCATTGCTCTGCTCAAGGACAATGGCAACATCATCTCCATCGATGATCTTTACCTGGGCCTGGACCCGAAAGCTAAGCTGAACAGAAAGATTCTTCTCAGAAGTTGCCAGCGGCTTTCTCAGACAGGTTGCACGAGACTGCTTCGCTGTCGTGTACAAGACGAGGACGGTAATCCTATCATGAAGGCGCATAGCAAGGAAGAGAAGACCGTCAATGCCATTCAGCTTCTGAGGGAGCCCACCGCTGACGACAAATCCATTTGGGTGAACTTCAGGAATGGTTTAAGGGCAATTGGAGTGAGGAAGTCAAGGGCGAGACCGACAGGTAGTGGAAATCAGGGCTCCGGTGAAGACGATGACGACGATGAGGAGGCTGCGGAAGATGATGATACCGAAGGCGGCGACGAGGATGCCGAGGGTGAAACGGACGACGAAGCGATGGTGTTTCACTCGATGAGAGACACCACTTCCGAGATGCCGCCACCTGATTCCACACAAACACCGTCACGACAAAGCAATCGGGCCCGGAGAAAGTCTAGCTTGGCCCAAAGCGCGGAGTATGCGCGGCTTTTTGAGGAGGAGCAAGACTACAGCGATCAGGATGCTGAGTATAAGATTGCGGAGTCCGCATCGTCGGACAGCATGACGCGAAGTGCGTCAGGCACTGCAACTACAACACCACGTCCACAGAAAAAGCATGGCCGGCTGAGAAAAACGCCCATCAAGGATGGCTCCGCTGTTCGTTCACCTGCACGTCCCCTAAATTCGGCTAGTAGTTCCGGAGAGCCTGGCGGCGAAGTCACTGGCCGCTCCATGCTCGATGGCACCCAGGCCGAGATATCAACGGCTGCACCTGGCACTCTTACGAACGGCGAAACTCCATTATCTTCAAAGCGTCAAAGAAAGAAGTCGAGCAAAGCACTCGAGGCCGACGCTTTGCGAGCCGCTGGAGAGCCACTTCTCACGGAGCCCGTCGACGATGCTGAAATGGATGATAACTCGGACGCCCAAAGTGTCGATAAGACAGGACATGCCGACAGCGATGATATGCACGGTGATGATGTCGACATAGGCACAACTCCTCGGACGCCTATTGGTCAAGGCCAGAGTAAGAAGAGTAGAGTTCCCCGCAAGAAGCGTGATTCAGTCAAGAAGGACAAACCCCAAAAGAAACGTGAGCCAATCGTGAAGAAGCGAGAGATCCCTCCGGAAGAGTACGAAGAATACGAAATGTACGCCCAAGCAGCCGCCGAACGTCAAGTCCGCCTCGAGATGAAGAGCAGTGGCAAGCGTACTGCTACCATGGCCGGGCTTGATGGCCTTGTCGAGCAGCCAAACAAGGTCGCACGTACTGATGAGCAAAATACCGCTGAAGGCCGCGTTGAAGAAACCGAGCCACAAGCCGTCGAACTTCCCGCCGATCGTGTTGCAGAGGTGAAGGCTTCGATTATCGCTCGTGAGAGACCTGGAGTCTACATCAACCCACCTGGCGCTCGGAACACTAAACTCGAGAACTACGTTCAGCGTGGCAGGCCTAGGAACGCAATCATTGCAGTTGTTAAAAGCGATGGCTTGAAAGAATTTTCTTGGTTCAAGGACGATGGCGGGCCGCGCTTTGCTCCCAAAGCCAGTCGGAGGAGAACCGCACGGATCGGTGAAGGCCTGGCAGAACTCGAGGAAGACAAATCTCCATTCTTTGTGGAAGGCAGTGGCTCCGAGGTGGAAGAAGAGATGAGAAGCAAGAAGAAGCGGAAGGTCATTAAGGGAGAGGGGCTCTTCCGGCTCGAGAAGAAAGACGGCGCGCCGACTGCTCAGCCGGTGGCGGGACCGGGGAACTTTGGTACACTCGGTCTCGGGCTTGTTGGGGCCGCCGAGGAGGATCCAATCCAGGACGATTCTGAGGTGCAGGAGAACGTCACTCCAGAAAGCACCTCGTTGAGACGAACCAGCCGAATCAGCAGGCGTCGATCCCTGGGATTTGATCTTGCACCTATTGGAAGCGATCAGTCGGACTCGCCGGATGCTGTCGAGGGAGTAGCGGGTAGCAGCACGCCGGAAGATCCTATTGCTGCTGCGAAGCTGGAGATGGCTGCTCTGCAACGAAAGAGAGGCCGACCTCTAGAGCAAAACGTAATTCGCATGAGAGTTCTTCAACGAAAGATTGACCTTGACGCTATCGCGAAGCAGAAGGAGACAAAAGATTCGATGGATACAACTGCTTCTGTTCAGGGTGGAAATGAGTCTGTAAACGGATTTCAAAAGACCGCAACCTCTGGCGCTCCAGACAAGAATGCTGTTGTGGATGAGAATGCCCGAGCCTTGGCTGCAGAGGCGGAAACGCCTACGCTTGAGAAAACGGATGCAATCGCTCAGCCTGAGACTATGGTGCCTGAGTCTGGAGATGAGACGATGTCCACTCAGCAACCTAATGGCACTGAAGATRTTGCGGTTGAGGCGGCTGAAGCAGGTGCCGTTGAAGCCACTCTCATGGAACAAGCTGATGAGCAACTTGAACAGGATCCACCTGGTCAGACGCCCGTCTCAGAGTCTAGTGGACCTTCAGTGAGACTAGATGCAGCCGAATCTACTGCAGAGGCGGAGGTGGAAAACATGGAGGCTGGTGTTGAGGCAGGCTCGGCCGTCGACAATAGGCCTGCCGCGGCTGTGCCAAGTATACCTCTGACTCCCAGCGTCGCCTCAGCAGAAGACACGCATACCACGGGGCCGCAAACTGTCGACAACGAACGTGAACTTGTGCTGAACGGATCAAGCAGTGCTTCCGTCAATCTTCCTCGTGGGCTATCGATAGCCCATACCTCGGCAAGCTTCAGGATACAGGACGGTAACCTGCAAAAGCCTCAGCATACTACGATGCTCAGCGTGACGGCGCCATCAGTCTTGTTGGCAGGCCTGGACGCACCAGAAACAACAATCAGAAACAACACACCCCAGCACGTATCAACGACCAAGATCCAGAACGAAGCTTCCGGGATCGCGTCGGCTTCAGAGAAGCCCGAAATTGCCTCAGATGCGGTCCGACAGTCGAGCGTTGTGTCAGCCAAGCCGAGCACTTATCCAGAACTGAGAACTGGTAAGTCTAGCTCCCTGCCAGAGCTTTTCACAAAGCAGTACGTAGCCGATCATCCCGACGAAAAGTTCCATTACCGCGGAGGAGGCAAGTACGCGCGTGGCGAGCGCTTCAATCAGGCTTATGTTGATAAGCACCCGAATGAGAAGTTCTATCGTGTTGCAGGGGAGGGAAGCAGGATTAAGTTTGCGAGGGTAGAAGATGCTGATGAGGCGCCGAGTGGAAGCGCTGCTGCCACTGTTGCCGCACTGMCGGCGATTGATCCTACAATCACAACGCCGGGCTTGACCACTCTGGATGCTGTTGATGGTGCAACTCAGCAGATTCACCCATCGATCGCGCCTGGAGGCGTGCAGACAGTATCCAATGGTCAGGACACAGATCAAACCATTGCAGAGCAGTTGCATCAATCGAGGGAACATCAGACATCATCGACTGTGGCTGAGAAGCGCTCTGCTTCGATTTCAAGAGCAGAACCTGAATCTGCAACCGATACGGATGGCCCGGTGCTAGCACGAGGCGATCATCCACCCCCGGAACCGCAAGTCACCACGCCCGTTCCAGTGGAGCAGACATTCAAGGAGGCTGAAGTTCGAAATCCAATTACCACGGATTTGCAGGATGTCGTGTCTGGCTCCGCGGAGCAAAGTCTACGGAAGGACGAACCGGCAGGAACAGCAGTAACCACACACGAGCAGGCTGCTACTCATATTGCCGCAGGGAAGTTTCCGCCCGCGGTCGAAGTTGATAGCCCTGCCCCAACACCAGCAGCTCATGCCTCTGGAGAACTCGCGCAATCTGGTACCAAGCCACGCAAGAGAGCTAAGAAGCAGACCAAATCCCACGATCCTGATAGTAAATCCGACGATCCTGATGCTCCAAAAGAGAAGCGCAACGACAAGTGGCGAGAGAAGAGAGCTATCGACATAGAAGAGCGTTTCGACAAGGCGTATGTCACCGCGCATCCAGATGAGCATTTCTACCATCGCGGCAAAGGATGGTACTCTCGTGGGCAAACAGTAACCAAAGAGTATGTCGAAGCGCATCCGGAGATGACGTTCAAGGAGGTTAGGAGCATATTCGTCTTGTTGCCTGCTGCAGACTCTCCAGTCCGGGAGAGAACGCCGCCGCCGGAAGTAGAAATGAGTGAGCCTCTCAATCAGCAACTGCAGAGTGCAAGCACTTCGAACGGCTCGTACAAAACGTGTAGCACGGACTATGTTGAGAATCACCCCGATGAGACGTTCTATCATCGTGGTGGTGGGAGGTGGTATCCTGGTCTACCTCCTGCTGGCTCGGCGATCAAGACATCTGTGCGTGGACCTGGCGCGGAGCTATGGAAGATTCAGGCCGAGAAAGCACTCAATGCTGCTATTTTGGCGCGGGCGAAGATCAATTTTACAACCTCTGCAGGATCTGCAACACCGCCTCCGGCATCTCATACTGCGGTGACTCCCATTTCTTCGCTGTTGACCATTCACAAGCCCTACATTCCGCAGCCTGGCCAGATGCAAGTCAGTTCACCCTCAAGGCCAGCGATGGCGATTGGCAACAATCAGCATGGCAAGAGCAAGGGCGAGACTGAGACAGTGGCAGCTACTACTGAGAATGGCGACGTTGAAATGACTGATGCCGCAGACGAAGGACAGCACCGCCAGCGTAAGTCCACGGCTTCGACAAACGCGGATCAGATCATCGACGATGATGGAGACATTGACATGCACGAAGAAGGCGACGATGAAGATCGTTACTTTCCACCTGTTCAAGATGAAGATGCTGATGATGATGCATACACCCCTGCTGGCAAGCAGCATGGAAATTCTACACAGCCCAGTCGCGCTCCTGCTGGCCAGCAGTCACAGGGCAAGATTTTCTTCCCGGTGGACCTCTCAGCTGCAGTCATCGTACGTCGCACTGAGAAACAGAAGCAGCAGCCAGCAAAGCCGCCACCGACAAAGAGGAGAGCACGTCTACAGACAGTCTCCAAGTCCAACGATGATCATGTAGTAGACTTGACAGAGAATGGTGAGCAGCAAGGTTCCACGAAAGCTGCGCCCAGGATGCCTGCCCGCGGATCCAAGATATCCAGAGACATTCGCCTCCAGTCTCAGCGCGTCTGGCCGTATGGAGTGTCCCCGCTTGTTGAAATGCCGGCTCCGGCTTCTGCGCTACTTATGCATCCGGCACAAAGCTTCCACCCGGAAACTGGTACATTCAGTACTGCTGCTGAGTTCATTTCTCCACCGGAGAAACAAGGTCGTCGTGGTCTCAGGCCCCGAGCCAGTCTTGCAAAGCTGCCCCAAGCTCTAGAGGACGATTTCTGCGAGGCACCTGGACTGATTGTCAAGCTCAAGATCAAGAATCTGGCATCTGTGCTTCCTCCTGATACAGCCTTCGAGTCTGGACTATTCGCCACCAACGCAGCGTCGGATGCCGTCCCCGTTTCGAGGATAACTGGAAAGCCAATGCGACCTTACAATCGGCGTTCGAAGAAGGTATCCTTTCAACTCGATGATTCAGATGGAGATGAGTTTCAAGATGATGGCGAGGTGGAAGTGGATGATGAGGATGATGACTCTGATGAGCTCGACATGTCCGACGAGGAAAATGCAGCAGTGGCGAGACCCGAACGCCGAAAGCGCAGCACTGGCATTAACGGAGAGATCAGAATCCGTGACATGGCCAGCGGACCGGCATTCAAGGACGCTGATCGCCTCGTCATCGCTTTCGCTCTTGTTGCTGCTGTCTGTGGAGGTCTTCGCGTTGAGGGTATCAACTGGACACTCATCGCCCACGCTCTGGGATTCCGGTACGATGGGAACTTTTTGCGGCGCAGATGGGATCACTTCAAGAGGACGCGGAAGGTCGACGTGGACAAGCTCCGCGAGGCGATTCACGAGCCCTTTCTGGCGGCCTACGAGCATGATGACTTTCCCCGGGTCGACTTCCAGAATCTGAACAATACGGACTGGCCAGCGTTGTTTGATTGGGTTCAGGCAGCTGTGGTTCCTCACGTTCAGCTCCAGCCCAAAGATGAAGGACCAAAGGCGCCGGATTTGCTTCGTTCAAGGCAAGAAACCGAGGAACACTTCGAAATCAAGGAGCCTCCAAGTCTCTACGAGGTTCGTCTGGACGAGTACTTTGTTACTGGCACTGAGCAGAACCGACGATCTCTCATTACGAAGTACACCTATGGCAGTGCGCTACCTGGCGAGCTGAGACCGAAGGATCAGGTTACTCAAGACATGGCTCTTCTAAGATCATGGGTTCGGGCGGTCGCTGTGACGAAGCAGTACAACTACCATCCAGAGGCCGCCGCTCAGAAGCTCCGTAAGTTCAGCCCTGATATGCTACAACAAGTCACTGCCGAGATGATCGAGAACCGTACCTTTTCTCAAGAGCGGAAGAGTCGTATGCTGCCTGGTCGCAACTATCAAATCTCCAATGAATGCCTGCAAGTCTTCAGGAGATGGCCTCCACGACCTCATGAGTGTCGCTTCTTGAGGTTTGTGGCACAAGCTTGGAAGAATATCAACACCCACTTTCAAAGCCAAGATCAGCTCTCGCTGGTACCCTCTGCCTCAGATCCGGAATATCTTGTCTTGACGAACATGTCTGCACAGGGTCTGATTCGCATGTCGACGACTTATCCAGAAATCAAGAATGACTACGATGCTCCGTACCCGAAGCTTTCGCCATGGGGATATTGTGGTCCGACCTATGAGACCAAGAAAGTCGACATGTCTCGGCTCAAATTTCCGATCGTTTACACCAAGACTGCAGCTTACAAGGACGACCACCCACTTCTCAATCATGTCCCAATTCCACTCTACCCGCCTCAAATAGAGGGTGAGATTGGAGTGCGGACCCCATTCTGGGTGGACATCCATGGCAATCTGATTGATGATGTGTGGGATATGGTTCTGAGGTCGGTTCTACATCTGTTGGTTTTCAGATCTGGATCTACGGCCAACATGATCGAGCAGGCACATGGCAGGAAACTTTGGGCATGGGAAATTGAGATGGCGTTGGAGTGGATGAGGGAAGTGGGGATTGCGGAGAGGATTGGTGCGGGGAGAGTGAGGGAGGATGGGACTTGGAGTGGTGGCTGGAGAGCGGGGGAGTGGTGGTATTGTGCTTTTACGCCAGAGGTTGCTAGGTGGGAGGCACCGACTGCGGAGTAAGGCGATATGAAGGGATGGAAGAACAAAAGCGCGTTTTGCTGGAGTGGTGTGTCATGCACGTGTAGTGATATCCCGAGATCAGCACTTTTGAAAAAACATCAGCCATAGAGCTTTTCTCAGTCTTCCAAATTCACTCATCGTTGTGGCGTAATTCAGGGGTAAAGTTTGCTCGGATTCGCCTGAGAGAGGTACCATAACATCAGATAGAGAGCACAGCTGCATCCATCGTAAGTAATAATCGCATCTCGAGACTCGCAACAGTTGTCCAGCAGTTGAGACTTCTCGTAGCACTTCTGAGAATGCTCTTGCCTCCGGGAGTTCTACCGCACAGACCCACCTTCCGCTCCGCTTGGAATTGAAATGTAGACATTCTGTCCTACAAACACCGCGCGTTGCACGTCCTAAAATCACCGCCCGCTCCACGTCCTACCATCACCGCACATCGCGCCTTTCCGCCACTTCTGCACGACGACCTTTCCCATAATGGCATCCAAAGTACTCGTTCCGTTGAAGCGTCTCTCAGAAGAGAGACGTCACGACGCTGTCGCAGCATGGGTCATCAACAAGGAAATCATGGGGGAACTGAAGCAATTCAAGAAAAGCGAGATCGATCGCCCAGCGCGGTATGAGGAGCTACGGCAATGGCTGGGTCTCGACCACGATGTTTGGGTCTCGAGAGGAGCAAGTACTGTCGAGATGGCATGCAACGCGCACGACACCCCTACCGACAAAGTCATGATCGACCAAGAGGGCCTACAGAAGAGAGTTATGCTCACACTGAGGAGACTAGTCGCTTTGACTAAAGTAAGTCATGGTCTAATCATAGCGTGCTTTTGTGTATCTAACATCTCAGCAGGTTCCCGGAGCTGCCCAGTATCCCCAAGGATCTGCAAATTGGGTGAAGTGGTGCTACCAGGCGACTATGGACCTCCTATTTGCAGTGCTCTTCGACCCTCAGCATGATCATAGTAACGAAGGCTTTTTCGCGAGGCGACTGCAAGGCGCCCCTGTGCTCGCCTGGCAAGCGAAAAAGAGGAGTAGCACACCCGCACTACACAACAAAAAAGCCACTCCCAAGCGCCGAAGGGAGACACTCGTTGGTCCTACAAAGAAGAAGCCAAGGGCTGAGCGCGAGAGCTCCGAGCCACTCTTCGTAAGCTCTCAATCTGGGACACCGCCTCCCAAATACGAAGAAGAAAACTACGAGTGTCAGATAGCCAAATGCATAGACAAGAACTGCCCCGGAACTGCCGCAAAACACCGAGCCAGCGTCAAGATCAGAAGGGATGGAGCAGAAAGCAAGGAGGAAAGGGACGATTGAGCAATCTTGTACAGTTATTTCAACATGGGAATGAGGAACAAGAGAGTTTTGGGCAGCTGCACCACCAAGGAGGAGTTAATGGAAGCGGCTGTGAAGAACGCAGTAGACGACCAACGTTCAATCTTGGATCTGAAACAAAAGTTGAAGATTGCGAGGAGCTCGAAGAAGTAGATTGCGGCTTGCTTTTAATAAAACTATACTGCATGAAATACTATGGACGTCTGCTATCGACCATTCTCTAACGTACAAAAGATCACCTTGCTATGTAGCTCCATAGTAGACTGTTGAAGAGTCGTTCCGATCGTGAGAGCACACTTGGAACGTAAGATCTCGATAGAGTGGTCTTAGACTAACAACCTGGTGTATATATGGCGGGAGAGCACGCCGCGTAACGTGCCTAGCCAGAATTTTGTTGCGTGAAGCTATGAAGACGTTTACTATCGACTACTCTCTAATATGTCTAGGATCACTTTGCTACTTAGCTCTGAAATAGGCTGTTAAAGAGTCATCACGATCGTGAGAGCAAAATTTATTCGTTAGATACCAATGAGGCGGTTCTAGCCCGAAGAACTGCGGTATGTGTAGCGGTAGAGCGCGTGACGCGTCTAATCAGAGTTTTGTTTTGTGAAACGATAAACTATCGACTACTCTCTAACATATGTAGGATCACTTCGCTACCTAGCTTCGCATTAGGCTGTTAAATAGTCGTTCCGATCGCGAGAGCACATTTCATGCGTTAGATACTAATAGGGCGGTTCTAGCCCGAAGACCTATGGGATGCGTGGCGGTAGAGCGCGTAACGCGCCTAATCAGAATTTTGTTACGTGAAACTATGAAGTATCGACTACTCTCTAACATATGTAGGACCACTTCGCTACTTGGCTCCACGTTGGGCTATCAAAGAGTCCTTCCGATCGTGAGAGCACATTGTGATTGAAAATTCACCTACATGCCAAGAGAATCCATCCTTGCTAGCTCAGTCAGCCAACGGGAGCGGGAGCGGCAGCCGCAGCCGCATATAAGAAAGCTTCTCGAGCTCATCAAGCTCTTCTCTTCCTCTTCATCAAACTTCATCACCAAGTTCACCAACTCTACCACCAACTGTCGGGAAGTCGGTCATCTCTRCCACTCATTGCAGGTGCAAGCGGGGTCACGTATAATTGGGCCCAAGGGACGGCGTTGGAAACATCCCCCCCACCCATGTGACGTGTCTAGCTCTCCTCAGTTCGACGCAACAGCTGATGGCCGAGCGGTGGACGGGCCTGAGACGCGGTTTCCGAAACTGCCTGCGCTCACCCGCACACCGAACGAAGACAACGAGCCCCAGCGGCGTCACCAACGTCGGGAAATTGGTCATTGCCGTCTTTCTTTGCAGGTGCAAGCGGCGTCACGTATAATTGGGCCTAGGGAGCGGCCTTGGAAACATCCTGCCCCACCCATGTGGCGTGTCTAGCTCTCCCCCTTTAATCGGAGGTAATGGCTGAGCTGCATACAGGCGACTCACTGGCATGCAGCACGAAGACACGGCGGAAACCCTCAGCCGAAGCTCAGGCTTCCGCTATCGACTACCGGAGTCGCAGGTATGTATCCCCGAAACTTGACGCTGACCCCATGAGTTGCATTGGCCTTGCGCCGGTGTCTTGAGGGGACAGCTGGGCATCGAGCCTCGCCGAATATTACTGATAATGCTCCGCCGTGATGCGTACATCCGTCTGCGAGCAGGACTGTCAGATTTTCGCGATTATGACGTCTTTCCCCGCGGTCTGCTTTGGATTTTCACTGAGTGTGAGGCCAGCTGGTCAAAGGCTGATTAAGCCACTAGCGCGCTTTTCGTAGCCTAAGGTACCTATTCTCGCGAACCCGCCATCAACTTCTTCACATCAATGAGCATCATCACCAAGCAACTGTCAGGAGAATTCACCACATTGCGTCACACATCCTCTAGGGATGAGGGCGATGTCTGGTATAATTGGGCAAGATGTGTCACACATGAGGCATGACTGCAAACCCCACCACAGAGAGGGCAGAGGCGTCGACTGAGCTGAATACAGAAATTGCACCTTCTGTTACACTCCTGTCTACAGCGAGTGTACCCTCTGGTACCATGCTGCACTCCTGACATGCAGCACGAAGATATTCGCGGTCCACTGAACCAAAGCTCAGGCTTCACTTCTTCTGACTGCCAAAGTCGCGCGTACGTATGGTGTGGCATATTACACTGACACCATGAGCACGTTGGTCTTTGGGTTGTGGCTTAGGGGATAACACCGTACCGCAGCAGCAGCCGCTGACCTAGTGCGCGTGGGACGATGTAAGCGCCACCACCAACTCGACAAGAATCGCGATGTCACCGGCGAGCGCGCAAACGATATTCGGCACAATCAGTAACATCTTCTTGTCTTCGAAGAACGTCGGCAGTGACGAGGAAGCAGTTGTGGCTTGGGTTCGGGTCAAGCGCGTCGCAGGAATACTGCGACATTTAAAACGCAACGAGATCGACGTGCAGTAAAGTGCGGTGATGCTTGCATGACTCACTGGGGACTTGAATACACTTGGGAGATCTTGTACGCTGGCAAGATGGCGGGACTGGCTACAAAACTGCATGGAACCACGTCTGAGGTCGAACAAGAGGCGAACGAGCTGGATTCACGGAATTGTATTGAGACCACCTGTTCACAACACCCTCACAAGGTGTTATACAATCGGACTGATCCACGACAAAGCTTTACCCAGCTGTACTGAGACTGGTGAAGTAAGTGGCSGACTTGACATTGCACCCATGAGCTCGGACGTCAAGACTCTTGTTGGTACAGCAGCTGTAACGCCGTCTCGCTCGACATTAGCGTCGAACGATATTCGTGCTGGTGATGGAAAGTCTGGTGAATGCCGCTCAGGTTCGTGATCGACAGTAGACCCGATGATATTCCCTTTCCTACCATACCACCGTACTGTTTCAGCTCACTCACTCCAGCGAGCTCGCAAGGAGTGAGACCGTTGTCTATATTACGAGATACTCCTTAGCAACGCGATTGAATGATCGATGCTCCCTTGTTCAAGCAATCTCATCCTATAATAATTCGAGTTGTGGTGGCCACGTAGTCTGGCATGTGACAATCCGAAGTATACGAACTGCCAAGCTAGGGTTAACAGGAACGTTTTGCTTGTCACTACGATTCCATCGCATTTAACGAATTCTTGATGGACCGCCTCTCTTATATGGAGTTGCACCTTCAAGAACATAGCTAACCTAGCCAATTCTCTTCAAAGCAGTCGGGAATATCCGGACGTACTCTGAGTACCCCGCAACAAGCTTTGCCTTCACGCTACCGCCACGAACAACACAGACATCAACCCCTGTGGCTTCTCCGTCGACAACACAAGTTACATGAAGCATTGCACGAGAATCCATGCTTCTCAGAGCCTCGGAGAAGATCTCGGACGGCCTGACTTATCGCCGTGGATCTCAGCCAGGGGACCGCTGTTAATGGGATGAGCACCGACTGCTTGCATGTTGCTGGACTGTACCTAGTCACAGTCAGCAATCTCATGACCTAGAGTCCAAGCTTGAGCGCCAGCAAGTGCGCGCTCCACAAAGGTTATTCGTACTATGTTCAGAAGACAAATACCACATACGATAGATGATGGTAGAATGTCTTCGAGCAATTGCATACATTGGCCATTCACTACGCAGTCGAGCCAATTTGCAGTCAGTCGGCTATCCACTGCGATGAAGCACATGGCGAGATAGTTGATGGCAAGGACAAATCATACGCCTGCTCTTACAATGTTTGTGGCTACGAGAGGGACAGTGAGTAGCCAAACTCCCCACACTGGGCTTTTGCCGTTGGTGCTGACACCTTAGGTACACAGCGGAATCCTATCAAACAGTTGCCGATTACGCTGGCGTGGATCTCTCTGGAATCACGACTTGGAAACACCTGGCTAGAAGGCGCCAATTGCACCAAAGTACTCTTCGCAAACACAGACTCCACCTCAGTCCGTCCCGTCTGCGTTGGGATCAACTCTACCATAGTGCAGCCATCGCCCATGAAGAGCAGCTCGAGCTCGCCGACTACGACTGGTTCACCGACCACTTCCGGGCCATTTCTGCCAAAAAGATCAGGCTATATTGAGACATGTACGAAGTTCTAWGAAGGAGCTTAGTAAGACAAGAGATTACGCTACTATATCCACCTTACCCATGTATTTTATTACTACAAAGCAGAGCACTGAGTAGCGTACCCAAGGTCTCGGGAAAATGGACTGACGTCTTCCTCCTACCTCACCTGAAGGAACATTTCAATCATGCTCGTGATTCCGCCAAAGAAGCTAGATATTGATAGGTAAGTATCTAGGTCCCGACTTCCACAGCTCTGTCAGCAGCCATGCTCGAGACGGTGCCAGCCACGATCCTCTCAGCTCCCATCTTTTCTGAAAGTAACCTCCTCAGGATCTTTCCACTCCCATTCCTAGGGATGGATGTAACAAACACCACGCCACCATCAAGAGCCTTGTACCTCGCCATTCGGCAGGCTACAAACTCTTCGACGTCCCGCTCCGAGAGGCACTGTCCGGGACGCACCACCACGTATGCACGAGGAAGTTGATCTCCCGGGTATTCGTCCGACATGGCGACGCCAACGACGGCTACGTCGAGGATTGCGGGATGAAGAAGTAGTGTCGCCTCTAGCTCCGAGGGAGAGACTTGCCATCCGCGAACTTTGATGAGTTCCTGAGGGAGAATTGATATCAGTCTGGAAATCCCAATTTGTTTGTGGCGAGTCATACCTTGCTTCGATCTACAATGTAGATTTTACCGCCCTCAAAATAACCAATATCTCCTGTCTTCAGCCACCCGTCTTGTAGAGCATCCGCGGTGGCGGTCGGATTTGCTAGATAGCCGTTCATGATGGTGGGTCCTCGGACGTAGATCTCGCCAGTCACCCCTTCAGCCAAAGCCTCATTGCCATGTCCATCGATTACGCTACGACATGCTTAGTCTTCACTCGAAGGATACTGTAAATGGACCTACCGCGCTTCCATGTTGGGAACCAACCTGCCAACACTCCCCGTGACGTCCTTTTCTGGCCAGCAAAACGTACTGATCCATCCAGTTTCAGTCATTCCCCACACCTGTGTCACGACAGCATCGCTGTGAAGTACAGAGAGAATCCTCCGATGAAGAACTGGCGACAGAGGGGATCCAGCACAGTAAACGACTCGCAAGCTGGCCAATTGCCGCGATGCATCCTCCGAGTCCACAAGACTTGCCAGCATAGGAGGTACGACTGCCGTGTCCGTGATCTGGTACCGATGGATGTACTTTGCAAACCTCACCGGGTCGAAGCGACGCATGATGTATATTGTGCGTCCCGGTCGAAAGGCAGCAATGTGTACAAAGGGAACTGAGAAGGAGTGGAATTGGGGTATCGAGAGCAGATAGGAGACGTCGTAAGGCTTCTTCTTTTCCAGAAACTCCGTCGAGACCCCTACTGCCACATGAGCATAGTGTGAAATGACTGCCGCCTTTGGGAGACCCGTCGTTCCACTTGTTAGTAAAAGCGCGGCGGCGGTTGATTTGGCTATTGAGGCATTGTTGAATTGAATCCAGTCCTGCTCGCCGTGTTGGAGCAGATACTCCCAAGTCCTGAGTCCGACAGGAGGGTCCTCGCACTCCCCAGGAGAGAACACAAAAATGTGTGAGGCGGGTATATCGGCGGATAAGATGGCGGGTAACGCCTTATCCAGTAAGTCGGACTCGATTATAATGTACTTTGAATTCGTCGTCTGTAGCAAGTGCTCTAGTTCGAGTGATGCATAGGCTGGATTTGAGCCAACGACGCAGCCGCCTGCACCAACGATGCCCAGATACAGGGATGAATATAGAATCTATGAGACACTTTCAGTCTAGTCCAAGAGAATCCTCCAAAGTCTGCTCTTACGTGGTTGAAGGCGTGCAGGCAGACAGCATCGCCAACTTTGAGGCCTATAGTCCTCAGGCCTGCAATGAGTTTGCGGATCAACGCTACTGCTTGATGAATGTTGAGACGCTGCGACTCATCAACGGTGTCGATGAATATCTGCCCTCGTTAGAGTTTGAAGCTCAGGGTAGAGATGGGAAGGAGGATGACACACCGGCTTTTCGCGATCTACTTCGACATCAGCGAATAGCCATGATAGCAGATCGAGGTGGGGTACTTCCGCGTGGTGATCTGGGCGGAACTCCATGATACTTTACTACTACCAATGAGAATGATTCTTCTGCATCGAAGGAGAGTAGCAAACTCGTTAGCAAGAAAAAGATAACGTCAGATTGATGGACTTTCTAGAGCCATCTCTTAGTGTGACATGTGTCTTGTAAGAGTAACATCTAACACGTAGTTCTGTGGATAATGACTTTGTAAACCATTCAAACCTCAAGTAACGTAGAAGCGAAAAGGACATTAGTAGGGCTGAGTAAAGCTTGACTCTCAGGGGATGGCTTACTCCATCGATTAGTCTTGTCCCACAGGGCAGATAATCTCATCCAATCAAATCAGTGATCTGGCTTTACTCAGTTGTTAGCTCAATCACGTAAGCCCTTGCTTACTACGTCTTCTTGACAGTGCCACTGTTTGACAAACAGCGGCTATATTAGTAAGTTGAAGACAAGCGGCCTTATCAATGCTACGACCTACCTGCTCTTCACCTTCTTCCTCGACACAAATAAAGAAGGCGCTCCTCATCACCAGGGCAGACAATTTCCSAGACAAGGCACAAGTTGTTGAGTTGAATTGATCTGCTACGCGGCTTGCCATTTCTTCGAGGTTCAACACTTCGACACCTAAAGACTTCCAATCCCACCTCGGATAGCYCACACAGCGGCTTCAAGGCAAGCGGCTACCCAAGATGATATCTGTGCGGTTGTAGCTGCATGAGGAGGGTTCAGTATTATCATCATGGCAAGCAGATCATAAGGCCGTGATCTGGTACCAAGTCCATCTCTAGATCCAGCAAAGGCCTCGATGAGGGTCCAAAGTTTCGGAAACTTGCATCACAGATTAGTAAGAGAGCATGGAAGATCAATCCCGGCATCTGACGTACTTTGCGTTGCATGGATTCGACCATCTGTTCCAACATCTTCCGATTCACGTCGCCATTATTCTCTAGGTTGACCTCGCTGCTGGACACATCAACTCGCTGTTTACATTCGGAGTTGACTATGCTCTCGGCAGACTTGAGCACTTCGTATTCGTATCCATGTGCTTCCCACGCTGTCCACGATTTAGACCTCTCTCGCAAGTTGGCCAATAGAACTGGGAGGTGGGTTTGCCGGCTGACCCGCTGTGCGGTGGACATGGCAGATCCGCAACTGAAATGGGAGGTGTAGAACTGGGAGAACAAAGCATCAAAGCTATCAAAACCAGCACTCTGTAGGCAGCGATGAACAAGGTCGAAGCGATCCTCAAGGGGTTTGTTGCTCCAGCCGTCAGCTTCAGAGCTCCCATTCGATACAAGAGTAGTGCTAGGGGTGGGAGRGACCGCGGCGGTGTAGCGAGCGCCTCCTACGCCCATTGGGTCGCCTGTAAAGTCGATCTGAGGGTCCCTTCTCGTGGGAGCCGCAGACATCCACCTGTCTTGCGATCCCGGGGTATCATGAAAGTGCATACTCTCGTCAATGGGCCCTGCAGGCGCTGTTAGCCCGGATCTTAGCGCACACCGAGTACATCGAGCGTACCCTGAGGCTGCTGGTCGGCACGTCCTCGCAAGGACCATACCGATGTACAGTCTGGAGTTTGTGGCTTTGCGAGAGGGGCAAAGCTAGGTAGTGGGAGCGCTCCGGATTGTCTCCAAGTGGCTTGGTCTACATGCAGCAATGCTTCTTCCACATTGATCAAGTCGTGGGGCAAGAAGTCTAGCGAGCTTCGGCGGCCCATCTCTCCAGGCAAGAGTGGACGTGACATATGCGGAGGAGCGGCATCTTCGCCGACGCTCTCACGATTTTGGCCTCTTGCGGCAGCGTCTGACATGGAGTTTTGGCCGTTGCCAAGACACTGTCTTGCTGGATGCTGGCAGGATCTATATCGGTCAATCTCCTCTTCTAATTCCTCCACTCTCCGCTTCATACGCTTTCCTATCCCATATCAGAAGATGGAAGGTGTCTGGGACCCATCACACTCWCGATAGGTCCTCTGAGCCACCCGATTTTGTACTCTTTTTCTCTCCGTCGCGTCTTTAGCTTGTCGCCAGTCGTCTTCGATACTCGCCATGTTCCCTTGTATGACAAAGATTGCGACGCGGTTGTGGGAAGTGAAGATTGTGAGGTCCTATGCGACCCACTTTCGCTTCTCTTGACACCATGCCCAACCGAGCTCGATCCTGAATCCTGAATCCTGATGCGAGGAGAGCATTGACCCTACCTACTCGGAAGGATTCTGAGCTGGCAATTGACGGCGGGTGAAGAGGCACCCCAAAAGCACAGCCTCGAAAAGTGGCGCCTTGTCGGCACGTATCCATACCTCAACTTCATCGACTCGATGTGCTTCCTGACTGCTGTCCTGCGGCCCCAGCTAGGCCGACCCCAGGGAATGGGGGAATCATTACTCAGTCTGCGGGGTAGCGAGAATGCAAGGCTAGGTAGAATAGGGAGTCTATGTATAGCCGTATTCGGCGGCAGGCGCAGGTGCTCGTCGCTGCATATAGGGCACAAAAAACCGATAAGGTGGCTTAGGTAAGGTACCTTCTATTCGCTGACCTGATGCCAAGGCAGGCGGAGCTTAAAATAACCGAAGACGCTAGGCCGTAATATTATGTAAGACTCCAGCCCAACTGCCTTGAGGATCCTCCACTTCTTACGCGGTATTACTGTCCAACACGACCAATGAAACGAACTGATGAACCAAAATGCACTGCCCGACCCGCATCATGTCCCAGGATGAAGACGCCTCTTGCGCTTCCGCACTTGGCGCAACTCCAGTGCAGAAGAAAGAGGTCGGCTGAAGTGTCGCCTTGACATTGTACAATCATCGACATCTTGCTGAGCCATTCCGCTCGCCATGTCTAGCAAGCCCGTGGAGGTGCCTGACTGGGGAGATGGCCTGGAACCCATTGCCATTGTAGGGATTGGTGAGTACCAGGTATTCCATCGCGCTGCTACCTAGTTTCCGCATCTGACGGTGAGATGCAAGGCTGTCGATTCCCGGGAGAGTGCTCCACGCCATCCAAGCTATGGGATCTCCTGAAAGAGGGCAAGTCAGCCAACTCAGACCTGCCGAAGAACCGATTTGATATTGATACCTGGTATCACCCACGAACGGGCCGGCCAGGAAGCATCCACACCCGTGGAGGCTACTTTCTCAGTCACCACGATGACTTTCGTCAGTTTGATCCCTCCTTTTTCGGCATCAGCCCACTGGAAGCTGCGACCATGGATCCCCAGCAGCGCAAGTTGCTCGAGGTCGTCTATGAGAGCTTTGAGAATGCCGGGGCCACTCTGGAAGATCTCAGTGGCTCCAAGACTTCGTGCCATGTGGGCTGCTTCACACACGACATGACCAATATGAATGTGCGTGAGGCCGAGTATGGGACGCCGTACCAAATGACGGGCAGCGATATGACCATCTTGAGCAACCGGATCAACTATGTCTTCAACCTGAAGGGTGCCAGTGCCACGGTTGATACTGCCTGCTCGAGTTCGCTGTATGCACTTCACATGGCTTGTCAGGGCCTCTTGTCCGGCGACGTCGATGCCGCCGTGATTGGCGGCACCAATCTGATAGTGGGAGTGGAGCAGCAGATTGCGAGCGCGAGACTGGGCGTCCTCTCCCCCACCTCCACGTGCCACACCTTTGACGAAAGTGCCGATGGTTTTGGCAGAGGTGACGGCATATGTGCCATTTACTGCAAGAGACTGTCGACAGCGCTCGCCGACGAGGATCACATTCGCGCCGTCATCCGATCGACYGCAGTCAACACCAATGGCCGGAGTCAAGGAATCAACCATCCGAGCGTAGAGGGTCAGGAGGCTGTGATACGCATGGCCTACGCCAGAGCTGGTCTCGATTTCGACGACACTGGCTATTTTGAGTGCCACGGGACGGGGACCCCCGTTGGAGACCCCATTGAAGTTGCCGCCGTCGCAAATGTGTTTGCTGCTGGCCGAACGGTGGAGAACCCTCTGCTTCTTGGCTCGGTCAAGACCAATATTGGACACACCGAGGGAGCGAGTGGCCTTGCGAGCATTGTCAAGGCGGTCTTGAGTATCGAGCATGGCGTAATCCCTCCTACTGTGGGCATCAAATCCCTTAATCCAGCGATTGATTTCAAAGGTGGTCGATTGGCTGTTGTGCAAACCCCTATGCCATGGCCAAGCGGGCTACTGAAGCGAGTGAGCATCAATTCCTTCGGATACGGGGGTAGTAACGCCCATTGTCTGGTCGAGTCCAAGGCCATTTTACTGAATCCCTCCTCATCCCGACCGGCTTCAATCACCGACGGGGTCGAGGCTCCTCTGGCTGCCCAACCCGACATTAGCATATCCCACGTCGTCGAGGGTAATGACGGTACGATTAGCATGCAAGGTGACAATGTGCATAGTCAGGTCAATCACAGATATCTTTTGCCCTTCTCAGCTCACGACCAGCCCACCCTGGAGAGGAACATCTCCGCTCTTGCCGGTGTGGCGAACGGGCTTTCCGCTTCTGATATCGCACACACCCTGTCATACCGAAGAACGAGACATCGTAGCCATGCGTTTGCCATTGTTAGCGCTACCGAACTTGGTTCGCAACCCTTGTCCGGCGGGACGAAGTACCTACCTCCGACAACTGCCAGAAAGCCAGTCGTCGCCTTCGTATTCACAGGCCAAGGAGCGCAATGGCCCCGCATGGGTCTTGCGCTAATTCAGCAATACCCTATCTTCAGGAAGACCATTGAGAGTTTACAGTCAGTATTGGATGATCTTCCAACGCCACCGAAATGGCGAATATTGGACGAGTTGTCCAAGTCGGCCCAGGATAGCAAGGTTCAAGACACTGCCCTCTCCCAGCCGCTGTTTACGGCAGTCCAGATCGCTACGACGGTTCTTCTCGCGTCGTGGGGAATCGAACCAAAAGCTGTTGTCGGCCATTYCCTCGGAGAGGTGGCAGCTGCATTCGCCTCAGGCCTACTGGATGCCGGAGAAGCGATAGCGGTGGCGTATTATCGTKGGATCTCTGTGGCAGCCCGACATACACATGGTGCCATGATGGCAGTCGGACTGGGTGCCGTGGAGGTGGCACGGTACATCGAAGACCAGCCAGATATCGTGATAGGATGCCAGAATTCTCCTCAGAGTGTAACTCTCAGCGGTGGCGACGCTGCGATCGACCAAGTGCGCGACGCCCTGGTCAACGACGGCGTCTTTGCTCGAAAGCTCAACACCGCCCATAATGCCTACCACTCGCACCTCGTCAAGGAGGCCGGTCAATACTTTCAAGACTGTTTTAAGCATTCCTTTTCTGACCTTAGGCACGTCGCCAGATCATCGACAGCCCCAATGTACTCGGGCATTACAGGAAAGGTTATCGAAAGTCAAGAAGACGTCGTCGGCGTTGGKTACTGGAGGAAAAGCCTGGAGAGTCCTGTGCTTTTTCCTCAGGCTCTCTCCAACTTGCTACAGTCCCAGCCCGCCGTGAACTGCTTGGTCGAGATTGGCCCACACTCGTCACTCTCTTCGCCAATTCGAGAAATTAGATCTTCGCTCGGACTGTCTGCAGAAGATCTGACCTACTTTCCAAGTCTTGTGCGCGGTGAAGATGGTGTTGAGAATGCATTGAAGCTGGCCGCCTCTCTGTTCGCTTCAGGCTTTCCTATTAATATGAGCGCGATTAACGGCAAGGGAAAGTTTCTTCCATATTTGCCACCCTACCAATGGAACTACGATGAAGACATGCCTGTGTCCGAAAACAGGCTGAGTCGCCAGCTTCGCTACCGCAAGCACCCTCGTCACGACCTTTTGGGAAGTCGCCAGCTGGGAAACTCAAGCTTCAGCGCAGAATGGCGGAACAGACTCAATTTCATCAAGGACGTCCCTTGGATTTCCGATCATCTGGTCGGAGACGACGTGATATTCCCAGCAGCCGGGTACGTGGCCATGGCCATTGAAGCCGCCACTCAAATCGCTGAACTCCAAGGCGTGGCCGTCCAGGGTTATAGATTTCAACGACTCTACATCAAAGCTCCGCTCATTCTCTCTCCAGAGGGTGAGGTCGAGACTCTCTTCAACCTGCGTGTTCTTGACGATACTCCCTCTCACCGAGGCAAGTCTTGGTTTCACTTCAGTCTAAGCACAGTGAATGCTGACGCAGTGAATGCTGACGACAAATGGACCGAGCATGCTGCTGGCAAGATCACTCTGGAAAGATCAAATGAGTCTACACCTACCAATAAACTGGAAGTCCTGGGGCATCGAGGAGGTGAGAACGAAGAAAGTAGCGATCGGCGATGGTACTCGACGATGGCAAACATCGGACTGCGTTATGGGCCCAGCTTTCGCCCGCTCAAGGATATCCGCACCACAGCACAGACAGGTGATGCCATGTCATACATCAATCTTCAACCGACAAAAGGTTTGATGGTACAAGAGTCGCGATACATGATACATCCGGCCACAATAGATGGCTGCTTGCAACTTGCTGTTATCGCGGCTCACAATGGCGATGTCAAGGAAATCGGCAAGGCATATTTGCCAACGGTCATTGACGATCTCGCAGTGTGGCAGACAGATGATGCCTCTACCCTCCAACCCAATGGCATACTCCACAGCCATGGTGTACGGAGAGGTATGCGTTCGGCTCATGGAACATCGGATCTGTACACCACAAATGGTCGACAGCTTCTCCACGTCGCCATATCATTCTTCTCGCTTGAAGGAAGCTTTGGCAGCACTGCCAGTCAAAAGCCTCGTCAACCATATACTCGCCTTATTTGGCAGCCAGACATTGACAGAGTATCTATTCGCGAACTCTACCCAAGTGGCGCCAGTACCAGTGACGGCTTTTGGATCGAACTGGCCAACGTTGTCAAGCTCATCGCGCACAAGGAACCTCGACTCAAGATTATAGAGATCGGTGCCGGCGCTGGAGGCGCAACAACGGCAGTGCTTGCTGCTCTACAAGCGAGCTCTCTGAACCCACGCTTTGTTCAGTACACGTTCACAGATACCAATACTGCTTTCCTGGACGCAGCCCAGGAAAAATTTGACAATGTCAAAAATATGGATTTTCGCGCCCTGGACATCGAGCGAGACCCGTTGAGTCAAGGGTTCGCTGCCGGAACCTACGATATTGTGCTTGCATCCAATGTCATTCACGCGGCCAAGAGTATTGATGACACCTTGGCGCATTGCAAACGCCTCCTCAAGCCTGATGGACGTCTTATAATCGTCCAGACGACCGGAGAGCGTACTCCGACCACGTCCCAACTTGGATCCCTGCCTGAATTCCAGCAAGCCGAACATGATGGCCGTGTCGACAGCTCATTCTTGTCCAAGGAAGGCTGGAACAGCCGCCTGTTGGATGCTGGCTTTTCTGGCACTAACATTCTGCTGAACGACTACACTGGTGACATCTCATCCAACAGCATCATAGTCTCCAACGTGGGACAGGGCGTGCAGAAGGAAGCAGGAACGGAGAAGCTATGGCTTGTCTATCGAAACATTCCACACCCGTTGATCAGGGACATCGAGTCGCGAGCGAAAGCTCATGGCCTCGAAACAGAACTCACTCCACTAGTCACCCCAAACCTTCAAGTTACAAAGGGAGATCGCATCATTATGCTGGCAGAACTCGAAGGTCCGCTGCTGAGTAACATGACGCAGGCGGAGATGGATGGTGTCAAGATGTTGTTCAAAACCGCCTCATCGGCAGTCTGGGTGACAAATGGTGGACTCCTGAAGGGAAAGGTTCCTCAGCACTCGCTCATTTTTGGGATCGCGAAGAGCATAATCACTGAACTGCCTTCGATCAGAATTTCAAGCATTGACCTCGACGTGGGAGGGAACAGTAGCCCTCGTTCAGCCGAGCTCATCATCTCACACGAACGATCTCTCCGCACCGATGACGACCGAGTCCTGGATACTCAACTCATTGAATCAGACGGGATTACATACATCAGTCGCTACATCGTTGATCCGCTTGAGAACGCTGATTTCTCACGCCAGCTCAAGCCAACTCCTGAGATTTCCCAGCTTCGAGGTGGATTCAGACTTGCTTTCCAGGACGTCGGGCAGATTGAAAGTTTCTACTTCAAAGAGAAGCTGCCTTCCCTCGTTACTCTCCGAGACAATGAGGTTCAACTCACCCCAACAGTGTACAATCTTGACAAAAGAGAGGCCCGCGTGCTCAAAGGTCTTCAAGAGGCGGACGAGTTCAGTCACGTGTGCGTTGCTACCGTGAAAGATGTCCCATGCAGCGCAACCAAGTTGAAAATTGGCCAGCAAGTGATCTGCTTCTCTCCTGCCAATTTCGACAGCTCCTTTATTGCGCACGAGGCCACCTGCGAAGTACTTCGCGCAAACGATGATTCTGAAAAGATGGTCTCGTCTCTTCTGGTCTCGTCTCTTCTGGTCTCGTCTCTTCTGCCTTACTGCAGCGCYTTCTATGCGCTGAGCAATCTCGCCCGTGTCCAGAGAGGGCAGACGGTTCTGATCCACCGGATATCGGGATCTATTGGTACTGCCACCGTCCGTCTTGCGCTGCTATTCGGGGCTAGAGTGATTGTTACCTTCGAATCGGCGGAGAAGCAGCTTTTGCTGTCGTCCAGATATCCAGAACTTGCTGAGTGTCACTTGGCAGTCGCAGGCTCCGAGGCGTTGAGAAAATTGATATGTGCGACGAACAAAGGACTCGTTGATGTCGCCATCGTCTCGCCTGGAGCTCCCGAATTTCCCGAGATATGGGCGTCTCTGGCGAGCAACGGGAGACTCATTTGTGTCGGCGACTCAGACCTTCCCAACCTTTCTCTGCTTGACCCTTCTGTCCTCTCGAGGGGTGTGTCTCTGACTTCCTTTGATCTCTTCGACATGGTCAAGACTCAACCCGAGGAGGTTGGAAAACTTGCACGCAAGATCATTCTTCTTCTAAGGGACGAGGTCATCTCACCCATTGCACCCGAGGCGTCCTACGACGTTCTTGAGCTACCAGCAGCTGTTGCAATGGCTGTTCACCCGGAAACCACTTCGAGTGTACTCCTCAAATATGCAGACGGCTGCGTTGCGCCTATTCACGAGCCGTATCGGACCGTCACATTTCCGCATACGGCCTCGTATCTCCTCGTCGGATGCCTCGGAGGATTGGGTCGGAGTTTGGTGATGTGGATGTTAGGCAGGGGAGCACGGCACTTTCTGTTTTTGTCGAGATCCGGTGCCGATAAGCCCGAAGCCGCGAGACTCATACAGGAGCTTCAGGAATTCGCAGCAACACGCAACGAGGAAATGACCGTCACGATTGCGAGGGGAGACGTTGCGAAGCGTGCAGATGTTGAACGTGCAATCTCCATGGCAAAGACGCCAATCCGCGGGGTGATGCAACAGGCTATGTTTCTAAAGGTAAGATCCTTGCGCCATTGCTTTTCAAATATACTTACGTCGAGGAACAGGATTCGCTCTTTGATGATATGAGTCTTGAAACGTGGCAAGCAGTTCTGGACCCAAAGGTGCAAGGCACAATCAATTTGCACGAGGCGCTCATAGACGAACCGCTCGACTTCTTTGTAATGACAAGTTCATTATTGGGCACTACAGGRGCCTCGACTCAGAGCAATTATGCCGCGGCCAATGCTTTTCTGGATCACATGGCTCGTCACAGATGTAACTTGGGCTTGCAGGCTTGCTCTATTGCGCTTGGCATGATTGTGGAGGTTGGCCACGTTGAAGCTCATCCAGAGGTTGAGAAGGCGCTACGACGCAACGGAGGGTATGGTATTCCTGAGAATGAGTATCTGAAAATGATGGACGTCGCTTGTCGGCGACGAGCTCCGACACGGATGTCTTGGGAATGGGACAGCTGGGCCCAATCTCACATAGTCACTGGGATGGAACCCGGGAAACTCACCAAAGCTGGAGGCAAGTCGTGGTGGCTTCGGGATAATCGATTCCGGAGTCTTGTCATAGCCATCACAGGCGCAAGCGACAGCACAGAACTTTCAGGCTCGGATGCGAAGAAGCAAACGACCGCGACGTTGCGAGCGGCAGCAGACGCGAATGGTGAGACCGGTGTGTTGAAGGCCTTGGAGGAATTGGTCTTGCAACGACTCTCCAAGCTGGTGCTCGTACCTATCGAAAAGCTCCTTCCGTCAATKGGCCGTCCGCTGGCGGAGATTGGTATGGACAGTATGATCACCGCTGAGTTGCGTACGTGGGCGTGGAGAGAGCTTCGTGCGGATGTTCCCTTCATGGCACTTCTTGAGGGTGGGATGTCGATTGCTGGTCTGGTGGATCTGATTTGGGAGAAGATGGACCCTGCTGTGTGGAAGATGGAGGCATAGTGAGGCAGGTAGCGACCAAGGGCCGGTGAAATTGAAGCTTGCCGCCTCTCCTTGTGGCGAATCTACGACAACGCTTACGAATAGGTAGCTATAAGCATAAAAAGCATTAGACATGCAGAGAGTTAAATGTAGAGGATCGAATATCGAACAATGTCTTCTTAATCGTGCTGTCGTTATTGCACAAAATGCGAATTTCGCTCATCTTGACTGACAGACCGGGGGTCGTCTCGGTGCAGCAGGGTGACATGCATAGCCTGATTCCAGCTCTGCAGGGATGTCTGCTGCTTCGAGGGCTGTGCATTGGCGTTTCCAAGCTGATCATGGTTCGAAATTGATGTTGTACAGCGCTCATTTGGTGGCTCCCATAGTAGCACTCTCCCAATTCAAGCAGCCTTTTGTTAGTACCGCTTGTATCAAATTCCATCGATTGCCCGGAAGATAGGGGGGAACGACATGGTGAAACGAGGTGATGTATTCGTAAGAAGTCTTGGATTCGACTGGCTATGGGCGTTCCAACTTACGCATGGATGGTTGATGGATCGATTGATCATGAACCGATTTTGCTCCTAACCCATTCCCCAATCCTCGCAATGGATTCATCAGCCTCTGGCGCTTTGCCAGCCATGAATTCCATAACATGCTGCTGGCCTTCATGAATCTCAACTACAACCTCAACGCCAGCCGCTTTGGCTTTCTCCGCTAGCCTCGTTCCATTGTCGAGCAGCATATCGTCTCCAGCACATGATATCCACTGTGGTGGTAAATCCTTCATATCGGCGAAGATTGGACTGACCATGGGGTCATCTTTGGGCACCTTCCCGGCATATCTATCAGCTAATTTGGTACAAAACTCCATGCCATTCAGAACATCTTTGTTGGCATTGGTCTTCATGGTCTCTCCAGAATGGGTCAAATCGTAGCATGGAGAGAGCGCCACAGATGCCGCCGGCTTGGGGAGTCCTCGTGCCATCGCTGCGAGCGGCACACATGTTGCCAGAGAGCCGCCGGCTGAGTCGCCGGCAAATGCAATATTTTCGGCAGAGTAGCCATTGTCCAGTAGCCACTTATAGGCGTCTACGCAGTCGTCCAATGGTACCGGATATGAGACCTCGGGCGTGAGTCTATAATCGACAGAAAGAGCTATGCAATTGCATGCCTTGGCCAGATGAGCAGTCAGTTTCCTGTGGCTCATCGGTGATCCAAAAGCGTAGGCGCCGCCATGGAAGTAGACAAGGACATGTTTGGAGGATGCATTCTCCGGATAGAACCAAAGGCATGGCCGACCTGCAACGATGCCATCTTTGTAGCTCACGCCCGAAGCTTCTGAGGCAGCTCGATGGACTTGATCGTAGACCGCTCGTTCCAGGAAGGAATTGCCATCTGATGGGAACTGAGCTCCAATAGCAAGAAATAGCTCTTTGAGCGCTCCAGATTCTTTGCTAGGCGGCATGATGTGATGTTGATTGTGTTGTAGAGGTTTGAGTTGATGATCGAAAGTGAAATGTGCCGCTTCCTTTAATCAAATATTGATGTCTGACGTCAATCATTGGACGTCGCGATCACTACATGTAACCATCGCCTGCACAACTTTGATCCAACAACCATCAACATGGAATCGACCATCAGATCGAGCTTTCGGGCGGCCTCTTCGCTGAGCGCACGCCGACAATGGCAAAGGATTCCATACGTTTGTGGCCGATGCCAACTACATACCACTCCTTCGCCAGGCGCCACGCCGGTTGCGCATCCCACTGTACCCGGTCCGCCACCGAATGCTCCACAACCCGCCGCGACACAGCCAGAAGAAAGATTGGCACGAAAGCGCGCACTTGCAGACCACATCCGGCAAGGACAGGATGCCAAGATTAATGCTGCGAAGCCTGGCTCAGTTCTGCAGAGACGCTTCTGGAAGAATGTCCATGTGAAGGAGGATGATGATGGCGGGTTACAGATTCTGTTGGATACGCGTCCTGTGCGGACATCTGGAAGACAGATCCTAACTTTGCCATACCGCAAGCGTGCCCTCGCATCGGCAATTGCACTGGAATGGGAGATGCTGATTTCCGCGGCGCAAGCATTGAAACAGCACTACATCCCCCTAACGTCGCTCACGTCTCGCGCTATCGACATTCAGGAGGCAGACATGAAAGGCGATCCTTCACTTCGTGAACACGTGGTGAAGATGGCTTTGCGCTACCTCAGCACCGATACGCTGCTATGTTGGGCGCCGGAGAAGAATATCCATGAGCAGTTTTCCATGAACAAGGCGCCTCAGAAGAACTTGCGCCAACAACAGAAGGAGGCAGCTGAACCAATCATCGCTTTCCTCACAACACACGTCTTTCCCGGCGTGGACATCGTACCTGTGCTAGGCGAGGATAGTATCATGCCTACGCCACAGCCCGAGATGACAGTGGAGGTGATCCGTGGCTGGATATCAGGCCTTGCACCCTTTGAGCTGGCCGCACTGGAAAGAGGGATACTGGCAACCAAGAGCTTGCTGATTGCTACACGATTGCTTGTGGAGTGGAGTCAGGAGTGGGAGCATTTGCAGAAAGTGGAGAAGCCAGCTTTCGGTATTGATGAGGCTATCGAAGTTGCCACGCTTGAGGTTGTACATCAGACCCAGCAGTGGGGAGAGGTTGAAGACACACATGATGTGGAAAAGGAGGACTTGAGGCGACAGCTCGGCAGTGCGATATTGCTGGTCAGCTAGACATCCGATGTAGATGGTTGTATAGCGAGTGTAACTTGTACAGGAGGATGATCCCTCACAATCCTGCAAACGCTGGTGCTCGGTAAGGCTCTCGTGATGTGGAGGCAGGCCACAGGCGCAGCACGTCTGCAAGTTCCTCCCTCCAGCGGCAATCGGCGGAATGACACGGCACAGAATCCACTCTGCCGGATTCGCTGCTGCAGGTACCATAAATGCATCGCAGCTCTGGCGCACCCGATGGCGGGCGCAGTTAGCATGTGTAGCATATTACTGGCGGCGATCCCAAAGCGCAACATCAGGCGTCCTATAAGGCGCAAACAATACCGGAGGCAAATGCTGGTACCATTCATCAGCGGAGGAATGCAAGTGCCGTTGATATTCAGCCTCACGAGTGCATATTAACAACACTACATGCGGCCCTCCGTTTTGATTTCCTCCAATACCAGATCAAAGCATTACGATATCACGGTATTATTGGCACAACATCAACATTGAGCCCGACGATTCGGCATCCGGGCTCAGCACCTGCCCGAACTAGGGATGGCGTAGGCTACGTAGGGAACGAATTCCCTACGTAGCCTACGTAGCCTACGTAGCCTATAATGGGCTACGCTAGCTCAATGAGGCAAGCGCTAGGCTCTTCGCGGTTAGATCAAGCCCGGGAGCGGCCGCAAATGACGCAGTCGAACCTTCGGATAAAGCCCGGAGAAGTGAAAATTTGCTCCGAAGTAGGCCGAAAGGCAAGCTCAACCTTACGCTAGTATTATCGAAATATCTTAGGGTTAGGGTTGGGGTAGGCGACAGCGAGGTTTATATAACAACCACACCACCTATATACATTATTTTTAGTTCGTTAGAAAGCCCTAATTTAGCGCTTTAATATAGTTTATAAATTATCTAATTCGGCTAACAGATTATACTACGCGAGGCATATTAGATAAACTCTAAATTCGAGGATTATGCCTCTAAATATAAGACGAAGAGAAAACGATGTAAACACTACCTTACCTTTACTATTCCGTAAATAGTTAGTAATACTAAGAAGGAAGCGCACCTTACTAACTACACGAACTATTAAACCTACCGTATAATATACTCCCTACCTACTACGCCGGCGACGATTACGCCTACCTTATTACCGTAGAAAGAGTAGTAGTATAAGGTCGATAGAATACTACTACGCCGTACGCCGCGTAAAGTACGCGACCTAGTATAGAGCTACGCCCTCTTTACGTCTAGACACGCCTTCGTAACTATAGACAAACTAGCGTATCTAGAGTTTACGGACTTTATTAGGAAGTTCGATAATACCTACTCTTTTCCTAATAGGAGGACGATAGCTAACCTATAGCTACCTATCGACTACTAGCGTACCTTAATAAAAGTTAAGAACTACGTAAAGGGCTATAGCTACCTTAACCTATATTTAGACGAGAGCGACTCGAATAGCGGTAACCGGCATTATAACCTCTACGTTAACACGCCTAAAGAATAGGCGCTATTCCTCGAAAATTATTATATAAAGGGTAAGGATTAAGACGCGGTTACTCTTACGGAGTTGTTAATATTATAGGCGATTAAATAGATACTAGACGGTAACCTTTAGAAGTAGAACTCCTTCGTTTCGAATACGTACGAAACTATAAGAAAAGTACATAAACTCCTTCGCGCTAATCTATTAACGAAGCACGTGTTCTGTTCGCTCTACGATAGTTACGGCCTATAGCTATTTATTAAGGACTTTACTACGTATAGCAAAACGCGCCGTAGCGTAGATTACTACGTAACTACGCTTATAGAGGTTACGTTCCTTACCGCGTTATTAAAGCGTTCGAAGAAGATAATAGGCATTCTACGAGAGTTTATAGCKGATAATAAGCTATTCCTACGCGCGATAGCTATCGCCGTCCTTATACGCTAGGGTTCTTACTTTACTACTACTAACTCTCTTATAGTTAGACGTAAATGCCTCCGTAATATAGCATTCGATAGTAATAGGCTATTCCGTAATAGCGACGGTAATATAACTAAGGGCGGTTACTACGCTATTACGTTGCTTAAGGATAGCGCGTTTTAGATACGGCTCGAACACCTCTATACGCTCTTAATAATAATTAAGTAGTTCTACTTAATAAGCGAAAGCGACCGCTCTTATATCGGCTAAGTGCTTCCGCGCTAGCGTAACTTACGCCTTGCTATCGCTTAGAGCGGCGTACCGCACGTTAATAAGATACTCTAGCGCCTCGATARCCGCCTTATTACGTAAACTACCGATATCTATTAAGCTACGTAGGCTCTTAACACTACTAATCTAACTATCTCGCGTACGTAGACGACGTAGTAGTAGGCGGTAATAGACCGTTTCTTTAGCGACTATATACTAGTAGATAGGCTAGTCTATTTCGAGCGCTAACTTACCGCGTTTCGAAGGTAAACTAGCATCTTTAGCGAGGCTAATGTATTATTAGTTGCTTACCGCGATAATCCCCTTACTTACTAGGACCGCGCTAAGCATAAGGCGCCTAACCTTGCTAATATCGCTATTCGGCTATATAATATACTAGCTAATTCGGTTCCTTTAGAGCGCGCCTTCTTAGCGATAAATTAGATATAGGATAACTACCGCGCGCGGCTCGCTATCTATAAGCTTAAGATGCTTATCTTTATCTACTTTAATAAGAAGGCGCTCCGCCGTACTATAATACTTACCGATTAAGTGCGCGAGAAGGAGCGTAACCGCTACTAGCTTCGATATAATAAGCTCCTTACCGCGAAGGAACGGCGTAAGAAGGAACTCTAGTTCCTAAAAGAGAAGGAAATAGAGCTAGTAGTAGCAGGCCTATAACTACGCTAGCTTAATTACATAGACGATACGTTAATTAAGGAGCTAGCAATAGTAGCGATAGCAGGTTTAATTAATATAGATAAAGAGCTAGATAAGGATATACTACTACCGCTACCGCCGTAGTAGTAATAACGTCCGCTAGCGACGGCGACGGCGATAGCGATAATGCTAGTTCTACTAGTTAGAGCGCCCTTACTAGCGCTATTTATTCCACCTCCGGCGATAATAGTATAGTAGTAATAGCAACTATAGCAGTTAGCTTATAACGCTATTAATTATAACATTAACTAATAGTATATATAGTTCTATAGACACCCTAGTAACCTGTCGTAATAGTCGCTAATTAGTAAGAGATCGCACTCGTAGAGAGACAGCTTTAACGGATATAACGGGTATACGTACGACGGTAATAGTAGTAGATAGTAATATAATTTAGAACGATAGCGTACATCTCTTACTTACGTAAACGACTCGTACGGTTCTTAATTAGTTAAATAAAGCACTCTTAACTAGTTTCTAACCGGCTAATTATAGGCCTAAGAACTCCTTTAGTTTTCGATTTTAACCTCTTAGGGGCGGGCTATTAGAGGCTCCTTTGTCGCTACCTTTTACGAAAAGCCAGCTTTCGCACCACCGTTGCGTCCGTGCACGAAAGCCTTAGCGTAGGCTACCTCTCGTTTCCTACGTAGCCTACGGCGTAGGCTACGTAGGCTACGTAGGGATGTACCCTACGGATGCCATCCCTAGCCCGAACAGCAATCTGCTCCCGAGGGTTCCCGGATCTCGGCCTTGAACCTTGTTAGCTTCTCCGCAATTCCCCACAGAATCTCGATTCAACTGCATCGAACCTTTGTGTCTGACCCATTCAGCCCTGTCAGTAGTTATCGCATACACGATTCTTGGCTGGATATACGCCCGAAATTCAAGTGGGTCCAGGTGGAAAATCGTTAGGAATGGGCGGTGAGAAGGCAACGCGAGCGCCACCCAGATACACCCATGTGAACCATGCAGCGTGCCGATGAAAAAGATCCTTCTTTGCAGCAGCGACCACTTGCTCCCCCGCCAACAAGAAATGTGCAGCCACAGGCACAGCCGCCGAAAGCCCTACGCTTCGTGACTAACTCTGGAGCTCCCTTGCCCAAAAGGTCAGTTGCAAAAGGCAAAAAGGTTGGTCGGATTCAGCATATTGACGCGCCTCGCAGACGACGTATTGGAGCAGCATGTCAGACTTGTCGCAGGCGTAAGACGGCTTGTAGCGGAGAGCGGCCAGCTTGCGACACTTGCAAGCAGAACAAGGTACAATGTCTTGGTTACAATAATGCAGACTCCGCCGCAGCTCCCACCAACAAGCGAACGTATTCGGAGACAGATGCCACACCAGGATCGGGACCAGAACAGTCTAATTCCGCGGGCCATGTGAGAACACAGTCTATGGGCACTTCAAATGGAGATTCTACGCGCAATTGTGACCCCCACAAGCCTGCACGCAGTCATTCTGGGGGTCCTTCACCAGCTGCTGCCGACAGCCAGCCACGATCAAATGAAGATGACACAAAGCGAGACTCCTTATTCTCCGGGCCTCGAAACCGAATGCCTTATTTCCGATGGCTAGGACCAACAGCTATCATGCCTGGGTTCAAGCAGATGGTTGTCAAGGTCAAACGTCAAGACACGGATGTTGGTCACTCCTCCACCGACGGCGGCAGCATCCGGTCACCTCCCTTACTCAATACACTCAGCTCCGAAAGATCTGGAGCATCTATTTACTCTACTCCCGCTGCCATCGAGTCCGATATACGAACGCCACTCAACTTGCCATTTTACGACACATCGCCGATGCCTCCTAGCGAACTTATCACACACCTGGCGAACACCTTCTTCTCACACCTTGGATGCAACTATCCGTTCCTTCAGAGACGCCGATTTTTACGGGATCTTGAGGAGAAGCAGGTCGATGCTATCCTTGTAGATGCAGYTTGCGCACTAGCGGCTCGCTTCTCCACACATACTCTGCTTACACAAGCGGCTCGTGATGGAGACAACAATGCGAGCCCCGCCGAGTATGGTCATGCATTCGCTCAGCGCGCAAAGATGGCACTAGTGGACACATTTGCATGTCCTAGCGTAGCTGCTGCGCAGGCTGCTCTGCTTCTTGCCTACAACGAATTTGGCGAGCAGAGAGACAGTGGACTATGGATGTATCTCGGGATATCTATTCGTCTCGCCCAGGACCTGGGACTGCACAAATTGGAGGGTCTGCAGCACGTTGGGCGAGACGGACCAACGCCCAAAATGGTGAAGCGCCAAGGACACAGTGGCACGAAATCCAACTCCAGTGCGATATCGGGCCGCAATGTTGCAGCAGAAGGTTCGAAAGACAACTCGAAGCAGAAGAGTGATACAGAGCAGAGTTCCGAGGAGGGCCGCGAGATTGACGAGACCAGAGCTGTTGAACAGGAACGAGTCGACACTTTCTGGGCCATTTTCTTCCTTGATCGTAAGCATCCCCCAATCGCTCTCAGTTTCTGAGCGCTATCTAATGCTTCTGGCTCTTCTCATAGGGGTTGTGTCTTCTGGAACAGGTCGGAGAGGCACACTTCGCGATGCTGAAATCGAAATATGTTTTCCTCCCATGAGTGATACGCATAACAATTCAGACTGGCCTGCTCCATTCCCAGCCTTGATTCGCATCGTTCATCTTTATGGTCGAGTAGCAGACTTGCTGAACAGTATCAAAGAACCCTCGGATGTCACGACAGAGACACCAAGACGACTTGCGGCGATGGAGACTCRGGTCACAAATTTCTACCAAGGTCTTTCCCCAAGACTGCATTTTGATGCGGTCAGCTTCCAACACTACATGAAGAATGGAGAAGGCACCAACTTTGTACTTCTTCATTTTTGGTTCCACATGCTCATTGTGCTCCTACATCAACCCACATTGCTGAAGACCTTTGAGGGGAACATGCTGCAGCTCTTCCCAAACTCACAGCAGCTGAGCATGAGCAGTGCGAAGACTATTGCCGACATATTGAGCTACTCGCAGCTCATGGACGCCAAGGCTTCTCTGGGCAATCCTTTCACAACCCAGCCGATCTACATTGCTGCGTGTGCCTTTTTGAAAGAAACTGCAGAGCAGACGGCATCAAGTACAGCTCAAAGTCGAGCGAGTAGCCCTAATCGGAGCAAGGACACTGCTTCAGAGAGTGCTCCATCTACTAGCAGTGGCACTCCCTCTGAAGTAGGAAAGACATCGACCTCGGCTTCAGAGATGGGAGTAAAGCCAGAGATAGGGGTGAGGCCAGAGATAGGGGTAGGGGGGCCAAAGTCACAACTAGCCAAGCATTCGCTTTTGGCGACTGCAGCAAGCCAGCACTACCAGCTGTGTTATAAAGCATTGCAATCGCTAGAGACTTATTGGGCGGGAACAAAGTACATCCTGACTATACTGGACCAGAAGTTTCAGGGTGTTGAAGATCCACTGCTTTATACTACCGAGGAGGGAGAGTGTTCGATGGAACAGCCTCGTCCGGAGCCATCATTCACCTCGCCAGGATGGCGAAGGAAGCTGAGCTGGGGTCCTTATGCGGCGGCAGGGTCGCAGGTCTCAATGCAGTCTCCCTTCTGGTCATCGAAGGATCCTGCGCGAGTTTCAGGTAGCGACAGCGGCGTTGATCCTAGTAAAGGTGAGCATGCAAAAGAACTTATCGTGGTTGGAGGAACTGACTCAAATCGAACAGCCATCGGATGGACCTTGACAGGGACGATGAACTCTCCCTCTACCAATCTTGCGTGGCACTATGCTACCGGTTTTGGCAATGGGGAGAATGCCGATCCGCGAAGGACCTCACGCAATCCCGCAAACTTCCACGCTACCATGAGCCAGGTATCAAACGCACCCTCACGCATGGATCAGAAAAGCTCGCAAGGAGTTTCACAAAATAACACGATGGAAGTCGCCAGACACTACTATCCTAGTAAGATGGTTGTCGCCGGGCCCGACGCGGATACTTCAATGAACTCGAAGCCACAATTCAGTCAACAGCAAGGCAGCGGCCATTCCCCGGCTGCGTCTCTTGGTGTACCATATCAGCAACCACAGAATCTGCATCCTCAAATATCTTCTAGCAACAGCGCGGTGATCGAAGGTAACATGATCCCGCCCTACGTGGCTCAATCCACCTTCCCCGGCGGGCAAGATGCACAATTTCCGATGAACTTCCTGAATGGAGACATGATGATCGAATCACAAGACGTCGACATGAGCATGCTGGGATTGGATATGATGCCTTGGTTTGATTCGTATCCAGCACACGACTTGGTGGCGAGCTATCCATACGATCCTACACATCATGTTGGAGGCGGTGCGGAAGGTTCAGGGAATCGGCAAGATGCCTAGAAGAGGTGGGCATGTAAGATCGAGGATGTGATCAGGAGTTATGTGTCACTACGATATGATGATCTTAGATACCCCGGTACGGATGTACTTTGACGCTGTATACAACTCCCATGAACCAATTGATAGGAAGGTGCCGCAGGGACCCCACTTAATTCACTTACTTTAGCCTTTAGTTCGACAGTGACTAAGTGAATGACTTCGGTTAGCTTGCTCCTAGTGGCAGGTACCTCCGTCGTGGCCAAAAGCCAAACAAAGATGAACAACTTCATCGTAAGACTAAGTGAATGACATGATCGACAATACTATCTCCAATTGTGATCTAACGGCTTCCACATGTTTCTCTCAACTGGAATGTCCCAGTGCTCTGCTAGTGATCAACCTTCTACGTTGCTCGATCCGCTGCGATGCGTCGAGACGCTTTGGAGATGTACTCTCACGCCTGTATCGTACCATGCACTCCAATAGCCGATTATGACAAAATCTAAACCACATCGGGCCGCTGGTCTCACTCCTAGCACTCGATAAGAGGAGAGCGGCTCAATGTGGTTTCGTTAGCTCAACTTCCTGGACTTCCACGTGGATTATTGACAGATGCAGCTTCTCCGGCTCAATACATTGGATGTACCTAGCTTTTCGGATAGCTCGTTTAGCCAATTACCCTGCATCCGACGGCAAGATCCCAGGTTACCTAGGAACTACTAGAAAATTACTTCCCCGAGCCCTAGCKTTGCCGACCGAGCACTGATATTTTCATCATGTCACCAGCCCATTTCTAGGCGTAGGCAGTTTCTTTACTATAAAGAGAATGGCCCTAGAGGTTTACGGTAAGGCAGGTGGCTATACGAGCTATCCGAAAAGCTGTATATATGAAACCGGAAATGCAGCATTAATCAACTCGCGACTTCGGCGAACACAGTACTTAAAGTAGCTTGAAAGTCTGCTCTAAGGGCCAATGAAATTGAAGGTTGCCGCCCTCTCTGTAGCAGGCCAAAATCTTATATTTCCTACAATAACGACGATTAAGAAGACATCATTCGATAACATTTAATCATTCGTATTTAACTCTCCACAAGGCTGCTGCTTTTTATGCTTATAGCTACCTGTTCACAAGCGTTGTCGACGATTCACCACATAGAGAGGCGGCAATCTTCAATTCCGGCGGCCCTTGCTCCAACGTACATGCGAAATCCACAATAATGGCGTCCTCGACTTCAGCAACCCAACCTCAGCCAGCATACCACGCAACCCCAGGCTCCATCCTCCACGCAGATCGAGACTTCTACAACTCCGTCGCCAGTGCCAAACGCACATTAATCCAATCCTTCACCCTCGACATTCGCTCCGGCAAAGCATGGGAAGCTCCAGCGGGATCCATCGTCCGACTCTCAACACCCGAAGGCCCTCAAGTCGGCGATGTCAATATCTGGAACTACGACAACCCTCGCGAACGGTTCTGGGCTTCTCGCACACGACAACTTCATGCCAGTCACGTCACAGTCTATGATCGGTTGTGGAGTTGTCTACCATTCTTACGACCCATGTGTACTATCATTGGAGACTCACTAAGCGATTACGGCGTTGATAAATGGGGAGGGAGATGTCATGATTTGCTGGGAACGAGATGTGATCCGTATGTTAACAAGATGCTTTCTGGAGATGACTATGATTACCATTGCCATTCGAATCTCACGAGAGCGGTGCTGCCGTACGGGCTGACGGAATTCGATGTCCATGATGTGCTAAATGTGTTCCAAGTGACTGGGTTGGATGGAGATGGGAAGTATTTCATGGAGGCTTCGCCGGCGAAGAAGGGGGATTATATTGAATTCTTTGCGGAGCAGAGGTTGTTGATGGCTTTGTCGACGTGTCCGGGTGGAGATCTTTCGACTTGGGAATGGGGAGAGGGGAAGGCTGGTATGTTTGTCCTCTCGATGCCAACTTTCACAGATGCTTCCTCATGGCCAACCTGCTGATTCTATGTTTAGGTGAAAGTGGCGAGAAGAAAAGCATGCTGGATTGCTGTCGCCCGTTGAAGGTGGAGGTGTTTCGATTGGACGATGAGCATGTTCTCAAAGACTGGACGGAATTCAAGAGTCCGGACTATGCTGGAAGACATGGAATGCGTATTCCTACTGGCGAAGAGAAGCAGTGAGATTTGAGCAGAGCTGTCGATGTGAGAAATTATCGACAAGAGCAGCGCCCTCAACTGCTCCCTCGCTTAATTGACGGGCTACTCTGCTAGTAGTTGGAAATCTAGCAGGCCTAAAATCGTCGATTCTGTAGAGAGCGATACGTTAGGTCATAGCGGGAATGAATGAGGATAACTTGTCCCGGCGAACAATCCTTATATCGACAGCTCTGGATTTGAGCGAGCTAGAAGGAACGAGTTCCGCAATTCTTGCACTAGATGTCACAAAAGAGCAGAGCTGTCGATATGAGGATTACGATTGAACAGTCCGACACCGTGAATAACATGTGTAGACGATGACGATGACTTCTCTTTTCACAGGAAGAATCCGAATCAGTGAAATCGTGTCGCTGGGTCTGGAATTTTGGTAGAATATTTTCACGGCCCAGCCGCTACTATCCACCCACATCTCACTAATCTCAAATGCCGTTCCCATCACGAGCCGCGAAGGCACAGTACAAGCGATAAAGCTGATCACTCGTGCCCCAATCTCTGAGGTACCTTGGCTCCACCAGCGGGATGGAGGACCAATCCACCCTCTCAGCCTTCTTATCTGCCTCCACCTTCGCAGCCAATTTGTTGACGGCGGTTGGGCACGTCTTCGACTTTGAAGTAGTAGTCTTGAAGCCACGTGTGAGCTTCACCGGCACCGACTTTGAAGTAGTAGTCTTGAAGCCACGTGTGAGCTTCACCGGCATCGACCGCGGCGCGGAACTTCTCGCGGATTTGCTTGTCTGGAATATCTTTGTTAACGGCGGTTAGGCACGTCTTCGACTTTGAAGTGGTAGTCTTGAAGCCACGTGTGAGCTTCACCGGCATCGACCGCGGCGCGGAACTTCTCGCGGATTTGCTTGTTTGGAATATCGTCGAGCGACTGAAACTTCTCCTCGCCGACGAAGTAGTGTGGGGCGTACGTAAGACGCCATGATGAACTGTTGACCCTTGGAGGGGATGGGGAAGTTGTGTGTGCAAGGAAGGATGTGTGGAAGAAGGGTGAAAGGTTGATGTTCGAGGTAAGAGAGTATCAGAAGATTGACGGCTACTTATGCGGGCAGTGGCGAGCACCGGCAGTGGCGAGCACCAGACACAAGTGAGGTCAAGAGTGAGGGTGTACTCAAGAGCACTAAGACGGTAACTGCATCGCAGCTCTGGCAGGTCGCCGCGAGCAGACCAATAAGCGAGATATCACTCACCTTGCTCGACCTCAAAGGTGAAAGCAAGAAACAACTGGAGACTCATTCCTGTATTGCACACTCCGGCTTGAACGCATCGACAAACTGTGAATCTTATCATTAGCACCACCTCAGCAACACCCGGCCTTCTTCGCGACATTGCGATCCGCAGCTCCCAAGTTGACAGCCCTTCCACCTCCAGCTCCAGGACCTTTGACACCACTTCTTCGGTCATTCAGATCGTACTTTCCAGCCTCGATATTCTGCCCACACGTGTCAGCCACAAACCCATCGCCCATCACTCATCCTCACATACCTGATATATCCTTTCTGCAACCTCTAAGAACGCCCGCTCAACATTCTCTCCGCTCTTTGCACTCGTTTCCACGTACTGCATCACGCGGTTCTCCTTACACCACGCCTYGGCCTCTGCCACCTCGACTTGCCTCTTATCCTTCGCGAGATCAGACTTGTTCCCCACCAACACCACAACGATATCATCCTCTGCAATCTGCCTCAGATCATGCAGCCAAGCAGTCACAGACGCAAAAGTGTTCCTCCTCGAGATATCAAAGACCAGCAGTGCCCCCGATGCGCCTCGAAAGTAGGATCTCGTGATAGACTTGTAAGTTTCCTGCCCAGCCGTATCCCATAATGAGAGCTTCATATGTTTCTGCTCGGGTTCCTTCTTCGCACCTCTGCCACCTGTAGTATTTTGCACCACCGGTTCCGTGGGACTGCTGCTGCTTGGGTTGTTGATATTGTGCTCGAGACTTGCGGGTGGGCCTACGGGGACGATCCTTGAGCCGAATTCTACGCCGATTGTGACATCGTGGTGGGAGACGAAGCGTCCTTCGCAGAGGCGGATCGTCAGCTACGGTGTATCAATTTTTGTATCAGCTATTGCTGAAAGAGGGAATGATGGGAGGGAATGGGAGGCATACACTGGATTTCCCTGAGCCAGAGTCGCCTAGGGACACAATTTTGGAAATGTAGTCGTAGGGTTGCGCCATGATAACGCAGAAGGAGTTTTTTGTCGTGGGAAAGGGTGTTGTAAAACAAGGAAGTGGTCCTGGCACTGCGATGTGATGGATCAAACGGGATGACGGGAGCTATCTTGGATAAAGCTCGATCGCACGTGGTGATGACCAGGGTGTCACGCGGCAGCCTGCGGAAAGAGCCATGCAGCATATATCCCCTATACTCCGCAACCTCACGGCAATACATTATTTATGTTTTCTTGCTGCATTCGAACGACAACGGCCAATTTGCAGAACGAACAGGCTCCATATCCATGCTCATTTCCGCCGAAGACCATGCCGAATCGGGGCTTCCCTAACATCCCGTCGCGTTCTACCGAACGCGTCGAGACGTCGAGATGCTTTATATCCTGCAGAGGAAGTCGCGTGATAGGGAACTCAACATGTATGCACGCGGAACATGACGGCAGTCCTCTGATGACCACCTAGAACCTTTCGCCACAGCCCGCCTCATGCAAGCGCTCAAGAAGGACTACTCAGATCCACTCGACATTCCTGGCCCATACTACACATCTTGCAGCTACAGTGGTTTATGCAACATATTGTCGGTCATGCATTCTACTATTATCTGGACGAAGAAGTTCATCCGAGCATGAGGTCTCTCACTCTTGGCCTTACTCTTGGCCTCACTCTTGACCTCACTCTTGACCTCACTCTTGACCTCACCTGCATCTGGTGCTCGCCACTGCCCGTATAAATAGCCGTCAATCTTCTGATCCTCTCTTACCTCGAACATCAACATCCATTATGGCGTCTTACGCCCCACACTACTTCGTCGGCGAGAAGAAGTTTCAATCGCTCGGCGAGAAGAAGTTTCAATCGCTCGACGATATTCCAGACAGTGAAGTTCCGCGACGCGGTCGATACCTAGTCTTTCAGGTAGAGCAAGGTTCGCAGGTTACATAGTGGGCGAACGACCAAGGGCCGCCAAATGTTGAAGATTGCCGCCTCTCCTTGTAGTGAGTCGACGACAACGCTCACGAACAGGAGGCTACAAGCACAAAAAGCAGCAACCTTACGGAGAGTCAAGTACAGATGGTCGAATGTCTTGTCGAATGTTTTATCGAATAATGTCTTCTTCGTACCGTCCTTGTTGCAGGAAATCCAAAACTTTTGCATCTTACAGGTAGGGCGGCAACGTTCAATCTCATCAGCCCTTGGACTGTCAGCTGCAAGTCGGACTGTCCTCAGATATCTCAAGCCCGTCGACTGCCTAATCCTAACATCATCACACTACGACACAGCTACTACAATAGCAACCTCCACGGCGAGTTGAACAATTGCACCCACCACCCGAGCGGTCTTTTCAAGACAATACCACTATACGGCTGGCGTCGATACGTTCTCCGCTCTCTGTCAATAGGCTAGGTGCTGGATCAGAGGTGCTCAGCGGTTGCAGCAACTTCATTCACCCTCCACTGAGATTTTCAGCAGCCAATTTTCGACGTGCTGCTGCCTGGAGCGTTCCGCGACGCTCACAAGCCAAAGTCGCCCTTCAACCGCGTACCTTCAACAACCTTCACACCTCTCTTCACAACTTCATCAACCTTCACAACTTCGTCAACCTTCAACACCTCTCTTCACGACTTCAATAACCTTCAACACCTCTCTTCACAACTTCATCAACCTTCGATATCGCCACAGTCCTTTCACATCATACTCATCAACAATAGTACTACGGCCTCATCGTGTCGAGCGGAAGACGCCCAACATGGCGCCTCCACCTGGAACCTCTGGAGGTAGCGACACATCTAAACGCCCTCATGACGACACAGTCGATCCTGCCGGCGCGCCCATCAGCCTCAAAAAGGTTCCGCCTTACGATCCGAGCCTTGAACCAGCCCCAAGATCGGTGACATCAAGCAAAGAGTGGCAAACTCTCGAGTCTGGCAAAACGCTCCTCTTCAATCTCCTCGCGGGACCTTTCGAAAATGCCAAAGACGAATACTCCACAGATCTTACCGTTGCTTTGGTAAACTTGGTCGAGGAATGTCTCATCACGGACAAGTCAGCCACGATTATGGCGTGTATCAGCGGTCTCATGGGCACGGGTAAGAGTGCTACCCTGAACTCTCTGTTCCAGTGTGGTCCCATTGCGCGCTCTTCCGACGAAGGCGGCAGCTGCACGCTGGCCAGCAACCAGTTCCTTCGTGCGAAGAAAAACCAACAGGCGCCGTTTCTCGCCGAAGTTCTCTTCTTCAAATCCCAGGTGCAGCGGGAGATCTTGTCAAGCTATCTCAAAGACTATTACCGCGCATTCCATGGATCGGAAGAAGATGACAACGAGAGACCACGCTCAGGGGAAGACAAGGACGATCTTGAAGCGGTTTCTGATGAAGTCACTACGGCTTTGGTGTCTCTCTTTCGGGACCAGCCTAGCTGCCGAACCAAGGCTGACGTCCGCCACTTCCTCGACGGCGCGAATGCAGAGGACGATCCAGAAATTCTCCGAAAACTCTTCGATTGGTGCGACAACCTAATCCGTCGCAAGGGCGGCCACAACTTCTCGTTAACGGTCACTGCTTCGACACCTGGCGAACTACTTTCGGGTTTGACAGAATACATCACCCAGCCTGACGCGGAAGATGGCACCATTGCACAGGCTCTCTGGCCTATGGTTCGCTTGGTGAAGTACCACTTCGATGATCCTCTCACGAAACTTGGAATGGTATTCTTGGACACTCCCGGCTTGTCCGATCTCAATCGCACCCGCCGTCTTAGTGCTCTTGAGTACAATCGCAAGAAAACCCACGCTATGATTGTGACGAACGCCGCTCGCGCCCGTGACGACCCCAACATCGCTGGGCAAGTTCGCTTCATGAACAGCCGTGGAGCAGACAGGACTGTCATTGTTGTGACCAAGAACGACGACATCGGCGACGCTACTACTCCGGCGGGTACCAAGAGGGAGAAGGACACCATGAGGAGACTGAGAAACCACCATTCGGATATGATGGGAAAAGTTTCAGAGTTGGAGAACGAACTTGCCGAGTGCGACGAAGACGCGCAGCTACTGACCCAGCTGACTCAAGCCAAATCAAACTACGAGGTACGTGCGAAACTGGCCGAGAATGCGGAGAAAGCGCATCGTATCCACATGCGCAGCGCTCAGACGCAGAGCAAGCTTCAGGAGAAGCTCGACACCGTCACCAACTCTACCGCCCCGATTCCCGTGTTTTCCATCTCCAACACAGTGTACAGCACGCATCTGCAAGGTTTTCCTCCAAAGCGGACCCCGGTCCTGTCTGTCGAAGAGACGCAGATCCCGGCACTGAGGAGATGGCTTTTGACAGCTCCGAATGAGGCCCGCCTTAACGAAGCGAGACATATGCAACATGTCAGCATATCTTCGCTCCTCAGTCGCCTGCGACTCTACACTTCGAGGACCCCGATCGAGCGAAAGTCAGACCTGGATGTCCACATCCAGGCGCCGTTGAGGCAAATCCCTAAGATCATCAAGAGCATATTTGAGCAATTCCAGCAAAGCATCCTTGAGATCGTGGTTCCGAACTCTTCAACCACAGACTTGAATTGGCGCAAGAAGGCCGAGTCCCTCTGCTCCACCTGGGAGGATAAATTCAAGACGGGACCATTCATGACACTAATGCAGCGCTCTGGGCACCGCAAAGCCCGCGGCGCAAACTGTGCCGTCGACATGAGTGCCGGTCTAGTGTCTCTCGCAGCAGCTGATATTTCCAACTCCGTCACTCGCTCCACACACGTTCTCTCGAACTTCGAGAGTACTATGGAGACTGATATCGAAGCTCTCTTCGGAGGCATGGTGAAGGCACTGGGCCACGACGCCAACTCTTGCTTTGTGGATCTGAATCCTTTTATGAACTTTCTTTACAGTGAAAAGGCACGGCTGGGTGCATGCATCCGAGCCACGGCAGACAGGCTGTTGGCAGGTATCGAAGACGCGCGCCGCAAAGCTACTTTCGCGGAGGATGACGCCTATATCGTGGTTGCAATGCTCCCAGTCTACGAGACAATCAGCACGATGAAGAACGTTAAGGTCCCCAAAGGCACGCCGAAAGAGCCTGGACCCAAGGGAGGCTGGCCCTTGTACCGTAAATCAGTCTTCAAGAAGGAAGTCACGAGCGTCAACGGTGTCTGGGCCGCGCTCACTAGAGGTATGACGGCAGACCTCGAAGCTCTGGTGGACAAGGAGACGCAGCGTCTCACACAAGAGATCGGAGATGTGTTCGAGGATTTCCACGCGAGCTTCGATATGATGTGCGAGTCCAAGCATGTGGACAATYCAATCGAGGCGAAGCTTCAAAAGGAGCTCATGGAGAACATCGAGAAAGCGGAGGAGCATCTGAGTGGTCCGATGCAGCAGGCCTACAATGTCCTGTGGAAGGACTTCCATTGAGCTGCTCGTCCGTGTCATCCAAGACTTTGATGTGGTCAGCCTCCGGGACGCCAGAATTTTGCGATATTTCATCCGTACAGCGGATTGAAGATGGCTCGTAGGCTGAAAGCTGGARCGTGGCTCCCAATTCCTTCTCACCAGCCAGTTCAAGAACATTTGTGGTCTACTTCTTGTTCTTCATCGGGTTGATTGAGTGTGAATTGGAGAGCTTCGGCATGGCCATGAGGCAAGTTGAGTATTTTATCATCGAGGGCAAAAGAAAATCTATGAAAACTTCCATGCCACATCTCTTTTGTAGAGCTGTCGATATGAGATATCACTAATAAGACCAGCGCCCTGATATGCTCTCTCGGTTAATTAATAAGCCACTCTGCTACTAGTAATGGTTCTAATAGGCCTAAAATCGTCGAGCTTGCAGAGAGCGAGGCCTTAAGACGTTGTTAGGATGACTGAGGATGTCTTGTCCCGATGAACAATATTCAAAACTCACATTAAGATTTTTGAGCGGCGAAGTGAGCCCACTGCCCTCAGATTCGTGCGACATCTAAACCAAGCAAAGAAGACATTTGTAATGCTGGCGAGGTCTCGGATGTTGCGCAAAAAGTCTTTTCAAGTCAGATATCGGCTGGGACAGACGTTTATTGATCGGAATGCTCAGTGAGGCATGTACTCCAGCTCGCAATAGCCATCAAGAGGCCATATATGATCAGGTTCGCGGGCCCTAGGAAGCGATGAGCCTACACGATCTCGCCCACCGACTGTCCTTGCGGCAGGGCCTGCAGGATGCATCCTGCGAGCGATGCTGTAGAYACGGTCCCTAGGGATAATTAGCGAGAGCGTGGTGAGGGCGGCCAAGAGCAGGGGAACCGCGAATGAGGTTCCCTGTATAAGAGCGACGAGCAAGAGCCTACCTGCCAATCAGATGATGTCTCGTTCGCAAAGCTCTCGCAAGATTGCGGTATCCGTAATCATCCACAGTGGTACCAGCGAGTTCGTCTGTCAACACCTGTGTGATAACRGCGTTGTGATCCGCCTGCTCTTCCTTTGATATGCTCCTTTTCAGGCCTAGAGACCTACGCAGCCTTTTGTACTGCCATACCGATATAGTATGTCCCTCAGTGTTGAGTATCTTGCAGGACTCATCATCGCCTATGTCCCGCGTCCAAAAGAGCTCCTCAACCTTCTGTTTGAGCTRTACTTCTGAGTCGTCTATCTGCCGTCTAGGCTTGATCTCCACCCCCCATTGCTTGAGTCGCTTCTTGAAAGCTGTAGGTTTGATCTCTGTACCGTTCGCGCGTAGCCACGCGATTGCCTGTGTAGTGTTCCATGTCTTGTCGCGAATGCGCTGTTCGATTTCATCCCGATGTTGCTCTATGTCGATGGCTGGTCGCATGAGGCGCGGTGGCAAGGGCGGCGACAGAGGTAACACAGCCGCAAGAGCGTATGCAAGAGCGCAAAAAAAAAGAGCGTGTAAGGTAGTAAAGGGAACGGTTGCACGCGTAGCGGAATCTCGAAACTTGAGGAAGCTCGGAACATCACACTGCAGGTGAGAACGTACATGTAGCTTAGGTAAGCGACTAGCCAGATCTGTGGGTCGCCTCAAAAGATCGTGTCGTCGATGTTGGAGAGCATGTAGGACATGGTTATGACTGTGCGCAGTAGAATCGTGAAGCATGCGCAAGACACTTTATGAGTGTCAATCGCACGCTTCACTTTCTGTAGTCACATGCGACCGACTGATAGCAAGCATCCATCAATTCATCGCGTGGAGATCAGGGCGCGCCATGACGGCATTCATCTGATCTCCGCGCCAGCATATGACAAAGTATGTACATGTACCTCACTTCGTAGCGCAGTGGAAACACGTTCACTCCTTCACCGACTCACCTTTCCCTCTAGTGCACTTTCCTTGTTGAGCAGTACAAGCACAAGCAATCCACCATCCTCCACTAGCTTTCCCACGCTTTCACTTCGCTGGCGGGGCTGTCAAAAGGCGGCCACTAGTTCCCACGTCCGACGACGGGTACCGTACATGTAGGATTGCATATGACACATATTTTTCTCTCCATATACCTACTTACTCACTTTCACCTCTCCACAACTTCACACTCACCAGCTTCCTAACAACCGCTAAACCCTTCCATATATTTACATCTATCCACTCAACAAACGTTCAACATGTCCGCAATCCCCGGCGCCGACCAGCTCATAGAAGCAGCAACCCAACCCACCTCAAAACCACCTACGGTATGCGTATTGTACGTCCCATATCCCCCCGTCCCTCCCCGAAAAACGCACCCTCTAATCACAACCTTCTTCTTCTAGCTGCGGCGCCTCCCCCGGAACCTCCCCCGCACACCTAGCAGCCGCCCGAGAACTCGCTCACGCCTTCCACGCCCGCGGAATCCACCTCGTCTACGGCGGCGGAACCGTAGGCGTAATGGGTGAAATCGCCAAAACGCTCGTCAAACTTTCCGGACCAGACGCCGTGCATGGTGTGATTCCTGAAGCACTTCTTCGTTATGAGCGAGGCAATGTCAACAGCGAAGCTGCGAAAGATCCGCAACAACAACAACAAGCACAAGCACAAGCAGATGAGGATGTAACGAAGCATTTGATTGAGACAAAGGGATTGATAGATGAAAGCATTTATGGAAGAATTACGGTTGTMAAGGATATGCATTCGAGGAAACAAATGATGGCTCAGGAAGTCATCTCCTCGGGTCCCGGAGGCGGGTTCGTGGCTTTGAGTGGTGGGTATGGAACAATGGAAGAGTTGATGGAAGTTGTGACTTGGAATCAACTGGGGATTCATGCCAGAGGGATCGTGTTGTATAATGTGGAAGGGTATTGGGATGGCATCTTACAGTGGGTGAAGACGGCTGTGGGAGCGGGGTTTGTGAGTGAGAGTAACAGGGATATCATGGTTGAGGCGAGGAGTGGAGAGGAGGTAGTAAAATGTTTAAAGGACTATCAAAATTCGGAAGGGAGGTTCAAGTTGAAGTGGGAGGAGCAGTGAGATGTCGCCGAGGAGGGTTGCATATAGATTGCATATAGACGCAAGAATGGTTAAAGAAGCTATGACGGACATTTGCTGGACTCTCGTTCTCTCGGGCTCTCCTGACCGGAAAGATCATCTTGGATTCTAACTGGTATGCATCCTTCCTCAATACCCTTCAATAGGTCCTGTCCAACCCTCCTCTCCATTAGGATCCTCACTCCCATCAACCTCCCTCCCACCCTCCATCTTCTCCAGCTCCCTTGCAAAATAATCTCCCTCAGCCTCCGCCATACCCTTCTCTATGCCCATCACACTGGGAAAATTCCTCACATTCCACCAATGCGTCAGCGCCCTCAAACTCTGCTCGAGCGGCAAAGCATCCTCGACACTCCCGTCAACATCCCCCACCCAACCTCCTCCCATACCTCCACCCCCACCACAAAGCCAATCGTCTCGCAATTCACTCCTCACACCCAACCAGACTCCCGTGATGATTCTCATATTTCCTTGTCTCCATTTTCGTYCGCAGAATGGGACTTGGGATTTGAAGAGTTTGAGGGTATACAGTCTTAGCATCGGGACGGGAATTCGTAGTCCCTTCTTGAGGTGGTTGGAACTCTTGTAGCTGACGAGTAACAGTGCACGGTGTGTCTTTCGGCGTGTGACTTTTTGCAGTACACGGAGCAGGTTGATACTGCTGAAGAGGTTTCGGAAGCTGTAGACTTTGATTGGGAGAGGCGGCAGAGGTGATGTTGGGTAGCCTAATTCGTCAATCTCCGGAGGATATGATGCGCTTGGCGGGCCAGATTCCTCAGGAGACTCTACTTCACTTGGGAAAGCCGGTGAGTGATTGTCATCCGCCGCTTTTTGTGGAGACGGCTCGCGCTTGAGTTTAATAGGTGGTGGGATGGCATCGTCTATGTCGTCTTCCTCGGAGGAACTTGAAGATGGCCTTCTCCTCCTAGAAGTAGCATGGCAGAAGTACCAGAAGCCTTTGTCGGCCCGCTCGACTCGATAATGACACGCTCTTCCGATATCTTGGGTCTGCCAGAGCTTCAACACGAGCGGGACGTAGTTAGAGTCGAGCAAGAGTTGGGTGAAGTACTCATATTGCAAGACATGGCTGACTTTGAACCACTTGCAGAGCAGTATTAGAATACCACTGAGAGCTTTCTGCACAATCTCTTGAGTGCGAAGCTTGTCGAGTTCCTCGGCTGTCGTACTGTTAGTGTCCATACCGCCATTTGTGAGGTCGGGTGCGTTGTTCATGTCGTTAAATTGGATTCCTGCTTGAAGACCATTGGATCCATTGCCCTTAGTAACGAGATCCGTGACATTAGACAAGACGGTCTTGAGAAGAATGATGACGACACTCTGAAGGTGCGGAAGTGAGTCTCGGTAGTAGTCGTTGACCTTATCGAGGAGACGTTGCGAATCAGTGAGTGAGTTTGCGTCTCCTTCCGCCTTGACTGATATCTTGCGCTTCGTATCCTTGTCGATTTTGGTTGGAGGATCTTCCAAATTGATGTTGAAATCTGCTCCGAGATCGAAGTCATCCACGTCAGCATCATCGACATCCTTCCAACCACGCTCCTCTTCCATGAAAGCATTCCGGGCGTCCCAAAGCTGTCGCATACCCCTCGTGGCCCGACAGCGGCCGGCGAACAGCTCAGCGGCTTCAAGTATACTGGTGGGAACATCAGAACCTTCCCATTTCCTCCCCACCAGCGCGTCTTGCAGCTCTGTACTTCCCTTACCACCCAGAGCGTTACTGCTGGCATCGAGGGGCGGATAGAGGAAGGGGAACATCTGATTGGTCTGATAATTCTGTTTCTTCCCTGCTTTACCCGGGGCAGCAGGTGAGGGAGGCGGACTTGGTGCTGGTGTAGCAATATGCACGGGTTGATGCATGATCGACGTCGATGTCCCGCCGGCAGCTCCCGACGACGAGTCCGCAAGGCTAGGACGGCGATGTTTTAGTGGTGGGAGTATGCTGTTGTTTTCCGGCTCCAGCGGAAAGAGTGGTGCTGGCGGTTGGTACGCAGGATACTTGGAGTTGATTTCTTGACGGAAGAGGTGATAGTCCAATGGTGATGCTGTTATGATGGGTTGGCCTCGATCGTCCAGCTTTCGTTCCTCCGACGCCGATGAGGGATCTGAATCGGTACGGAGGGTGGCCTTGAGCGCATCAACATCGGCTATTCCGCCAAAAGACACCAGGATGGCTTTCCAGGCGAGGAGAAGCATCTTCGTCAAGGGAACCGGCGCTTGTTCATCCCAGCGTAGACGGGCGACTATCTGGGTGAGGTAGTTGAGGAAATTGGGTTCCAGAGCGAGAACTGCCGCCTTGAGTTTGTGATTGTTGGTGGTCGTGCGTGCGACATCGACGAAGAGATACATCAAAGTAAGGCAGCACCATAACTCGGTACTCTCTCCTCCTCGACGTATCTGGGATTCATTCCGAGAGGGGATCTCGGGTTCGAGCGACTGGAAATCACGATCGCAGATTCGTCGCAGCGTGTCGTAAATCGTCTGAAAGCCGTTGCATGAATGGATGGTATCAACCATGGCCACGATCCACTGGATCTGCAGACTTGATCCGTCATATTCCTCCAACCTTGACCCACCCAATTTGYAATCTCCAAACAGCTCCTCCAACGCACATCCCTCTTGTCGCCCGGCCGTCTCCTCCCAGATACCCAAAGCAAGATATGTCAGAACGCTGAGAGCTCTGGCCACATTCAGCTCGTTGGATACATCCTGCAGGCCATCGATCCACTTTTGTAGGAATGCCCTCCGAGCATCTTCGGTAACGTCGAGCCAGTCCAGCTTGCCATCGCCGTCCTCAGAGTCATCTCCTCTCCATTCTTCGTTGAAGACAAGCCTGCAAGTCCTCAACTTCGACTCTTCCTCCTCACTATAACTGAACCATTCCTCCAGCTCCACGGGGAAGGACTGCGCATCTTGATAGTCAAAATCGTAGACCTTTTCGTGCTCTTGCAGCTGCTGTCGTGGAGCTTGCGCAGTGGAGAAGAAGTTGCCGCGGATCCGCTTGAGATCTGCCAAGGTCAAGCTATCGGGCGCTTCTTGGGAGAAGTCGATCGTGTCGGATGATGAAGGCGCGGGTGGGAGTGCAGCAGACTGTTGCTGACCAGTTGGCGGGGCGGGCGGCGGTTGTTGGGGTGGTGGTACAGAGCCTTCCCGGATCAAAGTCGGTCGGAGAGGCACTGCAGCTCGAGTGGCAGGAAGGGYGGGCAGAATTGCTGCTGCTGTTGCTGTTGCTTTTGGTGCATCGACCTTTTCGGGCTCTGCATTCAGCGCTAAGGGGAGCGTGGGATTCTCCACCTCATCCATGATGTTATTGATCTTCTTATGGGCATCTCACGCGTGCATTCGTGGAAAGAAAGTTGGAGCACTTTACGCGGTAGCAAGTGAAGTGCGGTTGACGTGTTGGGATGCTCCCGTGGGCCGTCTGGAGTTACCTTAAGCGAGGACCAGGAGACGGACTCGACTCCGGCGAATTCACCTCCAAGGGCCGGTGAAATTGAAGGTTGCCGCCCTACCTTAGCTATAGCAGGCGAAAATCTTGTGTTTCCTACAATAACGGCAGCACGGCTGTCGAGAAAGAAGACTTTCGATCCCCCGGATTTGACTCTCCGTAAGGCTGCTGCTTTCTATGCTTATAGCCACCGGTTCGTAAGCGTTATCGTCGGTTCACCACAAGGAGAGGCGGCAATCTTCAATTTCACTGGCCCTTGCTCGAAAAGGACATCCCCTACCTACCACACTGACATTCAACAAACAAACACATCTCCTGTTCAAGCCTCTGAAAGCCTTCAGACAAGCCGACTGTAAGCACCAGAAAAAGCTGAAACTCACCGTTTCCCATCAATCTGCCCAAAAGACCGAGACTTACCCAACATTTTCCATTGACTACACTCTCTACATGAAACACACCACGCCGCGGTCCTGCCATCCCAAGGCCTGCGCAACCCTTGTCCTCTCGCTGTCATTTCGCTCTTGGTACAAGCATTCACATGGCATGATAGGATCCCTCAGCATGTCTCATATAGATGATGTGGACCCAACCTCTACATACATCCTTTAGCTCTGCATACTGTACTTTAGCTCTGCATCGAAGTGCCACCACAGTGTTGTCGCTGACGGATAAAGACTAGAGAGCTCTGAGCATTTTTAAAAGAAAAATGGTATCTGCACTCCGAGTCTGGTCGGGATAACTTTCACTTCTGATTACACTCATTCATCTCGTCTCGAAAGAAATTCGCCCCTTCCAATTCACCTCTTCCACATATCATCTTCATCATGCTTTCCTCTTCCATTCTCCCATTCTTCGGCTTCATGGCATCCATAGCAGTAGCCGAATCAGGCACAGCCTCCTTCTACGGCGGCAACACCCAAGGCGGAATGTGTTCCTTTGCAACCTACACCATCCCCTCCAACTTAGCAGGCACAGCCCTCTCCYCCGCCTTCTGGAAAGGCAGCGAAGCCTGCGGAGCCTGCGTCAAAGTCTTCGGTCCCGGAAACGATAACATCACCGCAATGGTAAACCCTGCCCCTATAAAGAGTTCTCCTCGAGCCTTTCGGAGACTGACAGCAATAACAGGTCGTCGACCAATGTCCCAGCGGATGTGATAGCCACGACCTCGACCTCTTCCAATCCGGCTTCATCAAACTCGCAGACGCCAGCAAAGGTATCATCGACATCACCTGGGAATACGTCGATTGTCCCATCTCCTCCCCTCTCCAAATTCGCATGAAGGAAGGTGTTTCGGCATACTGGTTTAGTGCTCAAGCCTTCAACGCCAACAAGGTGAGACTCATGCTCTCCCCCAGCCACCATCCTTTGATTAGTTGATAAAGCGGATACTGATGTAACAACAACAGAGAGTCGCAGACCTGCAAGTCAGCACAGACAACGGCAARACATGGCAAAGCGGCCTCGAGAGATTGGAATACAACTTCTTTCAGAAATCTTCGGGATTCCGCGCCACTACAGTTTCTGTCAAAGTCGTTAGCATTGATGGTGATGAGGTGGTTGTTAGTGATTGTGGTGTCAGTGGCGGTAAGGTGTGTACTGCTGGCAGTAACTTTTAAACCCCTACGCCAGAAACCGAGCGGCTGGGGGAAACTTCCAAAGGGAGCAAGGGCCGGTGAATGGCTCTCCTTGTACTGAATTAACGAAAACGCTGGCGGATGAGTATCTACAAGTACAAAAAGAAGCAGCCTTACGGAGAGTCAAATATTACATTTACTTACGTGCTCTCAATCGTGTTGTAGACAGCACAGCATCTAAAGTGCCACATTTCAGGCTCACCAACACACATGTAATGCACATCACTCCATCCCATTCAGACTACTAGCACGTTTGAGTACATGTAACGACAATACCCTCAAACCACCAGTTCATTTCATCTCATACCTAATAATGAGCTCTCTGTCTCTACCAAAAGTATGCCCACAGAAAAATACTACCCAAACCCAAGTAGAATGCACCGGTAATGCTCATGCTCATCCTGTCTCCTCTACGCCTCAGCACCCAAAAAGTTGCATTACCCAAAAAAGTAACGCCCTCGCTTGCCGTCGATGCCCCCAAAACGCAAGAAATGCCATCTGGTGTTGTATCGTAGCTTTCCTTCTATGCTACTGCTTCTGCGGTCCAAACAAATCTCAAGAAAGATTCAGGCAGTTGCTCGAATCCTGTTTTGGAGCGAGAATCATCATGTTCTTGTATGATCAATCTCAAGAGTGGAAGAGATCCCACGCTCTCTCGCAGAGTTTCAAAAACTCTTCTCTCTTCTCCGCACTCCCCATCCCTGATCTCCAATCTCGCTCATCCTCCCGGTCCTCTCCACGCACGGCAAAAGTAGCACGCTTGACGTCCGGACGACTGTACGCCAGCGGAGGACTTCCCTCACGCTCATACTCTTCTCGACCTCGCCTCCGACCGTTCATCGACGCTGTGCGGGCGAGGACATCCGGACGGGAAGGCTCCTGCTGCAACTGCTGCACTCCCGGGTGCTGTGCTCCCGGTACTGCCGATACTGAATGGTGATGTTGATGGCGGTGTCGTGCTGGAGGCATCGGAGATGGTGGTGTCGGAGGTTGAACACCGCCGTAGTGGACTACTTTGGGAAGGAGATCTTCGCGCCCGCCAGAAAGTCCTTGAACCGCCTCCTCTGCAGATCGGAATTCACGACTGCGAGCGCTCGTTGGCGGAGCGTGCGATTGTGATGGAGGAAAGCCAGGCGATGGCACAGGAGGTGGTGCATTAGAGTGGGATGAGTGGCCAGGGGAGTTGTTATTGTTTGCGTTTGGGAATCTTCTTGATTCTAATCGATCGTTTGCGAAAACATCTGCTATCGGGGGAAGGCGATTGTTCGTCTGAGTTGCGGGCATGTGGTGGATATGGCTCGTCTGGCTCAAGCCACTCGGTCCGTGTTGTGCGTGTCGAGAGTGCGGGTACTCTCCAGGTCGGAGGCCTGTAAATGTTTGACCCAGGGGTGCAGATTGTATCACTCTGTCGTGTTGGAATTGTGCGGCAGACGGCGCGGAAATGGACAGAGCTGTTGGTGGTCCTTTCCTTCGAGAAGTTAGGGGAGTTCGGCCGCCTGTCGGGACGCCAAATAGTGTTGTATCTTGTGTTCGCGGTCCATCGTTCTCGAGCGAGCTGCTACCAGGCTTGGTCCCCTTCTGTCGTGCCTCGATTATCAATCTCTGCTGGTCCCGCACATCGAGACTGCGCTGTAATTGCTCTCGCATGCCAGGGTTGCTGGTAGCGAAGCCGGGCGAGAGACAAGCTAGGCCAACATCTTGAATAGCTAAGCCGGCAGATTCGCGCGACGTCAAGGGCGCTGAAGGTCGTCCGGTGTGTGGGCCGCCGCGACTGTTGGACATGCTCGAGGAAAGGTCGAGTCGCTTGGGACGTGGACGCGACGAAGGCATTACGGGCGAGCCAGGCTCCCTCTTCACTTTGACCATGGGCGGGGCTCCTCCACTGCGATGTCTGTGTTCACTAATGTTAGCGTGGTGTCGCAACGTGGGAGGGCGGGCACGGGCACGAGCACGGACATGTTGAGGCTGTGAGTGTTGCTGTTGCTATTGCTGATGCTGCCAGTGCCGCTGGCGGGCGAGGACTTGTTCTCGGGACTGCGTCGTTCTCGTCCAATCCCTACTGCGCCTTCTGGTGTGGCATTACTGCGCGGGCGCCTGGGTGCGGGTTCGCCATTCGAGGGCGGCGAAGAGGCGGTCATGGGCACGCTCGTTGGCGCAATCGATTGCGGCGTGAAGTGGGCGGGTAGAGTGGACGTTGGAGCAGCGACAGCGGTGGACATGTTTCCTGTTGTGTGTGTGGCTCTCAACACCGACGCGGCGGACACGTCCTAAGGTGGTGATATCGTGTCGGATATACCTTGGGTAAGTATATGCGGACGACGTTGTGGAAGCGCGAGAGCGGGCGTCTCTGTGCACTCGGTCGGTGCTTCGCAGATCGCGGAATCACGTCCCTGCAGCGTTGAGCAGCGAGACTAGTGATTTCTCGACCCGAACGGGGAAGCTGATCATGAGGTTCGGGCGGCTATCGAGGCAAGTCTAGAAGGAATCGACAAGAGACTGGAACGTGTGAAAAAGAGGTGCGACGAGAAGTGTGTGAGGGGAGTGTTTATTTAGCGAAAGTGACGCTTTGAGACGTGCGGGTTTGTGAGTATGCATCGACGTGTGTCGCCCTACCAGGCACCCTCGACACGGCCATCCCGGTCCAAGGAGAACGCTGCCCGTCTGCCCTCCCCTTCCCAAGCGCGTTTCACGACTTGCCCGCTAGCGGWTCAATACTCTGGCGCAAGCGAATAATCGACAGGAACGATCCTCATTATACTGCTCCTTCTCCACACGTCTGCGCCAAGTCGAACCGTGGTCGCAGTGTCACCCGGGGGAGAAAGGTGCTGGATGATGTATATTGCAGACGACACGGAATTACCGTGTGGAATTCAAGACCATCCTCGGCATCTCYCATCAAACACACTTCCCCATCTCGAACAAGGCTAGGTGACCACACGATACAGCAAAAAGAAACCCTAATGCAGCCACATTGGTGCAAGAACGGGCGGAAGCAACGCAATACGATCCTCCGTCCCGACGATGTGAGTGGTCAAGGGCACCAGCACCATGCCCCGCCGACTCGTTCTTTGCCCAGACTGTCCCAAACTCTCCTCACACGCGGCCGAGACGATTCGAGTGGCCCCGAACCTAAAATGTGACTGAAGCACGCCACGCGCTCTCTGAAACAATAGTCTAGTCTCCAGACGACCACGCGATCCCCTCTCGAATAATCAATCCAATCCAAGCCAATCCAATCCAATCCAAACCAACAACAGAGCGAGAGCAGACAGAGCGAGAGGTGGGAAAACAACGGTGTGTGCCTGTATTCTTAGATAGCTCCACCTCAGCGCTCCACCTCATCGCTTTCACGCACGCAGGAGGTGGAATCCTTCCCACCCGACTCTTCTCCGCTCGCTTCGAGAAAAGGCCCTGCCCTCAACTCAACAGCAAGCATGTGAAGAACACAGAAAGGTCAATGCGACAAGAAGATCCCTCGTGTGACAAAACGACTATCAAATTGTCTCGATTGGGAGTTTCCCAGGGTCTAGTTGCCCGAAAGAGCGACTGGGGCGCGACCATGGGCCGCCGAAATTGAAAATTGCCGCCCCTCCTTGCAGTGAATAGACGACAACGCTCACGAACTGGTAGCTATAAGCACAAAAAGCAGCAGCCTCGCGGAGAGTTGTATACGGATGATAAATGTCTTATCGAATAATGTCTTCTTAGCCGTACTGTCGTTGTTGCAGATATTACAAGATTTTTGCTGTCACAGGTAKGGCATCTGTCTATGGAAGCCAGCCTCTCGGAGGGCGTTATTCATGCGCGGGACGATCTCGCAGGCACAGCACAGCTTAGTTTTCCCCATGACAAGTGAATTCAATACTTTCTGACCTCGTGGATAGGCAGGCCTTGTATACATCCTTGCACTTGCCCTGCAGGGTGATGATGCTATGGTTGCCGCTTTCGTGATGCTGGCAAGTCTTGGACGGATTAGTGCCATCGGTTTTCCCACGCGTCTATTCACACCAATCATCATTCCATCACCGAGAACCATCATCCAGCCAATAGTCCAAATAACAAATACGTTCTCCTCCAATAATCCCCAGCGCTTTTCCTTAACCTCTCATTGGCTGCAGGTTCCAAATCGACCTTTTTCCTCAACCCCCCAACAACTTCTTCAAGCCTGCCAGACTCGTCCTCTGCACCAGTGTGGAAAACGAACTGCAGGTAAAGTAGATCAAACAGGGTCTGCACGAGTCGATTCCTCGTCTCATCGTTCCCTGGAGAAGGAGAAGTCGCCTCCTCAGCATTCGCCGACTCGGCTTCATCGGCGTGCCCATGACTCGCGCCACTTCCTCCTCCCTTGGACAGTTCGTCGATCACCCCATCATCATGTTCAACCTCAAACTTCCCTCCCAACCCCTCTCTCACCATCTTTTTCAATGCCTGCACAGCGCAAGGACTCCAAAGATCGTTGCCAGATCCTGCCATGCACTGATGTAAATCCTTCACAAAACGATATGTTGCCGGTGAAGGTTGAACAGGTAGAGCCGGTGTACCATCCCACAATGCCACCATACCTCGAATTCTCTTCGCCTCGAACTTTCCCATCGGTACTTCATAGACGCTCCTCGCAACTCGTTGCTGTAGCGCCGCAATAAACGTCTCACTCGCCATCGCCTTATCCTCAATCCCCTCCAAAATAGGCCCCAGACCCCTCCGTCGTAGATCCACGTCTCGAATGATCCGAATCAGTAGGGCTGCATCCTCTACTGACTCGCCCATCTTTTCAACCTCGGAGTATGTAGCCTTTATCGAATCCATAGTCGACCTATTCAGTCTCGCCTCCAATACTTGAGGATCTTGCTTGCTAAGAATCATCTGCAACGACTCGCTACCGTCACTCAGATCATCATCCTCCAATAGTTCCAAGTCCAGATCATCGTCCCATTTGAGAAGTCGCATGGATGATATCGCCTCGGCGAATTGCTGCAGGTTAATGGTCCAGTCATCCAGGGTTCGTGATAAACTTTCCGTTGCGGCGGATCGACCTTGTTGGCGTTCCATGACTGCTTTGCGAAAGTTTGTGGCTCCTGTGCCTGGTTCCAGATCTGAGGTTGCGAGATCCCATACTTTGGGTGCGCGTGCGTTTGTCCCTGACAATTGGGTATCCAGAGGAAGGGGTGACATCTTGGCTGCTTGGTCCGCGAGTTCTTCCAGTCGTGTCAGAAAGACTATGCGGAGATCGTCCATGGCACGTGAATGCTCCTCGTTTCGTAGCTTGGCGCTGAGGGAGAGGTACTTTGATAGTAAATGCTGCCGAAGGGCCAGCACGGCATGAGCGTCTGTTTGTTTTGCGATAGTCTCCTTCAGTGTTGATAACAGACATGACTGGGCCTGTTTGGTCCAGGAAGCCAGAGCACTGCTGACTTCAGCAGAAGAAAGCTGATCATGTCGAACCCAAGGATGAAAGTTCCTCACATCCTCTCCAATCCACTGCTCGTAGACATCCAGACTCAATTCATAGACAGCCCGCACACTCTCGTCCCGTATCAGCGCGGTCCTCGAAAGACCCGCCAAAGCATCCGCGAACCGTCTCGGAAACAACTCCTTCGTATCCAGCACAGAATTTCCGTAGAGCTCCAACATCTCGGCCAGCCTCCCCTCCTCCATCCCCTCCGCCTTGGCTTCCAACTGCTCAAACCGCACCTGTAAGAAATATCTCAAAACCTCCTTCGACGACGAACTCGAGATGAGAGAGTACGCACACAGCGCCTTGACCGTCATCCCAACATCCGCATCCCTCCTCGCCAAAGTCCTCGAAATGTAGCCCAACAACCTCTTCCTCATACTCCCCAACCTCCTCTTCAGCTCCCCATCAACCACCTCCGGCGCAACTTCCTCCCCCTCGACAAGACCCTTGAACACCAACCTGCCCAGTACCAAAACCTTAGCCCCAAGCAACGCATCCCCATTCCCCCTCACAATCCTCCCCACGACCCCAATAATCTTCTGCAGCACCTTCGTCTGCGCAACCACGGCTTTCCTCCTCTGTAATCCCACATCCTCTTGCTCCTTCTTCATCCTCGCGAAATTCCCTCCAACCCTTCCCACAGCTCTCGAGTTGCATTTCCTCCCGATATCCTCCATGTATGATTCTGCTTGTCGGATCTGCCCATCCATCTCAATAATCCTCTCCGCAGTCCCCAGTAAATCCCGATAACTATTCCCGACCAAAGACCGTAGTTTCGAGCGATGATCTTCGATATTCTGGCGGAGTTGTTGCTCTAGTTTCCGGACGATGGGGAGTGGGTATTGGAAGGCATCTTCCCAGGTCGTGAGGGATTTGGGATCGGTGGGCGGGAGGGTCGCCATGGTGGCATTGGTGAAGTTAGTGGTTATTTCGAGGTTGAGGATGCGTTTAGACGTGGACGTGGACATGGACGTGGACGTGAATGTGGGGAGACTATTGATAGATATCTTAGCTTGATGCCAAGAGATGTCACGACAACTTCACTTGTGGCGCTCCTGCCTGTAGCAGTGGAAAAGATGTCGGAGGTAACTTTCTGTAATGCCAACGACACGATCAGCCATCGTCCAACCTGAACATTGTCTCTCTGCAAAGCCACCTCATTTTCGTGCTTGCAGCCACCTGTTCGCGAGCATTGTCGTCGATTCACTACATGGAGACAGCCAACAAGCCTCAACTTTTCCATTCCTTGAACCTCTCTCATTCGATAAGAAACTGTCTTTATACAGACACTTCCATTCCTACATMCATCTACAAAACCGCCAGCTCCATCATCAATCAAATTACTCGGCCCACCCGAAAATATCCCCCACACTAACCATACTAAACCTCACCCCAACAATCCCCACCAACACCCCCACAACCTCCACAAGCCCCAAGACCGTGATAGCCAACAACATCCTCGGCATAAACACCCGATACAACMTAAGATGTCTCCTCAACCACGCCGCTTCAATCACCGTCGCAACTGCAATCGCAGCATAAAACAAGATATGCGTCGMCATACTTCCCGCGATCCGTCCCAATAGCCCGGGATGTTTAGGTGGAACTTTCCACATTGTGATGGTGGGGACCGCGATGGCACAAAGTATTTGCGGGCCAAAGGTGTTGAGTGCGACGAAGATGGGACTCCAGGGGTATTGGATAGTCTTTAGTGGTACAAAGGCGGATTCCCATTGGATTGTGACGAGAGCTGCTTGATGTCCGGTCTTGAAGAAGTGGAAGCTTCCAAGCAAAGCCAGAAGAACTGGTCCTAGAGGAGATCGGCGTAGGTTGTTGGCGTCAATTACCTCGAAGATGTTCAWGATGGAAATCATGCAGAGGGCTAATGCTCCCTGGCCCATGGGCTTTTGCAAAAGTAGCAATGCCAGAATCCAAGCGCAGGGAAGTAAGAAGTAGCGCGTACCGTGTGTGTTGGCATAGCCATATATGATGAGCTTCGAGCGAGGAGCCGGAGCAGCATTGATGGTCGTCAGGACAGTGTTGGGATCATCGTCATTGATAGGCTTCGACGTAGACGTAGGCTTCTCCTGCGCTTCTTCCGTTTTCACATCCAGCATTGGGGAGGCCGCCAAGAAAGTAGGATACCCAGCCGCAAATGCCACCGCAAGCACTGCCCACGCCAGCCAGACACGAACTGTCTTGAGCGTATCTTTGGAGTATTGAGGAAACCAATCTCCATCGTCTGCAGCGTCGATGGCCCAAAAGCTAGCCACCGCTATTAAACCAAGACGAAGTGCGATACCGATCCAGAAGACCGCCGAGCCATGATAGTTGGTAGTACGGACGTAAAAGTGTTTGATGGCGACTGGCAGGACAAGAGCAACAGCGAAGGGAATCAGAAGTTGCCAACTCGCGGAGGTCGATGAGGTTGACGAGGCGTAGTATGTTGACCTGCAGTTCGGCATTTGCTCTTCGCGACATAGTCGCGATAATGAACTGAGACGCGTGCAAATCAAAAAGGAGAGCGAGTTTGTCGCGCCCAGGATCTGGTCTTGCCGGTCCGCCTGTCCCAAGGAAGATCCGAGCATGAGTACTGCGAAGGTGGATAGAAGGAAGAGCAACTGCTCGTCTTCCCAAATCGTGAAGGAGTTGGAGGCGAAGCCAATGCAGAGAAGCAGGGTAGCAATGGTGCAAAGCCATCCCCAGACGGTAGTAGGAACCGGTACTTTCAAGATCTCCCGCGCCGGATAGAATCCCAACAAAGTAGCGAGGATACCTCCCAATGCAGCTCCAAAAGCTATCAGCTGCATTGAAGAAAGGCCCGATACTGCTGCAGTGACTGCTCCTACGGTAGCGCCGATTGTGGTACCCATCAAACCCCATCCAAGAAGAGCAGGAGTGAGTGCTGCCCGGTCGCCATTGACACCCTGAGCGTACATGACGATGACTAGAAATGTACCGACCAGCGCGATGATACCCATGGACATGCTGACAAGATCAAAATTTGCCCACAAACTCTTGCATATCCTCAGATTCTCCGCTTGATACGCTCGGAACGTCTCGTACGCATTGATATCGACATTATAACCAGACTWGATAGGCTTGGAGGTGACCATCTTCCACTTCTCGGTAGCAGATGCCCATAGAGCGTACAGAGGAGACGTAGCGGATTCAGGTATGTTCTTGGCTTTGGCATAGCCTGCTTGGTACCGATGGATCTGAGCAGAGGTGAGTCGGCTGACCTGAGCGAGGTTCGCRTAGTTCGGCTTTGTGAGGGAGTCGGATGCGTGGAAAGCCTCTTCGATGGGTTGTCCAAGATTGCCAAAGGGAATGGGAAGCCCTAACAAGAGGGAAAGGGTTGGTACCAGATCAATCTGGGAAACGAATCGCTCCTTGGCAGTCGCTGGTGGGAGCAAAGACGCCTTGTCCTTTCGACCAAAGATTCCACGTTTCGAATACATCCACAACGCAGCCTCGACCTCATCGTCGGATTCACCACCATGGTCACCCTTGACGTCCATTCCATGATCGCCCATCACAACGAGAAGAGTTTTGTCATCCAAAGCATCKATCATCCGCCGTAGCACACCGTCCATTTGCTTCAATTTATCTGCCATGGCAGGGTGATCCGGTCCGTATCGATGTCCAGCATGATCCACTCCCAAGTAATGGCCAATAATCACATCCCATCGATTCTCCATGGATGGCTCCAAAAGTGGAAAGATGTGCTCATTGACCCCGTTATCCAGGGTATGCAAATCCCACACATTGAACGAATCGTAGGCATGGGTCAAGTTCGGCTCAAAGTATCCAGGAAACAGCGAATGCCATGTATCATCCCCGAGATGCACGACCTTCTTGCCAGCCTTGAAGAGCTGCTCCACCATGTTATCCTCATCAATCGCCGTCCCCGCAAAGTTCGATCCCGCATCTATAAAAGTAGGGAGAGTCCCAGTCATCAGACCCTTCAATCGTTGTAAAGTCGTAGTGGGTGGATCCGCAATGAAAGGACGAAGGAAAGCATTGTGTGGCTCTTGTACAGAAGTCTCGTATAATACAGGCAGCGCATCGTGAAAGTGATGTGGCTGCTCATCTCCCGCCTTCGCTTGAAAGGGCACCGTGAAATCGTACCGCAGCGCATCAATGACCACGACGACGGCCTTGTCAAAGGATTTCGGATGCCAGCATCCTCGCTCCTGTGAGCCGGTGAGGTATGTTCCTGCTTGGTAGTCGAGGTCGATGGGAGGAATGGCGCAAGTCGATCGGTCTTGGAGGACAAGTCGGGAAAGCAGGAATCCGCTGCAGAAGAGGTAGATGGCGAGGGCGTGAAAGAGGCTGAGGGTGCTGTCAGCTTGCAACTTCCCACGTTCGATCAAGCCTTGCTCACAATATGAGCAAGAAAAAGGCAACAATCAAAAGATGCTGAGCCTTGAACTGTACAAGCCGCTGCGCGTTGACTTCCTTCTCCGACGCGCCGCCATCCTTTTTGGGCGCGGGATCCGMCATTATTCGGAATCGCCAGTGGCAGAAATAGAGGGGTTATCGAGACATGTATTGAACAAATTTACAAAGAAAGGAAGAAAGAATGGCTGTAACATGAAGTGTGAGCATGGGCAAATGGGTGGTCAAAAGCCAAAAGTCACCAACATTCGGCCCCACCACTTCACGCATGACGAGCAGCGGAATGAGAAAATCAGGGGCTCTCTCAGTGAACGATGGATTTGTTTGGTAGGTATCTTACCAAGCTCCCCATAAGTCTAACGTCACACACTACATACCAATCCCGAGACTCGTTCTACTCCAGTATCTCCAGGTCCCTTCGTATTGGATCAAGGGCCGATGAGATTGAAGGTTGCCGCACCTACCTATAGCAGGCAAAAATCTTGTATCTATGCAACAACTATAGCATAGTTAAGGAGAATTATTCGGTGAGACATTCGACACTCTATATTTGACTCTCCGTAACGCTGGTCCTTTTTGTGGTTGTAGCTACCGGTTAGTGAGCGTTGTCGTCGATTCACCACATCGAGAGGCGGCAATCTTCAATTTCACCAGCCCTTAGGACATCCAGATCTCCAACCAAAGCCGGAACCTCTCGACCAAGGGCGGGTGAAATTGAAGGTTGCCGCCCTACCTGAAAAGGCGACAGTGTTGTATATCTGCAGCAAGTTTCTGCAACACCGACTGTAAGATAAAGAAGACATTATTCAATAAGACATTCGACCGCACTTGACTCTCTGTTAGGCTGCTGCTTTTTGTACTTGTAGCGACCGCTTCGTAGGCGTTGCCGTCGATTCACCATAGAAAGAGGCGGCATTCTTCAATTTCGGCGGCCCTTGGAGCGACAGAGGAAGAGGGAACGGATGTTGGAGAAATTGGGGGAAAAAGAGGAAAAAAGAGAACAAGGGGTTGAAATCGCGCACGTTCTTGGAGCTCTGCCCGTATAAAAACGTTCCGATCCAGACTGTTGCGTCAAGCGAAACCCGCCAGCAATGACACATTAAGTATGTAATACCATTCCAGCAGCAGTGTTCGACTCGTCGTCGTCGCGGTTTCGCACCCTTTCTTCCTCCGCCACCCAACCTTCCACTTCCACCGCAGCTCCGAGGAGAGCCTTCTCAAACATGTACTTAGCGACCAGGCTTCGCTCCGGAATTCCAACCAAACTAAAGCATTTCGCAGAAACTTGAACATATCGTGTTATCAAAACAGGTGAGAGGGTAACTTCGCACTTTCTTGGGCCGTCAAAGAAAAAGGAGCAGGGGTATGGTTCGTCGTAGACTGCAGCTCCCGCTGTCGTAAGAGCCACTGGTCCGGTTCGGGGTGAGGGACATAGAATCGGAGAAGTTGTGGTCGTAATCGTCATAAGCAGCTAGGCCATTCTTCGCGTCCTTCTTGAGCTTCTAGATCTTATAATTTGGTCCATTTCTCGCCTTCTCCACCAAACCGCCTACTCGTTGTAGGTCGATGGATTGGAAGCGATCCTTCTCGTCTTGTTGGTAGGCTGGAAGGGCTTCTGATGACTCCAAGGCAACTCCCGCATCTCCCACTCTGACGACTACAACCCGGCCTGACTTTCGCTTGCCAGATTCGTCGTACTCCTCGGGGAAAGTAATGGTGATTTGAGGCAGAGGGGACGGCGGCGGGCTGTCCGAGTTGTCGATGAGGTTCTTCTTCTCTTCATAGATGTGTATCGACTCGGAAGGTCGGGTCTTGACGCGACGATGTGAGGATGTGGACGAGGCCGAGAGTCTCTTCTCATCATCCTCCTCATCCTCCTCGTAGTCGCCAATTTGCATTTGCTTACGAGCTCTGCGGCGTTGGCGCATGAAGAGCAGACCAGCTACCAGCAGTCCAGCAACGACCACGAGAACGAGAAGCACGACCAGGAGTGCTATCATGGTTGGGTTCATGGTCGCGGGTGTATCGTTTGCATTGTCGTCTGCTCTGGCGAGAAGGTGCGCCCAGTGGTTGAGCATTCCGTTGATATTTCGATAGATGTCGCTGTTAGATGGTAAAGCGATTCGGGGTAATCGGATGAGTGATGTAGTGCGTTGATCCAGTCGTGGCGTGAAAGTTGGTCGCAGACGGCGCGTGTCGCAAAAGGGTAGAAAAGACTGCGCACATGAAACGATTGATTAGCCCAGGTTGCTTCGTGCCCCGTCATTGTCATTCCAAGCCATTCCATGTCAAGTTGTGGCTGTGGTCCGTCGGACTGCAACAGCACGACGACGAGTGCGAACAGTGCGACGCTCTCGTGAAGCTCGACACGTACCTGGATTTTGCAGCGTCTTTGATAGCGGGCGCGCTGCGGGGGTATAAAAGAGTGTGGTGCGAGCGGGAAACAAACGAGTGAGTTCCCGACAACGCTGGCGACGGTGGAGGGCGGTGGAAAGAAGGACGACGAGGACGACGACAACCTGCTTCGTTGCTGTTGCTGGGTCTTGCCCTCCTCAGGAGGAGAGGATGAGATGATGGACGATCCCCAGAAGCAATTTCGGCTAGCGCGGGAGTACCCGCAGCGCGAAGAATGAGACTTTGCGCCGCCAACAAGCGCTCTCGTTAGTTAGTTACTCGATTGCGGTTGCGATGCCGCGACACATCTCAACAAGCATGACTCGCCCTACAATCGATGACATCTTATGTTTGAGGCCGACACACATCCATCGTCTGCTGCTTGTTCCATCGACGAGACAAAACTTTTGCGAATTCGGTATGCATCATCTCTGAAGATCATTGCTTTAGCCTCGCAGCGGCATCCCAGCAGGCTTCCAAGGAACAATAAGGAATAAGGTAGGTGGTACCTGGGCGAACCCGCAGGTGGAGCGGAGGATCAAGTTCCAAGCGAACAATTTTCCACGCCACGCACTGCTCACGCGTGCTTTTCCATCTCCACCACACGCAGAGCAGTTTCACGCTTGCCGAGCTGCATCGCATGCATTTGGAAGTGGAAGTGGAAGTCCACACGACCCAGTCACGCGGCCGGGTGATGCGAGTGCTCTTCCATCCTCGATTCCATCATACATACCACCTTTTCTCCGCCGGGGACTTGGCGGTAGATGCAAGAGCTCGATTGCGTTTACATTTCTCCGGCAACCTCGCCCCCGTATCCCTGTACATATCAGACAACCTACTTTCGATGGATTGTCTGTCATGCCTGGCGGCGCGGTCGTGCAGATGCAGATGCAGTATGAGGTAACTAGCACTTGCACAAACTACTGTACGAAGGAGTTCGTTTCTATTGAGCGCTAGCGCCACTTTACGCAACTGAGATGTTTCCCCTTCGCCTTCTCTCCTCTCTGTACTACGGACAAACGCCCTACTATTGGAGAGAACTCTAGCATGCTAAGAAGTATGGAACGGTACGAGAGATCATTTCATTGACATTTACAAGCTTGCATCGCAATCTTAAAATCTTGGTGAGCTTTCAATAAAAACGAGCTCCTTCGTACTGAAAGTTGTAATGAAAGTGGTTCATCCATCGTGCGCGTGGTCGTGGCAACAGATAATTCATATTCGATTCTGCTGTCGATATCGACAGCGCGACAACACTTCATGCTGCCGTCGAATTTATCTCGACAAAGTCAGGTTGTGTACGCTCCACGACCCGGTAAAGTGGTAACTGCTGCGACGTGAATCCATCCCTTCCAGAACGCCGTCTTCTCCTATCCAACTCCCATCTATCTGATCCGTCATCGTTGAAGCAATCAGATGATGCTATGAACGCGACGGCTTTCCTCCCTTTGGAACGTACGCGAGGAACTTGGCGCCCGCCGATGGCGCATCGCTTTGTGCCCGCTTTCGAGAGTTTGTGTCCTGACCTCGCTGAGCGAATGCTGGTAAATGATTCGAACCAGCATTACTGTACAAAGCTCTTGAGTCCGCCGGTCCTGTAGCAGGCGCTATAGTGGGCCCGCCATATTGTTGAGTGACGGACGCCGTCGCCGGTTGCATAGTACCTTGTGGGCCTCTGGCCGGGTTCAATTGGGCGTATTGGGGCTGCTGTTGATGTTGATTCTGCTGCTGCTGCTGTTGCTGTTGCTGCCAGTGTTCGAGCGGTGGTGGGAAGCCCTGCAGCGGAGCACCCCGCGGCGGCCCAAACACGGACGGGCTTGGTGGAGCTTGATGCCATGGTTGCAGACCAGGACCTGGAAGGCTGCTCCGATGACCGTGATTGGGATCAAGATAGTACGGTAGGGCGAACCCTGGAAGAGGAGGAGGTACTGAGGGGGGATGCTGCTGATGGCGTGGCGGCGCATTGTATGCATTCTGCGGTGAATAGTATGGAGTTCCAGGGGTTGGAGTATTGCTGGGCCACGCTGCCGGTGGTTGGGGTGTTGACTCGGCCGTTACCGTCTTGTTAAGACGCCAACGACCCAGAGTACCCTCGTTCTTGACAGCGGGTGTGACTGAGTTGAGATGATACTTCATCACATTCGGCTTTGCATCAACCGCTGGACTACCCTGGCTGGATCGATTGATGTTCTTTTGTTGCCTCCTCGATCGGCCATCACGCTGCTCCTTGCTCATTTTGCTCGGGAACTTGCCCATACTCTCATGCTGTTGGTCCTTGTGGCGTTGCGCGGATTCTGCAGCGCTCGCAACGTCGGGTGTGTAGTCACGGTTTGTGGACTGACTCTTCATGGAAGATGCGCGAGATCGAGGTGCTCGTGCTGGCGTGCTTGCATTTTCATCCCTCGGTTGTCCACGCGGTGATGTTGGGGGATGAGTTCGCGAGTCTGCCGCACCAGGCTCGGCATTAGGAGGCGCTTCCCGCTGTGACTGAGATTGTGACTGCTGGATAGGTCGTGCGAGCAGATGATTGGAAGGCGAGTTATCGTTGAAACGATCCACGGGAGGAGGTAGCGGAGGAGGAGGAGCTGGCAGACCCCCTTGAGTCTCAGGCTTGACACGCTCGATGTTCAAAGGGCCTTCTTGTGAGAAGGGGTGTGATAAGCGTGGGTTGATAGGCGCGATATGGATTTGTGGCATTTGACCAGGTGATGGCTGCATCCACTCCCTCGGAGAAGCTTCGATGCTATTCGAGGCGAATTGAAGTGGATTAGATCGCGCAGGGGTTCCCAGTGAGGCGTGGCGGGTGTGATGGAAAGTAGGTTCAGTCTCCCGCGACTGATTAGACGCGGGATAAGAGTTTGACACTGTCGAAGGGGATGGAAACGCAGTCGCACCACCAGCGTTCGGTATTGGTGACATTAAACCGGGCTCTCTGAACATTGGGTCTGGAACACTACTTCTCCTAGGCGATGGTTGTGACAAGCCAGGCAGATCGATCGGTTGCTGCTGCTGTTGAGTCCCAGGCTGATGATTCTTGGACAAATCGTGTTGGAGCAGACTGATTATGTCGAAGACATGGTTTCGCTTCAGAGGAGGTGGCATATGCGMGGCGGGCCTTGGATCAATGTAATGATTGATACCAATGGGTTGCATATCAAGACCTGGCTCTGGAGCGCGAATTGAAGGTCGACTCGCAAGATCGCCGAGCATCTGCAATCCATGCGCTTCTGCATTAGGAATGACAGGCTTGTTCGCAATGAGCTCGACTTCGGCTGCGGCACTTGCAAGCGTATGGGTATTTCGTATGCTCGTGCTTCGGGCAATGGCAGCGTTGCGCGCCCGAGGATCCATGACGGTAAAGCCACGCCGTTTGTCGAGCTCTTCGCTTTCCTTGTAGTCTTGCAGCATTTTGGTCATTTCATAGCGTGCATGCAAGTCCTCAGTGGCACGCTCGGCCTCTAAAGCTAGTCTGCTCCGCGAGTCGTACTTGGGGTCCAGTGCCTTTGTCCGTACAAAGCGGTAACCGGCGCCTTTTGGTCTAGGCATAATATCGCCATCTTCATCGTCTGTCTCGTAGGTAGCAAGACCGTCACTGAGTTGCGCTTGACGGGCGATTGTCAACATGTCGTACTCCAACTTATCGAACTGCAGGTCGCGCATCTGTTCGACTTTTAATTGCCACTTAGCTTGTCTGACTTCTGTCTCGGCRGCATGTGCGTCTTCCAACAGATGCTTGTTCCACTTGAGCTGGGCTTGGATCTGCTGTTTTCGCTTCTCCAAAGCCTGGTCAAGCTGCTTTTGGATTCCAGGTTCGTCGTCGGTGCCTTGAAACTCAACCACCTCTTCATGCTTGGTGGGATTTGTCTGAAGCTCTTCAACCGTCTTGAGCGCTATCTCAGCAAGAACAGGTTTGAGAGAGCGACATATAGCACGGTATGCAGATTTGAGGGCGAGCTGTCGCCGCATGGTTGCCTCGATCTCAGGCAATGGATGATCCGCCCGTCGGCGCCCAGCCCATCGTCGTCGAATGAAGCCATCGCCATACACCCTCGCGTGTTCGTCGCCGTCGTCGACATCTTCGACATCATCAACATCATCGGCTTCGTCAGCTTCTGCAAGCTCGTCGCCGTCATCGACATTTTCCGCTCCGGCAATTTCGACTTGTGGAAATGCCGCCTTGATAGCGTCTTTGACAGGGGAGGCAAGCTCGGTATCTGAATCTTCAGATGCAGGAGATACAGCTTCCGAAGCGGCAGGAGTGAATTCTGTAGATTCGGCGACTCCCAGATAGTCACCAGCCATTTGCTCATCAGACCCGGAGGGAGAGCTGCCTCCCCCACCTCGATCAGAAAGATCTTCTGGCGGAACAACTTCAATGAATTGACGATGAGACTCATAGTCCAAATGGCTTGTAGAAGGAGTGACAATGGTGTCGGAACCGTTAGGCGTATCCGGCTGTGGCGTTGGAGATAAACGTTTCCGTTTTCTTACGGGAGATAGTTGGTGGCCATCCGGTGTCAGAGCTTTTCCGCTACTTCGTCGACGTTTCCTATCAGAAGATCGAGGTTCGAAAGGTGGGAGTAGTTCAGAGGCGCTGTTGGTAGAAGTTCCCGATATACGCCTACCCTCTGCAGACGTTGGACTGCCAAGACTTCTCGAAGTAGTCGGACGGACTTCGTCGAAAGATGGTCGACGATTGTCGTCGTCTTCGCAAGAACCAATGGTTGATGGATCACTGTTGACTCGAACACTGCGAGCGGCATGCCGCGTGGTCATGTGAAGTGGCTCGGATGGATCGAAGCGGCCCTTGGTGCCGTCCCGGCGTATCTTGCCTGGAATCATGATCGTCTTGGAGCTCATTGAGGCGAGCACTGTATACATCAGCTACTGTTCGTTGGCTTAAAGTTCCTGGTTCGAGAATGGGTTGGGGTTGGAAGAACGATGGCAAAACAGCGCGCGGAGTGAATTCCGGTTAAAACGTTGTCGTGCTGGAAAGCAGTAGCCAATGTAAATCATAAATGACAGCAGCGGTAGCAGTAGAAATGATTCCAATGATATCGATTGGGTATAGCACAAGGCAGAGCCAAGTAGCAATCAACAGCGCCTGTACGCAGGAGGTGGTACTCGTTTCGGAGGTGCGGCGACGTCCAACATCCACCGGAATCAGGCTCGGAAATTGGGTGCAAGAGCAACACGCGCGTATCGTGACAAACAGCAAAAGACACACCGACTGAACAACGTACCTTGTGATCGAATGTAAAGCTGGCGCTGTTGCAAAGGCGGTCGAAGGTTGCAATCTCCTAGTGTGAGACGTTGTCGATGGAAGCCCCGTACGCGCGACTGGGTCCTTGGTCTTCGCTTGAAAATAAATAACACGCTTCGCAAGGTTGAATGGAACGCGCGCGGTGATGAAGTTGAAGAGGCAGAAACCTGTACCCACAACAAGGACCCGCGACGCTGGTGGATGTGGTCGATATACAACAAGTCTTGAAAGTAGAGGTTTAGAGAGTGATCTAAGAGAACGGTGGTCCGTGCGACACTCCAAGCCCGGCGCCGTTCTTACCCATCTCTTCAAAGAACCTTGGAAGACATTTTGATGCCCATGAYCATCGAGCCGGTGATTTAATCAAGAAGCTTCAATGTGAGATACACACTCTGGACGAGATATCATAACAGAATCGGTTCTTGCGCGCATGCTTTACGCCTGGTGTCACACAAGCACGCAGTAAGCCGTTCGATGGCATACCTTCATCATTCGACGAAGAAAACACTAGACGTCTCACCTAAGTGAGTGCATTCGATTCTAGCGACAGGGAAATCATGGAGGCCTTCCAAGACGTATTTATTTAACCCGACTTGATCAGAGCTGCTCCTCGGATATTTCATGTCAATCAATACCAACGTTTCCGCCATCGTTCCTCATTCGGGAAAGATGTCCTATCGTTTTGATCCTTCAAAAAAAAAGTGCAAAATGTCACAATTGAACGCGACTGCGTCAAAATCGTGGCTTTCTCTCATATTAGCTACTGTTCAGCAAGCTATTTACAGCGCTTGATAAGAGGAGAGTAGTTATGTGAGAATCTTTTCCGCTCCCAGACCACAGTTCGCAGCAAACCGAGCAGATCTGCTTCCCAAAGACGTGGTGGGGTCGCATGCAATGCTTCGATGCATAGTCATTTGCTCATTCGTTCATGGTTCGTTCGTTCTTCACACCGAGCATCGCTTGATCATCCGCTCTACCATCACTGAGCACCACCCTCCTCAGGCTCGTCGGGCTGGTCGAAGAGGAAGTTCGCAGCCAATTCCTCGTTCTTGTCACACGCGAAGTAGGCCTGGATGACCAAGTTGCGCTCKAAGCCGAGACGGCATAACTATAGCGAAATTAGTAATGGAAACCAAACCATGATCTATTCACGTCACAACAWACCCGCTCAATGGCATCACGCTCCTCCTCCGTCACTGCTATTGAGCCACCAGGCGGCGCAGCCATGTCGTCATCACCGTCCTCTGCAAGCAATTGCATAAACTGCTCTGGATGTTGGGTTATCATCTGAGCGAGCTGTGGGTTGCCTGCAGCGACTTGCTGAAGGATAGGCTCAAGCATAGCGGGTTGCTGCTGAACGACTTGGCGAAGCTGCTGAAATTGCGGGTTGCTTCGGAGAAACTCGAGGTTGGCAGCTGCACCTCCAGCACCAGCTTGTCCTCCACCAAGCGCCGCACTAAGACCACCAGCACCGGCGCCGCCGCGCGCACCAGCTGCTCCTCTGCCACCACCTGCTGCAGCTGCAGCCTGCTCGAAGAGATTGACTGGTTCATCACCTCCAGCTGCGGCAGTCTGAGTGCCGGTCTCGGCTTGCGCCGAAGCATCTTGTGCCTGATCTTGTGCTCGTGGTGCCGCCTGCTGTTCTCGCTGCTCTTGCTGGGCGCTCGCAGGAATGCCGTTGAGGAGGTACTCAACAGCGCGATCTGGGTTGAAGAATGCGGCGCGCATGGCGAGATCGATCTGATCGCGGGGAAAGCCCATAGCTTCCATGTTGGCGATGGCGGAAGCACGCTGCTCTCCTAGGGCCAGAGCGGATGGGTCATTCCAAGAGGCGCCCTCGGCTGCTGCGCCAGGGGCGGGCGACGGAGTGGCAGGCACTTGTGACGTAGTTGAAGGTGCGGACTGGGACGGCGCAGGTGGGACCGATGGGGTGGAGGCTGGCTTCGCGGGTGTGGATGGCTCGGCAGGTTTTGAAGGTGGCGCCTTGGGCTGTGGTAGTTGAGAATTAGCATGTGCAAGAATATTGAGCGTCGCATAAGCTTCAAGGACTCACCTTGGAGGTCATGCACACGATGAAACCCTTCTCTTCGATCTTATACGACTCGACGGTGTTGTCATCCTGTAGGATCTTGCCCGAGTAGATGAGCTTCAAGGTCGACTTCTCCCAGGACTTCTCCGCACTGATCTTATCCTTGACCGCGCCGATGGTCTCGGAGGGCTCGGCGTCGATGGTGAAGCGCTGTTGTTTGAGGTCCTTGAAGGTTAGCAGCATGATGGCGGAGCGATGGAGGTTGTCTGTCGGTGGATGTCGGTGGAGGTCGGTGGTTGTGAGGAAGAGGAAGAAGAAGATGTAGACTTTAAAGTGATGGCGGAAAGGAACTCAATTGTGGAGGTTTGGGGAAGGTGCAATTCACTTCTTCACAACAGTGGCAACCTTGGAATGATGCCCGAACCTTCAAGCTGCAGAGGTGGAACAATTGAGGGGTCCAAATAACTAGCGTCGCGTCTTTTGTCCCTGGTCACACCACTATCTCAACATCACCTTCATGTGAGAGTCAATAGATGCCTCGCATCAACCCCAAAGACATTCTTCGAGCCCGTTCATCAGCCAATAAAGCTCTGCTCTCACTACTGCCGGTCTGTAGAGACCTGCGCTCGGCCCGCAATGAAGTCAAGTGGATGACAGAACACGCTCTCGATATCGCACGGCGACTCGATGGAGCGGAGCCTGTTCAGCATGCGCACATTCTCTCCAACTATGTGCAAAGACGTGCTGGAGGGGAGCCATTGCAGTACATTCTCGGCTCGGAGTACTTTGGCGAGCTGGAGATCAAATGTCGTCCAGGGGTCTTGATTCCACGGTTAGCCTTTCTCGATCGGATTGAGAAGAGAAATACCTGTAGTCTGATTTTTAATTTCTATAGACAAGAAACGGCTGCTTCTGTCACTCATCTCGCTCGTCTCCTTCATAAGTCTGCCTCACCTCTGAAAGTCCTTGACCTCTGCACAGGAACTGGGTGCATCCCGCTCCTCTTCCACAATGTCTTCTACTCCAGCCGAGCAGCAAAAGGCTCGTCTCCACCTGCACTAGACATTCTCGGCGTAGACATATCCTCAGTAGCTCTGAGTCTAGCACGGGAGAATCTCGTCCACCAGATTGCCAGTCAAGCACAAAAGCAAGCCACGTCACAAGAACAGACCCGATCCCTGCACAGAATCGGTTTCGTCCAAGCAGACGTATCCCAGACGGAGAAATCTCTCCTCCCAGCTCTCGCGCGTGTCTCTCATCTTGACGAAGAGGATTTACCTCCTTCATTCGATATCCTGATATCAAACCCACCATACATCTCCCCCTCAGCCCGACTGCCTCGCTCAGTGCGTCTCTATGAACCTGAACTGGCGCTCATTCCGAGCAGTCCATCATCTTCCAAACTTGTCAGAGGAGATGAGTTCTACCCAGCACTCCTCAACGCGGCTGACCTTGTCAATGCCAAGATTCTGTTGTTCGAGGTTGGCGATCTGGAGCAGGCAAAGCGAGTAGCTGGCATGGCTATCAGGAAGGGAGCGTGGGACACAGTCGAGATCTGGCGAGACGATCCCTCCCATGATGCAGAAGAAGTGTTGGAGATTGCAGGAGAGAGAGTTCAAGTGCGAGGAGAGGGAAATGGACGGAGCGTGGTCGCATTTCGAGGAGACGGGAATGGCTGGATCGATAGTTATTAGCGGGACCTCGGTTATTAAGGGTTATAAGAGTATAGCGCTTACTAGGAATAGATAGGTAGTACCTAATAACTAAAGGAACTCGGCGTCCGGGCGAACTTATAGTAAGAAGGCGCTACTCCGACGGTCGACGGACTAATACGGTATAGAGACGACTAACTCCTTACCCTACTTATATAGACTTTTAGATAACCGATTATAATAGAGGACGACTTGAACCCTACTCTAACTAAGTACTACTCTTTGAGAAGGATGGCGAATCCCCATGTATCTACATAGGATCTGGGACCAGTACAGACAGCGGGATGCTATCGCGGACCAAATCTTACAAGCAGAACTGTCGATATGAGAAATCATCGACAAGAGCAGCGCCCTGAACTGCTCTCTCGATTGATTAACGGCCACTCTGCTAGTATTAGGGACTCTGACAGGCTTCGAATCATCGAGTCTGTAGAGAGCGAGGCCTCAGGACATTATGGACTTGACTGAGGATGCCTTGTCCTGATGAATAATCCTCATATCGACAGCTCTGCTTACAAGCCGAACAACGCCAACCTTCCTAGCCTTGTCGACGAAGCTTTCAAGGACGGATTCGAGATCACTCACATTGGTGTTCTATGTTCTACACCGATTCCCACCGCCGGACTTGTACCCCGGGCAAGAGCTAGAGCTGTCGATATGAGAGAATCATCAAAAAACCCGCGCCCTTAACTGCCCTCTCCGTTGAACAACGAGGCACTCTGCTAGTAACAAATGTTCTAGCAGCTCTAGAATCGTCGTTTCTGCTAAGAGCAAGGCCTAAAGACGTTATGAAGACGACTGGAAGTGTCTTGTCTCGATGAAAAATCCTCATATCGACAGCTCTGGCAAGAGCCCTCATCCTCGCCACGGAGGCCCTCTTCACTGGGATCTTTCGTGCCTTACGCAGCGGGCCAATCCACGACATTTATATGAAGCACGTCCAACTCTGGGAAGCACTGTGTTCTCACTCATGCCTTAACGAAGCGATCCGCGGCAATCTCACGATGACTGCAGAAGAGCTTGAGATTGTCGCTGCGCTGAGAGCTACTCGATTGACCGAGAAGCCTCTATCGATATCAGGCATATTGCCCTCGTTTCAGCATTGACATTTAAATAACATAAACACTGCTCCGAAAAATGGCGAATCGACGACACATGTGAGAAATATTTGCGAGGCTGAGTAAATAAGCGAAGAGATGTGTTGACATGCTAAGATACTACATTCTTCCTTCTTGCTTGACTCAACCTTCATTTGAGTCGATTGCGATGTGTCTTCAGGCCTGCGTTCTCCTGTGTATCGACGCTCCTAAGTCTACCAGAAAACCAAGGGTTGGCAGAGCGTCTGTCATTCAACGAAGAGAGCAGTGGAGGGCCCTGCTCTTTTGAAATTCATCACATCGACAGCTTTGACGCCAATGCGATGAGGCGCCGAACATCGCGTATGGCAGATTGAGGCCCTAGGTCTGGAAGAATGCACAATCGAAAGATGATTGTCGCAAAATCAACATCCACATATCGTTGTACCTTGCTCTTGCGTCGTTTTGTTTCGCAGCAACCTCAAAACTAATCTCCGTCGCTACACCCTTGAAGATGCATCATATGTGCAACGACTCCGGATGTTGAATGCGGTCCGTAATAGTATGGCATGTCAGCTCGATCGTTCGGTTGAACATCTTATGCTCGGATGAACGCGGAACGTGGTGTTATGTGTCGGTCGACGTGAGAACACTTGATGCAGCTTGTCATAGCGATTGGAATCGCCAGTAAGACCAAAGACATCGTACCGCCCTGATGATTTTGGATTCAGCCTTCCATACGAGATAAATGTTCTCATGTGAGAAGAGGAAATGGAGTGAAGTTGCTCCGTGCTGCCAAGACAAGCTCCGGGAGGGCCCGCCCATCCCGATCGACTCCTCTTCGTCCTCCATCACACTCTGAACAGCTCGACCACCTCGACCCAACCACCCAACACAACCTCTCTCAGCTCCACAAGATGCTTAACCGGTAGCTACCATCTCCATTGAGCTCAGGCGGGCGCCATTGAGCCTCCAGCTGACACATATCACAGAGGGATCCGCGCTGCGCGACCGGCAGCTTTCCGCCGGCCTGCCATCCAGCGTGCCCAGTTCCAGAAGACCTTTGCGCCCGCCATTGCACAGCGCTTCGCCTCTACCGACGCTGCGAGGCAGGGCAAGATTCACGCCGTCATTGGTGCCATTGTCGATGGTATGGCGCCTCCGAAAAGCTTTGCCGAGCTAGCCCGCGCGGCGAGCCACGAGCATCGCGCTGACCCGCATCTCAGTCAAGTTCCCTACCGACACACTTCCACCGATTCTCAACGCCCTCGACGCGGAAAATGGTGGTAACAAGCTGGTTTTGGAGGTCGCAGTACGTATCGAGAGATATACACAGGATGGTTAGCAGAGCGTGGCGCTGACAGCATACCCAAGCAACATCTTGGCGAAAACGTTGTGAGATGCATTGCCATGGATGGAACTGAGGGTCTCGTGCGCGGACAGCCAGCCGTCGATTCTGGCAACCCAATCATGATTCCCGTGGGCCCCGGTACCCTCGGCCGCATCATGAATGTCACAGGAGACCCCATCGACGAACGTGGACCCATCAAGCACGAGAAGAAGCTTCCTATTCACGCCGACCCGCCAGCCTTCGTTGACCAGTCCACCGCTGCTGAGGTGCTCGCTACCGGAATCAAGGTCGTGGACCTGCTCGCCCCATACGCCCGTGGTGGTAAGATTGGTCTCTTCGGCGGTGCCGGTGTCGGAAAGACTGTCTTCATTCAGGAGCTCATCGTAAGCATTACATGAGCATACAAGGGTGTGCTCTCTCTAACCACGTTCCAGAACAACATCGCAAAGGCCCACGGAGGTTTCTCCGTTTTCGCCGGTGTCGGTGAGCGTACCCGTGAGGGTAACGATCTGTACCACGAAATGCAAGAGACCGGTGTCATCAACCTTGAGGGCGACTCCAAGGTCGCGCTCGTCTTCGGTCAGATGAACGAGCCTCCAGGTGCCCGTGCCCGTGTCGCTCTTACTGGCCTAACTGTAGCTGAGTACTTCAGAGACGAAGAGGGTAGGTTATCTTGATGATCCTGTCGTACTGGATGTGTGCTGACATTTTTCAAGGCCAGGACGTGCTCCTTTTCATTGACAACATTTTCCGATTCACCCAGGCCGGATCCGAGGTGTCTGCCCTACTAGGACGTATCCCATCTGCCGTCGGGTACCAGCCAACCCTCGCCGTCGACATGGGTGGTATGCAGGAGAGAATTACCACCACCAAGAAGGGATCCATCACCTCCGTCCAGGCCGTCTACGTGCCCGCTGACGATTTGACTGATCCTGCCCCTGCCACCACCTTTGCCCATTTGGACGCCACCACTGTGCTCTCCCGWGGTATCTCCGAGTTGGGTATCTACCCAGCTGTCGACCCTCTCGATTCTGCCTCCCGTATGCTTGACGCCCGTATCATCGGACAGGACCACTACGACACCGCTCTGAAGGTCCAGCGTATGCTTCAGGAGTACAAGTCGCTCCAGGACATCATCGCCATTCTGGGTATGGACGAACTTTCGGAAGCCGATAAGCTCACCGTCGAGCGTGCGCGTAAGATCCAGCGTTTCCTGTCTCAGCCATTCACCGTCGCCACCGTCTTCACTGGTATCGAGGGCAAGCTTGTTTCACTCAAGGACACCATTGCATCGTTCAAGTCCATCATGAACGKTGAGGGTGATGACCTCCCCGAGGGTGCCTTCTACATGGTTGGTGACTTTGCAGATGCTCAGGAGAAGGGCAAGAAGATTCTGGCAGACCTCGAGAAGTAGAGGCAAATGGGAAGATGGTTGATTTTAGCTGCCCTCTGGCGCCATGAACCTTGTACAGAAACAAGCGCAAAGGGAGCAAGATCGTGGTAGAGAGTTGCCTGTACTGTAGAGATCTCGAAAGCGTTTCTTTTGTCGATTCGTATCATGGTCGCACCTTTCGAATGTAATACTAACGTTGCAAGAACTACAGTCGTGATTTCTTCGAGGACGGTTGATATGTTTCCAGCGTCGTTTGGCGATCAAGTAGGTCCAGAGTTTTGCTGTAGTTTGGTGAGAATTGATTCGCGAGCACGAGGTGTTCAACCGAACGATCGACCTGACATGCCATACCATGACGACCGCTTCAACATCCCGCGTTGTTTTACATGTCATCCCCAAGGTTTCAGCGATAGACATCGATTTTGAAGTTGCCGCGAAACAACAAGAAACAAGAGCAAGGTAGACGCGGTGTACGGCGTCTCATCGCATTGGCGTCAAAGCTGTCGATATAATAAATTTTGAAAAGAGCAGGGCCCTCCATTGCTCTCTCCGTTGAACAACGGGTCACGCTGCTAGTAGTAGAGGTTCTAGCAGCTCTAGAACCTGCAATTCTGCAGAGAGCATGCCATCCGTCGAAGGGGCTTTTGTGTTAATGAGATGTCCCTGCTGAGTAGTAGAGAGTAATATGCCTGATATTGATAAGGGCTTCTTGTTGCATAATCATGTTGCTCCAACAGGGCCGGTGAAATTGAAGATTGCCGCCTCTCCTTGTGGTGAATCGACGACAACGCTTACGAGTAGGTGGCTATAAGCATGAAACAGCAGCCTTGCAGAGAGTCAAATACGGAGGATCGAATATCTTATTGAACAACATCTTCCTAATTGTGCTATCGCTATCGCTATCGCCGAAGATCCAAGATACTACAGTGAAGGGAGGACGGCAATCTTCAATTTCACCGGGCCTTGCTAATCATGTTGCTTGAAGCATTCCCAATTTTATCGACTTTTTATAGGGTTAGGGTTGGGGTAGTAGCCAGCGCCCGCGACAACAATACCTGGTCTTTGTCATGAGCTACCTTATACACTGTATTTACCTGGACTTAATTATGGATATAATTAAATTGACACCATGTAATGGCCTCCGACTGTCCAGATATCCGCCCATTGCGGATTCGAGTATGTCCAAATGTGGAATTTCCAAAATTCCGGCTTCGTCGAACGTTAGCTAATACATCAAAGATGTCAGATCCAGAACAATTGCCAGATGCCACAGAGCCAACGGAACAATCACCAAAGAASCAAGCAAATACCTCCATACCCAGCAAGAAACGTAAAAAGACACCCAAGACCCAGACCGTCTCGGAATTCTCCATTCGCAGACCGGACTGGGCACATCTCCATCTCCAACACGTCGCGCCCAGCGGGAAGAAGTCAAATGGCAGCAACATGCAGCCACTAGACGGAGTCACGGCACATCTGCACCTTACAGCAGCATTATCATCATTTCTCGGAGTTCACGGCACAGCAATCCCAATCGACATAATCAAACTACAAGGCCAGGAAGTGTGGATCAGAGTACCCGCAGACGACCGAGCAGCACTCGTAGCCGCTGCCGGAGGATGGATCAGTGGTACTGGAGAGAGCTGGAGTGTCAAAGGATGGAGTCACTGGGATGCCAAAGCTGCTGGGCGGAACGCGGGTCAGAATTTGTTTCAAGACTAGGGAAGGAAAGCGCGTAGTGAAGAAGACTATGATACAGCGTTTGTATTCCATTAGAGGTTGTTCAGACCCACAGATTTCCCTCGAGAATTGTAGAATGGGTCAAAAGTAGAGGAGAGAGCTGACAACTTAAAGTTATTGGAATGCCAAAGACATTTCGGACCCGTCTTAACCTTTGGTTGGTCGGTAGGGGGATGGAAAGCGCGATTTCCAAGGCAATGAATGAAGTATGATATTGGTTTTGCATGCTCAGAAGCCGTATGCCACCCTATTGTACAGTATTACATTCGCACCAATGACCAAACCACCCGCAATACCCGTTGGCACATTCTCATTACTAGATTGCCGGGGAGACGTGTCCTGATGGCCCAAAACTCCCATGTATGCCTACTCGTCCGCGCCGCCTACCAATTGCCTCATTCTATCAGGATTCATGCCGGAGTATTGACTCTGTGCAGTCTTTGTAGCCTCGTCGCGATAAGGAGAGCCGGTCGTTGGCGGTGTGGCAATCTGGTTGGGTTCGCTGTTGCGAGAAACCGGACGACTGTTCGCTCCGGAAGCAGCTCCTTTGATCGAAAAGCCGTCTTGTGCTCCAGGAGCATGTGATGCGCCATTACGACCGAGCGAAGAGCCCGCGTTCGAGGGCGATGCAGCTTCGTCCATGGCCATAGACTCGTCGTCAGCCGGCGGCGGCGGCGGCGGAGGTGGCGGATGTTGAGCGTCAGTCGGATCCGTGCGTTGCTTCTTCAGGATGAGCGTATCGGCGAGATTAGCCAGGTCCTCCTCCCGCTGGCGTTTAGCAGCGGAACCGATGGAGCCTTCGGGCGTTGCATCAACTTCTGGCTCATCGTCATCGTCATCATCGTCGTCATCCAGCATAGGACTGCCAACCGCAGGAGGACTGCCAACCGGAGTGCTGGAACCCTGATCCTTTTTGGCCCTTCTTTCCGCCTTCTTAAGCTCGGCAGTCTCCTTCTTCTTGACAGCCTTTTCAAAGAAGGTCTGAGCATGCTTTTTGACATCTTTGACTCGCTTATCGCTGATCCTGTTAGGGTCCTCAACACGATTCTTTCTGAAATCCGATTCCACCATCTGCTTCGCGAATTCCTTTGCCCATCGCTTGAGATCGTCCTTGGCAAGCTTGTGCTTGTATTTGCCAACCACGTGCATGATGTGGGGCTGGAGAGTGCTTTCGTACACCTTCTTGCGCTTGTCCTCAGGCATCGTGCGCCATTTGTCCTCTTTGCGCTCCTTCTTAGGCGCCTCGACCGGTGTTGCCGCTGCAGCTGGCTGTTTTGCTGGCTCCTTYCTAGTCGCAACAATGTTTTTGATGAGATCTTGGAGCATCTGCTGGTCGGATACTGCCTTGGGAGGGGGCGGAGGAGGTGCAGCGGTCGCAGGTGCCGTTGGACGTTGCCATGTGGTGGTTCCGGCTTGATTGTAATAGTAGGAAGAGCCATTGGCAGCCGTGGCTTCAAACCAACCCGAAGGAAGGACACCGGGTGGGGGAGGCCGAAAGCGAGGCGGGGGTCGAGCGCCTCCGAAAAAATTCGATACACGCTGCGGAACGTTGCTCCTGGGGCCGGTCGGCGCCTGTATGCGGTCGGGGGACTTTGACCGCGACCTTGACTTGCTGCGACGTCTGTCCGATTCGCGCCTATCCACACGTTCCATCTTCCTGTCGTGCGCAACGGCATTTGGGTCGCGTTTTACCCGTGGTATCCGGTATCCGATCTCAAGCTTCGCCCAGCCATCGAGTAGAGCCTTTGCACGCGAAGAGACCCTCTCATCCTTGTTGGAGACAAGCGCCCCAACTGCCTCCTCAATTTTTGAGTCCTGAATCTTGTTGCGAGTGAGTCGTGGCATGTTGTCCAGAACATCCAAAATCTGCAACGCCACGTTCACATCTTCGCTGAAGTTCGAAAGTGCCGTCTTCAATATGCGATATCCATGAAACCTGACCACTCTGTTTCGAACCTTCTCGTCGTCAGCACGTTGAATACGGGTCAGCAGCTTGACAGCAATCCATTTCTCTTTGCATTGCATTAGTGACGACATGACTTTGTTGACGCCTTCCTCGTCGAGCCCCCTAGGCTCGACGTTGTTAACGTATTCTTCGTCATCGTCACCAATGTTCTTCTTCTTGCGCGGCCGCTTAGCGACAGCGGTGTCCCAAGCGTCGGCATCATCGATACCAAGAGCCTCGATGACGGCGTTGGACAGCTTCGTTGCGCGTTCGGTCTGAGTCTTGCCACCAATGAAGCCAGTGCAGTTGGGCTCCGCACAGTAGCACGRTTGTGGCTCGGCACCATAACGATCAACGTTGTAGTTGAAGACCAACTCTTCGCCAGCTTGAATGTCACGTTCCGCAAATATGCCCATGCGGAGTCTGTCGCCCACAACCCACTTATCCACGTAGCAGTTGGGATTGCAGGAATGATTGCAGAAACGACCAAGATTTCCCTTCTTCGTGGCATCAACGAATTCTCCCTTGGTGAGGGACATGAAGTAAAAATGTTTGATGCCTTCCTCGTCGTACAGTTGCATGCGGCGGCGGAAGACATTCTCCCCAATGACTTCCCCAAGATACTCAAAGATAAAGTCATTGGCCCGAAGGTCAGTCTGTGTTCGAAGGCCATAGCCCTTCTTCTCAGTCTTGATGACGGTGACATTGGCATATTGCTTGCGCTGAAACCGCATGTTCTGACAAGCTGTGCCACAATTGCAGTCGCCAACGCACTCCATCTTGGTGGCGCGGTTGATGCAGTCGGAGTCCTCGCCGCAGGCATGATTTGATTGAGAGGATGCATCTACGGGCAATGTGAGCTACTATTCCGCACATTTGGGGAAAAATGTGAATATTGCTTACCCCACTCCTCGGAACAGTCGCACTCGAGCGCATGCTCGGTGGTGCCCAGCCATTTGTTGGCATAGCTACACACTGGTAATAGGTCAAAGGTAGATGTCGCCTCTGCAGTTTTGTCCTCGTACTCCAGAAATAGTTGTGGTTGCCGCTTCTCGACTTTGTGCGACACCGAGCGCGACAGCTTGGGCGGCTTGCCAGGCTCCAGCTTCAACGTGACATCGCCGCCGATGATCTCCTGCTCGTCCGACTTGACGGCCGGCGAGTTGGCAATGTTCTGCATCTTGACTGGTGAGCGGGAGGATCGCTTCAAAGCCGTGGACGTGGCTACGCCGCTGCTAGGCGCGAGAGCCTCATCTGCGACATGGGGTGCGTCGTTGTCCGTGTCCATTTCCGCATCCTCTTCTTTCAGATTCAAATCTCTTACTTCTGATTCCAAGCGCGCGTCTTTGGCATGGCGGTCCGGCATCCTCGGGGTGGTATTGGAGTGATGTGCCGGGGAAGTCGAGAGGCGACGGGATCGCGGAGGTAGGCAGGGGCAGGGACGGTGACAGCGTCACAAGTAGATGAACTCGACGGTGCTCATGCGCGCATGCCAAAACTTCCAATGACGGTGACGAAGACAGTCTCAGGTGTCCGTTCATGCCATGGGCCGTGGAACCGGTCACACGAGTCCAGATTTACCAAGGGCGGACGAAAACGGAAGCGCGTCAACCATGAGCGGTGGGGCGGGGCGGCAATTTGCGAGTCGCGGCGATGCGGTATGTTTGCTACTGTTACATATAATGGCGGTTGCTTGTGTGTAGACGAAGTGGTGGGAAAAGCGAATATTTCACTTAAAGTCTAGATAGTATGAGTATTTGGCAAATGTGCTTGAAACGGCATTAACTCCATACCCTCCACGCTACTCTCTTTCCAATGGAGCGATGGTTGCGCAGTGAGATTCGCGCAAATTGTGAGAAGTGCAATCAAAAGGAAAAAGGAACGACGTGGACGGGATGTTATTACTGTGCGTGGTAGTGGCAATGACATTCACTCGGGAGGACGGGGATGGAGCGGCAGATCTTCGGATGTTCAGGAATTGCAGTCGGCCAGTGAAACTGGAGGTCGCCGCCCTTAGACATTATTTGACAAGACATTTGGTTCTTCGCAACATTGCGGGTGCTTGCTTTAGTATTCGTAGCTCCCTATCCGGGAGCGTGGTCATTGCTTAACTAGAAGGAGAGCCGGCAAGCTTCAGTTTCCCCAGTCCTCGAACCACGCCTTATATGAAGATACAGCTTGACGGGCCGGTGGAATCGAAGGTTGCCGGCTCTTCTTATAGGGATTTGACGACAACGCTGGCTATCAGGTAGCTATAAGCACAAAAGGAAGCAGCCTTACGGAGAGCCAAATTGTTGCAGAAGATACAAGATTTGTGCATGCTACAGGCAGGGCGGCAATCTTCAATTTTCACCGGCCTTAGTACATACCATAAGGCTGCAATCTTGCGCTTACATCGCGGAACGGATTCTCATCATACTTCCGGCATACTTCAGCCCCACGACTTCACAGTTGAAAGTCTCTTGCCTTCCTGGCGAATGGGATCTTCTGACGGAGTACGAGCAATAGGAAGATCAAAAAGGATAAGGGCAGACCCGCAAAAAGTCTTGGAGCAGACCTCAGACTGAGTAAGCAGTGAATAACCGTGTTAGAAAACAGTTCTGCATTGGAGCCTACGGCGACGGATCTCCCACGTTTTGAGATGTCATATGCAGAGCTCATCTAGGTTGTTCGCGCAGAATCATGTAAAACGTGTCTCTCGATCCTCGTATAAACCATCTACCTTAGCCCTGTCAGAGGGGGTCCAACTAAGCTGTCGCGTGCTCCCGCACGGCACCTGCCGGCAGGGTCTTCCACATTCTGATTCTGGAAAAATCGCCAGCAAAGCAAACAACCCAATCTTCTTCACTTTGGCAACCTTCAACCAAACACATCAGATCACAACTCAACCACATCAACCAACCAATCAACCAACCAACAACACAATCATGGAGTACGGATCTGGAAACGGTGCTCCTGCCACTGGCGGACGCGCTTGCTACAACTGTAGGTACAAAATTTCCTGCGAAGAGTCTAGCTGCCCATCACAGTGCATCGGCACCTGTGCAGGTCTGCACGTGGCTCTATCATCTGCCACACCGTGTGGTTTGATCACAGCGACCTCACTTTTGATGTCGCAATGCGAAGTCGCGTGCTCATCTTGTGATGGGCGACCATTTCGCCTCCCGCGTGCCAAGCCTAGAAATTGATGACCAGAGCTGACTCCACCACTAAGGCGGTGATGCCTCTCACCAGGCCCGCGAGTGCCCAACCAAGGGCAACCCGGTAAGTGAGGCTATCCTAACTATTCACGTTCAATGCCTGACCAAAATTGCAGACCTGTTACAACTGCGGTAACACGGGACATCTATCGCGGGAGTGCACCGAGCCTGCCAAGGACAAGGCCTGCTACTCGTGCGGCGAGACTGGACACATGTCTCGCGAGTGCCCTAGCGGTGGCGGCGGTGGACGTGGCGGTTTCGGCGGTAACTCCGGTGGCGGTGGCCAGGAGTGCTACAAGGTATGTGAAGTTCACCCAGCAGTACAAGATCCATCCTAACCTTTTACAGTGCGGCAAAGTCGGTCACATTGCCCGCAGCTGCACTGAGGGTGGTGGATACGGTGGCGGTGGATACGGTGGCCAGCAGGGCGGCTATGGTGGCGGACGTGGCGGTTACGGCGGTGGCGCTGGCGGCCAGACTTGCTACACCTGCGGCGGCTACGGCCACATGAGCCGTGACTGCACCCAGGGCCAGAAGTGCTACAACTGTGAGTTTTCCAACTTCACTCAATACTTATCCAGAGCTAATCACATTGCAGGCGGCGAGGTCGGTCATCTTTCTCGCGAGTGCCCAACTGAGGCCTCCGCTGAGCGTGTGTGCTACCGCTGCAAGCAGCCGGGCCACGTCCAGGCTGCGTGCCCCAACTAAATGGATTGACGAGACTACGACCGTATGGACCATATCTTTGCATATACCAGATCGATAGCGTGGCCTCACTGGATTGACGACCTTGACTGGCAGCCGGACAATTGAAGTTAGTGACAGGTGGGAGCGTGAGGCGGAACGGGCGTGCGAGAAGGGTCAAAAAGGTCATCCAGGCTGGCACTCACACGAAACACACGAGTGCATGACTTCGCGAATCAGGAATTTCCCTGTGATTGACGTTAGCCTTCGGGCATTCATTCAAGGGAGACCTCGGCGCATACAGCGAAAATTGGGTCTGCAGCGAGCTGGAACCACCAGTACAGCGAGCAATTAGCTTGTCACTATTAACGTCGAAATGAACTTGGTGGCAAAAGAYGTGAGACGTTGCTTTCCCGTCTTCATTCTTACATCCGCAGTCCGTGTGTTGCTTGGCCAAGCCGCTAGATKGTTCCCCAGAGAGCGAGGCGTCGTCGATTGGGATTCTGAGTGGGTTCAATTTATAGTAGACTGAACGGTGATCGCGGCATTGTCGAGAACAGACTTCTGAATCGGTCAACACCGCATTGCCCAGTGACACTGACAGCCTTGCTCCAAGGGCCGGTAAAATTAAAGGTCGCCGCCTCTCCTTGTAGTATGTCGACAACGATCGCCAACAGGTAGCTACAAAGCACAAAATAAAAGCAGCTTTGCGGTGAGTTAAATGTCTTGTCTTCTTCATCGTGCTGTCGTTGTTGCCGAAAGTACAAGATCTTTCCATGCCGTGCTGCAGGGAGGGCGGCAACCTTCAATTTCGCCTGGGCCTGCACCAACATTCTTCCCCAGAATGTGATTTTCACTTGTATTGATTTGACAACAGCCCTATTAGGATCCTCCAACACCGCTTCATCACCAACACACATTGCCCAACAGCTACCCAACAGTAGCAGCGGTKCCCATGGTCGGCTGTCTCACTAGAAAGCTGCCTGGCTTTCCGCCTCACCATTGTGCAACTTCAGACTCTGCTCTGCTAACTCACTCCTCAAAGCAGCTGCCTCGGTTTCTCTCGTCATCCGATCCCACTCCCTCATGTTCTTCCTCTTTCTTGTCTCCCGGTCTTCAATCTGTCTCCTCAATCTCTCGGCCTCTTCCTCCAATTTCCCGAGCTTGCTGCGCTCGGTCAGAGGCTCGGCCTTGATACCTCCTTCAACAATCTTGGGCAAATCGGCAATGGCAGGATGTACTTGGGGCTTGTTCAGCATTGCTGCGGGTTCCAGAGGGGGGCGTCGGCCGGCCTTGGGTCCTGTGGGTGCATCTACGACAGGCGCGCGAGGGAAAGCTGGAGGAGCCACGATGCTGTTCTGGCGCGAAGGCCCGGGCGGTGCCGTGGCAGCGAAAGAGCCCCTCGGGCCAGAGGGCGGTACTCGGGGTTGCTGCGATGGGGCATCTTGCTGCTGCTGGTGATCGAAGGTTTCACTGCGTGCGATGTAGGGGCCGGTATCGCCAACGCCTCCTCCACCTCCTCGCCCGAAGCCAGGCTCTGCGCCACCTCGACCATAACCAGACTCTGCACCTCCACGGTTGAATCCTGCAGCTACGTCTCCTCCCGAACGACTATATCCTCCCCCGTCCCCACCGGTCCGGCCATAGCCAACATCTCCGCCTCCACGGCCGAAGCCTGCATCGCTACCTCCCCGCCCAAAGCCGGACCCTGGAGGCGCCCCTCCTCTGCCGCCGCGCATTGATACGCCGAAAGCACCTCTACCACGGGGAACAAAGTCTCCCCCAAACCCGCCACGCCCTCTAGGCGCAAACTCTCCACGTGGCGCTGCAGATCCGCGAGGTCCAGAAGGCGGAGCCGCAACAGCTCTGGGAGCGATATTAGCTGCCGCAGCAGGTCCAGTTGGAGGCGCCATCGAGACTGCAGGGCCGCGCTGGCTACTAGGCCCGGTCGGCGGAGCTCGCTGTGGAGGCAGGTCTTCCATTCTTCGCGGCTCTCTTGGTGGAGGAATCGCATCGCGACGTGAATCCTCATAGTACGCAGGCTCCGCAGGTGGGAGTGTGCGCGGTGCTGCATCATGTGGAGGTGCTCGATATGTGTCTCTTGTATCGTACGGATCTCGAGCAGATGCTCTACTCAGAGGCCGTCTTTCTTCGATGGCAGCTGGTTGATGTAATGCGATACGGCTGGGGTGCATAGGTGGAGACGAGCGTCGAGAGGTGGTGCCTGATCTCTGACCGGAGTCATCTCTACTTAGGTGGTCGGACCTGAGTTCGCGTACGGGCGAGCGTGGCCTTCTCCAATCATCCATCGACCGAGGATCTACCCTGTCGCTTCTGGGCATGGCCATCGGTGACCTCGAACGCTGACGGTAGTCTCTCGCTGGAGCAACCCGTGGAGGAGTATTTCTACGTTCAGGCGAGAAACGTCGGCGCGGCGGACTAACACCTCTCGATGGTGGGTAGTCATCATATCGACCCCGCGGCGGGCTGGCCAATCTCTCCCTCTTAGCAGGCGGAGGGGTCCGGCGACCTCTACTGGAAATCGGCGAAGGATCTCGTACCCTCTTCAATGGGACCGCACTACGGTCCCGGAAGCGCGGTAGCGGAGACCGGCCAGTCGCAGCAGGTGCGGCGTATCCTCCTCGATCACGATCATCTCTGTAGTCCCGAAAGTCTCGCTCTTCCCTAGCTGGCGGCTCTCTTCTGAATAGATCATCCCGAGGCAACTCCTCTCTGCGCGATGGAGGAGATCTTGGGCGGCCTCGATAGCTATCCCCACCTCGTGGGGGAGCTTCTCGTTCGCGATATCTCGGCGGGGAAGGTGTACGGCGGCGGAACGAGGCTGGTGAGCGAGTTCTCGGTCTTGCAGCGCGATACGAGTCACCTCCAGACATGGGAGGGAAGTCTGCGCGTCGAGCAGGCGATCGAGTGCGGTAGCTATCCATGCGCGACGGCGGCGTTCGTTCGCGCACATTTCCAGGACGATAGGATTGTCCTCTGCCGTTCAAGTACCTGTCCTCGATCGGCACAGGTAGCTCACGATCATCGCGCCTGAGATGTGGTTAGATGCGCCTGAGATGTGGTTAGATGCGCCTGTTTGGATGAACAGCAGGGCACCAGCGGTACTTTGGCCGCCGCAGGAGTTAAGCAAGTGAAGCAGCACTCTTTTGTTAATACTCACCTGCGATCTCGATCCATGACCTCGAGTTTGACGTAATGATGGTCGCTGTGTGATGTTACGATGTTGTTCGAACTTCGGAGCTCAAAGTTTGGATCAGCGGAAGTTATTCGGGGACCGGAGTTTGAAGCTTTCCACGTTCACGTGCAAGGGGCCAATGGAATCGAAGGTTGCCGGCTCTCCTTTGAGTGAATCGACGACGATGTTCGCGAACAGGTAGCTATATGCACAGTATCCCGGAGAGTCAAATGCCGTATCATATTCTCAATGACATTGTCGTGGTTGCAGAAAGCAACAATCTTTAACTGCTCCAGGTAGGGCGGCATGCCATGCCGGATTGCCCCTCTGTCAATCYGAGTCTGAATCGCACAGATATCTCGCAGGCGTTTTTAATCTGCTATTGGTTGAAGCGGCGGTCTGCGCCAGTCAAGAGTTGTGGCTGAGCGGAGAGTCCACTCGAGTCTGCCTTTCGAGACCAACTGTGTGATTCCTCAATAAACCACAACCTTTTAACCTCCCACTGGATCATCATCTGCCCCTTCCTCTACCACCACCGCCCCCTCCTCTCTTTTGCCTATCTGCCTCCCGCTTCTGTCGCTTTGCGCTCTCTTCCGCAAACACGCCACTCAAGTCCTCAGAGTCTGCGCCTTGCCAGCCTCCTCTGTTTTGCTGAACGCTCTCCGCTTCAAATCTCCGCCTCAGCTCCTCTTTAGACATCTTGTCATCCCTCGCCAGTGCGTCTGGATCCATTGAAACGTCCAAGTCGCCCACCTTCCTCTTCCTGCCTCGGTCGTCTCGATCGGAGCCCAGCACAGGCACATTCGGAGGCGGCCCATTACTAGACCCGCTGAGATCGTACACACGCTCGCCGCCGAAGAATCCTTCCGCTCGAATGGAGCGCTCATTGAGAACCTGACCAGCAGCACGTGGATGATTGCTAGCTTCGGTCTCGGTGCCCACGCGTTGCTTTCGTAGATTCATTTCGTCCGGCATGCTTCGCGTACCCAAGAAGTCGGTTGGTACATTGCTTGTGATTCCTCCTGGCGTCTCGGTACCGCCGAACGGCGTCTCCACACCGGTTCGCCGACCGCTCTCGTCTTCGTCGTCTTCGTCGTCCTCATCCTCGTCCTCCTCTTCTTCTTCCTCCTCGTCGTCATCTGGTGGCTGCAGCTCTCCCCATAGTGTCTTGTCTACTGCTTCAGCTCTGATGCCATCATCCTTTTCATCCTTCAAATCAGGCAGACCGTATACGTCTCCACCAAACAGCGGCTGATTCTGATCATCGAGTGGGGGTTTACCATATCCGCCAGGGTGAAAGCCCCATGATGCTCCTGGCGGTGGCGGCGCGTTGAGACCAGGGACCTTGAGTGCCGGGTACGAGGGTGGAGGACCGACTTTCTGCTGGTTAATAAGCCAGGGCGGTGGTGCGCCAGGAGGCATGTTCAGAGCCTCTTTCAGCTCCTCGCTCAACTCTCCAGGTTTTAAATGCCGTAGATTAGTTTCGAACTCCTTCCCTTCGTAGTAAACCTCACCATATCGCGTCAGCGAAGGCTTAGTCTGCCGGCGGAAAAATGCCTCGTATAGCTTTTGATAGTCGATGTCGAGTTTTCCCGTCTTGCCAGACACGCGCTCGCGCTGCTTCTGCTTCATCGTGGCCTCCGCCTGTTTCTCGAGCACCGCATCTCGCATATCCGAAATTCCTGTCTCTGCGATGAATTTTGGCAGTGCGAAGCCTGGCTTCTCAATACCTCGTTTGCTACTAAGGTACTCCCTCTTCAGAGCCCAATGCGCAGGTACTGGAACAACATTTCGCGCAGATTTGATATTGACGAGAAGCTTCGGATCTGTCGCATCTGTGTCCGTCCAGTCCACAATCTCTGGCTTGCGCACGATTGCTTTGAGCTCAGCAATGCTCAGCTTGTTGGCGGCCTTGCGCGCCTTTTTCGATAGTCGCTTCTTTGTCGCAGCTTCTTCGTCCTCATCCTGGATCAAGTCGTCTTCGCCCCAGAAAACTTCCGGCTTCTCCGGCGCTTTGAGTGCGGCTTCCTCGGGCTCTTCCTGGAATTTGGCGAGCACGTCTGCATATTGGGAGAGCAGTGGATCGTCTGGGAGTGGTTCGGCATCAAAGTCGAGCTCGACGTCGGGTACTTCTCGAATGGGATCTTCCGCAGCAGGCGCCACAGGCTGGATAGGCTGCTGCTCTGAGGCAGTGGTTGAGGTTGGTTCCGAGGGCGCTGTTGAGGCCTGTGCCGGTCAGTTCTGCCGAGAAGCATTGTTATTTCGCACCAAAATCACATACCTCTCGCTTCTGCTGCTTCTTCTTCGCCCGACGCTGCTCATTCTTGGTTGGCTTGCGCCCCTTTGCACCAGTTTCGCTCTCGGCGATTACGCCGGGCRTGATGCTTACCGCTGTCTCCTGTTCGGACAACGCTGAGTATCGTTGTTGCTGGATTGATGGCGGCGGGCGTGTGGAAAGAGCGAAGGCAGGCGAGCAAGCAAAATTGAGGACGATGAATGAAGTAGATATGCCTAAGCTACCTAGGTAAGGTATGTACGAGAAGAAGTCAAAGCGACGAACGAAGTTCCACACTTTCACACGCTAGTGTGAACTCTATCGCATTTGAACTTCCTCCAAAAAATCACAGCCGTGTCGAGTAACTTATGTTGCCTTTAGCATCCACATATCACCTCACTTTGATAAAGCACCTCATGAATACTGATCAAAATGCCACCGCGCACGAAGAAGATCGCGCCAGCTGATACTGGCGACGCTTCAGCAAAGGTGAATGAAACTGCATCTGTTCCTGCTGTGAGTAAGTCTAACGAACGTGTGAAGGCGGCGTCGGCTTCACAAAAGCGCCCTGCTGCAGAAAAAGGAGCGACACAGCCGAAGAACACAACCAATTCCAAGGACTCGGAACCCAAACCTCACGCGAAGAAGAAGCCGGTTCCGGACGACCTTGATGCTCTCCTCCGGCCTTTTTACTACACGAAAAGCCTGACAGATCCCATCAACACAGCCAAAGACAAATGGAACTTGCTTCCGGCTTTCCTGCGCGTGAAAGGATTGATCAAACAGCATACGGACTCTTACGACTTTTTCATCGACGTCGAGCTCAAGAAGATCGTCAAAGCCAACGCTTTTATTCACTCGGAAGTTGATGACAAGAAATGGATCCGCTTCACGGACATTCGCGTCGGGAAGCCATGTCGTGTTGAAGACGCCCGCCATGGTTGGGTTGAGACTGCGGTAACCCCCAACGAATGCCGCTTGCGAGACATGACTTATGCTGCTCCGATTTACGTCGACTTTGTCTATCCTAGACAATCCGGAGTTACCAGGAAAACCGATGTCATGATTGGCCGCATGCCCATGATGCTCCGAAGCTCCAAATGTGTTCTGAACGGGCGCTCCGAGACCGAAATGGCGTGGCTGAACGAATGTGCGGTGGATCCCGGTGGATACTTTATCGTTCGCGGCCAGGAGAAAGTGATCTTAGTCCAGGAACAACTCAGCAAGAACCGCATCATCGTCGAGACTTTCAAAGGTGTGATTCAGGCCTCTGTGACCAGTCACACCGCCAATGTCAAGACCAAGACCTACGTGCTTGTGAAGAAAGGGCACATTTACCTGAAGCACAACACCCTGAACGAGGATATTCCAGTCGCGATCATGCTACGCGCTATGGGTGTGCAGTCAGACCATGAAATCCTTTTGCTGGCGGCTGGGAACGATGCTCAGTATCAGGATGAATTCGCCAACAACCTCGAGCTTGCTGCCATCGAAGGCGTCTTCACCCAGGAGCAAGCCCTTGAATACATTGCCACCCGGTTGAAGCCAGATCGCTTCGGCGACAGAGCTCGGAACCGCGAGAAGACTTCAAAGCAGATCGCTCTTGAAAAGATTGCGGGTACCATAATTCCGCATGTTGAGGTCGAAGGCATGAACCTGCGGCCCAAAGCACTGTACATCGCGTTCATGACGCGCAGAGTGCTGATGGCAATGAACGATCCAAAGCTCGTGGACGACCGCGATTACGTTGGTAACAAACGTTTGGAACTCGCTGGACAGATGCTTGCCTTGCTCTTCGAGGATCTCTTCAAGGACTTTGTAAGGATGATCAAAATCAACATGGATAAACTGCTCAAGAAGCCGAATCCCACGCAGGAGTTTGATCCTATCAGGATTGTCGAGCAAGGTGAACCTCGCATCACAAGCGGCATGGAGCGTGCGATTTCCACCGGGAACTGGACACTGAAGCGTTTCCGCATGGACCGAGCTGGTGTAACGCACGTGTTGAGCAGGCTCAGCTATATCAGTKCGCTAGGAATGATGACAAGAATCAGCAGTCAGTTTGAGAAGACCAGGAAAGTCTCTGGACCTCGTGCTCTCCAACCATCACAATTTGGCATGCTCTGTACTTCAGATACGCCTGAAGGAGAAGCCTGCGGCCTGGTGAAGAACTTGGCATTGATGACACACATCACCACGGCCGATGACGAGGCTCCTGTGAGAAAGATGATGTACGTTCTCGGTGCTGAGGACGTCACAACTCTCTCTGGAACTGAAATTTACGGAAACGGTGCATACATCATCTTCATCAACGGTACGCCCGCAGCTCTGACCCGTCAGCCGAAGCAATTCCTCCTTGGGTTCCGCAGGTTCAGACGTATGGGCAGAATCTCCGAGTTTATCAGCATCTTCATCAATCACCATCACAACGGAGTTCACATTGCCACCGATGAAGGCCGCGTCTGTCGACCACTGGTGGTTGTCGAAAAGGGCAAATCAAAGGTCACAACGCGATTCCTGGAATCTCTGCGGAAGGGCACCATGAACTTTGATGATGCTCTTTCTCGCGGTATTGTCGAGTACCTCGACGTGAACGAGGAGAACGATTCCAACATTGCTGTCTATGAACATCAGATTGACGAGCACACAACACACCTTGAAATCGAACCCTTCACCATCCTAGGAGCCGTCGCTGGACTCATTCCATACCCTCATCACAATCAATCCCCTCGCAACACCTATCAATGCGCAATGGGTAAGCAAGCTATTGGAGCGATTGCTTACAACCAGTTCACCCGCATCGATACTTTGCTCTACCTCATGGTGTATCCACAAAAGCCTATGGTCACTACTCGGACAATTGAGCTTGTCAAGTACGATAAGCTCCCAGCTGGTCAAAACGCTGTTGTGGCGGTCATGTCATACTCCGGATACGATATCGAGGATGCACTTGTGTTGAACAAGGCGTCTTGCGACCGTGGCTTCGGCCGCTGTCAAGTCTTCAAGAAGATCAGCATGCCTCTCAAATCGTACGGAAACGGCTATCAAGACAGATTGGGCGATCGAGACGCTAAGAACACTCGTCACCGCAAGATTGGAAAAGATGGACTTGTTGAAGTGGGCTCGGAATTGGAGAATTCTGACATGTACATGCTCAAAGAATCGCCGATGAACCAGGCTTCGGCCATTCCTCAAAAGGATCAGAAATGGTCACCGATGCACATGTCCTACAAACTGCCAGACCCTTGCTACGCGGACAAGGTTCAAATCACGACCAACGAGGCCAACAGCACAATCATCAAGATCCAAACCCGTCAGACTCGACGACCCGAGATTGGCGACAAGTTTTCCTCCCGTCACGGCCAAAAGGGTGTTGTCGGACTACTGGCGGAACAAGCAGACATGCCATTTGCAGACTCCGGTGTCGTGCCCGACATCATCATGAACCCGCATGGTTTCCCGTCTCGTATGACGGTCGGGAAGATGCTGGAGCTTGTTTCTGGCAAAGCTGGTGTACTTGCGGGGAAGCAAGAGTACGGCACAGCATTCGGAGGAAGCAAAGTCGAAGACATGGGCGCTACTCTCGTCAAGCATGGTTTCAGTTACTCCGGCAAGGACTGTCTGACCTCTGGCATCACGGGCGAGAGTCTGCCAATGTACGTCTTCTTCGGCCCGATCTACTACCAGAAACTCAAGCACATGGTGCAAGACAAAATGCACTCTCGTGCTACTGGACCACGCGCCATCCTGACGCGGCAGCCAACAGAAGGTCGATCGAGACAGGGTGGCTTGCGATTAGGAGAGATGGAGCGTGATTRTTTGATCGCATATGGAGCCAGTCAGCTGTTGCTGGAGCGATTGATGATCAGTTCTGATGCTCACGAGGTGGATGWATGCCAGGGCTGTGGCATGATGGGCTACAACAACTGGTGTCAGAGCTGTTCCAGTAGTCGGTCAGTGGTTCGCATGACGATGCCATATGCTGCAAAGTTGCTCATCCAAGAGCTTATGAGCATGAATGTCAAGGCTAGCTTGCAGCTGGCCGATGAATTCCCAAGGGAGCAATGAGTGAATGCGGTTTTGGGAGGCTAAAAGCATAGCGTGGAGTCTGGGTGGTCTTGGTGTATTGTGTGTAGCGTGAAGCTGAAGCTGTATGTTTTGAGGCTCTACCATATTGCATTGCATGATCTTTGTCTCTGCCCTCGGTCAGTGGAATTTGTAAGAAAGACAGCCCGGCCTGACTCAGAAGTGTGAGAAGCCAAATATATTTCAGCATACTCTACACACGCGGCCAAACGTATTTCCCACCTACAGCTCCAATGGGTGTGAGCGAGACTGGATGAGATATCGATGATGCGGTACTACATCAACCCTAACCCTAACCATATATCCCATCAATGTTCTCCTTTACCTGACAGGCAACTCTGCTAGTGGTAGGGGTTCCAGTCGGTCTGGAAATCTCTTTTCAATCGAGAGCAAGGCCTTGAGATGATGTGAAGATGATCACTGTGCCTCTTGACCCACCGCCCCTTCATTGGGGCTGTCGTGAAAATTTGTTGTAGGAAGGAGAACAATTCACCGGAGCGGATGCAGCGAACTGACAATCCTGACAGACGACGATCGCACGCACCTAGATGCAAACGCGCAATGCTCAACGCCCCGAGCACTCCATCAGTCTCAATACCGAAGCAAATCCGGCATCGGAGCATTCGTAAGACTGCGAGCCAGACACGCATGGCTATTGTAGTGGATGCCAACAAGTTCATTCAAGTTGGGGGGTGATCCCTTGAAAGACAGGCAGGATAGTGTCGTGATAGGTCTCGGGTATCGCGGTCGCTACTTGGACGTAGAGTAGCGTAGATAGAAGGCCAACGCGGCCTCTCAACCCGCCATTCTCCTCGCGTCGGGCATGCGCTTCTTCTCCTTCTGTCCCTCCTTCTTGCGACGCTTCTCGATCAGCTTTTCGCGATCCTTGCTCTTCATCCCCTTGAACTTCTCCACTAGCGCTTGCTCCTTGATGTCCTTTTTCTTGAGATAGTATGGTGTTTTACCCTGCTGGATCTTCTCTCGTTCCTCCTTCCTGTGGCGCCGCAAGATCTCCTGCTGGCGATCTTTTGCATCTTTGGCTTTCAGTTTGTTGTCCATGCTTCCCAGCTTACGTCTCAGAACATCCTTGTCGTCTTCATTCTTCGTACGCTTGATGGCAGCTCTCAGCTCGTCCATCTCAGCCTTCCGATAGTCGCGGAGAAAGCTGTACGCCTTCTCACTGTTGCCGGTGTGTGCGTTGTGTTGCTGCAATGCGTCAAATCGAGGATCTCGCACGACTCGCTTTGGTACGTCGACCACGACACGTTTGCGTGTGACTTGGTGCCGGGTGGACTGTGTACCAGGTGCATGCTTGGAGGTACGTGATTTCGTGGGAGCATCCTCTTCAGAAGGTGCTGAGTCGGAGTCTGACTCCGCTTCACCATCCGATTCTACCCCCTTCTTGTCACTCCTCTTCCGTTTTGCCTTGCTCGGGGGCTCGGACCTCGCAGTAGTAGCCCTTTCTTCCTTGATCTGACGCAGCCTGTCTCTCAAAGCCTCTAGCTTGTCGTCCTGTGTCACACTACTCTCTGATCCTCTTTTACGTTTGCGCGACAAAGACTCTTGTGCCTTCTGCAATKCTCCAAAGGATACATTGCTGAGCTTTGCCTCGACAGCTTCATCGTCGTCGTCGTCCTCATCATCATTATCATCATCATCGTCGCGATTCTCGGCCTCGCTCATGCTTGCCATCTCATCGCCACTCGATCGGTTCAATTCGGAGTCGTCGAAGTCTTCCTCGACAGCGTCCGGCCGCGGCCGGACATTACGCACTCCGGCGATGGCCATGTTTGTTGCGTTTTGCAGCGCAAGAAGTGAAGTAGTTTCGTGCCCTAACAAGGTTCATCTAAAAAATACCGTAGCTCGCCAGGTTTAAGTGGGGCGCAAGGTTTATCTCAGCCGCCGAGCCGAGCTCGCGTGCGGACATGGATGACGTACAAAAAGGAAGCACAGAAGCTCTGATCCGCACTGCTGCCGCTATATACCAGTAGAATATTTCACATGAACTTGGCCCTCACTCTTCGCGCCACCATCTCTCCTACCTCCAAAATCTATCACCAGACTACACAGCCAATATGAAGATTTTAACGAAGGAAGAGGAGGCTGCGCATTATCAGTGAGCCCCACCTGACGTTCCACCTGAAGCATTGAGTTGAGCTGACGTCGACGATAGGGCCACAGTGAAGGGTGGTCTACTCGGAGGTGCAGTTGGTACTGCACTCGGTGCAGGTGGTGTTTATCTGGCCTCTGTGAGGTACCCAGCATTCAGAGGCCTTTCATTACCCTTCCGTGCCTTCTTGACCACCTCGACGGGTACCTTTGTTGGTAAGCTCGTCTCTCCAGCTTGTGCAACATTTCAGCGTCTAAGGTCAAATAGCCATTGTCGCCGCCGACTCTTATTCGCGACGATTCGAAGCGTCAAAGCAACCCGACAGACACTACCAGGATGAGCAAAAATCGTTGCAAGACCAGCTGGATGCACAGAGAACCGGCAAGGAGAAGACTATGAAATGGCTTCAGGATAACCGTTACGGAATGGTTCTGGGGTCTTGGGTAGTCTCCATCACCGCTGCATTGGGCATCGTCGGCAAGAATCCATATCTTACAGGACAGCAAAAACTCGTCCAAGCTCGTGTCTATGCCCAGGGTTTCACCATCGCCGCTGTTATTGCCAGTCTTGCATTCGAAGGAAAGGACCGCATGTCTGGATCTGGACGCTGGGAGACCGTAAAGATCGTGGACCCCAACGACCCTGAACACAAGAACGTAATTGAGAAGAAGATTCACCACGAGCGCTACTCGGGCGAGGATCAATGGATGGACATGGWCGAGGCTGAGGAACGCCGGATGAAAGAGAGGGAAAAGGCCATCAAAGAGCGTGAGCACGCCGAGGGGAAGACGGGCAAGGCGAAAGAAGCAGCCGATAAGCACGCCGAGAAGCAAGTGAAGGGGCACCCGGAAGAAGCAAAAGATAAGAAGGTGAACGCTCCATGAGCCCGAGGTGTGGACTTCCATGTTTGCAATCGAGAACTTGCGGGGACGATTGACGACTGCATTGGCGAGTGGCGTTTGGGAATCTCAGCGATAATTTGTAAATGTAGATAGAAACGACAGGTCAAAGCAGAAGCGACTTCGCAGCCGAACGCTGATGCTGGATTTGGACGTCTGCTTTACTGATTCCCCCCTCAGCTTCAACTTTTGATCAGCATGCAAGATCATTCCGACCAAGGGCCGCCGAAATTGAAGATTGCCGCCTCTCCTTGTAGTGAGTCGACGATAACGCTCATGAACCGCTAGCCACAAGCACAAAAAGCAGCAGCCTTATGGAGAGTTAAGCAAGGATGGTCGAATTTCTTGTTGTCTTCTTATCGTACTGTCGTTATTGCAGAAAATACAAGACTTCAATTTCACCGGCCCTTGGAACATTTCGACCTATAAGTTAGCAGATAAAGACAAGCGAGATGTCAGTGCCAATTACCTAGATCATGGTACGTCACGTTCCATGTGTGCTTTATTCAATGAATATCAGATATTATTATTCAAATGCCATACGTTGAACCGTGAGGTCTCCAGCGATCAAACATCTATTCATACATTCCATAAAACCGTTCCAGAGAAAAGGTCCCGGTTCAAAAAAATAAAAAATAGCCCAATCCTCCCCAAAACAGCCGTGGGTCGTTACAGTGTCATATATATGTGTGCCTGCGGAAATGAACAAATGCGAGAGTTTTGCAGAAATAAAGGAGCGCAGAATTGGTTGCGAGTCAATGTCTGACTATGCCACACGCGCTACCTCCTCGTCGCGAGCTCGGAGTTCAGCATCACGCAGATGGATTGTCAATGCGGACTTGGATTTCGAGGATAATTGTCTGCTTCTCCAGACAGATCTCGCGAATCGATGCGAGGTGCGTCGGTCGAAGACTCTTCGCGATGCCGGAGAACTGCAGTCCTGGCGGGAGAGTCGTCTGGTTCGGGATCCATCCTCCCGTGAGACGGTCCATACATGTTCCCACCTCCCTCGGCCTCCAGTCTGTTTGATCGAGCGCGACGTCGTTTGCCAGAGGATGATGAGCCGCCCGAGTTACTTGCGCTTTTAGGTTCATGGGCCGTCGGCGTAAGCATAGCGGCGATGGGCATCCTAGCAGCTGCAGGCATCAAAGGTTTGACTTCTTCGGAGTGGGTGGTCATGGTCGTGGGAACCTGAGTTGGCGCTGGGGTTTGTGTGGCCAGTCGAGATATTGGCGCAGAGGCCGATTCGCCACTTGCCGTCGCTGCTGCGGCCACCGCAGCAAGCTTTGCTTCTTCCTTCGCGGCCTGCTCAGCCTTTGTTGGACGTCCACGTTTCTTCTTCGCGGGAGGTTCGTTCGTGGTCTGAGGATAGGTAGTGATTGATTGTGCCGGTCTTGGCCGAATGGCGCGAGCGCTGCTTCCAGTCGAATACATTCCATCGAACGGATATGGTCTCTTGATCGGTTGTGCGGGCATCGACAGTGGCGTTGGAGTATGAGGGGCCACCATGGACTGTGAAGACATTGACCTCCATAAGTCTTCGAATGCATTTCGGCTGGAGTTCAGCGATCGGCCTGTTGATTCTTAGCGACCTATATTTGTGCTTTTGATTCTTCTCAACCTATAGTTGGGAACTTACCCGTGGGTAGTGGAATGTCCTCCCAACGAGGCTGCACATTAAGTACTCTGATTAGGTTGAATAGATTTTCCGCAGGTGGATCGGCTGCTTTTATGATTTCCGCGAGGAGGTAGTTCTGTATGCCAATGTCAGACAGCGTATTGTCCCGCCAAGAGGTGGACCATCCCACGTACCCGCTCTCGATTAGTCCAAGGCTGCTCGGGAGGTGTTGCCATACCGAAGGAATAGCGAAACGAAGAAAAGGCGTATCGAACTCATGGAGGAGAGGCGTCGAAGTCGTACAATATAGCAGCAATAGCGATGGGCGCGTAGGGGCCGTTAGGTCGTAGCTCTTGCAACAGAAGGAAACCCCAGTAGCGACAGGACGGTGCGTCGAAATATCACCAGTGGAGACCGCTCAAAACGAGTGTAAGAGAAGGCGCGCCCAACGATTACAGAAGAATATGCATCACCAAGCCAGCACCCGACAAGGTACAGAAAAAAATGAGAGTCGTTGATCCAAACGAGCAGACTGCAACTGGAAGAAAGAGGTGCTGGGAGATGAAACCTGGACCGTATTCCTGCATATGCATGCAGGAGTAACTAGGTGCATTAAAGCCGCAGACATACCAGCCCGCCGAGATGAGATCCATGCATTATGAGGAGCACCTGCAGCTTCTCCCGCAGCGATTGGGAAACGCTCCCATGCGGTGCCATCCCTTTGGGTCTGCGTATGCCGCCCGCTGTGCGCAGCTTGTTCATCAATGGTTTGGCGGAGTGATAATGCCCGCTCAGTGTGGGAACGGGAAACGATGCCGTGCGCTTCTCGGCAGTTTTTACCTTTGAGTCCTCCTCTGCCGGCTAGGTATTCTAGCTTCCTTTTCTGACGGCCATCGGAGATTTTCCKCCCAGGATCGCATGCATCATGAACACACCATCGTTGCGTCTCATCGCCGGAAATGGAACGTCGCAATGATCCCGCACGGTACAGCGCCTCTTTGCATCGGAGGTTATCCAGACCTACAGAGTCCTCTCGAGCATCCTAGCTCCAGTGCGTTGGCAGCGAGCGAATCAATTCTCGCCAAACAGCAGCGAGAGCGGATCTTTGGCCGTCAAGGATCTCTTCCGATGCAAAGAGACGCTATATCCAGWCAGTCTGAAGCAATGCGGAGTGCAGTCGTCGCCGGGTGTTGTCCGCCTATGGCCCAGCATGCTCGAGACGAATGAGCGCGCGCATCCTGTAACAAGGGCGTCTCGCCGCTAAATTCTTCACCGCAAAAACGGATACCGGTCCACTTCAGCAATAAGCTTTTACTCCTTGGAGATACAGCAGATTTTGACTCGTCTCTACAGCTTGGAAACTCAACTCTCCGCCTGGTGGTGGGTTTTGATTGGCAGAGGGCGCCGCTTCGAATAACAATTCATGGAATGACTTTCGGTGTCAGATTGTTAACGGCAGCGCAGTGAAGATGCCGTAATGAGCTTGATGACAAGCTGTCACGAATCGCACGATGCTTTCGTCAGCTCGTCGACAACCTGTTCCTCGGCCTGGACTTTCCAACCCGAACGATCGCGGGAGCCTGATGAACGGGCTCCTGCATTCCATCGTGGGCCCGCGGGTCCGCCAGCCGCCGTCTGACTCCTGGGAAACTCACTCCTGTATCAAGTCCGCGTGTTGTAAGCGCCGACAGGCCCGGTTGGCGCGACCTCAAGAGCGAGGGGAAGCTCGACGTTACCTATCATTGATGACTTCCTCGCCTACGAGTCTATATCCAACTTATTCGATACAATGTTCCAGCTTTGCAATCCAGCTGAGCGGTCGCTCAACCACGGAGCGAAAGAAGCGCAGGATTGTTTGCGGACCTTGATGCTTCTATATCGCTCCGCTGCTTCGGGACGATGCAACAACTAGACGACCTCATGACAGTGGATGTCATCAATTACATACAAGTATACACCGTCTCTTTGCGCTGGTATTTCAGACCCAGAGCCCGCTCGAGCGCATCCAAGCGTGGTACGTCGGCAGCTAATTGACTCCCGCAAAAGTGCAATGAAGGCGGACCTTTGATCGTCAAGAACAACTTCCGATGCAAAGAGACCAGAACAGGACGCCGTATCTTCACAGAAGGCGTGCAAGGGCCGGTCAAATTGAAGATTGCCGCCCTACCTACTGCATCTGCTGCTCTCTTACAACGAACACCAACCAACGATCCGCAGCATGGCATCCTACAGCCCACGCTTCTTCTACGGCGGCAAGAAGTTTCGGTCTCTCGACGATATCGAAGACAGGGACATCCGCCTGAAGTTCAGCGACGCGATCAATGACGGTGCAGGCCCGGTGAAATTGAAGGTTGCCGCCCTATGTACCAAGGGCCAGTGAAAGTGAAGATTGCCGCCTCTCCTTGTGGTGAATCGACTACAACGCTTACGAACAGGTAGCTGTAAGCACAAAAAGCAGAAGCCTTATGGAGAGTCAAATATGGAGGATCGAATGTCTTATCAAATGATTTCTTCTCAATTGAAGTCATAAACGACCAGAGTCTGTTTTCCGTGATTTTGCTCTTTCAACAAAACCACGTTCTCATCGTCAAACCCGATCCAGCCTCGCGTCTGCGTTAACTCAGCGGCATCATCGGCGCAGTCTGACCTGATTTCTTCAGGGTCAATGTCTACTCTGTGTGTTTTGACAGCCTGCGTGTTKCGAGTCCTAGGCTTGATCTGCACGCTCAAGTCGCCACTTGCGAGCCGCTTTCGTGCGGCGGTAGATCCGAATCCTCCTTCCAGCTCCCAGACCCGAAGTTCGTCGCCCCTTCTGCTAACTGATACCGCCTTGCCCCGCTTGCCGACCGATGCTCCGCTCACCGCTGATGTGTGGCCCCACAGTCTGCTACCCGGGCTGATAGACAGGGCGTCTGCAGTGGAAGTGACCAGATACAAGGTCAGGGTGTTATCTGGATGTGATGCCAGTAAGTAAGGGTGTGCATATGATATCGATGTTGGCTTCGAGTGGATATGCTTCATCTCCAGTGCCAGTGGCGGACTGGTTGAGCTCGAGAAGGAGGGTGTTAGGTGTTGTACGATCGGCCGGCTGGAGAACGCTAGAGGCCGATAATGYTGATCGATAGCTGAGGTAACTCTGGATTTCAGCAGCAGACCGCTGGGAGAGAGGCTGACCTCTTGTATACCTACGGTCCAGCCTGAAAGATATGTAGGGAGTGCGTATGCAATCGACGTGAGTACCGCAGACGACGAGGCTCTCAAGGTCAGGCAAAGCGGCGGCCACACCGTATATGACCTGAGTGAGTGGAGCAGTCGGGGAGGATCCAAAATGTCTCTCGCTGGAACTTCGAAAGCATAAACCGAGAGCAGCCGAGTTGCGGTAATGGTCGCCACATATGGCCACGAGACGGCCACGGCAGAGATCACTCCATTTGATGAGCTTTCATGGGTGTATTGGTGTTCGAACTGTCCACGGTCTTGCAAGAGCTTGTAGACGCCAAAAGAGCCGTCTTCAAAGCCAACGACAATCTTTGCAGTGGTACTGTTAGCTGCCGAGTCGATGGAAAGTCCTGTTGGTGGTCGCGGCGTCCGCGAATATGGGAATGGAAGCTGCGCAATCATCTGGCGGCCGTTTTTCGCTGCGAACGCCCGCAGACCGTCTGTCTGATCTGCCGTAAAGACAATCCCATCGGTCATTCCGACCAGGACTGGAGGTATGGCGGCTTCTTTGGCAATGGGTATCTCATTCACTGCGCAAATACCTCGAGACCACTAGATCTGAGGTCAGCCATGGTCATTAGTGAGAATTGATGAATCATTGAATGCAGCCGGCCCACACAGCCTACAGCGTCTCTTCACATCGAACATCGTTCAGACCCAGAGAGTCCCCTGTGGCATCAGAGCGTGGTGCGTTGGCAGCGAAACGGTTCACGCGCGACGATTCACGCGCAACGATTCTCGCGCGACGATAGCGAGCGCCGAAGTCTTTCTTGCTGCCCACAGATCCGCTTTCGTCGTAATGAGGATTTGTTCGCTGCCAACACACCAGGGCCAGGATGCCCAAAAACCCCTGTGGGGCTATACGATGTCCGATGCAAACAAAGACGCGGTACCATGAGTTGGTCTCCGTAAGACACTTGTTCGCGGTTGCTGCACATTCCCACAGAACGACTCAAGATCGGCAATTGCAGCATGTTATCGATTTGTGCACCTACATTGTGTCGCAGCTTGTACTGCATCTTCCAATCAGYTCGACGACCCTTCTGAATCAGGTGYTCATCGTCTAGCCATCTCGAGGAATTCAACGTATAGTTCAGATTCTCATTAAAATCTCCGACATCTTTCAGTCTTGGGAGACGGCTAGCTCGAGGCCGTACGAAGCGACTGTAGTAAAGGCGTTTCCAGATTTGACTGTCATTTGCCAGCTTCCGGAATTTGTGAGAAATTCTGAAAGTTTAGTATGGAGAAAGGGACATAGATTGAAAGAAGCAAAGACGTACCGTTGGCAGATAACTAGCTGCGAGATGGAGAGGCGAGATAGCACCTTGACGAGGAGCTCATCACTCAGTCTGGACAGGCGATCAGGCGTCGTGGACTTGATGCGCTTACTGGAGCGATCGCAATCATCGTCACTTTCCTCATCAGCGTGCGACCTCTTCGCCATGATTCGAAGGGCGAACGGCGAAAGGCGAGAGTTGGTGGAGGGGAGGATCAAGGCTCGAGCAAGGTGAGGTGATATCGTGACTGCCCTCTGCGATCGAGATCGGAGGACGCCCATGCCGAGGCTCCGAAACCTTAAAAACGCGTCGACACGTCCCCCACTCCCAAGGCTCCAAGCTGCAACACTGCTCGAAACCAGAAGATTCCATCATGAATGGACGCGCGGTGGCGAGACTTGTTTGGACGATCTCGTGAATCGTCGCGATTCATTCCATCGAGAGCGCCAATTCACTGGCGTTGAATGCGCTGCCGCAATGGAGATGGAGATAGAGATGAAGACGCCACGGCCACAGCAATGCGACTCAAATCAACCAATTGATCTACACAACGCGCTCGCAACGTTGGGAAGGAAGACCGTATACATTGAGCATCTGGAAGCAGAGAATGCCTCTTTTCGCGCACAGCTGGGTGCAACTCCACGAAATCATGAAACTCCTGGACACGGCAACATGATCTTCCCCTCACCTGCACCATCGAGCCAAGACGGCAACATAATTCCCGCAGCTCAGCATGAGGCTCTCAAACTCCAACTTGCGGCATTACAGGCGAGTAATAGTGAACTGAAGCGACAGCACGAGCTCATTCTCAAGAAATACAAAGAATCCAAGGCACGCATCAAGCAATGGCAGGCCTACCTCAGAGAGAAAAAGGAGAAAGAAGGCAGAGGTCGAAACACCGAACTTGCTTCAACTCCTCCCCCGGCAGGCGTCTTTGGGCGAGGCACAGAGACGCCCTATACTGATACCGACGTGACGCCGCGGGCTTCCACAATTGCACACGAGCCAACTATGGCAACAGAGGACAACGAAGTCGGTCCGCCAGAAATGCCATCCAGTCCGCCACGGCTCGCCGCAGTACCAGAACGTCCCACAWCGCAATCAGAACTTCCGATACGCTCTCAGCCAGTAGAATCCATTACCTCGAGTCAAACCACTGTTGATGAACCGAACAATCAGACAGATGTGCCACTTCCTACACAGCCCGCTCCTAGCAGTGACTTTGAGCCCATTGTTGTCTCTAGCCGAAGCTTGAAGCGTAAGGTGGGCACCGTGGAAGGTCCAATGTCGCCTTCCCGACGCATCAAACAAGAGCCCAGCTCGCCGAGCGCGCCCAGCAACATTTCCTCGGGTGACTCACGACGTCCGCAAGATTTAAGAATAGATACCACATCATCGGACGATTGTCTTGACAACTTCGGCCCTGCGATGAGGACGCCGCGTCGGCCCAAGCGGGTGAGCGACTTGCGTCTCCGTGCCACGTCGGAGGAAGTATTCCGTCCTGTTCCACAGCTACAGAGAAGCGCATCGTCGCTCTCTGATGGCGACGCCGGTGCTTTGCTTGAGCAATCAGCTTTTCTTGTGCCAGTGACTGATTATGCTACGAGAGGAGACAATGGAAGCGTAGGCTCGCGACCTTCGAAGCGCCAGCATGTCGAAGCGCTTAAACCTATCAGTGGCAACGTTCCGAGGCAACAACGGACGCCGAAAGACGATTTGAAAGCGGGAGCAAAGATCAGAAGGACAGGCGCAAAGGATAAGATCTTGCTGGTTTCAGAAGATGGCGAAGATGGCTCTAGTCAACACGCAACACGCAATCTTCAGCAGCGTGTAACCTTGCCTGGATTGGCCATGGACGACCGACTTGACGARTTGCTTAATGGGCCATCTGTACTTCGGACTCCAGTCTTGCCAAATCCAATCGATATTGCGGCAGTCTCACCGAGAGACCAAACTCGACCTCGTTCTGCGCAACTGACAACTCCAGTAAGCGTGGCGAAACGCACATCCCCTGTGAAACCCACCACTAGTGTTGGGTGGACGCCTGTGCAAGCGAAGCTGCCCCAATTAGAGAGGCCTACCAATGCGTCCGCCCGAAACACTGGYCGTGGGAAGTCGCCACCTCCAGTGCGTCCAGAGGAAGAACCGCTTCGCATACGTCCAGTATCGACGCTTCGGCCTGAGGACTTCAAGATCAATCCCAAGTACATGGGGACTGATTTTGCATTCGCCGATACCATCCGTGGTAGAGATGCACGGCAGAATCTGCACGCATGTACCAGGGCGGATTGTTGTGGTGGCGCTCTCGAGAAGGTCATCAGAATGGGTGGCACTGCCATGTCAGGCCGAACTGACGCTCATGCATTGGAGGCTTTCATCGGCCCGGCATGGCAAGCACTGATGGGCGCGAAAAGGCCGGACGAGGCGAAGAAGCTGCTGCAACAGGCACATGCGTTCTGCTTTGCGAATGAGCATKGAAAGCATCGGCAGGCCTTTGAGCGACGTAGCACACCACCAGGGTATTGGAGGGCTGACTTTCCGACGACCCAAGAGCAGGCCATGGACAGGCAGACCGCCGAGAAAATGAAGAGGAAGGAAGTCGAAGACCGACATCGCGAAGCTATGCGTGAGGGGGGTAGATGGAAATTCAGGGATGAATAGCTCTGCACCCCGGCATGATGCAAGTATCTCGTGACAACCCACACAGGATCATGTCGAACAGTATTTTGAAGCAGATTATGTATATCAGTTGGGTATTCATAGCGGGTTGATCAAAGTACAACGGGCAGTTATCCAACCTCAAGCCGACCCAACGCAACGCTCTTCTTTATTCATCGTCAAAACACAAGTTACCTTACCCAGTCAAATCCAACCCTCCAACGCCAAGTCGATGTAATATTCCAGTACCGATACAGAAGCGCTTGACCAGGAACGTCTACCTGTGCGGCAACCATCTCTCCAAATCTTCCAGACGTGACTTCAAAGCCTTGCACTCCGTCTTTAGCGCCGAATTCTCCTTACCCAACGCACCAATGTGTTCGATGGCCCCGTTGAGAATCTCACACTTGCTCGGCTTTACTCCTTCTCCCACAGTCCCGCCCAACTTTGAAGCGCCAGCGGGAGGCTTAGATACCAGTGAAGGAACAGTCTGGCGAAGCTTGTCCAAGTGTGCATTTAAATTCTCGCGATAGCGTCTTTCAACTGTTTGTGCAGGGTCAGCAATTTGTTGTGCAGGCAAGAGCAAGACATCGACCCTGGGTAGTCTGAGCGACATGCTCTGACTGCCAAAGGGACCTTTGTCTCTCAAATAGCTTACCGGCTGTGTGCGGAATGCGTTGTCGCTTTCGGCCTCGAGGTTTGGCATCCTCGCTGGGAACATATTCATCGTCTTCGTCCTCGCTGGCAGAACGCTTTACGGGTGGTGATCCCGCAGTATAAGCACTCCTTCGCGGTCGTTGGTCCACGATGGCTGGAGCCGTGATCGCTCGGGTTAGATTCGGTCGTTCTTCCTTGCGAAGAGCTTCGTGGGGCTTGACGTGATATCGATGCGGACTCATGCCGCTATATGAGCTGTGAGGACTGTGTGCGGCGGAGGTCATTCGCTCGTGGCGGACTTGCAGGTTGAGGTGCTGGTTGATGGTACTCGTGTGTCGCAGGTTGTGGTAGCCGTCAAGTGCGTCGCTCGTGAGGCCAGCCGTGGACGGCGTGGCCATGTCCATATCCGAACCCCAGCTTGCCTCCGGGGCATAGTTGAGATGAGAGATCAGCTCGTTCGTGTCGTTGTGGTAGGATTCTTCGTAATCGGCTGCTTCAGGCTGAAACATCCTCAGGTCGGCATCCTGTATGCCGCCGTCGACGAGACCGGGACCTGCCTGCCAGTGATTCACGGGCATAGACATCTGGTGGAGGTATTGGCGGCGCCATGCATCGTTGATCACGGCTTCCGACATTTGATTCTCGGAATGCAGATTCCCCATGAAGGAGTGCAATCCAGCTGACAGAACGGCAGTCATTGAGATGGAGCAGAGTTCTCAAAATTGGCTTTTGCTGGGACCAGGTTGCTTGCACACGAGAGGGTTGAAGTACGGTCCAAGCTTCTCGTGAGTTGGGATGTTGTCGAAGCAGAGGAAGAAAAAGCGAAGATTCAGGAAATTATTCAAGATCTGGGGCATACCAAAGTCGAGCCTTAATATGAATGTTTGCAGAGGAGGACCCTTGAGTGAATGATTCTCGCAGCTCCAACCGAACCGGGATCCCGCAACAACGAAAACCCTACCGGCAACACCGATAGCCCAAAGGCTACACAGGGCGATATCAATCAGCCACAGTGCATCCAACCATATGGAAGCATGCTCGCCTATAGGAGCTTCACTCTCGGCAGGTAGCCACAGCGATGCCGACCCACTAGGAGCTCGACACACGACCCTGGTGCACAACAACGTGCAGCATGACCTGCAGCGCCATCCGGTGTGACGGGCCAGAACAGACCGCTAGTACAGAATCCTATCTCGCCGGAAGGTTTCTCCGTGCATTTGAGTCGTAATAAATCCCACGGCCATTCGCTAAGGTTATTGGTCGAAATGGTGTTTCAATCCAATCGAAATCTGATGCCATACGGAGGGTTGGCACGACTCRAATGAAAAGCCATCCAACCTTCTAATAACAACAATTCGGGTCTGGTTCTGACAAGTCTCAACCGCGTTGATCAATTGTCCGGCGGCTGGCAGCCGCAACACGTGGAAACGCCTACAACCAGTTTCGGGAGTAGTATTGTGCTGAATCCGCCCTGGCCCCAGGTGGCTGCGCCAGTCTAGAAGCATGGTCACTGGACGGAAGGATGCCTTAGTGAGAGGGTGCCCGCGCGCACTTCTCACCGAAGCATAATGGCGTTGTAATAAGCGAAAGGCCAAAGCATAAGTGCCTCGAGTGCATCTCTAGACTCTTTCTTCTTCTCGGTTCTCTCGGTTGGCGCATTTGGTCCGCCTTCCTCTTCCGTTCACGCGGGGTTCGTCCACGCGCAGCACACATTCCCAAACGGGCGTCGATCTTCATGTGGCTTGCCGCTTGCGGTCCAGATCCTTGGCATCAGTTCGGGTCCCACACCTCTCTGCAGCTGTGCGTGCCTCTACTTTGGAGCACAGTGAAGCAGAATACGCCTTCAGTCTGGAAGCAAGTACTGCCGATCTCCACGTGGCCACTAGGGTGATATGGCGCAAGCTTGGGTGACACTCAGGAAGATTTCTGTCTTGGCAGATAAAGCGCTCGCCGACATACGAAGGAAGAACTGATTCTCATGGAGTTTTCTGGGCCGAGACTGATCAGTGGTGAGTCATCTTCTCGTTCCATCCCACGACAGCAGCCTAGTGATGGGCCCGCCCCTTCTGTGTTATTGGCGATGAAATCTTGTAGGCGCCTGTCGTCGACCAATGGCCGATCTGCTGGGCGTTGCTGGTCCCCCCGCCATAGACGTGGCTATCGACCCTCGCCGACCATGGTTTAGCCTGCTCCCTGGCAATTAGCCTGGTTATAGACGTAGCGGTTGACCTTCGTTGACCCCTGGCCAACCTGCTGCGCGGTACTTGTCCTTGCACCATAGACGTGGCTGTCGATCTTCCAAGGCCCTCAGGTATATACAGCCTGCGTGCCTACYGCGCGAAGTATTCAGTCTAAGCATAGACGTGGCTTCAGCTTCCGTGAAACCCCAAAGTACGCGATCAGCCTGAATATAGACATAGCCATCGGTGCTCATTGATTCCCAGATATCCAAGATCTGTCTCTTGTGGCAGTATGGGCGTTCATGATGCTAACAGCGTCTCCAGGCTGTTCTCAGGATGCCCGAAGAGGACTACATGGAGAGCGGCTCGGAAAGGAAATCGTGCGACGTGTTGTAGGCGACGTTCATGGGGAGAGAGCTCATCTTGGAAGATGTGAGTCTATTCGGCTGAAAGGGCTTTGCACATGTGTAAACCTAGAGTCCCTTTAGCCGTGTAGACAACCACGATACCCGTGGTTTACTTCGATACCATCTCGCGGGGCATATATGCACGCCGAAATTGATCGCAACAAACAACAAGGCAAAGAGGATTCTGATCTTAGTTGATTGTGGTAGGTACTGTGACGAGAGCTCTCTTAGTGACCGCTGTTGATGCTCATTTCTTGGTCTTGTTCGATCAAGACATTGTACTTCTGTCCCAGGGTCTTGATAGAATCCAGCACCTTTGAAGGAACCTTTGCGGCAAAGCCTGTGATAATGTTGTACTCGTGTGTTATTGTGCCCTTCTGTGGACTGGGTCAGTAATGGAGAAAGTGGTGTATGAAACGCGTGCAAGAACTGACCGCGTCGATAATCGCCTTCTTTGCCTCTTCTAGAACATGCTCTGGAGTGCCGCTATCCATGTGATCAGCTTGTTGGTCTCTCGCGTCCAGCTCTCGCCTCAAAGCACTCACGGCGGGTACGAGATGATGACAGGCTGCTGGCTTTCAGATGCGGCGAAAGCGCAGACCGCCATGACTAGAAGGATCAGAGTGCTCAGGAAGAACTTCATTTTGTGTGACTGGTATGTTGTCTGCTTGGTGAGTCTGTGTGGATTCACAACGTCGGTTTGTTGTTAGGTGAAAGAAATTGAGGGGGAGCGGCGAGGTTCTATTGTCGTTCGAGGCAAGTACATGAATGCCTACTCGCGGGCGCTACGTCAGAACGGCTGTTCCCGCGGAAAGTCCCGGGCGTTCTCTGCTCGAAGGGGTCCGTCCAGTGCTTGTCACCTGAAAGCTCTCCATGTCCGGCCTCTCTTCCGCATTCATCGGCATTCATACTCATACTCAACAACATCAGCGGCGCCTGCTGTCAAGTCACTCAACACATCAACCGACCATCGACCCAGGATAGTGCGTACAGCCCGGCGCTGACGCGCTCAAGGAACTTCCCCCGCCCACCTGGCAGGTGCAGCCTTTCTCAAGCCGTGAGATTTCATCCACACCCGCGGCGTACCACGAAGATCCAAACTCGCGGTGCACTACGKAAACATCGCCGCTACTACCAGCAGAYCACGTAGAAGTGAGGTGGAAAGTCGTGTGATTGAAGAAGGGGAAAGCAAGATTGGCACGGTCAGAAAGAGCTTCGGAAAACTTGTGCTGCGCGCGGACGTTCGTGACAACGGCTGCTGAACATTTAGCTTAGCAACCAGTCACTACACTTGTTGCTCACTTTGCCCTCTTGAGGGACTGATTCAAGCGAATTCGTGTACTTCTGGTCTCGTGGTGCTTCGAGCGCGTGCACGAAAAGAACCTCACCTCAACCTCACTCTCGACTGCTGTGCATCTGCTGTCTCACAGAGTCTCCTACTCCTCTTCCACTAGATAGCTTACTCTTGTGTCCCTGTCTCTCTGCGTGTGTGCCTCGTGTCTTCCATCTCGCCGAGAGACCCTCTTCTGGCTGCGATGGCTGCTGCTGAAGTGGCCGCCGATTTCGAGGAGTCGCTGAAAGACTTGCAAATCAACAATCGCTATGAGATTAGCAATCTCACCATTATTGCAAAGGAAAACACGGAGCACGCGCAGGCCATCTCGCGAGCTCTAGAAAACCATATCAAGACGGTGAGTGAGCCGTGGGATCTGACCATCATCATCACGTGACGCTGAAGAATGTATCAAATACTGACTCGACTATGCATAGACATCGCCGAACCGCAAGCTGCCAGCACTATTCGTACTGGACAGCATAGTGAAGAATGTCGGCACACCATACACGGTCTATCTGGGCCGCAGCCTCTTCAGCACGTTCATGGACGCCTACACACTGGTTGACAGCAACACCAGACGGAACATGGAGGGTATGCTGAAGACCTGGAAGGAGCGAGTTCCCGGATCTATCGATCCCCGGCCCGTATTTCCCGTTGAGACCGTGCGACCAATTGAGACCGCCTTGTTGAAGGCGAAGACAGCTGCGATTCAGCATCAGAGGCATGCGCAGCCGCAGGGCGCTTTTCGCGGAACTGCCACTCCGCCACAGCACAATGGCCAATTTGCGYCTCCACCAAATCAATTTGCTCAGCAGCCATTCCCAGTGCCTGGGCATCAGCAGGTACGATGCTATCTGCCATTGCCTTTCTATCTCAGGCCCCAAGCTGACACGCCCCATAGCCAACGCCACTGCAACATCACAATCCATACGGCCCTCCTCCACAGCCTTCCTTCCACGAAATCGCTGCCGTCAAACGTGAAATTGAGCTTTTGATCCAGTCTTTCCAGCATCAGAGTGGCCAGAATCCACACGATGCTCGCTTACGGCAACAACTTGTGGCACTCAATGCGCTGCATGAMTTCCTCACCAATAAGACTGTGAGTATGAACGACTTCCATGGCATCAAAGCTCAGGTATCAAGCATGTCTGCCGCCGTGCCTCCACCACAGCAACATACTCCCCAGCCTCCAATGCCCGTTCCGTCGTGGCAAGCTCCGACGCAGTACCCACAGCATTTCCAACCGCCGCAACCCACGTATCCAACTCCCCAAACGTTCACACCACAGCCATTCGCGCCTCCCGCACATGTCCCGAACCCGCTGGATGGTCTTCAAGCTTTGCTGGCAAACGCGCAGAAGCCGAGCACACCGCAGCTACGAACTGCCATGCCTGCTTTCCGTGATGCGAGTCACACCCAGCTGAATGCAATACAAGATCATGCCGCAGCTCCCAATGTAAACGGCGCCGCGGATCTAATTTCATCTTTGACGAAAGCTGGCCTCATAAATTTGGGGCAGAACTCCACTCCGCTGCCCCTGAGTGTGCCTCCGCCTTCCATGGCCGCTCCAATTGACCCGACAGCTTCCCTGCTGAAGTCTCTTCAAAGCGTCATGCCACCCCAGTCTCATTCGGGGACGCCCTCACATGCACACAGTTTGTCGACGTCTTCGGCTGTCCACGTTTCTATCTCGGCCGCATCTCTCAAGACCTTCAGACCTGAACTTATACACGCCATCTACGATGGTCGGCCAAATCAGTGCAGCACATGTGGTCGACGTTTCCTTGCTACGGACGAGGGCAGGGAGAAGAAAAGCCGCCATCTGGACTGGCATTTCCGGACGAATCAGCGCATCGCAGATCCCAACTTGAACCGCGGTCACCACCGCAACTGGTACCTGGACGAGATGGACTGGATCGTGCACACTGACATCGATCCATCTACTACAACCGTCACAACCGGTGATGCCGAGGCGGCAGCGGTGAAGGCAAAGAAAGGGCCGCAAGATCAGGCCGTGCGTGCGCCTGCCGGCATGACCAAGAATACGTGCAACATTTGCTTCGAGGAGATGAAGAGCAGTTATTCGGAAGATCTCCAAGACTGGATCTTTGCAAATGCAACTGTACACCTTGGTAAAATTGTGCACGCGACGTGTTTGGGGGAGATGACGAAGTCTCAGAACACCCTCGGTGGAGGAGGCTCTCTCGCGGCGACATTGTCAGGCCTAGTTAGCAGAGAACGTAGTGCCACTCCAGACTCGTTGAAGCGAAAGGCCGAGTATTCATTGAACGGTGGTGCTACGCGATTGAGAACGGAATGATGTGCCAGGCGTATCGGCATGGCTGCATGGGACGGATGGAGACATCGAAGATTGCCGGCTCTTCGAGTTGTGAATCAACGACCACGCCGCGAGCGGATGGCTACACCGACCAACATGAGCCGTTTCATGGAGAGTTGTGTGTTCTACCGATCACTCCCTTATACTCGCTTTGCGGTTGTTGCAGAGAGTGCGACATCTTTGATGACTGAAGATAGGGCGGCAACCTTCAAAGTCATCAGACCTTGATGGTGCATTTGTGTATTGCTTTGGCGAGCATGGCGCCGGGGTTTTCGGGACTTGGATCACTGTATATATCCTGTCTACGTAGCTACCTAAAGCTACGAAATTCTCGAAAGCGAATCTAAGTATATTGATTGCGAAATGTTCATGGGGTCATCAGTTCGAGACTCTGTCCAGCTCATTCTTCGCTACTCGGGGAGTCGGGGTCAGGGGGTCTGCATTGAGATGTGTGCGTCGTTCTCGTGCTGCTGCTACTAGATGAGACTTGCGTGGATGACGCAGATGTCGCTGTAGATGAGCGAGACGTGGTTGGAATCATTACCGAAGAGGCTACGCTCGTGTTCGAAGGAGAGCTTGATATTCTTCGAGYACTGCCAACGATAGACCCGACCCACGCATCCCAGTTTGTAATGCCGTTCTTGCAACTTGTTGAGAAGATGTATATTGCCTAGTTGGCTGCAGCAGTAGTGGATCCACGAGCGATGCTGATGGACACATCGCCATTCTTACCATTGAAGGGTATGATTCCAAGATGCATGCGGCTACCGCCTGAGGGTATGTTCGTCCAAGTAGCGGTGGTATTCGAGCCTTTTCTAGCATCAGTCTTGTACAAATTGATCCAATATGACAACAGCGCTCGGCAGCCATCTTGGGGCATATTCTCGGCATAGTTGTAAGGAGCTTCCCCAGGCGAGATGGCTCCACAATCAGCGGCGCGCTGTAGGCCGACTGCCATCATGTAAGATCTGCTGCCAACTGCACTGATATATGCACTGTCTCCAGATGTTCCCGTAGCATGCGGTCCATTCCGCCAAGCTTCCAAAGAGAAGAGTAGAAACGCAGCTTGAACGCTGTCTTGCGACCTATTTCGAGGCCAGCGGCTTGCCATTGTATTGCATGTATGCATCTTTTGACCTATACTGCTTCAGATAGTTGATCATTTCAGCCTGCGGTCATGCTCCATTCATTGCCAGCGTAATTGGAACTGTGCCACGCGAGAGAAAGCATCAATCTACTTCTCATGTTCATCTCGGCTACACTGGCTGAGAACAAGGCTAACCCGTGCAACTCTAGATGTCGCATGCCCCTCTGAGGAATCGAGATGCTGCATGTCAATTTGACATACCTGAAGAGAGTTTGAAATTCAACGATTTTTGCTGCTTGGAATTCGGGCATCAGCAGCTTGATGGGCCACGTCTAGTTATGCGCTGCCCTCAGTAGTGTCAAGACGGCGCATGGAGCCCCTTGATCATCTTTTCCACTCCGAAATGTCCACAACGATTTGGCTCTGGCCTGAATGGACCTCGGAAGACAGACGAAACATGGACCGACACCGCAACGCCAGTGTGTTCGCCCTTACCGGTGTTGGGACATGCCAGAATTAGGTACTCGGAGTAGTGTGATTGATTTCGTCGAACGGCACGTGCAGCCAGCACGCGCGAAGCCGATCGAAGGGACCGATGAGACTGATGAGTCCGCAGCTCCCGAACACTGCACCCTGAAAAGCGGCGGAGACTTTGACAGCGTGGATTGACTGGCCGAGGGGCGCACCCGCATTTCGCATAAGTTGGTGTTTATAAGGTTGCGGGTCAGGCACCCGAACGACTTGCAGCATTTCCGTGGTAGGTATGAGACTGAGAGAGTTGGATGGCCAACGCCGTCGTTGCGTCTCGCGACAGCCATGTGTGGTTCTCCAGCAACGTCGATGGACGTCCATGTTGCGATTACTGACTCGGCTTGCTTTCGCGCCTCCGTCGTCCTGCTCCGCTCTTTTCACGCTTGTCCTCACGCTAAAAAGCGATCCACGATTCGGAGAGCCGAGTTGCTGGGGACATGGTGAACACTGAACAGCACCCTTCCACGAACTCGGGGTTACTGTTGGCACGGGCGGAGTCGAAGATGTCGCATTTAGTTGTGCCGTCCGTGTGATGGCACTTCCACAATCAAATCCAGAGCACAAGCACCCCAAATGCCTCTCCGCGTGCTATTCTTGACATTTATTGTTGGGCGAGCGGACAGCGGCATGATGAAACGCTCCAACAGGGATCCTTTACCGCCCAGCATGTACAATTGCCGCGAGAAAGCGAGCTGCTGTGGTCCGTGGGGGGCTTTGCGGACGAGGGTTGCCTTCCAACCTTCTATTACATACAACAACAATAAACACATACATGTTGGCTCGTCTTTTGGGTCCGAAAACCTCTCTGTGTGGCTTATACCCCACTCCACACTCTCCCAACCAGCCGACTTCGCGCCTGTGACGAACCTCGATCCTTCGTCCGTTGACATTCTGCTTGGGAGGAGAACCTACCTTGTTTATCCATTTGTTGGCAACCTGCATTCGTGCAGATTTTTCCTCTGCTTTGCGCAAGTCCGCACATCTTCGATACATCCTTCCCGCGAGAGCAGCCGACAATCTGGCTAGCCGGTATGTGCAAAAGTCACACAGTCCAAATTGAAACACCCATCGGCTGTCTGCGCACGAGATGTGCATGCACATGCGCCGTACAGCATGGGGTCGTATTGTCTAGTCCAGCCCAGTTCTGACAGAAAGTCCTCCAGAACATGTCTTTCTACCGTCCTCCGCAATCCCCTCGAGACGAGCCCTTCATCCCGAATTCGTTCTCACCGCCCCAGAGGAACCCCAATCCCAACAGATGGAGCGCCAGCATGGCCGGCATGGGAGACGTGAGGGGAGCCTTGCAGAGGCGGTTCACAACGAACACGGTTCCTACGCTTTCCCCAATTGGACAGCAGCGCATCAAAGCTGCGGGCGATGGAGCAATGGTGAGTTATCTCGCTTTTATGCATGAAAGAGCGGCCCAGGCAGGCAGACGACGATAGGGGATCTCTCAGCGAATGATGCATTGGTATACACTGCATGCACGAAGTTGTGCATAGGACAAAGTTTCCAACTTTGGTATGCTGGACCCTGTGGCAGCACAAGGTACCATACCATCCCATCTCGATGGAAGTTGCGAAGCTGCTAGACAACACTTGATGGAAGAGGAGGGACATGTTGCATACGTTGATTCGAATGGGTGCTATAACGGTCGATACATGGGCTAACGGTGCCATACAGCCAAGTGCGCACAACAGGATTACTCCGGTAAGCATTGCCTCCGACTCGTGTGCCAGCTTTCCAACAGGACGTTTTGCCGAAGGCTTGACCTGTCCCTGATTTCGTCGTCTTGAGGCTGCATGTTGTGGCCGATCCGTAACACAGGAGACGTCAGCACACACCATTTCGCACCGTACTGAGATTCCCACCACCAGGATTGAGCTAACATACTCCTAGTCAGAACGCGCAGCTCGCCACTACGAACAGTTGCTCCAAGCACAGCGTAAAATCCAGGAGGAGCTCGAGAAAGTCGACGTCAATACCCGTCGGGAGGTCGACGAGAACATACGCCATGAGCAGTCCGTCACCCAGCTGTTTGCTCAGAGCGAACCCACAACTCCACCCGAGTACAGTGCATTTCCCTCTGCATTCTCACGGCCCAACCGCTACTCGGCGACKAGCTTGACTTCRCCGTCATCTATCAGCACGCGACCAAATCGTGCCAGCACTCAGCTCACTTCACCGTCAATCGGATATGCTCGCACTTACAACCACAACGGCAACACAAACCTTCCATCTCACTCGGTTCCTGGCTCTCGTCGCCAGTCTGACGGAGAAGACGACGACGACGATTTCATTTACGGATACGACGACAGTGTTCGCCGTGCAATTGCAAAGTGAGTTATCCCTCATCTTTGTTGCCAGTGCAGCGATTTGTTTTGAGCGTTTCGTGAAACCACATGCCTCACTCTCGCTCGGTCATGAGTCTCTTCCATACACTATCACATGCTCGCTCCATTCACACTCGCTGGTGTCTGCTTCACAATACCAATACACATCCTCACTTTCCCCCTTTGCCACAATTTCAACAATACGAAAAAACTTGCTCATTCAGGCCTGCCTCAATGCAAAATACACCCCTTCATTCGGCCAACTCAATCCACTAACACTCAACACCTTCAGTCCAAACCGCAATTCCATGCCAATCACCTCTTACGATCGCAAGCGCAACACTGCCGACCTGTCACTCGCCCAAGCGAACGTTGCCGGCTTCGTTTTCGACGACAAGGAGAAGTCTCCACATCAATCCAAGTCAAACAAGACATCTCCTCCTGATATGAAGACCTATCTTCAAGTTCAGCACACCGCGGACGGCTTTCCAAAACTGATTCGCCGCGAGGAAAACGGCGATCTGTCGCTTTCCGCGGTGTCCGCAGCTCTGGATCTCGCATCCCCAGCCTCCGACTCGCAGTCCACGCAGTTAGCCGACCGCGCTTCGGCAAGCCGTCACCGCATCTCTCTTCCGCCAAGTGCATTGGGTGGCAGCTACAACATTGCACCGCTGAACGGCATCCTGGCCAACGCCAACGAGAACAGATCAAACAACCGTCGCTCAATGGAGGTCAAATTCTCCGCTGAGACCAAACGCCCGGCACTGCTGGCCACACCGCCCCGTGGCCTTGCAAACGGATCTTCCATGTCGTCGTACTCTACCAACGATCTCCCRACGATGAAGAGCATCAACGGCGACGAACAGCACGTCAACGGTGTTGTGTCCCTGCGTTCGCCCCCTTCCCAAGCCGCTACCATTACTTCCGGCCACACTTCTCCTGAGCAGAACTCTGGTCATCTCACCCGCTTCAACACCAATCCTCAGAGCCAGGATATTTGCCCATCTGCTCTCCAAGCCAGCGCAGCTCCATTTGGCCCCAGCATGCACGACCAGACTCAGGTTCCGGGTTTCACAAGCCCCCACATCTCTCCGTATRCTCAGCAACCCGCCTACTATGGCGGCTATGGCGTGCAGATGATGACCAACGGTTTCAGTAACTTGAGCATGTCGCCTCCAAGTAGCTTCGGCAACGTCAACGCCGCTGCTCCCAACGGCTTCACGCCCCCGGCTCAAGGTCAATGGCCTGCGCCAATGACTGCTGCTTACCAACCATCTTCCTTCAACCCATACACGACTTTCCCAACTGCGATGGGTCCTATGCAAGGTCCTGGCCGGTTCGACCACATGCGTGCGAACCCCAATGTGCGTCGCCAGCAAGCTGAAGAGGCGCAGGCCAAATACCA